ATTTCTTTACATTAATTTCACAAATTCTTCCATAGTGACAAAATTGAAATCAAATTTCACAACGATTTTGTTACTATATTATTAATAGTAATAAAAGTTTTTAGTAACTTTTTTTTAGGTTAAATCTGCAACTTTTTTTTTAATACCTCGAATTTTGAATTTTTTAAAACTAATCAACATCTCCTCAAATTACTAAAGTTTAAAAGAATTTGATGATTTCAGAAGGTATTTAAAATAATTTACCAAAATTTTATACACAATTTTTTCATCTGATATCGCATAATGTAGGGAATTATTTAAGAAAAATGGATAAAAAACTCAATGAACTTTTCGCGAAAAAAAATTTTATATTTACTTAATGGATATATTTAATTTATATATATATATATATCCATTAGCATCGAAGCCACCTGCAAATCTCTAATCTCAATTAAACTAATCATTCTTGAGACCTTAGTTTATTCAACCACGATAACTTCTTGCGTCATAAGTGCAAAGTGCACTCCTATCACTTCTATATACCTACTTCTTATAACATTACATTTTGAAAAAAAAAATAATTTCCAACAGCAGGATATTTAAAAAAAGCAAACAATTTTGAACAAATAGTTAAAATAATAAAATTTTTTTACTCCTTTTAAAAATCTCCATTGAACTAAATATTAATTCATATCTCATGTAGTTTTTAAAGCTACCATATGTAAACTTTTTTTCAGTTCTTTTGTGATACTTTTAAATACTAAATTATACTATTTATTTACTCTCCCTGCATACAGTAGGGTTCGGGGATCCGAAAACAATTTTTACAATCTTTTTCTTTTACAGAAAACCTTAATCTGAACGCAGTACTTAACCTAACCTATATCTACTTAACTGATGCCAATGCCTGGGCTTCCCCCTATTAGAAATTTCGAAGTGTATTATTTTTCCCCAAATTCTAAAAAGTTGACACTCAAAATGATCGAAATTCAGCAAGTCGATATATACTAATTGATCGACATTTAAAATGCTCGAAACTGCAGATGTTCGTTACTCTAAATGTTCGAAATTTTAACCGGTAGAAATTCCAAATGGTCGATATTTTATTTTAACGACTCTCCAAAAAGTTGACATTTTAAATGATCGAAAATTCAAATAGTAGAAACTTCAACTGGTAGAAATTTTCTAATGGTTGAAATTCTAAATAGTTGACATTTTAAATAATCGACATTCGATAAGGTAGAAACTTCAAGTGATGGAAATTCCAAATAGTCGACACGCCAAAAGGTCGAAATTCTAAATGGTTGAACTTTTATTTGATCGAAACTTCAAATAGTCGACATTTTAAATGGTAGACACTTTTTTAGTGTAGGAATTTTTTTTCTTTCTATTGAAACAACACGGAGAGAAATTTCTAGGAATATTTACCGTGTTGCCACCTGTAAGTGACTGCAAAGTACATTCTGGCAGTTTTGACTGTGCTGCCCCTACAATTTTGCATTACAGATTGTAAAGGCAGAACAGTAAAAACTGCCAGAATGTACTTTGCACTCACTTTCAGGTGTCAGCAAGATAAATATTCCTAGAAATTTCTCTCCGTGAACAGGGAAAGAAAACTCTTACACCAAAAAAGTATCTACTATTTGAAGTTTCGATCAAATAAAACTTTGACCATTTGGAATTTCCATCACTTGGAGTTTTTACCTTATCGAATGTCGATTATTTAAAATATCGTTTATTAAAAATGCCGAATATTTAGAATTTCGACCAAATAAAATTTCTACCATAGTTGAAGTTTCTATCATTTAAAATGTTGACTTTTTGGAGTGTCGTTCAAATAAAATGTCGACCATTTGGAATTTTTACCGGTTAAAATTTCGAACATTTGGTGTATCATTTTATTTATTACCATCAGGTCAATACAAAAAAATACATTTATTGTCCAACTATTGATATTCCCCAATATTTTTGTCCGACAATTATATTTTTTATCAGGGAAATATGATAACTTCTATGTTCCTTCTTTGTCGGCGGAAAGATGATAATGAATCAAATAGTTACATGAAACCGATGACTTTAGAGTGTTCAACAATAAATATGTCCCACCAAAATTGTCCAAGGTTACCACTTTATTATAAATAATTTTATTGAACGACAAAAAAAATTGTTAAAATGGGATTGATATTAAAACTATTGAGATTGTTCTGTGAACAAACAGAACTGTTTGATGAACAAAGAAAATTGTTATGGAACCGTTAAAATAACAAAACTAAATTATTAAATCGGCAATACAATTTGTTGCTTTAACAAAGCTTTGATCCGTCTAATACAATTTGTTCAATTTCTTCGTCTTTTAAAATAATCGATACGAAGTTGAAGTACGCAACGTTTATGATTAACGATTTTTAAAGAAATAATTTTTTAAAATTAAAAATTTTTAAACTTTTTGCCTAAAAAATATTTTTTTATAATTTGTTGATTAATGAAAACTACAAGAAATATTTTTTAGGCGAAAAATTATAGAATTTTTTATTTTAAAAAATTATTTCTTTAAAAATCGTTTATCATAAACATTGCGTACATCAGCTTCGTATAATCGATAGCAGATTTCCGTATCACCAGTTTCATTTGCATTAAAATCTGTGGAACATGCAGCTTCTGAATCAAATTCTCTTCAATAGATTTCTCACTTTAACCAGATTCATTATTTAATAGCACTCTGTCATTTTTCAAAAAAAAAAAAAAAAACTAATAATAAAAGCAACAGTGGCACGTGTTGCAGAAGTAAACGACGAGACGATCTACATGCCAGTTTGTGAAAATTCGAGATTACCACGTGACATGGAACAATAAACCTGTCAGCTGAACAAATCCGGATTGTTCCATCAACAATCGACAACAAAAAATTTGTATTGTTGTTAAAACATTAGTAGAAAACTACTAATTCAGATTTAGAGAGTATGACAACGAAAAAAGTTTCTTGTGATAATATTAGTCAAAAATATTTAAATTAACACTCACAGCAAACTTTTTTGATTCCACTCTGGTTCGCTGTAAGTTAATTTTTAAAAATTTTAACTGATATAATATTTATCACAGCAAACTTTTTTGTTTTTAACCCTAAAACTGGTATAAGAGACGACTTGTGAAACAGAAAGTGGTCAGACATTATTTTTATTGCTTATAAATTGTGGTTTGTTTTACACCCATCTTAGCCATGCAGTCATCTGGATGTGGTAAAATTTTTAATGTATTATTTAAAAATATATTTTTTAATTTAAAAAAATAATACACCTTTCTTAAATATAAAACTAATAATAAAAAATTTTTAAATTATACTAAAATAAATAAAAATAAATTTTCTTAACGAAAATGAAGTACGCAACGTTTATAATAAACAATTTTTAAATTAATAATTTTTTAAAATAAAAAAATTCTATAATTTTTCGCCTAAAAAATATTTCTTATAGTTTTCATTAATCAACAAATTATAAAAAATATTTTTTAGGCAAAAAATTAGAGATTTTTTCATTTTTAAATATTATTATTATAATATAAATATAATATTATAAATAATATTATTATATTATTTCTTTATGTTCTAAAAATAATTAGCTAGAATTTTCATTTTATTCTTTCAGATGAATTTTCATTTGTTCGAATTATTATTTGATAGAATTTCCATATAACCGATATATTTCATACTACAAAATTTTTTACATAACCGAAAAATCATTTAACAGAATTTGTAATTGATAGAATTTTCATTTGTTCGAAATTGCAAATGGCCGAAAAAACAATCGATTTTGGCGCAATTTTTAAAATCAACCAATCAAAAATTATCCATAAAATTGTGATTGGTTGATTTTAAAAATCGCGCCGAAATTTTTCTGTCGATTATTTGTTCGGCCATTTGCAAAAATAAACACTTATTTTTCATTTTTAATTCCTTTTTTGCGCCTTTAAATATATATATATATTTTTTTTTGTTATTTTCATTGAGTAGTTAATTTTTTTTTCTCAATAAAATATGTAAATATAAAAATGGGACAACAATGAATTTATGAAATAATTTTTAAAAAAAATAACCAATTTTTTTTGCCCTTTTTTTCATATTTTCTTGCAAACCCAATGTTGTCCCATGTTTATAGTTACATAATTTATTGGAAAAAAATTAACTTTCGAATGAAAATAACAACAACAACAAATATTTTAAGGGGCAAAAATGGGTTAAATATAAAATTTTGGAAAAAATTTTGAAAAGAAAAATAAATGAAAAATTATCTAAATAACAATTTGATTAAATAAAAATTGTGCTAATTAAAAAATATCTTAAATAGCAATTATTATGTTAATATTAAATAGTAATTTTTGTATAAATCGAAATAATCTGCTAAATATTATGTAAATTTATTAAAATCACTTGATATTTAAAATTAAATAGAAATTTTGCAGAAATGAAAATTTAATTAAACAAAAAATGCTTTTTAAATCGTAATTTTGTTTCAAAAAAAATAAAAAATCAGTAAAGTGAAATTTTTAATTAAAACAATTTGATTAAATTAACATTGTGCTAATTAAAAATTTTCATAAATAAAAATTACGTTAATATTAAAAATAAATTTTTTTTAAAAAAATTTTTTATAATTTCTTTTTAAATCGCAATTTTGTTAAATAAAATTAAATACTGCATAAAAAGTAAATATTTTGCTAAATTAAAATTCTCAATAATCATAAATTTTCAATTAATTATTCATTTAAATAAAAATTCTTTTTTGCAAAAATTTATTTAAATAAAAATTTATTTAAAATTTATTTGAATCAAAATTAGTTTAAATAAAAATTCCATGTGGCAAAATTTCATTTAAAACGAAATTTTACTCTAATTAGAAATCCCACGTGGTGAGAGAATTTCTTTAAATCAAAATTATACTTTAAAAAAAAATTCCACGAAACAAAAATTTCCCAACAATTTCTATAATAAAAAATTTTTTAGAAAGAAATAATTTTTTTTTACTTACCAATTTGTTTAGTTTGTTGTTGCTGTGGTTGTAAAACTCTTTTCTCTCTCTCGGCGGCTCTTTGCTCGTTAACGACAACAGGAACCGGAATTGGAACAACAGAATTTGAAACAGTGGAATTTTTATTACATTTAATCCATGGATTAATCGCTGGCAATGGTGCTTCAACATATTTCACCGGTTGTTGTTGTTGTTGCTGCTGTTGTTGTTCCTCATCATCATCATCATGATTATTATCCTTTTCTTTATTATTCTCCTGCGTTATTCTCTCTTTAAATCTATCTTTACTCCCACCACTGTGACCTCTTGATTGTTGTTGCTGCTGCTGCTGTTGCTGCTGCTGATGATGTCTGTCGCGATTTCTATGTCTCTCTCTAATATGTTGATCTCTAATGTGTTCTCGTAATTTCTCCTTTCTTCGCGCACTCTTTGGTGCAACTGTTTGAAATTCACCATCACTACCCATTTCGCCATTAATAATTATTTCTTTTTTCATTTTATCACCAGAATTTCGTTGTTTTGTTGTTATTAATTCCAAATTTTCATTATTACCGGTAACATTATTTTTTTCCACCTCGTGGAGATTTGTCGTCTCTCTATTCAGGGGCGTAGTATTTTTTTTTGTTTTTTGATATTTTCCCTGTTCTTTTTTTTCATTGATTCCAATTGTCGTGGTGGTTTCAAGATTTTCTTTAACATGAGTTGTTGACGATGATGAAGAAATATTTTCTTTATTTGCACTTGTCCTTTGTAAATTATTGAGAACACTCGCATATGAAACACCAGGCCCGGGGAGATCCGTCGACTCGTTACTGCTCTGGCCGCTCACCCTCGCCGCCATCTTGGCACCCGAGGACAGAAAAACACGAGGTCCAGAGAAAAGCCAAGTCAGCTCCCCCGCACACCCACGAGCATTAAAATGTTCACAATTTTTATTACTCTCCCTCACTAAGGGGGGGTGGGGGTTTAATTTTTTTTCCCTTCAACACTTCATAATAACGAAAAAAAAACGCGATCAATTATTCGCGATTTACGAACTTTTTTCCCCACTCTCTCTCTCTCTCTCTCTTTTGAGGTTATGTTCACCAACAATTAAACCACCGGTTAACAGGTTCTTAACTCTTTTTTTTATTTTCTTTAAAATCACGAAATTAAAAAGAAAAAAAATTCCTCAATTTCTTTTGTCGCTTTAGTTTAAAAAAAAAATCGCAAACACTGGATTTTTTTAGTTTTTTTTTTATTCGAAACAAACACGAGGCGATGGAAGGACGAGACGCGAGTTACGATGTGAACTAGCAGACGGCGGAAAAAATTCCGAGTTTCCGAGACTCGTGTTTGCACGTTTTTTTTTATTTGTTAAAATAACTTGTAATATTTAATAAGCAAGTGGGGATCAAAAAAAAAAAAATTGAAACACTTGCAGCTAAGAAATTTTATGTATATATGTATATATATGGGTAATTATTAGAGTTCGGTTGGCGGAACGTGGCACAAACTAGATAATTTCACGATTACGTAAACACACTCGGCGTTTTCGGACTTTTTTTCTCAATGGACAAGCGGCTCGGAGAGACATGTGGCCAACGATGCCTCTCACACTTGGCCTGGTGCCTTGTGCTCACAAATGCAAAAGTCTCTTGTCTCTCGCTCTCAGGTCAACCGCAATAACGCGAGCCGCCACTCTTCCGGTTTTTACGATGTGCGAGAGCTTTCTGTATATATAATAAATTCTCTTTCGCCACTTCCGCTAAAGTGAGAGGGCGCTGTTTATTGTACCGCGAATTTTCAAATTTTTAATTCTTTTTTCAAATTAAACATATTATATAGTTCTTTATGATTATTAAAAAGGATTTCAAAATTAACATAACCTCAAATTAAAAAATTATTTATTACCAAATAGAATTATTATTAAAATTATCCTATTTTAATTTGTTCAAAATGGCTGCAGCACTAAACAGAAAGATTCCGGCGCAAAATTTAAAATTGACCAATCAAAATAATTGGCAAAAAAAAATTGTGATTGGTCAATTTTAAAATTCGCGCCGAAATCTTTCTGTTCGGCCATTTGTAATTTTAGGCAAATTAAAATTTGCTCAAGAATTCTCTATTTATTCTGTGCAAAATAATCGGACAAATGAAGATTCGAGTGAATTGACATTTATTTTTGTTTCTTTTATTCTATGGTATTTAAAAAATTCGAATCACTTGAAAATTCTGTTGAATAAGAATTCTGCTAATTCGAAAAATGAAAATTCGTCTAAAAGAAAATTCTATCTAATAAAATTCTTTTAAGTAAAAAAAAAAAATTTTAATTGTACTGATGAGTTTTAGAAAATTATGTGGCCCTTTTAACATGACCTTAAAATTTCTAGCTTTCCAGTTCCCTAATTATGTGCTAATTATTCTGATTTCACGTGTTTTTTTGAATAGTAATCTTATGACGTGTCAAATTTTGACAATTCTTTTTCTCATTTTTGCCAAAGTTGTATAATTGTGTTTCCAAATTTCGGAATAAGTTTCTTTAAAATACCAAATTCGAAAATTCAATTCATGAAGCTGAAAAAGTCGTTTTAGTCGATTTATATTCCAAAAAACAGTGGATTTGTTTTTTATTTTAACAAAAATATTTTACAGATTTTTAAATAAAAAATTTTTTTTTAATAATAATTCTTTTCGAAGGGTTAAAAGTTAAGTTGAAATTTTTAGAAATAATTAAATTTCAAAAGATATTGTTAATTTATCAAACAATTTTTGGAAAACATTTTTTAAATTTAATTGAATTTTCAAAGATTTAAAATTGAGATTTTTGAAATTAATTAAAACTTTAAGTGTTTTGTATTTAAAATTTTAGATGATTTCACTAAAAATTTATTAGAAAATGCGGACAAAATACAATAATTTGAAAATTATTTTTAATTAAAAAATGGTTTCAGATAGTTGAATTTTCAAACAATATTATCAAAATAGTTAAAAATAATTCAATTTCCTTAAAGTTATAATTGAAATTATCAAATTTCAAAAAAAAATGTTCGATGGAAATTTTTAGAAATAATTAAATTTTAGATGCTTTTAAATTCAAATTATTGAAAATTCAATTAATTTTAAATTCAAATTTTTGAGAATAATAAAATTTTATTTGATTTTAAATTTGGAAAATAATTGAATTTCAGTTCATTTGGAATTGAAAATTTTTAGAAATAATTGAATTTTAATTAAAATTTTGGATAATAATTTAATTAAAGTTCATTTTTGATTGAAAATTTGGATAATTAATTTTGAATAGAAATTTTAGAAAATAATTGAATTTTATTTCATTTTAAATAGAAAACTTGGTAAATAATTAAATTTTAAATTGAAAATTTTTGATAATTATTGGATTTTTAATTGATTTTGAATTAAAATTTCGGGTAATAATTGAATTTTAGTTTATTTTGAATTGAAATTTTTAAAAAATAATTCAATTTTATTGTGATATTTTTTTTTTAAATTATAAACAATTGTTAAATTTCATAAAAATTTTAATTGAGAAATAATTTTGATATAATTAAATTTGTGATGTATTTCATTAAAATTATTAAAAATAATTAATTTAGTGAAGAATCATTTTAGTTCAAAATTTGTTAAATAATTGAATTGAAGAAGATCTGAAGAAGATCTACATTTTATACTAAAAAAATGTATTTTATTTACATTTTTTTCAAATGTAAAAAAAATGTCGCATTTTATTAGAATAAGTCGATAAAAGTCGTATTTTTGAAAAAAGTCGTATAATCCGAGGCCTGTAAACATATAATTTTCATTATTATCATTTAATATGTAATAATATTCTAATAAATTAAATTACTATTGATAATATTAATCTTTAATTTCTTTATAACAAACAATTAAATACTCAATTTGGCGCGTTTAATTTTGCTAGTTTAAATATAAAAATTTGACAATTAAATTGATTAAAAAAGTGAATAATAAAAATTAAATTAAATTACGATTTAAAAAAAATAACATTTATTTTTATATAAAAAATTAAGAAAATACGAGTTTTAATTAATTTTAAAAACCTTTTTTTTATATATATATAAATCTACTAAAAAGGGGATTTTCAAAGAATTTCATGGAATTAATTTTACAGAGAATTTATTAATTTAAAAAATAATATCTTATTTGTCCTTTCTGATTATTTCTATATACATATAACTAACTTTACTTAGTATATAAGGAAAATCACAAGTGGGAATAACTGAAATAACATTTTTTTATTTTTTGCAAATTATTATTATTATTTTTTTTTATTAATTATTTTTTGTTATTATTACTATTATTATTATTATTATTATTATTATTATTATTATGTAAATTGACCTTTACATATATATATATATCTTTTATCTGTCTATTAATTTAATGCATTAATCAATTATAAATTTTATTTAAATGCAAAGAAACATCTGTTATTCTTGATAAAAATTTTGTAATTTGATTTTATCTGCAAAATATAAAAACAATAATCTATGAAATATAATTTTATTTCTTTCTCTTTTTATTTGTAAGTCCGTATACATGTTAATAAATAAATAAATAATTTTATTAGAATAAATAATTATTATATCAAAAAATAAATAAATATAAATTTAAAAAAAAAATGTTTTTTATTTTATACATAGAAACAGCAAAATTGAAATAAAAAAGCTAATCTATATTATCGTGTATTGAAGAAGACTTGAAATTTTTTCAAAAAAAAAAAAAAAAAAGAGAGAGAGAAAGAGAGAGAGAAAAATTATAAAATTATTTATTCTTGAATTATTTTCCTCCTTTTCTTACAGCTGCTGAAAAACAGACTTATCAAAAAGCAAACTACTATTAAGATTATGTAGATTAAAATTATAATACAAGTCAAGGAAATTTATCTTTCTTTTTACGAAAAAAAAAAAAATTATTATAGATTGACAAAATTTAAATAGATTTATTTTTTTCACGAATTTCGTTTATTTGTTCAATTTATGCAAATATGTGACGCATGAATAAGTTCAAAAAATCAATTATCAGCATTTTCATTTAATAAAATTTCATTAGATATAATTTTCATTGGAGCCGAATTTTATTTGTTCAAATATATTATTTTGTAAAATTTTCTATTAAATCGATTTTCCATATAATAGAAGAATTTTTATATAACCAAAATTCACTTCACAGAATTTTTATTTGTTCTAATTTTTATTTGCTCGAATTTTCATTTAACATAATAGCAATTTTAATAAATTTTTATTATTATAAAATTTCATTGCACAGAATTTTTTTAATACAAATTTTTAGTTGTTTGAATTTTATTATTTGACAAAATTTCCATATAACCAATTTTTCATATTAGAAAATTTAAATTTAACCGAAAAATCATTTAACCGAATTTCTAATTAATAGAATTTTAATTTGTATGAAATTATAAATAACCGAACAAACAATTGACAGAAAGATTTCGATACGATTTTTAAAATCAACCATTAAAAAAAAATTGAATTTTTCAAAAATTATCTAAAATATATCAATTTGTTTAAGGAAAAAAATAATTGAATAAATAAATAAACGTTAGTTTTTAATTTTTTTTGTGAATTAAAAAAAACGATAATATTTATAAAAATAAATGTTTGTAAATTGAAGACATAATATAGATAATGAAAATTAAATTCTGTTTATTTCATTAATAACAATTATTTTAAATATACAGTCAAATACGTCAGGAATAAAATCTCAATGTGATTATAAAATAACTTTGTATATATTATTATATTGTGTATAAAAAACAAATTATGGTGTTTTAGAGTATAATATATAGTTCCAAAAAAAGAAGAATTGTTTATATTATATATAAAAAATATTTTTTTTTTGTAAATAATTTTCTATCTCGAAAAAAAGTTTTGCATTTTATTTTGTAAAAAAAAAAAAAAAAAAAAAATATATAACCTTTAGAATATTTTCCTTATTGAAATGAGGAAAATATTCTACAGTGAGATAAATATGCAAAAATATATAATATATATATATATATATATAAAAAGAATAGAAAGATATACCGAAAAAACGGCACTGAAAAAAAAATTTATTTGATTGAAATATTTGATTACTTGACTATTATCAAATAAATATTTACTTGAACCAAATAATTTTTATTTTAATTAAATAAATTGTATTTGAACTAATAATTTTTATATTTGAAACAAATACCATTTAATTGCCTCAAATAATAATTATTTGATACAAATAAATATTTGTTTCACACAAAAAAATATTTAATTGATAATAGTCAAGTAACCGATTATTTAAATCAAATAAATTTTTTTTTTCAGTAGGTTTTTACAATTCTTTGTTTAGAACTATTTAAAAAAAGTTTTGCCTCGACAAAAAAAAGTCGAGCATTTTTTTCCAGAATTGACTAAATAACACGTGTAAATATATAACAATTATTGTATTGTTGAGGCAGTATTTTTTTGTTTACAAAAAACAAAACAAAAAAATCTTGTTCGTTTCTTTAGTAAATATTTCAATTTACGTAATTGATTGTCCTTTTTTTTTGAATGATTTATCAATAAAAGTTGAATAAAAATAACATACATCATATGTTTTATATCAAGTTAATTGCGTTAAAAAAATTTGTTTCTTTCATTTTCTAAATTTGATTATTCTAAAAGACACTTTTATTATCAACTATTGTCGATTGGATATTTTTTGATTGAGCGCTGAAAAGCTTCTGAGATTGTCGATCTGAAATAAAAAAAAAAATAAGATATTCATTATATCTTTCAATTTCTAATTAAAATATTTCCTTGTCTTTTATCAATAATCAAATTACATAAATAAATTATAATAATTTATCGATGTAATGTAATTTTTTCAATGTGATTTTTAATGATTTAGAAACAAAAAATTTTGTTTCGATTTTTAATGTTGATGTACTGAAAAAATAATATCAATATTTCGATCTTTGAGAATCGATAGATCGACTGTTAAGGTCGATTAAATAATTAATAAATAAATAATAAATGTCGATAAATGGTATCGACACATAGATCTTTAAAAATCGATAATATATCGAAACGACGACAAATCGATACTCGAGCATCGATTGTTAATATCGATGTAATGATAAAAATATCGATATGTCAATTTTTGAGAATCGATAGATCGACTCTTAATGTCGACTTAATTTTTGAATTACTGTTAAATGATATCGATCTTTAATAATCGATTGATCAATCTTTAATATCGATTGTTGTCAATTTTTTTCGATAGATCGATCTTCGAGTATCGATTATTATTGTTGATGTAATAAATTATTTCGATATTTAATAATCGATAAATTAATATTTAATATCGTTTTTTAATGTCAATGTATCTATTGATCGATCTTTTAGTATCGAATGAGCGATCTTTAAGTATCGATTGTTAATGTCGATTTATTGAAAAATGATATCAATGTATCGATCTTTAAGAATCGATAGATAGATCTTTGAATATCGATATATCGATCTTTAAGAATCGATAAATCGATTTTTAATATCGATATATCGATTTTAAATGTTGATGTATCGATACATAAATCTTTAATATCGATCTATCGATCTTTAAGAATCGATATATTTATTTTAAATGTTGATGTTAATCGATATTTAAGTTTCGATTAAAAATATCGATATATTGATAAATAAAATCGACAATTTGGATCTTTAAAAATCGATAGATAAATCTTTCAGTATCGATTATTAGTATCGGTGTATCGATTGTTGGATTTTTGAGTATTGACATAGAACTTTCTTCAATATCGATATATCGATTTTTGAGAATCGATTGTAAATGTTGATGTATCGTTAAATCAATCTTTTTATATCGATTGTTAATTTCAATATATTGATAAATGATATCGATATACTGATCTTCGAGAATTGAGAGATCGATCTTTAATATCAGTTGTTCATGTCGATATATCGATTAATCGATTTTTGAGAATGAATAGATCGATCTTCAATATTGATTGTTAATTTCGATGTAGTATTAATAAAATTATATCGATATTTCGATATTTGAGAATCGATCTTTAATATCGATTGTCAACGCAATAATTGATATCGAAAGTTCGATCGATGGGAATCGATAATAGATTTCGATAGAGATATTATCGAACATCGATTATTATTATTATTATTATTATTATTAAAGGAGAAATATTATTACTGTTATTGTTAAATAAAGAAATTTTTTTAATAATTAAATAAATAAATAATACCGAAATAATTTTTGATGAAGAAGATATGCAGTGATGTGGCCAGCGTCAATGTAACGAATTTCAGCGCCTGGCCATATTTCTTCAAGACTCATACAACCATCACGGGGAACGTAAGCGTCGTCTCTTGCACATACAGCGATTATTAATTCTGTGTCAACTGGTAATTCAAAATTTTTTAAATGCGTACATTCATCCATTATTCCTCGCATAAATTGATAAGCCTCGTGTTCTCGCCATTTGTTGTCTGAAAATAGGGGATGTTTCGACACTGGTAAAAGGCACACCCCTAAATAATAAACCAAATTTTTTTTTTTAAAGCCATGCAGGAGATTTAAATATTTTTTTTCTAAAATTAACCCTTTGTAAATTGCACATTTATTAATTGTTAATAAATTATAAAAATTCTGGAAAATCATACCAAAAAAAAGGAGGTGGAGGAGAGAAGAAGGAAAGAAGACAAACTTACCCTTTAAAGAATCAGAATCAGTATTTTTAAATCTATTTGAAATAAGATTTAAAGGAAATAATCTCGCTGCGGCCTTCTCTTCGGCAATTTGAAAATTTTCTACTTTATTGTTGTTACTATTATTATTATTATTATTATTATTATTATTATTACTATTCACTTTGTCAACATTTACATTTGAATGTTCATCAATGGCGCTAAAAATTGAATTTTTAGTTGTTTTTATTTTTGTATTTGTCGTTTGTGATTCATTTCTTATTCGATTTATTCTTGCCATACTGGCTGGATAATGTTTTGCAAAATGTTGTCCTGCTAAGAAAGCATCCTGTTAAAACCGCAATAAAAAAAATTAAAAAAAAGAAGAAAACCAACAATGTTAAAATAAATCAAGGGACATTCTACAAAATAATTTCATTCAAAAATTAGATTTGGTTAAAATAATAATTTTTCTCTTTCAATATCAAAAAATTGAAAATAATACATTACACAAAAAATTTGTTGAAAATATCCTGAATTTTTAAAAATTTATGCTATCAAAAAAGATAATGTATATCTCTACAATAAAAATAAGTATAACATTAAAATTGAACTTGAAAAGTGTTTTTTTTTTCTCAAAATGGGACACTTGATTTTCAATTTAATTTTTCAATAATAATAAATTTTTTTCCTTTAATTATTATTTACAATTATGTTATATATTTTAAAAATAAAAAAATAAAAATAAAATAATTCCTTATTTTTGAAAAATTATGTTGAATGCAAAGTATTGAAAAAAAACACTTTAGTTAAAATAAAATAAGTTTTTTATTTTTATAAGTATTTTTGATTGTATATTTCGATATAAAAGCCAGAAAAAAAACAATTTTAACCAAATCTAATTTTTCAATAAAATAAATAAATGATAAAATAAATTGTAAATTAACTCACGTCTTGATCAATAATTTTGACCATTTTTGCTAAATCATTTTGATAAATTTTATTTGAAAAATATTGATTCTCGAGTAAAGCCCAATTTATTGATGCGCTCATTACACCTTCTGTGAAAACTGGAGATGCTGTCGACCAAGAAAGACATGGAACAAGAACAATTGGCTTTGGCCAATTTGTCGCCGCCAATGAAGCCATCTGAGGAAACAAAGAAAAAGTTTATAATTTTTCTTCTTTTTTGATTTTAACATTTTTTATCATTTTTTTTTCTCATACAATTCGTGTATTATTTTTCATATTGAAAAACAAAATTAAATATTTTTTTTTTTTTTGGTGTTTTAGAAGATAATAATTGTGTTTTAAAATTTTAATATTTAAAAAATGTACAAAAATTAGGTATTTTTAATATTAATGGGACGCATGATTATGTTCTAAAAATCATTAGTCATAATTTACATTTTATCGAATTTTATTTGTCCTATTTAGTTTTGAGCCGAATTTTTATTTGTTCGAAATAGCATTTGGCATAATTTACATCAAAGCGATTTTTTGTCAAAATTTTTATTTGCTCAAATTTTCATTTAACATAATAGGCATTTTAAAGAATTTTTATTCGGTAGAATTTTATTGCACAGAATTTTGCATTTTATTCTTTCAGATCAAGTTTCATTTGTTCGAATTATTATTGCAAATGACCGACAAACAATCGACAGAAAGATTTCAGCGCGATTTTTAAAATCAACCAATCACAATTTTATGAATAATTTTTGATTGGTTGATTTTAAAAATCGCGCCGAAATCTTTCTGTCGATTGTTTGTTCGGCCATTTGAAAATTCGGACAAATGAAAATTCTATCAATTAGAAATTCTATTAAATGATTTGTCGGTTAATTAAAAATTCTGTAGTATGAAAAATCGATTATATGGAAATTATATCAAATAATAATTCGAACAAATGAAAATTCATCTGAATGAAAATTCTATTCAATGAAATTCTACCCAATAAAAATTCTTTAAAATGCCTATTATGTTAAATGAAAATTCGAGCAAATAAAAATTCGAACAAATGAAAATTCGAAGAAATAAAAATTCTGTGGAGTTAATTTTCGGTTATATAAAAATTCTGCAATATAGAAAATCGGATTGATGAAAATTATGCAAAATACTAATTCGAACAAATAAAAGTTCGGCTCAAAACTAATTAGGACAAATAAAATTTGATAAAATGTAAATTATGACTAATGATTTTTAGAACATAATCATGCGTCCCATATTAATTTAATTTTATTTACTAAAATTTACTAAAATTATTGTTGAACTAATTTTTATTTCTTTGAAGTTCGAATATTTTAATTATTAGAATAATAATAATAATTGAAATAAATAAATAATAGTAATAATATTAACAACAATAACAATAATAATAATAATATTTAAAAAAATACTAACATGACCCCCCATTGAAAGACCTGTTAATCCTAGAGGACTATATCCATGATTCTCGCACCAATTTAATAAAACAATTGATTCCAATATTAAACAGCCTCCCATTATAAAAATATCAGAAACATTGTGTAAACTGGAACGTCTGCAAGAAAAAAAATATATATATTTTCATTATCTAACACACAAAGACTGATTAAAAAAAAAAAAAGAATATTGAGACAAAATTCAAAATTTTGAAAATTACTGCAAAGAAAATAATTGCAATATTCATTTAAATATTAAATCAAAAAAATTTTGTTTAAAAATTCTTACATTTGATCTTTAGGTTTTCTTAAACCGTAGAAAGGATTCTCCAACAAAATGGATCCAATTCCCGATTCTTTGAGCAGTGGTTTAGCAATTAAATTTCTTCTACGCCAAAAAAACTACAAATTTTCAAATTAATGAAAAAATTCATTTCATTTCTATTTTTTTTTTTTTTTGTGAGAAAAAGAATTCTTTTTTTTCCCCATTTAATAAAAAATACAATCATGAAAAATATAAAAAAATATAATTAAATAAATTTTAATTAAATTTCAAATTTAATTTCTATTTAATGAAATATAAAAAAGGGATAATTTTTGTTTGGGGAAAATTTGTAAAGTGAAGAAATATTGAAAAATATTTTACTAACATGATCTCCAGTACCAGCGAGATGTAAACAAATTGGTTTTATTTTATGTGACGTCCATTTTTTTGGTAATATCATTTGAAAATAAGCAGTTTTTGTCTCCTCTGGCATTATTTCAGGTAAATGATAATCGAATGGCGATTGAAAATTACCTTCCAATACATGACAATCGGACCATTCTTCGTCCTGTGAATTTTATTTTATCAAAAAAAAGGTGCAAAATTTATGAAAATTTTGTGATTTTAAAAACAAAAGGTGTTATCACTGACCTTTGTAATGTTTACAGGATAATTAGGAGGAATTAAATTATAACATGCTTCTCGATTAGCTACGACTTTTCGAAATTCAAATATTCTGTAAAAGAAAAAAAAATTTATTTTTCTTTGAAAAAATTTTGTTTTTAAATAAATTATTAAAACTAATTAGAAATTTAAAAAAAAAAAGATTTTTAAACTAAATAAATAATTTTTAAAAAAATTGAATTACTTAAAATTCTAAATTAAAACAATTTTTTAAACTAATAAATAATTTAAAAAAAAAAAAAAAATGAATAAAATTAAAATTACAAATTTAGAGAAAAAAGATTTAAACAATTAAGTTTAAAAAATGATTAAATTAAAATAAATTCCAAATTAATGAAAATTCCAAATTAAAAAAAAATTTAAACTAATAAATAATTTTCAAAAAATTACTCAATTAATTTTTATTATTTTTATTATAATTCAAAAATTATATATGCGATAAAATATTTATAACTTTTCTCTTCTTTATAATGTAAAATTAATTTTTAATATAAAATTTATTATCTATAAATAATATTTTTAAAATTAAATTAATAAAATAATAAATAAATATAATTATATAATTTGATTATCAAATTAAAAATAAAAGCAAATTTCGCAATATTAAAAATTCAATGCCACTAGTATTAGATTTGCAACAAGTTGTTGTTCATAAAATTTATCAATTGAAGCTAAATTGATAATACTTTTGAAAAGAAATTGAAAAAAAAAATTGAAATTTAAAATAATAATAATTGATTATTAAAATCAACAGTCCCGCCTCTTATATAAACAATTTTTACATAATTCAAGGATATTATATTTAAAGCAAAACAAAAACATATATACATTAAAAGTAAATTTATTTTTAAAAAAATAATAATTATATCATAATTAATATAAAAATATTGATAATAATTTTCGAGATTTATTAAAAAAAATAAATTTTTGTTTTTGAAAAATTTTAAAATTACAATAGTAAATAAAAAAAGAAATATAAATAATGTAATTTTGAGGTTAGGGTTACCTTCGTAAATTTTCCGGATTGCCCCAGCCTTTAGTGAAGAATTTTGTGAGTAAAATACTCCTATAGACGGCATCAAGACGACTTGGGGGCATTCTATTATTATTATTATTGGTAAAAATGTGTAATTTTTATCACACCAGCAGTTGATGAAAAATGTTTAGAAAAAAATAAAATATATGCCCCCGACAAGAACTAAACGAAGGAAATAATAAACTTTGATGTTACATTGTACCTAGGGACACTTTGAAGTCGCGACGACCTTGACATTTCATGATATATTGATAATAAAAGCATTCTGCTCCGTTTATATTCATGGCGCTTTACTATTTTTTTTTAAACTTTAGAAATAAAGGCAAATTTAATTGATTTTTTTTTTGCTTCTATTATTTAATTCAACGACAAATTTTGATAGGAGTAATTTTTGTAATATAAGTCAAGCGCGAAAAATGCGCAACTGTTACATAACCTCGAATGCGCATTGTTTTTTATTTTTCATAGGTCATAATAGATTTCGAACGTTAATAATATAATCTGAAGTCAGATTAAAAGTTTAAACAAACTTTAGTTCTATTAAATACAACTTCAAATATACAAAAAGATTAATTTAGTAATCTTTTATTTTTTACCCAAAATTTTAGTGAAATTTTTTTTAATAATTTTGAATTAGTAACTGACTTTTTGCTTTTGAATTAGTACATTTTAACGAACTCAAAAGTAAAAAGTCAGTTACTAATTCAAATTAGTTTTTTTTTTAACAAAATTCAAATTCTAATTGAAAAAAGTGAAATTAAAAATATTTTTCAACTCTTTTTTTGAGGGAAAATTTTGAATTTTTTTTTTGGCTTTTTTTAACGAAAAAAAAAATTCTAAATTAATATTAAATCATTAGATTTGAAAATTAGAATAAATCAAATTAGATTGAATGCAAATTTAGCAGTACAATAATAATAATAATAAAACAATGGTTTTTGATTTAATCAAAATATTTATTATATTTCTGAGAAAATCAATAATTTTCAATATTTTCGCTCCGTAACTATTTTTTGTAAAAATAATTTCTAAAAATACTGATTGAAATTACGGGAATAATAATAATAATAATAATTTTTGAGATTCAATGTTTTGATATGAAAAAAAAAGAATTAAAAACTAAATTGCAAAGAAAATTAGAAATTAAAAAATTCGTTTCAATATCGACATTGGAAATTGCATTGTCTGATCGTCAATAAGTACAACATCAAAAGCATTCATATAATCATTTAAACTTTTTTCCACAATTTCATTGTTCTTATTATAAAGAAAACCAATTTTTAAAATATTTTCAATATCTTTGATTCCATTACACATTGTTGTATCGCCAATACTGTCACCCATTAAAATAATATTTTTACGATTTTCTAAACGTTTCAATTGTTCATCATTCAAGACAGTTTCATTTTTATTAAAAACATGTATTTTTTCCCCCTTAAAACCATCTAATTTATTATTTGAATATTTTAAGAAATTTGATATTATTTCCACATTCTCATGATGAACATTATTGTGCTTTAATATTGCCTCAACAACATCACCTAAACCAGCGCTAAATACTAATACTGGAATATTTGATGAATTTAATTTATCAATTAAATCCTTTGTACCCACACGTAAATCTGTGCCATATTTTTCAGCAACTTCTTCCAATTCACTGGGATCAAATTCATAATCTTTGAGATGATCTTCACCTATTTTTATCCATTCTTCCATTGCGCGTATTTTTTCATCCAACGGAATATGAGGATCCGTTTCAATTGGACGATATTTTTTATGTGTTCTATTTTGCATTTCAGCATATTTTGGAGGAAGTTGTTTGCATTTAGCGAAAATACCTGTAATTTTGCATTTATTAGATATAATATGAAAATAAATATATTCAGGCTTTACAGCGTAGTAAGAGACTAAGAAAAATATGAAAAAGTATCATTTTTAAAAAAAAAAAAAATATCCCAAAAATTGAAAAAAAGTAGGATCAGCCAGGGTAAATCCGAATGCTTTTAGTAAGTTTCAACAATAACATAAGTTTTTCCTTTTAAAAGACAATACTTCCGGTATTCTGGTGCATGAAGTTGTTACTTTACTTCCATAGAACAATTTTATGGGGTAGCAACAATTTTTGATAAATTACAATTGCAGGAAACTTAGCGTTTGTATTTACCTCGATACTTTGCAACTTTCCTAAAATACCGGGGTAAATACGAACGCCACTGTATTTCAGAAAAATCTTAGGAAAAATAAATTTAAAGTATTGCAATTGTTGAACTTATATAAAAACTCAAAAAAATACGATAATAAACCTATTATGTAATAATGCATCATATATAAATACAAAAATCAAACAGGTTAAAAATTAAAATGCATTACACAATTAAAACCTTCAATAACTTTATCAAATCATAACGGATTTTTGCAAAACTTGGTACAGAAAGTATTTTGGAGTGATTGAATGTAAATACAAAAATAAAAGTCAAATTTTTTAAATTCAAAATGTCGGACTTTCCTAAAACTTATTTTTAAAAATGATCAAAAATTCGTAATCAGCGACCCTGAAACCCCCCGAGTAACAATTTTCGAGCGAATCCAATGAATTTTTTAATCCTCGTCCGCCATATTGGATCGGCCATTTTGAATTTTGAAAAACTAACTTGAAATTGGTAATCAGCGACCCCAAAAACCTTAGAATACCAAATTTTATTAAGATCCTGAAAAACAAAAAAAGTGGAACACTCCTTCGAGAGAACAGAGATTAAGTTTCTGCTTATTAATTACTAACGAGGATACATATAGAAAGAAAAACTTTTTTCTATGTACTTTTATAATGTTAAAATAATAGTGTAATCAAATAAGAAAAAAATAATTGAAAATACCGTTCGGATTTACCCCGGTTTTCCAATTTTCCGGAGTAAATACGAACGGTCTGATATTATTAATAAAATTTTACAGAAGGCAAAAATCAAAATGAGTTTCTGTTCTAGTATTTATAACAAACAATTATAAATAATAAAATGAATTTTTAGCTTCTTTTTCTTCAAATACGAGACAAAATACTGAAAGAGTGTCAACCTTTTTTGCAATACTAGTTATCTTTGTTTATGCTGTTGCTAATTAACAAACGTAAAATGGGATAATACTTAGAATCTCTTCAAGAGGATCTGAGGTAAAAATTCTCACGTCTAACTTATTTTTTTAAATTTTAATTAAGCTGAAATAATTAGCGTTCGGATTTACCCCGGCTGACCCTATCAAAAAAGTGTCATTTTTAAAATAAAGTAAAATTAGTTTTCTAAATTTGACGTTAAAGTGTAAATATTTGCAGGTCTAAAAAAATTAAAAGAAAAATTCTGAGGAATAAAATTAACATTATTTTTCTCCTAATTATTTTTTAAAAAAAACTATCTATTGTTAAATTTCAATTAACTTTTGTGTTTTTGGCACAACAGTAGGAGCGTATGATTATTTCATAAAGATGATTTTTCTCATGAATTTTTATTTTTCAAAATAGCATTTAACACAGAATTTTTTTAAAACAAATGTTCACTCAACGAAATTTTTAAAATACCAAATTTTTATTTGACAGAATTTTTATTTTACAAAATTTCTCTTTACCCAAGTGTTTCTTGAAAAGAATTCTAATTTAATCTATTTTTAATTTATTAGAATTCTCATTAAGTAGAATTTTAAGTAATTCAAAATTTTAAATCCTAGAACTTGTAATCGGAAGCTTATATAAAATATTTAGTATTTTAAAACAACAATTTTTATTAAAAACCTTCAAAAATTCAATTATTTCTAAAAATCTTAACTCAAACTCTTCCAAAATTTAATTATTTCTAAAATTTGTATCTAAAATTCTTTCTTAAATTAATTATTCAATTATTTAAAAATTCAAACATTTTTTAATTAAAAATTCTCTAAAATTCAATTACTGTTTGAAAATCTGTTAATAATATTCAGCAATTTTAATTTATTAAAATTTTAATTAAAAATCTCCTGAAATTCAATTATTATTAAAAATTTTGCTTCAGATTTTTTGTTGAAATAATTATTTCTTATAAAATCAAGAATTCGACATTTCAATTATTTAAAACATTTTTTAATTCAAAATACGTTGGCAAACATTCTCTTTTAAAATTATTAGAAATTTTCTCTTTATTTATATTGTCACTCCTTCCAATCTGCGTTTCTCAACGTTATCTTTGATCTACTAGACCATTTTACACGGGGTGTAGCCATTTAGATGGTACTCTAATTAATAATATGTGTGAGGTCATTAACAGCATTTGTAACGAAAGCGATTTTGATGTATTTACTCATTCTTTAAAGGCCTTTTCGAAATTAGTGAATGATTTTGTCAGTCGAACTTGAAAATTAATTACTAACACACAATTGATTCTTGATTAATTCTCTTATGTTTATATTATGTATCAAATTGTTTACAATTCTGTTATTGGTCTTTGGACTGTTGGATTTATTTTTTCAATAAATAAATAAATATTTATAAAAATCATTAAAACTAGTTGAATTTCAGTTAAAAGTATTAAATTTCAAAAAATTTTAAATGGAATTTTTTGGAAAAAAATTAAATTTTGGAAGCTAGGTATTGAATTGAAAATTTTTTAAATAATTATAATAAGAGAAATTTTCACTGATTTCTGTTGATATTTAATTAATTAGAAATCACATTAAAAAAAATTGAATTCCAAAACCTTTTAATTTGAAAAATGCTTTCAGATAATTGAATTTTCGAAGAATATTATAAAAATCATTAAAAATAATTGAAATTTTTGAAAATAATTAAATTTCACAGTGATTTTGAATTAGGTAAAATGTTTTGGTAATTTTATTTGATAATTTTTTTTTAAATTCTAAACAATTATTAAATTTCATTAAAAATTTTTTGTAAAAAAAAAAAATAAAGTTTTTTTTCTAGTCATTTTTGTAAGTCAACTTTAAATAATGAATATCTAAAAATAATACTCATTATTTATTGATTTATTTATACAAAACTGGAATCGTTCAAAGAAACGATAATTAACTTTAATCTTCAAATATTTATTTTATAAGTTTAGCGAAAATTTGTTTTTCATTTTTATATGAAAAACAATTATTAATTTTTTTTTATATATATAAAAAATTAATAATTGTTCTTCATCTTATCATATTTTATAATTATTTTACAGTTTTATATTTTTTGAATTTTTCATAGCTACAAATATTAAAAATTCTATAATTACCAAAACTGCTCAAATGATCTTTGCCATCAACATGTTGCTTTGTGAGAGTTAAATCGAAATCGGTGACGACCTATATAATAAGATATTTTTCAATTTTTACCTTAAAAAAAATATATATATTTTCGATAAATCAGTTCACTAAAAATTCGTGCACAATCGTTATCTTCGAATTAAAAAATAAAAAAAAAAAATTAATAGGAAAATTAAGAAACTCTAAAGAAATAAATAAATAATCAGTACATTGAAAAGAAAATTAATTTAATCCAAATAATCGGTCACTTGACTATTATTAAATAAATATTTACTTAAACCTAATAATTTTTATTTGAATTAAATAAACTGTATTTGAAGCAATAATTTTATGTCAAGTAGTCAAGTAATCAATTATTATTTGAATCAAATATTTTTTTCAGTGATAGTACCGAAAAAGTTTAATTTTCTAATTATTAATTACTTTGTTTTTATTATTTTCAACATATAAATTAATATTTATTAAATTAATCGAAATTAAAATTAAATTATTAATAATTAAATTAATAATATATAAAACAAAAAAAAATTAATATTTTCTGACCCCCCCCCAATATTATATAAATAACACTTATTTAATTCTAATTATGAAATTAAACAATTTAAAAATGTATGTCAATAATATAGATACCTGTAATTTTCCAGGGCCGTCACTTATAATGTTATTAATTTTTTTAAGTACATTAGTGGGATTGGATATCCTACTTAAATTAGGAAACTGAAAAAAATTAAACATTAACGATTTTTGGTTTTCTTTTTTTTATCACTGACACAAATTAAGAATTGATTATTGAGCGCGTACTACTTACATCCTCCAAAGTCATTTTATTTGGCATTATGTTTAGAAAATTGACTAATTTAAGTACTTAATATATATATACATAATTTATTGAGGTTTTTTTTTTTATGAAAAAAAGTAATTAGAAAAATTAGAAATAAATTGAATTGTTACAAGTTAGCTGATTATGAACAAAAAATTTTATTTATTATTTATATTAAATAAAAATCAAATCTAGGTATTGTTTTGTCTATTAATTTATTGAATAATTTTGAGGGATATAAATAAAACACCGGTACTTCATAGAAGGCAAAAAATTTGTTGTGAAGATAGAAAGAAAGAAACTGTTGACCCTGTTGACTAGACCGCAGAATGAAAATGAGAACCCTCCCCACTATATTACTAATATAGTGGGGACTAGAGTTGCCAATGACTTCCAGGGTTGCACAGTGACGCGTCACTCGAGGTTTTTGACGTATATTACGTAAAAAATGTAATATACGTAAAAAACCTGTAATAAATGTAAAAAAATATGGCGGCGGTCTGGCGATCAATAAAAAATATGTAAACAAATATTAGTATCACAGAAAAGCAACAAATTAATTATTTTAAAACTTTTAAAAAATAAGTATATGGATATGAATCCACAAAATCGAAAACGCCAAGCAATTCCTTGGCAAAGTTTAAAATTTTCACGCTTGAAAACTGATGAAAAAGGAGTATTTGTCATAGTTCTCTTGCACCCAGGACAAAATGCTGCATTTTTCCCATCGAGTTTCACCAAAACATACGACAATTCCTTCCAAAAAGAATTTCGCGGCCTTCCACCTCTACGCATTTTATTTTTCGCAATTTGCAATTGTGCCACTCAATTTTATTTTCAGGATCACGGAGTTTAAGCGGCCATTTTGAAAAAGTAAATTACGTAAAAAACTAAGCACGTAAATTACATACGTAATATACATGTAAAAAACCATGTAATTTACGTCAAGTATATTACGTACGCAACCCTGATGACTTCACTTCACTTCACTTCAGATTTTCTTGTGTCGTGTACACAAGGTTTACATTGGCACCGGATCACCGTACCGTCCTTTAAGGTGCGTACATACAGCCATTACCTGGTATTTTAAAGTTTGAATAAGACTTCATTCAATAGTTCAATTCGTTTCAAATTTTAAGATTGCACTTTTTGAGAAATCGAAAAACATGCGAGCATATTCTTAATGACGGATTTGACAAAATTTGGACACTGCTAAATGGTGGTTGCCAACGACCCTACCTAAACATTACTGCGCTTGCGCTACGACAACTCTCTTATAGGTCGAAAAAAGCGCGCTTATATAAAATGCTTAATAATAAGAAAACGTTAATAAAGCAATATAAAACTATTTTTGCTATTGAATTTATTTTTTTTGTTAATTATATTACTTCTTAATAAAAAAATATTAATTTACTTAATGTACTTAAGTATGTAATAATAATAATAATAATAATAATAATAATAATAATAATAATAATAATAATATTAATTATAATATTAATAATTTTATTATATTTATACCATTATTGTTATTATTTTTTTATAAAATATATAATCTATTATTAATATTACCAATTTAATATTTATTAATTATATTATTAATAATATTTAATAATTATTATTATTGACATATATACGTGAAACCATGAAAGTTTTGAATTATTTGTAGGTTATGTTCGAACAATTTACCTCAGTTTTGCGTCAAAAATTAACGGCGTAAAATACCTGCTATTTAACCGTAAAGCGTAAAAAAACCACGTAATTTACCTGAGGTATTTTACGCGTTCAACCACCTTGTGTGTTTTCAATACTTTGATTACAGTAAACTTCAGTAAATAAACAAAATAGTAATTTTCTTTTAAAAGGACAATAAATTTTAATAACTAAATATATCAATTATTTGAATGTTATAGCTTACAAAACTTAAATAATAATTTCATGTGTATATCGATAATTTAAGGTTAGAACGCCACATTTATATTATTATAACTTATTTTTTGTTTTAGAAATTAATAAATAAATTTTATTTCAGCCTAAAAGGCCCAGAAACGATTATTATTTTATAATACATTTAAACCTAAATTAATCATTTTTATTTTTTATAGTTATTAGTTAATTTAAATATTGGCAATAGTTAATTAAGTTATTAATTAATTAATAGCCTTACTGTTATATACTGAAAAAAAATTTATTTTGGTTTAAATAATCGGTTATTTGACTATTATCAAATAAATATTTATTTGTATCAAATAATTATTATTTGAGATGGTATTTATTTCAAATACAGAAATTATTGGTTCAAATACAGTTTATTTAATTTAAATAAAAATTATTTGGTTCAAGTAAATATTTATTTGATAATAGTCAAGTAACCGATTATTTGAATCGAAAAAAAATTTTTTTTTTTCAGTGAACAAATAATTTAATTTAATTAACAAACACTAAATATATTATAATTTAATTTTATTAATATTTATTATCTATATTATAAATATGGGGCATTCTATGAGAAGCGGACAACCTTGACATTGGTTTGTTTTTCAATATTACAATTTTATTAAAAATCTATTAATCAAAGGAAAATAGATTTGAATTTTGTAATAAATTTAATGACATTTGATCTCATGGCATTAATTTTATTTTCAAAAATTAAAAAACAAATTTTAAATCAATTTTTCGTAGACTTTGACCATTTTTTAAATATATTTAAAAATAGTTTAAATTGTGTAGATTCTAAGAAATTTAATTTAATTAAAGAAATTTGGAAATTAATTAAAATGAAATTGAAATTTGAAAATTTAAAAAAAAATTGAAATTTAATTTCTTTAATTTTATTCTTATTTCTTCTCGTTTTATTATTTTGTAAAATGGTATTATTTATGATTATAAAAGTTATTTTAAATTTAAATAATAATTAATAATAATAATTTAAATTAATAATTATTAAATTAAAAATAACTTTTAAACCGCATAAATAATGCCATTCTACAAATTGATGTACAGAATTTACATATTTTTAAATATTTTTAAAAATAATTTAAAATTTTTTTAAAAATGGTTGAAGTCTATGAAAAATTGATCTAAAATTTGTCTTTCAACTTTTGAAGTTAAAATTAATCTAATTTTCAAAATTAAAACCATAACGTCAAACGTAATTAAATTTACTACAAAATTAAAACCTACTTTCCTTTAATTAAGAGGGTATACGAGTTTGAATGGCTCAAAAACAAGGTGATTTTTAAGATTTTTTTGTGATTAGTTGATTTTAAAAATCGCGCCAAAATCGATTGTTGCTTCGGCTATTTGCAATTTCGGACAAATGAAAATTCTATCAATTAGAAATTCGGTTAAATGATTTTTCGGTTAAGTAAAAATTCTGCAGAAAAATTGGTTATATGGAAATTATATCAAATAATAATTCAAACAAATGTAAAATTCATGTGAAAAAATAAAATGAAAATTCTATGCAATTAAATTCGACCCAATAAAAAATTCTTTAAAATGCCTATTATGTTAAATTAAAATTCGAGCAAATAAAAATTCTGACAAATAAAAATTCGAACAAATAAAAATTTTGTGAAGTGAATTTTCGGTTATATAAAAATTCTGTAATATTGAAAATCGTTTTGAAGAAAATTCTGTAAAATACTAATTCGAACAAATAAAAAATTCGGCTCAAAAATAATTATGACAAATGAAAATTCTAACTAATGATTTTTAGAATACTTATATTTAATTTTTATTTAATTTATATTTTAAACATATTTAACACAAACCAGTTTAACATCAGCATTGATTTTTTCTGTAATTAACTCAAAACTTTCATTAAAAATTTGCGAATTTTGATTTTCAACGACCTTAACAACAACGCAGCCAATTAATACAAACCATATTTGTACAATGTATCTCTATAATACTCTGTACGAATGGGCTTTGCCCGTATATTTTCAATAAATAAATAAATAAATATTCATGCGTCCCGAATTTTTATATTATCATTAGTGTATATTATGAATTGTATTATACTTTAATGATTGTCCTCATGGTTTCCTTGGACAAAATAAAGAAATAATAATAATAATAATACTTTTAGAAAATTATGAAATTCCAAAATCGATTTTTTTGGAAAAATTTCAACTCTAATGGATTTTTAATAAAAATTTAAATATTTCAAAATAATATTAAAAAACAAACCAATATCGAGATTTTCCACTTCACATAAAATGTCCCATTTAAAAATGGAAGAATTTTCTTTCAGAATTATTTTCTAATAGATTGATAGAAAAAAATTCAAAGTGACTTTGATTATGTTTAAAAGTTTTCAATAATTATGAAAAAAGAAAAAGAAGAGATGGACGATGATAATAATTCAAATGTTGATGACGATGACAATGATTTCTACGAAGGTTCATCTGTATTAGAGAGCCAACAATTCAATGATATTGAAAGAAATACAATGAAAGGTGACACTGTTGGTGATACGGTTTACAGTTCCAAATGGATAATCAATACTCTCATTTCATTGTCTAAGGTGATTGATTGCATTTTATAATTTATAGATATATATAGGGTCAGTTGAGGTAAATGGGGACAAAATCGCTATTTTTCACAAATTACGTAAGTTTCTTCCTTTAAAAGGCAATATTTGCGGGTTTATTTTTTTTTAAGTTGTTCTTTACATTCCTAGGATTAATTTTATGCAGCAGATTCAGATAAGCTTTAAACGCATAAAACTGACTGTCCCCATTTACCCAAAGATTTAGAAAATTTCATAAAATTCGGGGTAAATGGGGATAGCACAGTTTCTAAGAAAGTTTTAAGAAAAAAGTTTCCCTAAGTATATTATTGTATTAAGGGATGAAAAAACTTGAAAAAATTGTAGTAGATATATTAGTTGAACCAATTGAAATTTTTTTATTTTTTTTTTACTTCAGTATTTTGTCTCGCATTTGAAAAAAAAACAGACTTAAAAATCATACCAAATTTTTTTCTTATTCCTTATGACTCCCATAACAGAAATTCACTTGAATTTTTGATTTTTGTTAATTTTGTTAATAATGACAAGCTGTCCCCATTTACCCCAAAAATTTGAAAATTTAGGGTAAATGAGGACAGCTTGTTATTATTAACCAAATTGACAAAAATCAAAAATTCAAGTGAATTTCTGTTATGGGAGTCATAAGGAATAAGAAAAAAATTTGGTATGATTTTTAAGTCTGTTTTCTTTGAAATGCTCGACAAAATATTGAAACAGTTTGACTTTGATTTTCAAGTTTTTCTGCATTGAGCGATAACTTTTTTTTTTATCTTGCTGCCAATTGTCAAGATAAAAGCTTGGCAATACTCAAAACCTCTTGCAGGTGATCTGAGGTTAAAATATTGACGTTGAACTTAATTTTAAAACTGTAAATTAAGCTCCAAAACCTCTTGTCCGCATTTACCCCAACTGACTATACATTCATTGAAAATTGAATTAATTTTTTCATCTATTAAAGATTTGCGAAGATGGCTGGTCTAATGAATTAGAAGAGTCATTGTGTATTTTATGGGACATGACAGGTGAAAAGGATATTGTTAAATTTTTATTGGAAAATGATTTTTTAAAAATGTCCGAATTCACTCTAAAAGTGTCTGAAGAGCCAAGATTAACGGTGAGAGGAGAAAAAATTTTTAAAATTACAATTAAAAACAAAAGAAATAAATAATTAAAATTTTTAGGAAATAATTTTGGGCATTCTTGGAAATATGTGCTGTGATAAACAAGTATTGGAAGCACTTGAAAATAATACAGAATTAACTTCACTTATTTTCAATCTTTTACATTCAGAGGATTCCGAAACACTTGTTCAACTTATTAGAATATTACAAGCTTCCGCTTGGTGTATTCAACAAAATTCAAATTCAATTTGGTTAACAAAATTAAAAGATTGTGAATTTCTTGGCGAATCACTTATTTTTATTCTCAATAGTTCAATGAAAGGTAAATTATATATAATTATTCGAAAAAAAAAATATATAATATTATAATTAATCAGAGAGAAATTTTTTCAAAATAAAATTTCAGACAATTTATTAATGGCGGTTCTCGATTTTATTGCCACATTTGCATTATTAGAATCGAATGCACTTAAAGATTTATTTATTATCGATCATTTAACACCTGCTCTATTGGAATCACTTACACAAATAATGCAAGGATCAAATGAAAGTCATTCAACATTAAAATTAAAATCAATTGACAATTGGCTTTCAATAATAACAAAAATAACAAAAATGGAATTATTACATTTTTCTGACGATGAGAATGATGAAAATTTTCGTAAACTCACGGAAATTATGTGGAAAATTTTACGACCATTCACACAATCATTTAATTTAATTCCATTAGATGAACAAATATTTCATTGCATTCAACGAACTGTTGATATTGTATTGATTTGTCAAAAAAATGAATTTCACTTTGGTTCTGAAGTGATATTAGTTATTCTTCAAATAATGAGCGTTTTATATTCAGGTAAAATATAATAATAATAATAATAATAATAATAATAATAATAATAATAATAATAATAATGATATTTACGTTAAAAATAATGATAAACTTTTTTTTGCAGCTATGGAAAATTTTCAAAGTGAAATTGAAAAAGATCCTGAAAATGCATTAAAAGTACTTTTAAATTATTTAGTGAATTATTGGATTGAAATTTTAGGTATACTCGAGATTGAAGAACTTTCCACTGTTTTACGACTTTGTGATAAAGAAACTGTGAATAATTTAATGAAAACAACAAATGTTAAAACTTCAAAAGATAAAATTCATAAACTTCAAGAAATTCTTTCCTGTTTAAGTTTGTAATATATTTTTTTTAAATACATATATATGTATGTGATTTTTTATTTAAATAGTATTTAATATAACTCGTTGACAGTATAAAAAAAAAAATTATAATATATATATGTAAGTACATAATTTTTTTTTCTTATTTATCAGATAATGAAATAAAAGCAAGGTTTACTATTTTTATTTACAATGTTGTTTTATTTTAAAATGAATCTAATAATCTAATATTAAAAACTCCCTTTTATCCACAGCTAGTGGAAAGACAAGTGTAAATAAATAAATAAAAATTTGATGAAAAAATTTTTTAATACTTTTCAATTCTATTTTTGAATTCGCAATTTTATGAATATTATTTATATAAGATATACTATATCAATAATTTTGGATAGAAAGTCTATCAAAACGAATTATTATTTTTAATAGAATTTGAGAGGACAAAATTTTAATCTTTTTCAATACAATTTTTGCATCCGCAAATTTGTGTATATTGTATAAGATTCTATCAATTATTTTCCATAGAAATTCTATCAAAATAAATACTTTTTTTTTGTTCAATTTGATAAACTAATTTTTAATATAAAAAAATTTATATGCATTTTTTCAATTCTTTTTTTAATCCGCAATTGTAGATAAATTCTTTATGTTTCTATCATATAGTTATTATTGAAAGCTTATCAAATATAATACCTTGTTTACCGAAAAAAATTCCTAGACATTTTAGTTATATTTTGTATAAATTTTCATTTAAAACTTTTTTTGGAAAGTTTATAACAAATTTAATACATGTTTGTATACTTTTTCCGACTTATTTTAATAAAATGAGACTTTTTTGACTTTTTTTTAAACATTTTTTTAAAAAATTTTTTGAACAAAATACGTTTTTTTTAGTTTAGAGTACAAAATCTTCTTCAGATCTTTTTTATTTCAATTATTTAACAAATTTTTAACTAAACTTCTTCACTAAAATTAATTATTTTTAATAATTTTAATAAAAATCCTCACAAATTCAATTATCTTAAACTATTTATCAATTAAAATTTTTATGAAATTTAATAATTGTTTATAATTTTTAAGAAATTAGCAAATAAAATTACCAAAAATTTGTAATTGAAAATTACTTGAAATTTAATTATTTGTAAAAATTTCAATTATTTTTAATGATTTTTATAATATTCTTCGAAAATTCAATTACATATCTGAAAGCATTTTTCAATTAAAAACTTTTTCGAATTCAATTTTTTTATGTGATTTTTAATAAATTCTTCATCAACAAAAATCAATAAAAAATTTTCTTATTATAATTATTGTTTGAAATTTAACACAATCTTTTGAAATTCAATTATTTTCAAAAATTTCAATTTAAAAGCTTCTAAAATTTAATTATTTCTAAAATTTTCCATCTAAAATTTTTAAAAAATTGAATAATTTCAACTGAAATTCAATTATTTTTAATGATTTTTATAATATTCTTTGAAAATTCAACTATCTGAAAACATTTTTCACTATTGAAAAGTTTTTAAATTATTGTATTTTTGTCTGCAATATCTTATAAATTTTTACATTCTCATCATAATGAGAAAATATTACATTTGGGCGATTTTGAACATTCTCTAATTCCAGTAAATCTCGACGTTTTGAGACTTTCTGATGCCGAAATAATGGGTCTTTAAAAAAATGTCTGTCTGTATGTATGTCTGTAGACATAAAATTTTGTCCAACGATATCTAAAATTATTTTGATAAATTATTTTTAGTTCTGTAAATTTTTATTATTGTTTGAAAATTAACAAAATCTTTTGAAATTCAATTGTTTCTAAAAATTTCGACTTTAACTCTTCCAAAATTATTATTATTTAATAAAATTTTTATTTAAAAATCTGTAAAACTTGATTAAGTATTGTCTGAAATTTTTTTCACCATCAAAACTAAAAACTATGACAAAATTTTAAATTCTAAATTGCTTAAATCAGATTTGAAAAAATTATTTAAAAAAAATGGAACTTTAATCTTAAAGTCAATATTTTCATTTGGATAAAATTTTTTTTATGAATAACTTTTTTTTAAACAGGTTAGTCTATTATAATGAGATAGAGAAGGACAAACAACATGTCTATCCTTCTCTAACTCATTCTTCCGATTGCATTTGCAACAAGAAGACTAGTGACAGGTTTCAGTTAAAAAATTAATTATTTAACAGAATAAATTATAACTAAATTAAATTACTTACATGTTTTTCACCTTAAACATTTATTCAATTAGTTTTTAACAATCTCTGTCTGCTTTGTTGTCCCTTCAACTATTTTATGTCACAATTGGTCACAATGTAAAGTTGTGACCGCGCCATAACAGTTTTAGGCTATGTCCACAATAGCCTTTTTTTTATGACAGTGAACATAAAGGCCTAAGCAAAATGACCACGATTAAGAATACGATTACGGGAAACATGAGATAGAAAAGGACAGATACTATCTCTGTCCTTTTCTATCTCATGCTTCCCGTAATCGTAATCGTAGTCATTCTGCTTAGGCCTTTATGTTCACTGTCATAAAAAAAAAAGTTTATTGTGCACATAGCCTAAAAGAAACATTAAAATTTCATCAAAAAACAGTAAATATATTTTAAATTTGTTCGTGAAAGTATTTATAAAAAAAAAAAAATGGAAGAATTTGAAAACGATTCTCGTAATAGTGCTGTATTTTCAAAATTAGAAATTCCATCGCCAAAATTAAAGAAAATTCTCATTGCCGAATCTGATTTTTATGGTGAAACAAAAATAAAATCACTACAAACAACATATACATGGTCATTAAAAAATTTTGAATCACTTGTTAAAATTAATGATCACATTGATACAACATCATTTATATTAAATGACGATTCAAATGTTCAATGTTTTTTGAGTGCAAATTTTAATGAATGGATGTCAATATCATTAACATTTACAACAAAAGTTTCACCCACATATAATTATGAAATTAAAATTCATACAATAAATGAAAATATGACAAGTTCATTTCATGAAATTGCATATGCACGTAATATTACAAAAGGTGAAAAAATAATATTTGAAAATTTTCTTCTCGTCGATAAAGAAGAATCAAATAATTTTCTCGTTAATGGCAATCTTTTTTTATTATGTGAAATTTCACGTATGGATTCAATATTTATATGTCGTAACAATAATATTGATATAACAATGGAAAATAATATTGCCAATGATATGACAATGATATTGAAAAATAATTTATTAACAGACGTAAAATTATTGGTTAACGATAAAGAATATCGTGCACATAAATGTATATTGGCGGCAAGATCACCTGTATTTATGGCAATGTTTCAAATAAATATGCTTGAAAATATTGAAAGTGAAATAATAATTGACAACACTGAACCTGAATATGTTGAGAAAATGTTACAATTTTTTTATTCAGATAAAATTGATAATTTAGAAAAGGATACAGAAAAATTACTCGAATTATCTGATAAATATGATATTAAAGGATTGAAATTAATTTGTGCACAGGAATTATGTAAAAATATTGATGTCGATACGGCGCTTGATGTTCTTGTTTGGGCCGATAAATGTAATTCATTTGAATTAAAAGAACGTGCATTAAATTTTATTCGTAATCAAATGAAAAGTATTCTTGAATCAGAGGGTTATAATCATTTTGTTCAAAATCATTCGAATTTATTAAAAGAATTATTCTCCCATGTATCGACGCCAAAAATGAAGAAAATTAAATTAGATCTTTAATTTTTTCTTCTTTTTTTTTTCTTTTTCATTGGTTAAAAAAAATAATTGCGAAAAATTTTAATGTATTTAAAAATTCGTCTTTTAAAATTGTAATTTTACTGTAATTTTTAAAATAATTTTTTAGACGTAAATATTTTAAAATTTGTTACGAATTACGATTTTGAAAATATGTAATTTTCACTACATATTTCGCATTAACTAATTTTTTAATTTGTTTTTTTTTTATTACTTACGTTATTCGATATTCAGAAAAAAAAATGATTTTATGACTATTTTTTGAGAAAATTTATAAACTAATGTAAAATTTGAAGAAAAAAAATGTAAACCAATGTAAAAATTTTAAATATATACTACAGGCTTCAAAGTGAAAGACTTTATTACTTTTTTAAAACATTTCTGAGTGAAATCATCAAAAATTTTAAATTAAAAATTAACTTAAAGTTGAATTAATTTCAAAAAATCAAAATTGTAATTCTTTGAAAATTCAATTACTTTCAAAAAATATTAATCTAAAATTATTTGATAAATTATTTTTACTTCTGTAAAATTTAATTATTGTTTGAAAATTAACGAAATCTTATGAAATTCAATTATTTCTAAAAATTTTAATTTATTTATTTAAGGGACTTCAAAATTAAAGTTAATTATATTTTAAAAATAAATAAAAAAAAAACTGAGGGGAAAGGAAAAATTTTAATCAAATAAAAACAAAAAATTTATTTGTTTTTTTATTTATTCAATATACGGGACTAAAAAATGTAAATTGTAAAAAAACATAAAAAATTCTTAATTATATTTTGAAAATAACTTTTAATTATAAATAAAAATAAAAAAATTATAAAATAAATAAAAAATAAAATCATCAAAAATTTTTAATTAAAAATTAACTTAAATTCAATTAATTTCAAAAAATTTTAAATTGTAAATCTTTGAAAATTCAATTACTTTTAAAAAATGTTTAATCTAAAATTTTTTAATAAATTATTTTTACTTCTGTAAAACTTGATAAAGTATTGTCTGAAATTTTTTTCACCATCAAAACTAAAAACTATGACAAAATTTTTAATTCTAAATTGCTTAAATCAAACTTAAAAAAATTATAAAAATGGAACTTTAAAAACTTTTTTTTCGAAATTTGTCCTACTTAAATAAAATTTTGAAAATTTATCTTACAATTAGTTCGATTCTGAAATATTGGAAGTAAATTTTCTTGATAATATTTTTATAGAATTATTCTCATTACAGAATTAATAAAATGAATTTAATATCTAATAACATTAGTTATTTAAAGTAATTTAACTAATTAAATTTTGTTAAAATAAAAAAATCGACTTTTTTCGAATATAAATCGACTAAAACGACTATTTTTGTATCTTAAAGTAGATCCGAGGCCTGTGTAACTAATTTTAATAGTTTTTTTCAACGAGGCTACTTTTTTGCTACTAATTTTAGCCAAAATCCACTAAATGCTACTTTTTTCTAAAAAAAAAAATAATTTAAAAAAGACAGAATTCAAGAATTTTAAATTTTAGCGAATTTTTTGATTCGTAAAATCGCGCCAAGTTTATTATTTATTATTGGCCGCGTGAACTACTTGCTTTATATAATTATTTTTTACACGAATTTTCATTTTTCAAAATAGCATTTAACACAATTTCTCTTTAAACGAACTTTTACCCAATAGAATTTTTAATTTGGCAAATTTTATTTGACAGAATTTTTATTTTACAAAAATTTCTCTTTAACCATCTTTTTTTTTTTTTTTTAATAATTCTAATTTAACCGAAATTCAGACAATTGAATTTTAGAGTAGTTTGAATTGAAAAATATTTTAAATAATTGAAATACCAAGATCTTGATTTTATTAGAAATAATTATTGCAACAAAAAATTTAAATTAAAATTGCTGAATATTATTAACAGATTTTCAAACAGTAATTGAATTTTAGAGAATTTTTAATTAAAAAATGTTTGAATTTTTGAATAATTGGATTGAAATTATTAATTTAGCAAAGAATTTTAGATACAAATTTATAAATAATTGAATTTTAGAAGAGTTCGATTTAAGATTTTTAGAAATAATTGAATTTTTGGAAATTTTTAATTAAAATTGTTTTAAATTACTAAATATTTAATATAAACTTTCGATTCCAAGTTTTAGGATTTAAAAATTCAAATTACTTAAAATTCTATACTCAATGAGAATTATAATAAATTAAAAATAGATTAAATTAGAATTCTTTTCAAGAAACAGTTGGGTAAAGAGAAATTTTGTAAAATAAAAATTCTGTCAAATAAAAATTCAATACTTTCAAAAATTCCGTTAAGTAAACATTCGTTTAAAAAAAAAATTCTTTGTTAAATGCTATTTTGTAAAATTAAAATTTATGAGAAAAATTCATTTTTAAGGAATAATTATTTTTTAAGGATTCATACTTCTCAATAATCGTAAAATCATTTTTAAAATATGTTTGAATTTTTTTTTCATTTTTATTATAATTTTGGATATTTTATTTTAAAATTATAATTTTGGAAAATATTTTTAAAAAATATATGTATTTTTTCTAAAAAGTTTAAAAACATAATTTAAATATTTTAAAACTGAAATTTATTTATTTAAAAATGTTAATTAATTTAAAATTAAAATAATAATTTAATAATTTCAGAACAATAATTTAAATTTGTTCCTTTAATAAACGAAAATAATTATTTTTACCTCTTTTTTTCTAATTATTTATTTATTTTCATTATTTTCGTATCTATAGAATCTGAAGTTCGTGGCATTATATCGCGTTTTTCTCTTATTTTTTGACGTAAAAGTCAAGTACAAACTTAAACGTATTTTTATACCTTTTTTTTTACAAAAAAAAACATACATCCCCAGTGCACATGAAAATAAAATAATTCAAAATTTCACAAAATATGATAAAAGCGAATAATTCATTTGAACAATGTCAACGACAAATTTAGAAAATTTCAATTCTGTTTCCTGTGAGTATAATTTGTATAATTAATAATTAATAATTAATAATCAACCAAAATTTACACAAAAAGGACATAATTTTGTAAAAAAAATGTTTGTTTTTTTTTTTATTGAAAAATTACAGGTAAAGGAGAAAGTGACACTTTTCATTCTGACAATGTAAAAAATAAAAGTTATTTAAAGAAACCAATTCCAATTTCTGCACGTCAGAAAATTAATAGTAAATCAACAATCGGAACATGTTCAGCATCAAAAGTAAAGAAAAAAAAAAAAATAATTATCAGAGCTAATTTTTTTTCTTTTTATTTTTCATTGTAGTCATTAAAAAATAGAAATCATTTAATAAATAGTACAAAATTTTCATTATAGGCAGAATTACCGGAAAATGAAAATTTAGTACAACGTTCAAATTCAAAAAATCGTGCACGATCTTCGTCAATTGCAAGAATTACAAAGGCATCGAATAATTCGCAGAAACGAATAATTGAAAATCAATATTTAACGAAGAAAAATCGTTACAATGTCGTGCGAAGAGAAATGGAAAATAAGCACGTGAGTTTTTATTTTTATTTTTTGGTATAAAAATTCTTTTTCCAAACTTAATGAAATGAAAATAAAAAATTATTAATTATTTTTTTTAGTCAACATGTACATTTTTTCACTATATTAAAATAAGTGAAAAAAAAATTATTAAAAATTTTAATTATATTTTAAAAATAAATAAAAAAAAACGGAGGCAAAAGGAAAATTTTTAATTAAATAAAAACAAAAAATTTAATTGTTTATTTATTTATTCAATATACGAAACTAAAAAATGTAAATTGTAAAAAAAAATTATAAAAAATTCTTAATTATATTTTGAAAATAACTAAAAAAAACAACTGAGGGAATTGAAAAACTTTTAATTATAAATAAAAATAAAAAATTATAATAAAATACCTGTAAAATAAAATTATTAAAAAATTAAAAAATTTTTTTTTATTTAAAACAAGAAATTTTAATTATTTTTTAAAAATAACAAAATAAAAACTGAGGGAATGGGAAAATTTTTATTAATTGAAAAGAAAAAATTACTCTAAAATAAATAAATAAATAAAAAATTATCAAAAAAACTTAATTATATTTTAATTATATTTTGAAAAAATGCCTAGGATCTACTTTAATGTACAAAAGAAGTCTTTTCAGTCGATTTTTATAATTATTGAAAATTTTAGAAGGTTTTAAATTAAAATTTTTAGAAGTAATTTGAATTTCAAAAGATTTCAAATTGAAATTTTTGAAAATTTTTATTGCTGAAGATTTTTTTAATTTCAGTGAATAGTAAAATTTTACTGAATTTTAAACTAAAACCAGTTTTAAATAATTGTGTTTTTTTTAAGAACTTGATTGAAATTATTATTAACTATTAATATTAATTATTACTTACTAAATTATTAAGTTTAGATTTTTGAAAATAATTGAATTTCATGTGATTTTTAATTGAAATTTTTATTTCATTTTATTTTTTTATTTTATTTTCTCAAATTATCATTTTTTCAGAAATTTTAAACAATAATTGAATTTTTAACAAGTTTTAATTGAAAAATATTTTCAGATAATTGTATTTTTGAAGAATTTGAATTAAATTATTGAAAATAATTAATTTAGCAAAGAATTTTTGTTTGAAAATTTGTTAATTAATTAAATTTTGGAAGAGCTGCATTGTAAACGACAAAAAATTGTATTTTATTAAAAAATTTTGTAAAAATTTTATTAAAAAAATAGCAACTCATAAAAAAATCGAAAAGAGTAAAAAAATGTCGTAAAATTCGAGACCTGTGAAAATTATTTTTAAAAAAACTGAGGAAATAGAAATTTTTTTTTTTAATGAAAATAAAAAATTCTCTTTACTTTAAAAAATAAAAATGTATAAAATATTTTTTTTAGAAAGTTGCTATTGAAATGTATAATGAAGTATTACAATTACGTGAAAAAGTAATTGCATTGGGTGCAAAAGATCCCGGTAAACCGGATGAAATTGGTTTAATACAATGCACATCAGAAAAAGAAAAACGTTTCGATTCACAAATACCAATTCAAATTGAATCAACAATTATCAATAATATTCCTGAATGTGATATTAATAATGAATTTATGGAAAATATTGAATTAAATTTACAATCAATTCCAAATAGTTTAACGGAATTTTGTAAAAAAGTTTTAAACGATCGAATGGAAATTGTCACATGGGTTATGGAATACGATCATCAAGATTGTGAAAATGATTTTGCATTAAATGAAAAAATTGAAATATTTCGCAACGAGGATAATGAATTAATTGAAAAATTAGAGAACACAAAGAGGGAACAATTTGAATTGATTGAAAATTTAACGAAAAAATTTGAATCACTTTGGATTGAATGTCAGAGTTATAGGGAGAATTTTAAAAATTCCAAAAATAATGAACAAAATTTCATTGAAGTGGAGAAATTAAAAAATTTACTCAATAGTGAAATGGAAAAATCACAAAAACTTAAGGAGGGAAAAAGTCATGTTGAAAGTCAAATGACAAAATTGAGAAGTAAATTGAGAGATTTTGAAATACAAGTAAATAATGGTGAGGGAAAAATTAATCAATTACAAAATTCTGTTGAACAATTGAAATCACAATTAAAGCAAAAGGAAATATTTTTGGAACAACAAACAAAGGATGTGCAAAAAAGTGCAAGAAGCAATAAGAGTGCTATCAATAAATTGGAGAGTCAAAAGGAAAATCTCGAATCACGGTTTGTTTGTTTTTTCATTTTCAATTTTCCAAAAAAAATTGGAAAAAAAATATATATATTTTTCCCTACTTGATGAACATTAATAGAAAATAATTTTTTGAAATTTCAATTTTAAAATAGTAAAAATTACAAAATGGTTAAAATATTTTTTTTTTCCAAACTGTAATAAATAGAAAAATTATTTATTCTGATTAATTTTGCAGAAAAAATGAGCGTTTGTAAATTTGAATGAGTTAAAATTTTACTGCGGTCGTTCTTGATAATTTTTTTTTTTTTTTTTTTTTAAATAATTTTTACAGTCTTGCCAGTTTGACGGAGGAGTTGTCGAAAAAGACTAATTCTTTTGAAGCCGCTCAAAAGACAATGAATCAACTCGAAGAGAGAATAAAAGAACTTGACCGAGAAAAACAATTGAGGTATTTATTTAAATTAAAATTTAACTTTAATTTATAAAAGCTAAAAAATTGTTTGTTTTTTTTTTTAATTTTTAAAACTATTTTTCATCAATTTTTCTTGGAGACTTAATCGATTATATTTTAAAAATGTAATATTACAAAATATATTTTTTTAATTTAGAAAAATTATTATTATCATTATTATTATTATTGTATTCTATTATATAAAATATTTATGGCATTATTGTAATTTTAGATTGCAATTAGAGGCTAAATTAGTAGAATTAAAAGAATACAGTGCAAATTTGGAAAATGAAAATAAAGAACTGACGTTAAAAGCGGAATCATTGGGTCATTATTTTTTGTTCATTTTTATATTATTTTAACAAACTTTTAGAATATACAATGAAAAATTTTTTTTATTTGATTTAAATAATCGATAATTTGACTATTATCAAATATTTATTTGTAAAAATTATTTTTATTTGAATAAAAAAATAAAACTGTATTTAAACCAATAAATTTTGGTATTTGAAACCAATAAAATTTAATTATTACCTATTTATTAAATTAATTAATAAACGAAATAAAAATTATTTGCTTCAAGGAAATATTTATTTATTAAATAGTCAAGTAACAGATTTTATTTGAATGAAATTAAATTTTTTTTCATAGTATAAAATATTTAATTATTTTTTATTTTTCTTTTATATATATTAAAATTAGAATTGTGTGTAATATTTTTTCGTTTTTATATAGCCATTGAAGAATTAAATGAAACAAAATTATGCAATGAATTGGAAGATGCAAAATCGACAATTTTAAAGCAAGAGGAAAGAATCGATCAGCTACATAGAGAAAGAGTAGATTTAATAGCCGCCATGAATCGAGTATCTGTAGGTTGTTTATAATTAAAAATTTCCAACATATTTAGAAAACTCCCAAAAAATTGTATGAAATTATCGTTAATGTTTTTTTCAATCAAAAATAGAAATTAAATTTTTTTTTTCAATCATTTAATATAATTTTTAGATATTTATACTTTCATATTCAAAATTGTGAGAGAAAAAAAAAATTGTTGTTTTTCTGATTAATGTTTCAGGAACAGGAAGTAATTGAAGAGAAACAAAATCAATTAATCTCAGATTTATTGAGGACAACGAATGAATTGAAAAATTTTAAAGAAGAAAATGTTCAATTGAAAAAGAATCTTAAAACTGCGTAAGTAATATGAATTTTCTTCATATTTAATCAGTTTTTATTTATATATTCGAATTTTATTTAACATAAGAAAAATAAGGAGGAACATAATAGAATTTTAAAGTTTTTTTTGTAATTAATTTTCTATATTATAAAAGGATATAAATATTTGGATTTATTTTGATTTTTGCTGCTTTAGGAAAGTGATAATAATTAATAGTTTAATGATGAAATTATCTATTAATTATACTTTTTAAAAAAATAAATTCAAGTAAAAATAAAAAAAAATAATAAATAAAAGAGTAGATCAAAAATAAAAATTTATAAAAAAATAAGTGAAAAATAAAAAAAATTTCCCATACCGGGAATCGAACCCGAGCCTCCTGGGTGAAAGCCAGGTATCCTAGCCACTAGACCATATGGGACTTGGGAGATGAATTTTTTTAGCCAATAAAGAGGAAGCGTTTAAAAAACAAATTAATTATTTCGACAAAAAGTGTTGAAAAAAAGGAAACCTTGTGTGGCCAGGAGCGTATGCACTAATTATGAAAAGATTTTGTGCATTTTTAATTTCTATTTTAATTATAGTTGTTTCTATTGTTTTTATTTGATTAGTTGTTTTTAAATTTATTTTAGTAAATTTTATGCTATCTTTTATAACTATGGCAGTTCCCCCTCCATGATCAGAATTTCTGTCGTCTCGTATTATATTTTAATTTTTCAATGTAGAATTGTGCTTTTTATTTAATTTTGTTTCAGAGATCAATGTTATATCGGGTTTCATATATTTTAAACTAATCCACTCTTTGTTATTTAAATTGTTGTCCATAATAGACATATTCAATATTTAATTTTTTACAGGTAACTTTCGTCATCTCAATATTTTTGTCCAGTTTTTCATTTATTGTTTTAAGTTCCGATGTAAAGAACTTAAATATGTCATCTTTGAATTTGTCTAATACGGTCCTCAATTTATCTTCGGTATCATTATTATTATTTTCTATATTAATACCCACATTAGTATCATTTTCGTTTAATTTTTTAATTCCATTTTTATTTGAGGTTATGTTGGCAAATATCAAGGTATCCTAGCCAGTAGACAAATTATAAAATCAGTTTATATACTTTTTGTAAATATTAAATTATTCGTTCATTTTCACCTCTAATAATATTTCTCGGACGTTAAAGATTAAATAAAAAATTATAAAATCATTTTTAAGATAATTAAATTATTAAAGAATAAAATTTTGCAATTTTTTTTTAAATTTTTTAATAAATAATAAAAGACCACTCAGAACGCCCAAACTCCCATTACCTTCTGCACAAACTGCAGAAGACGAACGATCCTCGAGTACTGGAAAGATCGATGAAAAAATCGATCTCGCCAGCAGTCTCTCACGCTCAGAGAGAAGAGCTACTGCTCATCATCGTGGCTGCATCGACTCCACTTTTGGGTAGAGAGGACGTGAAGATATACTACAGAAATGATCCTGTGAAGTATGATCTTGTCTTTTCGTTGTTTCGCCACGACTACTTATACTATTTTCTCCGCATCTCGCTTGTGAGAGTGATTCAGACAAGCCCTCTGTTGAGCGCCATTTCAACTATCATGCTTGACCTCCCACTTGCTGCGTTCTCATTGGTTTAACTTTTTCCCGCGTTCAAAAATTTAATTTTGAAAAATTAAATACTACAATATTTCATTTTTTAATTTAATTGAAATTAAAAAAAAAATTATTTACCAATAATTTTGTAACAAATTGTAATTAGGGATTTTTTTTATTATATTTTTAGTCTTAGTAAGTTGATTGTTGAAATTAGTAATTTTTTTTTCTAAATAAATGGAATAATAAAATTATTTTTAATTTTCAAATTACAATAAATACAAAAATTTTACAAAATTGTAAAACAATTTTTTTTTTGGGTTGGTAATTTTTTGAGTAATTAATTAATAAAAAAAAATAATTTTTCTATTAGTGTGACCAAGGGAGAAATGGTTCAGAAACAATTACTTGAATTACATTCTCGTCTGCAAAATCAATGTAAAGAAAATGGAAAAGCCGATTGGAGTGCATTTATAATTGATTTACAACAACAGAATTCGGATTTAAAATGCACTCTTACTGATTTTGCAAAGAAAAATAAAAAACTCGAAGCTGAATTATCCCAAAAACAAATTGAACTCGAGTGCATTCAACATAATCAAGGTAAAATTCTCAAAGCAAGAGACGAGATGAAAAATCATAATAATAATAATAATAAGCCATCAAATCAGAATGAAGAGAAAAAAATTGAACACGACTTAAAACAACCGGTGAGTTAAAAATATAAATCTTATTAATATTTCTTTTTCGATTGAAATTTTTTTTTTTCATCAAAAATTAAAATTTTAAATTAAAAAAATTATAAAATAAAAATTTTTTAATTAAAATACAAAAAATATATATTTTATATATATAGAGCACATCAAAAGCGGAGGATCTTCAGGAAATAATTTTAGCTCTCGAGGGTAAACAAATGCGAATAATGCAATTGGAAAAAATGTTAAAACAAATGGAGGAACAACAGGATAGAGCACAAGCACAAAGAATACGTTTAGAGAGTCGAATTGCACAATTAGAAATGTCAGCTAAAGAAAAAACAAATCGGTATGTCGAGGACAATAATAATAAAAATAATGCGGCTCTTAAAAAATTTCCAAAATCCCCATTAAAAATTATCTCCCCTCATCTTTCACAAACCACAACTAAAAATTTATTTCAAGAATTACAAATTTCCTCATTAGGACGAAAAAAAATTTCCAATTCGCCTAAAACTATTATTAATAATAATAATAATAATAGTAATAATAATGATAATAATAAATTATTTGTTAATCGTTCGATTTTAAAATCACGAATTAAAAATTCCCCACGTTTTTTTGAGAAGGAAAAAAATTCTTCAAATAATTATAATATTGAGCGATTAAAAGGAGGTGGAAAATCATTGAAAAATTCTCAATTATTGATGGCAACTACAGCGAATACTGCTCAAGTTCTAGCCTATCAAATAAAAAAAACTCAATATGATTGGTTATTAAAGCCTTTAGCGAGTCCTAGATTTTCATTGAATTTAAATAATAATAATAATAATAATGATGATAATAATTCACCAACTAGAGAATTTCATTCATCTAGAAATAAAATATTGAGAAAAAAATATGTTAAATGCAATCGAAAACGAAGTCAAAGTAAAGAATCAATATTTCGTGGTTATAAAAAGAGAACATTTCGATTTAATCGACCATATTGTGATTATCAATCGCCACGAAAACAAACACCATCTATTCGTGTTCGACAATATACTGTATAGGGAATTATTTACATTTTTGGCAAATTTTAATTTTTTTTTAAAGTCTCTCGGAAAAATTAGAATTGGAATTTTTTTTTTTTTCAATAGGGAGAAATAATTTTACACTTGTGGGAATTTTTGTGGTTTCGAATTAATTATCGAATTTCAATTTAGCAGAATTTTATAAAATATTTTTTTACTAAAAATTATACCGAATTTTCATATCGAAGAATTTTTATTCAATTAAATTCTGATTTAAAAGAATTAAGCAGAAATTTTATATTTTATAATTTTTTTAATTTTATTCTAGTTTGGCGAATTTTTTATTTAACAGAATTTATATTTAGGAAAATTTTCATAAAAAAAAAGAAATTTTTTATTTAATATTTCGGTCAAATTTTGTACAAATGAAAGTTCTGTAAAAAAATTCGTAGTTTTAAAAGTTTAATAAAATGTGAATTTCGGTAAAATAGAAATTCACAAATTTAAAAATTTTGTTGAATAAAAATTTTTTCTTTCTTAATATAGATAAGTAAAAATTGTTCGTTGTGAAAATTTGATCTTCCTTTTTTTAATTAATTAATTTATTGTAAGTATAATTTTGTTGATTATTTTTTTTGTTTATAAATAAAATTAATAAGTATAAAATTCTATCAAAACAATTGTTTTTATAAACGAAAAATTTGAAAAAAATCTTGAAAAAACTATGTTTAATTTTTGATTTGATATTTTTTACGTTACCAAACAAAAATATAAAAATATTACGAACGAAAAATATATTAAAAATTTTTTTTAGCAATTTCAAAAAAAAGTTCAAAAAAATTCGTGTAATTCAAACTAAATTTTATTAAGAAAAAAAAGAAAATGCAATTATTCAAAGAAAGTACAAAATTTACAAAAATACAAATATTCATAAAATTTCATATTTACTTTGAATTTCTCTCCACGGTATTAATGAAATAAATTATTTTTAAATTTAAAAATTCGATTAAAAAAAAAAAATTTAGTTAAAATTCTATTAAATGAAAATTTGTGTGTTTGAATAAAAAAAATTTAGTTGATTTATTTAACACTTCAAAAAAAAAAGAAAATACTAAAATGTCCAATTTTATTTTAAAAAAATAGTTTTTTTAAACTATCTAAATTTTTTATATCACTTAACATAAATATTTTTACCGAAAATAATAATTATAATAATGACCGCATCTGGTCTGCTTTAATATAGGCTAGGTACTTCTTGCAGTGTCGCTGTATTTTTTTAAAAGGAATTCTGAGAAATTAAAAAATTCCTTACAGGAGTGCCTAGTCCTTGAAAGCAGACTTGAGAGCGTGTTGCAATATTAAAAATCTAAAATTTTTTTCTTTATTTTATAGGAGCAAAACGTTCAGTATCCTGTAAGGAATTTTTTCATCAAAAACAAAAATTTGTCCAAATTTTATGTAAAATTTTATCTTGTTTTGTTGTTAAAATAATGATGAATTAACCGCGTGCAATTTGGGGAAAAAGTTTTTTTTGTGCGTGTTTTTTTTTAATGAATGTTTATAAAAGTTTTATTTGTAGTGGCTTTTATTTTATATGCATTCTTACAAAAAAAAAAAAAATAAATAAATGTAATATTTTTAAAAACATGCTTTTCGTTATTTTGATTAATATTTCTTGTTAATTTGTTCGATTTTTCATTTTCTCGTTCTATTTTTATTTTTTTTTTTGCATTTTATTTCGTCGAAATTTAATCCTAATTCGTGTATGCATTCAAAAATTCTTCATAAGTTATTTCATCTATTAATTATTAACATTTTTTTATTTTATTATTACTTAAATTTGTAATAATTTTTATTTTTATAATTTTATTACCAAAAATTTCGATTGAACCCATTTTTTGTTCATTGTAAATGTTTAAAAATTTAAAAAAAAATGATTTGTAAAATGTTAGTAAATTTTGAATCTTAGTTCATTTCTAGTAACATTCTTTTTTTTTACAATTATCGAATTTTGTAATAATTTTCCAGACATTGAAATTAAATATCTATATTTTATTTTCAATAATACAAGTTTATCGATATAAATATTGTGAAAAAATTGAGAAAAGAATTTCTACAAAAAGAAATTGAAAATTTGTTTTCAAAAAATAAAAAAAATGGCAATGTCTGATAATAAAGATAATTGCAAGAAAAATTGTATTTACAAAATTTTAAATTACGTTCTTTTTTTTTTATCAAAAACGTAAAATAGATTAGATACAGTAGATTTAATGAAAATCAATTACTATCCTCTTCACTGTCAGAATAAGCACCCAATAATGAAAGTCCACTTGGTTTTGTAATTTTATTTTCTTCAATACTTTGTTTAATTTCAATATTCTTTGTTTTATCAACTGTTTTAATAATATCAACTTTTCTCTTTACAAATGTTGATAATTTTGCTTTACTCAAACTTCCTTTTTTATTTTCCACAGCTAAATTTTTCCCACCCATTGTAGACGTTGATGTTTCATTTGTATCGTGCTTAAAAAATTTCTCCTTTGGCTCATAATTCTCCTCTAAATCAACAATTTCCTCTTCGACAACAGTTAAATTATCATTATTATTCTTCTTTTTAAATATCGATTTTACATATTCCTCATCGAGTTCCTCTTGTTCTTTTTCTGTTTTTAAACGTTCTGATTTTGTATCATATTGATCCAACATTTGTTCATAATCAATTGTTTGTTGTCGACGATTTAAATCCTTGAGCTCTTCCAATGATTCTAATACTTCTAATTCATGTTTTGATTGTTGTGTACGTTTTTCTAATAATTTCATTGGATTTGTTGCTTCCTCTTCACGTTCCTCGTCCTCTTCTCTTTGCGCTTGTTCCTCGGCTAATTTTAATGCCATAAAATTACGCGATGCACCGGCTTCAATTTCATAATCCGTATTTCTTGGATCAGTTTTAAATGAAATTTCCTGCAGGCAACGTGTACATTTTATGTAAAAACGATAAATTCTTATGCCCAAATAATCCTCACCCTCAACATCTTCTTTGCGTGCATTAAATTTTTTTCCTTTATAAATATATTCACCGCATGTTTTACAACGCATATTAAATGGTGCCATTAATCGTACTGTATATTGACGATTTCGAGCCAATTTCATACGAGGTATTTTCGATGGATCAAAATCAGGCGGATAGTATTTCTGCAGAAAAAAAAGAAACATTACATTAAAGTGTAAATATTTTCTTGTCAAAAAAAAAAAAAAAAAAAATGAAAGAAAAATTCTGAGGAATAAAATTAACATAATTTTTCTCTTGATTATTTAAAAAAAAAAAATATCTATTGATAAATTTCAATTAACTTTTGTGTTTTTTTGCACAACGGTAGGAGCGTATGATTATTCTTTAAAAATGATTTTTCACATAAATTTTTATTTTACAAAATAGCATTGAAAACAGATTTATTTTTTTAAACAAATGTTTACTCAACATAATTTTCAAAGTATCGAATTTTTATTAGACAGGATTTTTATTTTTGCAAAATTTCTCTTCCAAAATTCAATTATTTCTAAAATTTGTATCTAAAATTCATTGCTAAATTAATAATTTCAATCAAATTATTCAAAAATTCCAATTTTTTTTTAATTAAAAATTCTCTAAAATTCAATTACTGTTTGAAACTTTGTTAATAATTTTTATCAATTCTAATTTACTAAAATTTTAATTCAAAATCTCCTGAAATTGAACTATTATTAAAAATTTTGATTCAAAATTTTTTGTTGAAATAATTATTTCTAATAAAATCAAAATCTTGGAATTTCAATTATTTAAAACATTTTTGAATTCAAAATAATGTAAAATTTAATAATTTTCTGAATTTCGATTAAATTAGAATTATTTTAAAAAAATATAAAAATATAAATAATCCGTGAATAAATTTCAAAAAAAAAAAAAATTATAAACAAAAATTATTCTCAAATAATTTTTGAATTTTTTTAAAAAAAACGTTGAAAAAATTACGATTGTAGAAATAATGTTTCAATAAATAAAATAATTTTTTTTTTTTTTTTTACAAAAATTCGATGAAAATTACAATTATTTTCATAGATGAAAGAAAAATTAAAAACTAAAATAGTTTGAAATTAATTTTTATTAAATTATTGCATTAAAAACAATTCTTTATTTTGAGGTTATGTTACTGTCACCACTCTTTAAAAAAATTCTTTTTAATATTTAAAATTTTTTATTTTTAAAAAAAAAATATTTGAAATTAATTTTTAAAATTAATACTAAATAATTTATTAAAATATTTATATATAAAAATAAATATTGTATTAAAATTTTTCTATATAATTTTTTACCGCTAATAATTAACAGTAAATTTAATTTAAAGTAAATCATTTTTTCTTTAAATTAAAAAAAAACAATTATGTACTTACGTTTAAAACTTTTCGTTCCGACATTTTGTTGGTGTTTTTTTCAAAAAATTTGTGTTAAAAATTTAAATAAACGTAGAAATTTGAGGTTAACTTTCGAAGAATTTTAAAGTAACGTTAATCACTTATGTTCAGCACTAAACTTTAGACATTTTCAATATAGTTTAATATTTATTTATAAAACATAATTGTAATTTATATTATATATATTTCACTTCATGAAAATTTAAAATAATTTTTTTTACAATCTTACACGTCAAATGTGAATAGTAAAATAATAAACAACAGGGTTGGGAAGGAAGATTAATTAATTTCACTTGCACCATGATGTAATTAAACTCGTGTGGAAGGGAAAGTTTCTAATATTGTAAACGAAAAGCTTCTCGTGTTTGCCATCAAGACGAAGAGCGCACTGATCGAATTTACATGTATCGAGCGACCCAAGAAGACTAGAACCAGGAGAGACGATTGTACACGTTTATCCAATCCATGTTTTCCACTAATCTTTTTTTCCACAAATTCTTTTTTCCACTACCTTCTTTTTCCACCAATTATATTATCCACACATATTGATTCCGCTAATTTTTTTTACCACAGAAAAACTTGACAAAATATTTTAGAAAAAAATAATTTTTTTTGAAAGGAGTAAATCTAGATCATCTAAAATTGTTTGAAATTAATATTTATTATATATTTGTTTGCGTTAAAAACAATTTTTTAGTTTTGACAGGTTTTTGACGTTATGTTTACCCTCCACCCTCCTTAACCTAAAATTGTCTACTTGGAGAATTTAGATGATAATTTATTTTCTAGGAAAATAAAAAAATATACATGAATGTTATTGGCGACAAACTTAAAGAAAGGTGTTAGTCTTTGGTACTCTAACCCAACTAAGAAGACCGTCCCACCGTTAACCAAGCTATTCGTTCCCTACCCACTACTATAGTTCGCTCTCCTGGTTCTAGTCTTCTTGATCCAGCTCCTCAAATGGTATTTCTGATATTTGAATTTTAAGGCGCTTGTATACCTCACCAATCCCGAGTATATTTCTGTCGTGTACTGCATTGGAGTAAAAGAAACAAAAGATATTTCCGTCTCTTTTACTCCAATGGTACACGACGCAAGTATACTCGAAATCGGTGAGGTATACAAGCGCCTTAAAGGCCTTTCTCCAATAGGTTCCTAAATGTTTGCGTTGTGTGACTGACGCGTTGGTCCGCAAGCGCAGTGACGTCATCAAAGCATTGATACCAATCGCGAACAAAAAATTTGGTTTATGTTCCTTTTATTCCAGTTTTTCAACTTTACAATTTTTAATGCAAATGTTTCTCGACGGCTTTTAATAATTTTAATTATTTAATATTTATAATTAAAAAAATCAGTGTCTTAAAATCATAAACCAAACTTTTTGTTCGTGATTGGTATCAATGCTTTGATGACGTCACTGCGTTTGCGAACCAACGCGTCAGTCACGCAACGCAAACATTTAGGAACATATTGGAGAAAGGCCTAATGCATTCGTAAACGTAGAACCAACTTTATGCTGACTCTACATTGGCTGCGCAAACGTGTACGTGAATGTGAACGTGCTGACGTCACAATGTTATTCAAATGGGTGACGTCAGCACGTTCACGTTCACGTACACGTTTGCGCAGCCAATGTAGAGTCAGCACTAATATGGGAACCAATGCGGTATACAACGCTTGTTCCTAGGGTCCCATTGGAGACGCACCATTAGGAGATTTTCTTTCCTCTTGCAAAAACCTACCGTGGGACTCCCCCCCCTCTACTATTGTTTTTGTGTTTTCCAGCAATATTTTTTCCTAATCTCCTATACACGTTGTCGAACATTCGCTTGTTTCTTGGCTGTTAATGTTAAAGTTTTAATCAAAAAGATTCTTCTAAATTAATAAAAATGAAAAACAAATTATACATTTATTTTGCTTTATTCATAATTTCTTGTGGATATGAAAGCACATGTGAGGAGTTAATTTTGAAACCAGAGACGCCGAAAGACAGTAAGTATACAATTTATATAAAAATACATAAGAATTTTTTTTTAAATATAGAAAATTATTGCATTTTTATTTTAATTACGATAATGTATAATTATGACAAAATTATTTTCTTATACTAATTTTTTTTTCAAAATTAATAGTTTCTTTTTCATAAATTTACATAACCTTTATTATTTTTATATATAAATCACTTCAATTATCTTACATTTGCGTATTTTACTTTTGTTTTATCAACTTCTTTCAAAGAGTTATGACTTACGAATATATTTTATTTATATGCGCATTTTTCTTTTTGATAAGAGAGTATAGCCAGTTATCTAATTCTTATTTTGAGATAAAATTCGCAAAAAGAGTTTTAAATTATATAAAAACTAATTGTTTACCAATTATTTAATTTTTTTAAATTTTGAATTATCAAAAAAAAAAAAAAAAATTATTCAAGTCAGTGCTGAAATGGTATTTCAATAATCAAAAATTTACTTATATAAAATTATTATAAATTATTTGAAAAATTATAAATTAATAAATATTATCTAATTGGCATCTTAAAACGAAAAAAAATTTAATAGAATTTAATTTTTTTATTTAACCCTCAACTGGCATCATGGGTCTAGTTGACCCAAGCATTTTTTTCAGCTCAAATTAATTTAATGTGTAGCTTTTGAATATTTTTTTTTATATTTTAATATATATTAGTTTGACATAAAAATTTTGCACAAAAATTTGTTTGTTAAATAATAATTAATAAATATTTTGTATTTTTTTTTTAAAGTTATTGAACAATTGTAATTTTTATGCAATTTTTACACACAATAGCTCATTTTGTTCTTTGAAAGATTTTCTACAATTCTGATTGTTGAATTTCATTAAAAATATTTTGTTCAAAAGTTAATAAAAAAATAAAATTTTTATTTTTTTATATTTTTTAAACGAACCATTATTTAACAAAAACACAAAATCAGAATTGTAGAGAATCTTTCAAAGGGAAAAATGAGTTATTGTTTATAAAAATTATAATTGTTCATTAACTTTCAAGAAAAAATATAAAATGTTTATTAATTTATTATTTAACAACAAATTTTAACTCAAAATAATTTTTTTCAAAAATTTTACAATTGGATCTACCCACACAGCACCCAAAATTCCATGAAACTTGACAGAACCTCGATGTTTAAATGTCCACATGAAAAGAATATTCATACGAATCTTTGAGGAAATATTACACTTAAATATTCACGTGCAATGTTCAGTCAATGTTGTGTCAATATTGAATTTACATTTTCGCCTAGTTATAAAAATTTCACTTACTAATATATAATAAGTATAGATGAATATATTGACACAACATTGACTGAACATTGCACGTGAATATTTATAGTGTAATATTTCCTCAAAGTTTCGTGTAAATATTCTTTTCTTGTGGACATTTAAACATCGACACAAACTTGTATGAACCCCTTGCCACTGAAATTTCCTAACCTTGTCGTGTGAGGCTCTGTCAAGTTTCAGGAATTTTTGGGTGCTGTGTGGGTATCGAATTTGGGTGTAATAAATTTTAAATATATTTTTAGTTTTGTTAAAAACTACGTTTTAGTTTGAGGTAATGTTAATTATTTTTTTTCTAAAATCTCCGCCATATTGGATCCGCCATTTGGAATTTTTAAAATCTAAATAAATTATGAGCAGGGATTTTATAATAATTAATAATTTAGGGATTTTAGAATTGAATTTTAATACCTTTTTTTTAAATTTATAATTTGGAAAAGAGAGTACTATTTTATATAAATCATTTTGCAGATGATAAAAAGTACATAATTTCATTGTCAAATTACGATGAAGAAGATCCTAAACCACAGGAATTTAGTAATCAGGATTTTATACCCGCAAATAGCAATGTCACATTTCTTGTAACTGACATTCCTAAATTTATTTCGTTTATAATTTTTCAAATTCACTCATTTCAGAGTAATGTTACTCTTTCATATAGCGAGAAAGTATCAGTTTCTAATGATAGTATATCTGGTTCAAATATTGGATTGTATTATAATACTAATGGTAAATCTTCCATTAACATGTATGTATTGAATAATAATAACAAAACAGTTGAAGCACTTTTTGTTGTTTTATCATACAAAAATGACGGTAAGTTAAATTTATTATTAAATTAACTTTTTTTATTTAAAATTTTCATTTATTTATTTCATATTAAAAATTAATTATCCAGCTCCAATTCCTGGAGGATGTAACATGGAATTTAATATGGAAATTTCACCATTTCAAAAAGTATTTGTTACAAATTCAATGATTTTTGTTGATGCTCAGGCATCATCTGCGCCGATTAAAAAACAAAATATTTCTTGTGACAAAAATTTAATTGAACACGATGCTTATCATTTTTTTCTACCTGGACAGGATTTCACTAGTGAAACATATTTTTCTGCCATAAAGAAATTATTGACACCTGAAAATATTATGCGAAACGGTGTTAAAGTGAGCTGAAAATAAATGTGTTTTTTTTTAAATATGATTTTGATGTAAAATTTTTCGTTGATTTTAATAGAGAAACTTGAAGGAAATTAAGTAATTATTTTTTAGATTCCCAAATCATTAATTGGTTCATCAATGAGAAGAGTTTATAGTGCATATCCAGGCGTTGGTTCTGTCTATGCAATGGTGGCAACATACAAAAATCAATCTGCTGCATACGTGCCATCTTTTACTTATGGTTGCTCCTCCAATTCTTTGGATGATTGTGGTTCAATGCTACGTATGTATTGTTTTTAAGCGTAATTTAGTTTCAAATTAATCAAAACTATAATTCTGTTTAGTTTTCCATTATAGAAACCATTATTTTTAACACTATAACTACCGACGGGGTCATTTTGTCCCTTTTATCGGCATGTTTATATTTATATATTTTCCGTTATTAATTGGAATAAAATTTATTAAGTAATAATTGAGTGTACCAATAATGATAATATTAAATTTAAATAGTAATATTATGAAAATAAATCACGGATCAACACAGAATCAAAATAAAATTCAAATATACTTTTGTTTCGGATTAAGTTATCAGAATTAAAAATCAGTATAAGTTCGTATACTAATTTCACAACAACCCTTCACTGGAAATTCTCCAGGACTTTCCTAATATTTCTAAATAAAAATAACACAGGCCAACAAAATTTGATTCAATTTACTTTCCAAGAATTTTCCTAAGATTTTCGACGTGCTGAATCCGAATCCGGCCTCAGAATTGACCATGTATACACGGAAAAAAAGAAAAAGTAATTTTTACTACTTTCATAGTAAAATTGGACCTGTCCGAAGTTTCTGCGCATCTCTGGCAACTTTTACTCAAAAAATAGTAAAATTTACTATTTTTGTAATAATTTTTACTATTTCTGGAGTAAATTTTACTATTTCTGGAGCAAATTTTACTATTTTTGGAGTAAAAGTTGCCATAGATGCGCAGAAACTTCGGACAGATCCCATTTTACTATGAAAGTAGTAAAAATTACTTTTTCTTTTTTTCCGTGTACGTCAGGTTGTCGAGTTATTCTAAACCTTAAAATGCACAAAAGCTGTTTAACTACATCTGAGGACATGCAACATCAAGAGATAATTTTTCTTCCCAAAAGATCAATATTGCATCTGAAAGTGCTATTCTTCCCCTTTAAAACCCATTTTGAAATGGGTCTCTGAGTAATCGTTCATTTAATTTTCTGGAGTATGTCGAATTCTTCGATATTTAAAAAAAATCGTCATATTGGATCCACCATTTTGAATTTTGAAAATTTGACATCGTATTCAGTTATACCGAAAATCTGCAGAACTATTTGAAATTTAGATGTTTGTAGTTATATTCTTCTGTATTATCGAAGTTTTATCTGTCACAGTTTTCCTAAAAGTCTCAAATTGAGACCAAAAATTGCATCAAATCTTTGCAACGTTTTGATGCACATAAGTTATATCAAAAAGAGATCGTTTTGTGTATCATTTTTAGAAATGATACACGAAACGGTCTCATTTTTTGATGCAAAAAATTTAATCAATTTATATCAATCATGGCCGAATTGAATCGACTCAAAATTGAACGAATTTTTTTCAGATATTTTGGTAATAGTACTATTGCGGAGACCATTGCACTATTTAATTTGAATATGAAAATAACAGAAAATCAAAGACAATGTGCAATTCGATAATTAAAAAGTGACAGCTTATAAACATAACCTAAAATGCATGAGAAAAAATTTGTCGATAAAATCAATATAGCCGAGCTTTTTAGAAGGTAGATGGCAGCACTCATCTATTTTCTTTCTTTAAATTTTTTCGGAATCGTTTTTATAAAAAGCAAAACTGCCATCTACCTTCTAAAAAGCTCGGCTATATTGATTTTATCGAGAAATTTTTTCTCATACATTTCAGGTTATGTTTATAAGCTGTCACTTTTTAATTATCAAATTGCATATTGACATTGATTTTCTTTTTTTTTCATATTCAAATTAAATAGTGAAATGGTCTCCGCAACTGTACTATTACCAAAATATCTGAAAAAAATTCGTTCAATTTTGAGTCGATTCAATTCGGCCATGATTGATATAAATTGATTAAATTTTTTGCATCAAAAAATGAGACCGTTTCGTGTATCATTTCTAAAAATGATACACAAAACGATCTCTTTTTGATATAACTTATGTGCATCAAAACGTTGCAATAGAAAAAGAGACAACCAAGTTTACTGTGGTTCCTACACGGTGAGCTTGGATGATGTTCAACCCAAAAGTTAATGAACATCGCCATTTTCTTTTTTATATTCTTTGGGGAGTTCTTCTGGTTATTTTAAGACCAAAATGAATATAATCGATGGAAGGAAATTAAAATTATCTTGATTTTTAACTTTTTTAATAGTGATTTTAAATGATTTATCAAAAAAAAACTTTATTTAAATTTTTTTCTTAATGCAAAACATGTATTTTGTTATTAATAAAGAATTTCTACAAGAATTAGTCGATTAAAATATTTTAAAATATTAATTTTTTTAAAAATTGATGAAAAACATGGCTTTTTTACGGTTTTTTGAAAGTAAAACTTCTATTATGCATTTCACACTAAAATCGTAAAGAGTTGAATTAAAGTACATAAAATTTTCTGTAAAACGAAACAAAATAGAAAGAAAATGTTCACTTTCATGTCAAATAACAAAATTTGAAATTATTTAAAATCACTATATTAAAAAAGTTAAAAATCAAGATAATTTTAATTTCCTTCCATCGATTATTTTCATTTTGGTCTTAAAATAACCAGAAGAACTCCCCAAAGAATATGAAAAAGAAAATGGCGATGTTCATTAACTTTTGGGTTGAACTTCATCCAAGCTCACCGTGCTACTATTCAGTTTTGGAATATCAAAGAGTTCGCCATACTCAGAAAATTAAATGAAATCATAGAAAAATGAAGATTTTTAAAATTTTCAAAATGTGTTTTAAAGGGGGTAGGTTTTTTTTTTTTGCACTTTAAGGTTAGAATATCTTGAAACTCTGACATGCAGGGTCAATTCTGCGGCTGAATTCGAATTCAGGACATCGAAAACTTTTGAAAAAGTATATGGGCAAATCCACGGAACCGTACGATTTAATGACACAAATATGAAAATTTTTAAACTACGAGCACGCATTTTATTTATGGATCCATATGTTAGAAATATATTCAGGAACTATAATGTTTTTGAGTGAACCATTTTTCTTTAATGCTGAAAGAATTATAATTAAAAAACTTTTCGAAAATTTTATTTGTCAAAAATTTATATTTCACAATGAAAAACAAATGAAGAGTGTGCAATAAAAAAATGTATAAATTTAAAGTGATTCACGTTTGAAGGTATTGGCATAATTGAGGAGCCGGATCGTAGAACCGATTCTTCGCTCGAACTCACGCAGAAGTATTGTCCGCCCCTCCACTATACCATCAAATTTTAAAACTCATAAATAAAATATTTAAAAAATATTAGGTTATGCAGAAGAAAAAAATACATATTTTATCTATTTGAAACTTTTTTCTAAAATGTAATTTATTAGTACTAAAAAATGAAAACTGAAAAATTTTTTTTTCGAAAATAAATTACTTTTTAATAAATATATCGTCCTTTTTCGGTCAAATATTGACGAAATTTTATGAAATTTTGTAAGCATACACAATATACACAACAGAAGCCTACAAGCTATAAAAAATAAGAAAAATCACATTATTTATTTATTAAAAAATTTTAAAAGACGTCATTTACAAATAGAGGAATTTCACTTTTCAACACAAAAAAGTATGCGATGAATTTTCAAATTATGAAAACTTCTCGCGAGAAAGTTTTTCCTTTACTAATCAGGAAGTTTTTCCCACAATTTCAAACTGATTCGAATATAAATAAAGAAAATACGAGGAAAATAGCGAAACCGTACTTTCGTTCGCAACGAGAATGTAAAAAGGCAGCAATGTTTGTCGTCGCAATTACGTGTGTGTGTGTGCGCGCGTGACGTTGCGACGACAAACATTGCTGCCTTTTTACATTCTCGTTGCGAACGAAAGTACGGTTTCGCTATTTTCCTCGTATTTTCTTTATTTATATTCGAATCAGTTTGAAATTGTGGGAAAAACTTCCTGATTAGTAAAGGAAAAACTTTCTCGCGAGAAGTTTTCATAATTTGAAAATTCATCGCATACTTTTTTGTGTTGAAAAGTGAAATTCCTCTATTTGTAAATGACGTCTTTTAAAATTTTTTAATAAATAAATAATGTGATTTTTCTTATTTTTTATAGCTTGTAGGCTTCTGTTGTGTATATTGTGTATGCTTACAAAATTTCATAAAATTTCGTCAATATTTGACCGAAAAAGGACGATATATTTATTAAAAAGTAATTTATTTTCGAAAAAAAAATTTTTCAGTTTTCATTTTTTAGTACTAATAAATTACATTTTAGAAAAAAGTTTCAAATAGATAAAATATGTATTTTTTTCTTCTGCATAACCTAATATTTTTTAAATATTTTATTTATGAGTTTTAAAATTTGATGGTATAGTGGAGGGGCGGACAATACTTCTGCGTGAGTTCGAGCGAAGAATCGGTTCTACGATCCGGCTCCTCAATTATGCCAATACCTTCAAACGTGAATCACTTTAAATTTATACATTTTTTTATTGCACACTCTTCATTTGTTTTTCATTGTGAAATATAAATTTTTGACAAATAAAATTTTCGAAAAGTTTTTTAATTATAATTCTTTCAGCATTAAAGAAAAATGGTTCACTCAAAAACATTATAGTTCCTGAATATATTTCTAACATATGGATCCATAAATAAAATGCGTGCTCGTAGTTTAAAAATTTTCATATTTGTGTCATTAAATCGTACGGTTCCGTGGATTTGCCCATATACTTTTTCAAAAGTTTTCGATGTGTTTAATCTTTATAGATATATATATAATTTATAAAAGTATAAAATGTAATTTTCAAATTCATTCTTTCAAAATGAAAAAAAGGTACTGTAAAACTTTCACATTTACAATTGCATGACAATATTGTCAGCAGATGTTTGGTAACTGAAGTTTTTAATAAACAAGATTGTTGTTAATCCTTAAAAATACATCTTAGTTTCCCTCATAAAGATAGAAGAAAACAAATCTGTACCTCGTTCAGCAATAAACTTAAGGTACTTCTTGCCACCGGGATTAAGTTGTAAAATAGATATTAGAAGGACACATCTTTCAAACCTTTAGAATTCATAAATTCTATGTCTCTCTTCGTTTAGTTAAATTCTATCTCTTTTCATCCCACCACTTTTTCAAATATTGTACCCTTATAAAAACCCACCAAAACTTCGTTATAACCAGTCTGCTGTTGACCGTTCTGACGAATAGGAATATTTAAATTAAATGTTGAGTTAAAAATTAAATTTGGAGTTTTTTTATTTTGTTTATCCTCCCAAGAAATTCACTCCTTATTAGTTTAACGAGTGTGTGTTGTGAGTAAAAAATACATATATTTTTTTTTTTTTTTTTTAACTCATAGCACCAATACGATATTTAACACGATGTCCTGAATTCGAATTCAGCCGCAGAATTGACCCTGCATGTCAGAGTTTCAAGATATTCTAACCTTAAAGTGCAAAAAATTATTTCTGTGTATATTTTCAGCAAATGCACTATCAAAAACCGTATGTGCTTTAATGATCATTCTTGGTGGATATCTAATGTTCAATGGTCATATGACACCGAATGGTACAATTTTCATTTTTTCTTGTTTGGGAGGAGGCTTAGTGGGATATATTTTGTCAATTGTCGCAGGAACACTTGATCCATCAAGTAAGAAATAAAATTTTAAAAAAAGTAATGTTATTTCAATTTTTAAAAATATGTTTATTATGTTTTCTTAAAGATACAATATGGATTGCTATTGGTTCAGGTTTATTATTTGCATTGTTGTGGCAAATTTTATCCTGTTGCTTCTGCGGAGGAACATCAAGAATTTTTTCTAACATATTTTTAGCATTTTTCTTTTTCTGTATTGTCTACTACAAATTACCAGGTGCGAATACAAATCTTTATTTTTTTTATGCGAGGGATTTATAAACTACCCTACTGAAAATCCCTGTATAATTTCCTGTACAGGATAAGCAACTGAACTTGTACAAGTTCTGACCAGTTCCTGTACAGGAAAATGCATACGAATTTGGAACAAGTTCATGTGTGAGATCTTGTACAAGATCTGGTGCAAGATCTTGTACAAGAAAATCCTGTACAGGAAATTGTACAAGATCTTGTACAGGGATTTTCAGTAGGGTAACATTCCGCTTTTTTCCAATAAAATAATTTATTGTTTATTTTATAGATAGAGCACTCCCGTTTGAAAATGATTTTTACTTTTCGGCATTTTTATTCGCAATTACATTGCTTTTATTTATATTAATTTCCATAACCGTATGTCTGTCTGGTGTTTTATGTTGTTCGATTCTTGGTTCGTATTTATTAATCGTTGCTCTTGATTATTATATTGGATCAACTTTGAAGTACATTATTATAAATGTCATAAGACGAATTACCATTTCTGGTTTTGATGTAGCTATTATAAGTCCACCATTTGGTACACAAGGTAAATATATAGCACAAGAAAAAAATATTTGTACGTTACGGTTAAAATTCGAAGACCAGTGAATGTAAAAATTCTCTAGGTATTTACAATCGGTCGGTAATGTAGATTGCTACTTTACCGACTGATGGTAAAAATACAACTAAAGAAACTGCAATATCGACTGTTGATAAAATATTCCTAAAATAGTATGTATTGCATATAGTTGCCCAATATCTTCATTGGCAAAGCAGCGAACTGTATTACCGACTGATGGTAAATTCAGAAATTAACCGTAACATATGTATATAAATTATTACAAAAATAATTTTTACTGCATATTTTTGTACATATTTTGTAAGTATTTTTTAGATACTGAATCAATTTCTTTATTTTAGAAATTACACTCACGGTATTTTGGGTTATTTTTGCTTCAATATCAGTTTTAATTCAAATGAAAATTTGTTGTGGTAAAAGTGGATATTTAACCATACCCGTTGGCTACAGGGATAATTCTGGTAATGTTCATTTTGCACCATGGCGAGATAATTTTAGAGCTCATCGAAATCTTCGCAGAATGTATCGATAATTTGGATAACATGTGATTTAACCTTGAAGAAAACTTAATGTTTTTCTACACATTCATTTACGTTTTTTATGAGTTAAAATTTTTTTTTTTTTTTTCATGTTAGAAGAGGATTTTTTTTGTAGATAAATAGATAAAGACTAAATACGCGGTTTAAAAATGTTAAACCTAAAAACATGTTGAACTTATCCTTTTTAAATGATTCATACTCGTTCTAAGACTAAAATTTTTGTTAAGTAATATTAATAATTAATATTTTTAAGTAATATTGATATTAATTACAAAGATATGAAATATTTTCTTTATAACATTTTGAATATATGTGTGATAATGAGGATTTATTTTTCTTAAAAAATGTATTAACTTTGACTTGTTCTTTTTAAAAATACACAAGGTAATTTGTAGATTTTTATTTTATGGAGAAAAATTCACATATTGATATTATATTTTCTAAGACGTTAAATTTAATTTTCTACTTGAATGTATTTAATTAGTGACACATTTAAATTCATCATCTGATGGAATGACAGTTTTTGTCTGATGAAGAAAACACTCTAGTGGACACAATATTGGACAATTTGAAATCTGCATTTCTTTCATTTCTGAAGGAATTCCCAGGTAATACCAAATCTATTGTGAAATAGAAAATATTATTATAAAGAGAGATTTAAAAAAGTTAGAGAATATTTGGTTGCAATGTTTAATAAAGGTTAAATAAATATTAAAATTTCCGATTAGAGATGTAAATTAAATTTTAAGACGCAAAAGTTGACCTTTACTAAACATTGCAACTAAATATTCCGTAGTATGTTGACGTTTTGGTTAAGCTTCGCAAAAAAAAATTCAATCCTAACGTCAGCTACACGAGGGTGGTGGCTGCTAGAGCTACGAAAAAGGGAGACCTCCTGATCAAAATCAAAGATTACTCCAACAAGTTGGCTCCCGTATAGCACCTAAAATTTCAGCAATATTGGCAATATTTCTTAAATGTTTTGATTTCTACAATATTGCTGCAACATTAGAATATTGAGGAAATATTGCAAATGTTGATGCAAATTTAGGTGCTGTGTGGGCTTCTATCGCAAGAATTCGAAAAGCCAAAAAGCAAGTCTTGGGAAATTTTATTTATTTTGCTAATTATTAGAAATGTTGATTTTCTAAAACTTATTCTAATTGACTAAATATTGTCTACTTACTTTAATATAATATGTATTCTCTTGATGAAATAGTTCAAGTATTATTGCACTAGAAAATTCCGATATGTGCGATTTACCTAAATTTAAAGATGAATACAATGCTAAAATATTCATATCGTGACCGCTGTATAAATTTAATTTAGGATTAACTTTTGATGTTCGATTCTTTATTGCCAATATATTTTCAACAAATATCCGTATAAATGCCCCTAAAAAATTAAGAAAATAAATTTCCACCGTAGAAGTATTTAGCTCAGCATAAATTTCATTATTTTAATAATAATATTATATAAATTAGTATTCAGTTATAATATAATTTACCTCCATTAATTCTTTTTAGTTCATCATTGTAACTCATTAAATCAAAACTAGTAATTGCTGCATTAAGAAGATCATTTTGAATATGTGGATTGTTCGCCCATTGTGGAAGTTTTAATCCCATTGCTTTTAATGAAATTAAATTGCAATAAAGAATTCGTAAATGTGCTAAATCAGTTAAATTTTTCTTTGTATCATTTGTCATATTTTTTAGTAAATAATTAAATTTAGAAATTTTCTTTGATACATCGGATAAATTGAATATTTTTTTTTCTTCATTAACATATCTGTAAATATTCGTTTAGTAATTAATTTTATTTTCGGAAATGTTCTAAAAAGATTTTAGTTTATAATTGATAATTAATAACAAATACTTTTGACATGTTTCAAAACGACGAAATACATAATCCTTTGATGTTGGATGAATACTTCTAAATGGAATAGGCTGCCAATTTAAATCAGCTTTCCATTTTTGCATGGCATTAGGAGGATATAAACCAGCCAAAACAAGTTGTAAACTCATTTTTGTACGTTCAAAATCAGAACTATGAGATTTAACATCTTTTGATAAATAGGTGCTTCCAAGAAAATCATTATATTTGTGTCTAAGTGTTTCTCCAAGTTTAAAAGCTCTCAATTTACCATGCTAAAAATTAATTTAAATTCAATTAATGAAAATTGATAAAGAGAAATGTTTTATTTTTCTACGGATGGCCTAAAAAAGCAGCCATTAGAAAAATCAAATAAATAATTCTGAATTTTATTATTTACATTTGTTAATCCTCCAATACCAGTGGGAAAATAATCTTCTTTTGTGTATGGAATTCCTGGATAAAGTGTATCTGGTGTACGATCACCATGTCTGAATAACTAAAGAAAAGTTGAAAATTTTTTTTTGGCACGTTTTTTATTTTTATGTGGGTTTTTTTTTTTTTTTTTTTTTTTTTTTTTTTTTTTTTTTTTTTTTTTTTTTGGAGCGGAAACTTACCACATTCACTTGTTTTAATTGAAGTGTATTTTGCACACTAAGCGATACAAAATTATAAAACACAATAACACTAGTATAAAATTTGCATAACACAAGCATTTTTGTAAAATAAAAGTACTGTAACAAATTATTAAAATGTAATACTAATTGAATTTAAAAAAAAATATACAGAACCAATTTTGTAAAATAATTTTGCTGACCACAGTCAGGTCTCTACTGATTGAAAAAATAGAAACATATGTTCACATTTGATTAAGAAGCTTTAGTGATGATTATAAAATAATAAGAACAGATGATAGCATTTATAACTATTGATATATATATTTTTTTCTCTACATACATTTGTACAATGTTCTATTTTAGTCGCAGTAAAAAACAGGTTACATATAAATTTGCTTTTTTTATATTAGTAAATTATTTAAAATTAAATAATTTCATATAAAAAAAAATGTCATTGAATGAAACAATAACATATTTCCTATTTTCCTAATTTATGGAAAATTAATAATATTTAGGAACTTTTTTAAATACATTTAAATTCCTCATCCGAAGGGATAATATTTTTTGTCGCTTGAATAAAGGTTTTGAATGAACATGGAGATGAACAATTTGGTATTGTTAATTCTGTCAAATTAGATTGAATACCAGTATAATACCAAATCTAAAAGAAAAAAAATCGTTAAACATTTTAAAATATAAATATGTGTAAGAAAATGGTTTTAAAAAATTGTTTAAATAATTTTTTATTTATTATTTATTAATTTAATTTTTATTTCAATTATATTGCCTTTTTTATAGAGCTTGTATTTTATCTAATTTAAATTTCTCTCAAAAAACAATAATAGTATAAAATTTAAAATTACCTTAACGTAGTACTTTTCTTCTAAAGACAATAGTTCAATAATTACAGCGCTTGTAAATTCAGGTAAATGTGCTTCTACCAAATTCAGTGAAGACAGTAAAGCCAAAATATTCACATCATGACCACTGTATAAATTTATTTTAGATTTAATTTCATTATCTTCAAGTGTTACAGATTTCTGCATATTTTCTAACATTGTACGAACAATACCACCTGTCATTTAATACGCAGATAAATAATAATAATATATCAAAATTTCTTTTTTAGTAAAAAGAATTTATTTTTAAGAAAAATTAAAAAAAAAATATTTTATTGCATAATCTAAATATACCTCCGTGTATTTTTTTGATCAAATCATTATAATTTTGTACTTTTAAATTCATAATCATTGCATCATATAATTGTCCTTCGGGAAAAATATTGTGTGTCCAATTTGGTAAAACAAAATTCATTCGTTGTAAGGCTACAAAATTAGCATATAAAGAATATAAATGTTCCAAATCAGTTATATTTATTCCCGTTAAAATTGTCATATTATTCATTAAATTTTTGAATGATGCAATTTTTGGAGCCAATTCTGGGGATTTTATTACATTTTCCCTCTCCTGAAGATATCTGCAGAGTAGATAAAATTTTTAACATTTTAATCATTTTATAAAATCATAAAATTGAAATTTTAAATAAATTTTGATAAATTTTCTAAAAAAAAATTTTAAATAACAACACCAACTTTGAACAAATATGTCTTCGTTGAAAAATATTGTCCTTAGTTCTATCATTATAATTTGTTGGAATTGGTTGCCAATTTAAATTTTTATTCCACGTTTGATTTACATTTGGGGGATATAAACCAGCTAAAACAAGTTGTAATGTCATTTTGGTACGTCCAAAATTTGAACTAATACTTTCAACTTCCTCTGGAATGTAGGTTGTATCCAAAAATGAATTATATTTTTCACGAAGAAATTGGCCAAACTCAAATGCTCTGGATTTACCTTTCTAGAAAAAAAAATATTGAAATTTTTGTATTTTGTTAAGAAAACAAAATTCAACAATAATCTTGATTTGATCTGGGTAAAAAATCCTAATCCCCACTCTCCATTTGTCATAATTCTCGTCAACTACCGCACCCTGCTCAAGTAAAAATTTAGTAACTTTATGACTCCAGTAGTACTTGACAACATCGAGACATTTCGTGTGGCACGAATAATTTCGACGAAAAATAAACAAAGCGAACATTCTAAATAAATACCATCGAAGTTCAAAAAGTGAAGGAATAAAAATTTTTGTAAATTCATGCATCTTAATGAAATTAGAAAATTTTGTAGGTTAGAAAATATTTTTTCTTTTATTTCTTTTTAACTTAATGACTGTAATTTAATGGTGCTGTCAAAATATTACGTAAATAAATTTCAAAAATACATTCGCAAATAAATATTAAGGAAAATATAAGAATCAAAGTAAAATAGATTTTTTCCCTGGCGGATTCGATTTGCGTAATGTCTACTTAACTAAGTGGACTTTAGGTAGACATTAGGTAAACATGTAAAAAAAACGTATAGAAAAGCTATTAATCGACTTATTATGATAAAAAAAAGTTGATAAAAGGGTAAATGAATGTTTAGAGAGTAAATTCGTACAAAATTTGTAATTAATAAAGCATCATTAAATAATAATTAAGTTTTTATCAAATGTGAATACTGTTGTGAAAACCTGTGAAAACTAATGAGTTACTACATTACCGATCGCATATGATAATAAAAAGTTCTCGATGAGTGTAACAAAAAAGCTGCAATCATGCCCGTAATATTGGACGAGAAACAATTATGAAATCAATAATTATTTGTATAACTTTATTCTGCATTTTAAAATTGACTTTTTATTTTCTTTCAAAGCAAAAGCTTGGAAGAAAACATGCTCGCACTGTATTGTAAAAACTGGTGGCGCCATCTCTCATATGCGATCGGTAATGTAGTAACTCATTAGCTTTCACAGGTTTTCACAACACTCAACAACACTATTCACATTTGATAAAAACTTAATTATTATTTAATAATTAGTATTGCAAACACTCAAATTAAATCAATTTTACACTTTTTTATAAATATCAATTGTTTTTGCCGTTAATTTATATTCTTTTCATGAAAATAGCACGAAAATAATTGTACAGCTGAACTGATCAGGTACCTCGCGCACATTTCCATTCATTATTAATTATTTAATGCTTTATTAATTACAAATTTTGTACGAATTTACTCTATAAACATTTATTTACTCTTTTATCAACTTTTTTTTTATCATAATAAGTCGATTAATACCTTTTTTATACGTTTTTTTACATGTTTACCTAATGTCTACCTAAAGTCCACTTAGTTAAGTAGACATTACGCAAATCGAATCCGCCAGGGTTATCATTGAATATACCCAGATAGCACGCAAGTTTGCACTGCAAGCTTGCTGCAAGCTTGCAATGTCCCAACGTAGCTTGCAAAGCAAGTTTGCAGCAAGTCTGCTGCAAGTTTGCTGCAAGTTTGCAAATACTACATTATATTTTGCAAAACTATATTTTAAATAAACAAAAAAACAATGCGCAGTTAAATTCTATAGCACATAGGGCTGCGCAGTAAATTTTTTTTACCTCCCAGCTATAGTGCTAATACATAGTAAAGGGAATTTGTATCTTAAATTAAATTAATTCTTTATTAATTAATACGTTAAATAATAAATTTACAATCTTCCAATGCAAGCTTGGTGCAAGTTTGCAGCAAACTTTCAGGAAGATTGCAGCAACCTTGCAGCAAACTTGCAGCAGACTTGCTGCAAACTTGCTTTACAAGCTACGTTGGGACATTGCAAGCTTGCAGCAAACTTGCAGCAAGCTTGCAGTGCAAACTTGCAATGTCCTAACGTAGCTTGCAAAGCAAGTTTGCAGCAAGTCTGCTGCAAGTTTGCTGCAAGTATTTTAGTATTTTAGCTTATTTGCAGCTATTATTATAAGTAATATAATGAAATTTATATTATAAAAAAATAATTTTTATTTATAATTTTTAATAAAAATAGATAATGAAATATTAAATTGAGATAGATAATAAATTCACTTTTCAGTAATTTTTCCTTCTATTATTCTAAATCTAAAATAATTATTAAATATTATTATGTAATATTAAAAATATTATTTATCAAATAATAAAACTTGATAGAATTATTATTAGCCTTTAATCACGCTATCAGTCTGAATAAGAAAATATTCATTTTATATTTGTATGATTCTTCTAAATGTACTTTTTTCTAAAAACTAATTTAATTTGTAATAAATGAAAATTAATTTAATTTTTATATTTTTAATATTAATGAAACTAAAAAATGAATTTAAATTTCCCGCTTCATTTGCCACTTAAAACTGCTGAAATCAAGTGTATTTTTGTAGTTACTCAACTATTCGTATAGTTTTTTTAAAAACATTAACTGTAATAATTAAGATTTTTTATATAATAGAGAGGTTATTTCTTTTCTTATATAAATATTTAATTGTTCAAGAAGAATGAAATTATAACTTACATTCGTTAATCCTCCTATGCCATATGGATAAAAATCTTTTATGGTATATGGTAATGCGGGATAGAAAAAATCCGGTGTTCGTTCTCCATGTCGAAATAACTATTAAAAATTTAAATAATTCTGTTAGATAATAAATTAAAAAATTAAAATTTGTCAAAAGGAAAATTCTATCAAATTTCAAGTTCTATGAAATTGAAATTCTAACTTTTAGAGCTCATGTGTTTCTTATTTTTGTATTGTTAAAAATAAATATAGAAAATTATAGAATATGTCACATATATTTTGATTTTTATATTTTTAAATAAAAATAATTTTTGTCATATATATTTTTTTATTAAATAATACTTACCACATTTAATTGTTTAACTTCATACTGACATTTAACGTTGATTAAAACAATACTTAAAATACAAAATATTAGGAGGAATTTCATATTATATTAGTATTTATCAGTTAAAATCTATAGATCATTCAGTTTAGTTATTTTATAAAATTTCTGTTTTTTTTTTTTTTTAGTAATTTTTAACCCATCTGTAGTTTGAAATAAAAATGACAATAAAACACGAGAAGTACTAATGAAATGCACACTTTTCTATAAATACTAAATGTTTTTATAACAGCCTATTTATAAAAGTACTCCCACCAATGAAGAATACATTTTAACAATAAGTTTATTCTTCAGAAACATGTGTAGATATATAATCCCATTCTTTATTTTGTTATCTCATTTCGCTATACAATCATTTTTACCTATAATGCTAATATATATATATATATATAAATTTCATTACTTTTCTTTTAAAAAATCATTTTAATTTAAAAATAGCAAACATTAAAAGAGATTAATTTTTATTTTCTTGCGTAATTCTTTTTCAAATTCAAGTTCAACAAGGCATTATTTAAAAACAAACATGTATTATTTTCCAAAGTAATAAAACATGAAAATTTTGCAACATTTACGATACACGAGGTAAAAAAGTTGTCAGGATTCGGGGATTATATACAAAAATTCGTAGATATCAAATTTCTTACTAAAATTTATCAATTTTTAAAACAATTTTCCTCCATATTGACTCCACCATTTTAAATTTTGACAGGGTGTCTAACGATCAGGGAAGTCAGGGAAAAGTCAGGGAATTTCAAAAAATTTCATTTAAAGTCAGGGAAATTTCTGTAAATTTCTACAAAAATTCAAATTTTTTAATTTAAAAAAAACTTGAATGGTTTTTATTACCATTTGTTACTACCATTAGAAATTAATTTATTGTTAAATATGTCAATAACCATATTTTTGTCCAAAAAAAGTTAAGTTAAAAAGTTATTAAAAAGTCAGGGAAAAATAAAAAAAATTTCAGGGAGGAGTCAGGGAATTTTTTTCTCAATCCTTGTTAGACACCCTGTTTGAAAATCTGACTTTAGATTCGTTATTACCGATCCAAAAAATCGCTAGGTACCAAGTTTCATTAAAAAATGTCAATTTTTAGAAAAATTGTCCTCCATATTCTATCCGCCATTTTGAAAATCTGACTTCCTATTCGTAATCAGCGACCCCCATATCTTATACGTTTTTTTTGAGGTTAGCACATTTATTATTTAAAGACTTAAGAGAAGAGAGGAATATGAGAATAAATAAGAACAAATATAAATAACAAGTTTGTAGATGAAAATTTTTTTTTATTACCTGTTCAATAATATCAAATGTATTTTGTTTAGTTGTACATATAAATTATTAATTATATATAAATTAAAATATAACTTAACACGAGAAATGGTACAATTTAATACTGTTAGCATTGTAACTCTTCTTCAGATGGAATGACATCTTTAATACTTTTGTTGAATGTTTCTAATGGACATGGTGACGGGCAATTTGGTATTTCAACTGACTTCATTACAGATGGAATACCCAAATAGTGTAAGACCTAAAATAAATAAAAAAAAAAAAGTATTATCTATGTTTCCGACTGTAAAAACAGATATGTCCGAATTTAAGCCGAAATTATAACCAGGCTAATATTAAAATTATATAATAAATTACGTTAAATAAATGTTAATTAACAATAACAAAAATATTAAAATAAATCTAATTTTAACTTACATTAACGTAATACTTTTCATTGATTGTATAAAGTTCTATTATAACTGCACTTGTAAAATGTGGAAGATGTGGCTCAACAACATTTAGAGCTGCCAACATTGCATAAACATTGAGATCGTGGCTACTGTATAAAAATAATTTCTCTTTTTGTCCACCATCATTTGCAACTGAATCCATGTCCTCAGTAACTTTTTTTAAAAGTGCTCCTGTATAATAATTTTTTACAATTCATTAAATATTCTAATAATTTTAACTTTGTTAGACTTATTATGCAGCGTCATAATTGGAAGGTTTTCATATTGCCCCCACTCGCAATTTCTCATAATTCTCGTCAACTACCGCACCCTGCTCTAGTGAAAATGTAGTAACTTTATTGCGAGTGGGAATTTTGGCAGGTGGGGACAATGGAAACTAAAGGCCTAAGCAGAATAGGTTCACGAAAGTGAAACATAAGTTAGAAAAAGACAGAGATATATTTGTATCCTTTTATATCTCTTGTATCTCGTTTGCGAACGACTTTCGCGATTCTATTGTGCGTTGGCCTTAACCAAAAATTAGTGACTTTATATAGGTAAAATTAAAAGTTACTATAATAAGTCACTAAATTTTCACTAGAGCAGGGTGCGGTAGTTGACAAGAATTATGACAAATGGCTAGTGGGAATAATTAGGCTTTTTCAGGTCATCGAGATATTTCGAGTTCAGACACAATGTGTTATTCTTATGGGGAAAACAATTTATTTCCAGTTTTATCAATTTTTCTCGTATTTTAAACATGGAAAACGGTTGCTAGAGAAATAATGAAAAATAAAATAAAATGAGTTTTGATAATTAACTTTGTTATATATTTGATTCAATTGCATTGGTAGATTTCTCTGAATTCGTGATTAAATATAAATTTTGAGGTTAAGTGTGTTTGTCTATCGAATTTCGAAACAAAATATAAAATAAAAATGATTATACCCTGAACGATTTACTTTTCTCATGGATCGATAAAGAACGCAGCTAATATTGCAGAACACGTGAACATCGACATTTTGAACGCACATTGAAGTCCATACGGACATGATCAAACTAAAAACACCTGGCTGAGAGTCGTTTATAATATAAAAACTGTTTTTTATTCAAGAAATTTATAATCAAAATAATGAACGTTTATCAAATAATTTTTTTGGAAACATAAATATATTAGTGCCGTGTTTGATAAAAATAAATGGATTTTTGAATTTTTTTTTAATTTCATCTTGACGACATCAAAATTATAGGCACAAATAGGAGGCGCATGATTTTTCCCAAAAATTAAAAAGTTCGAAATTTTAATTGATCGAATTACTTTAAGTCGATATTTTGTTTATTCGAAATTCTAAATGATCAATATATAAAGTGGTCAACAATTTATTTAGTCGATATTTTATTTGGTCTAAATAAAATGTCGACCATTTAGATTTTGGATCAAATAAAATATCGACTAAATAAAATATCGGCCACTTTAAATATCGATCATTTAGAATTTCGAATAAATAAAATATCGACCAAATAAAATGTTGACCATTTTAAATATCGATCATTTAGAATTTCGTTCAAATAAAATATCGACTTAATGTAATTCGATCAATTAAATTTTCGATCTTTTTAATTTTTAGGAAAAATCATGCGCCTCGATAATAGCCTCTGAATTTAGATAAAGAGGAGGAAAAGAAATTTTTTTTAGTAGCGGCGAACGAACAGAATATACGGTTTATGCCGTTGAGAAATGTAGTGTTTGGGAAAATTTATTTATCACGTGACTCATAGAGGGCGCCAAACCCATAGTGACTAGAACGTGTCTCGGGAGGATTTTTCTTTAAAGTCGGATTGCTTGACAGTGAGCAAGGTTAAAAATAAATTTGCTAAGTAAGCTTGCAGCAAAGTTGCTTCAAGTTTTATTTTAAACTTACATAGCAATCTTGCCGCTAGCTTACTTGCTGTCTGGAAAATATTTTCTACTATGATTTTGAATTTTTCTTGTGTAATAAATAATATTGACCCACCTCCATTCAATCTTTTCAATTGATTATTATAATTCATTAAATTGAAAGTTGTCAAAGTTGAATCATTAAGAAGATTAAATGCCTTATCACTCCAATTGGGAAGTATCCTATTCATATAATTTAAACACACAAGATTGCAATCAAGTGTATAAAGATCGTATATGTCATTCATTGGCCATCCTGTTGTGTAAGACAATTCATCCTTAATCTGATCAAATCTTTTTAGACTTTCCTGAATCACTGCTTCCTTTTTTAAGCTTTCATATGCATCTAAAAATCTAAAAAGAAAACATTTTTTTTTTTATTTGACTATATAGTCGAATTACAATTTTTAGATTGTAGCTAAGTAAATAAGTACCCACATAGCACGACTTCTTGCTGTGAGGTTACTGTTAGGATATCTGTAGGGTTTGTAAGGTTACCGTGTAAGCTTACAGTAAACTTGAGGTCATCTTAAAACTTCCGCCATTACAGTAAGCTTACACAGTAAAGCTAAGGTAAGATTACACAGTAAGGTCGTGGTAAGTTTACATGGTAAGGTTGTGGTAATGCTTACACGGTAAGGTTGTTGTAAGCTTACCGTAAGGTTACTGTAAGATTGCTGTAAGGTTACTGTAAACATAGAATGTTATTAATAAATAAATTTTATTAATATTTATGCGCAGTAGTTTTCTATGGCATATATAATTTAAAAAAAAATTTATAATATAATATATATTATAATATAATTATTTTTAATATATTTTCATATTACTCTATGTTTACAGTAACCTTACAGTAACCTTACGGGAAGCTTACAACAATCTTACCGTGTAAGTTTACCACAACCTTACCATGTAAACTTACCACGACCTTACTGTGTAATCTTACCTTACAGAAATCCTAATAGTAACCTCACAGCAAGAAGTCGTGCTATGTGGGTAGATTTTAGAAATAAATAAAATTACTTATTTAATATCGTCATATAAAAAAAAATATATACTTACGCTTTACAATAATATGTTCTCAAAAGTAGATTGTCTTTTTTCTCAGGTACATAAACTGTTGGAATTGGTTGCCAATGTAAATCTGATTTCCATTGTTGTTCATGATTTGGAGGATATATTCCTGCAAGAACAAGTTGTAATGTCATTTTTGTTCTTGCGTAATCCGTACTTTGAGCATGAACATCGTCGGAATTATAAATTGATCCTAAAAAATCATTATATCTCTCACGCAATTTTACTCCAAGTGTAAAAGCTCTTTCTTTGCCTTCCTAAAATTTAAAAATACAGTTTAATATATATATATAGACCTGCCTATAATTAGTTAATTATATGGATTTTTGTTTATAAAGATTATTTTTTTTTAAAACCTACTTTTGTTAATCCTCCAACGCCGTCTGGGTAAAAATTATTATCAGTATAAGGCATTTTAGGATATACAATATCTGGAGTACGATCGCCATGTCTAAATACCTGTGGGCATATAAATTATGATAAAAAATATTCTACCGAGAGTAACCTCTTTTTTTCGAACTGTGTCAAGATCAAAATAAATTACAACTCAATTTTTTTTTTTATTCATTATTTAATATTTATCAATATGTGTGTATTTATAAAGATATGTGAAATAATATCATTGGACCTCAAAAAAAAAATTATCTTTGAATGGTTCTTTTGACGCAAAGTTATAGGTGTATGGTCGAATTTAAAAATTTGAAATTTTCTATAATATTGAAAGAAAGATTTTTAATATATTGCTGATTACGAATATATAGTAAAATTTTTGATATTTAAATACAACAATAATTTTTAATAATTTTTCGCCATATTGGATCCGCCAAATTGGATTTTTTAAATCGAAAATTTGCAATCAACCCCAAAAATTTCTTGATACCAAGTTTTATTAAAAATTAAAAAAAATTTTAAAAACTCGACCGCCATATTGGATCCACTATTTTGGATTTTGATAATGTGACTTTTAATTTGTAATCAGTGACCCCAACAATATCTAGATACCAACTTTTATAAAAATTAAAATTTTTTTTTAACTTGACCTCTATATTGTATCCGCCATTTTGGATTTTTAAATTTTGACTTAAAATTCGTAATCAGCAACCCCAAAAACCCCTTTGATATACTAAGTTTTACAAGAAATTTTAAAATTCGATCGACATATTGGATCCGACATTTTGGATTTTGAAAATTTGACTTTAAATTTGTAAACAGTGTCCCCAAAAATACATAGTTACCAAAGTTTTATAAAAAATAATATTAATTATTATTATAATTATTAATTATTTTAAAAATTTTCAATTTAATTAAATTTTTTATTTAAAAAAAGGTTTTTCATTTTTTGATAACTTAGTAAACATTGAATTCAAACTTACCACACTGACTAATTGAACTTTTTTTCCCGGTATATTTTCTATGGAATTTATTAATATAATGCAGAAAAGCATCATAATTAATAAAGTAATCGCAGTATTAGCAGGCAACATGATTTTTAAAATTTGTAAAAAATTTTTTTTCCTTCAAATAAACAAATGTAGTTTCTATTCAAGTCAACTTTTTTTAAAAATAAATTTGTCTATTCCACCTGAAATAGTTATAAAAGGTTTTTTTTTGTTACTTTCTGTTTTTTAAATTCTTGTTTTTTTTTTTAACACTTATTAAATATATTTTTTTTTCAATTCAAAATCTTTGTACATTAATGATATATACTTATTTTAAAAAAAAACTGATGTTTATTTTTTGGATAAAAATAATTTTTCTTTTTTTTTTAAATAAAAATTTCAATTTTCAAAATCAACAATAAACTTTCTGGTAATGTCGAAAGCCAATGATAATGACTATATAGGAATTTTACACATTTAAAAGATAAACGTAAATGATCTTATATGTTGAGAAAAATATACGGGTTTTATCAGGTGACATATTGTTTCTCTATTTATTAAAAGAAAATAATTCCCTAAATTGTGAGTCAGTTTTTGAAAATTAAATCATTCTACTCTAGTAAAGTTAGTTAAAAAACAATAATGCAAATTTCGCTGTAACAACGCTGTATAACCGAAAATTTTTTTAAAAATCAGTTTTTGCAAATTGTTGTCTCTTATTACATTTTAGCAATAAAAGTAGTTTCAAATAAAGAAAGATTACAAAATTTTACGTATTAAAAAAAAAATTTGAACTATGTACCTCAAAAACAGTCCGGGATAATTTGAAAAAACTTAAATTTTTAAAAAGATTTATAGCTTTTTCCTTTTTATTTTAACAAATGTTGTAATGTTATTACATTTCAGAAAACATTTTTCTGCATCTTTTTTAAGTAGTGAAACAAAGTAATTTATATTTTTAGTAAGTTTGGATTTAAATAAAAAAAAATATTAATTATTATTAAATATATAATAAAAAAAGCTTAAATAATACCTTTTTTTAAAAAAGCCCAATGTTTAACGTTAAAAATAGACATCCTGAATCTTCAATTTTTAATTATTAATTTCATACAAAACAAAGTTGTTTCATAATGTTATAATTAATAAACTAGGTAATAAAATAAACAACATAAAAAATATTAAAATCCCCGTAAATAATACTTTTTTTTTTAAATTGTGCACTATTAAATAAAATCTAACTTGAATTTTAATCAATAACACATTTCTTGAAAACAATATCAATATACATTATAACTGAATTACAAAATACAATTTTGAAATTGTCAGAACCTTTCAAAAACAAAAGCAAATGTAAATATGACTAATTTAAGGTGTATGGAGAGACCAAATGAATGAATACGAAAATTATTTTTATATAATAAATAATAAATCATAAATATTAGTATTTTTTTATTGAAAAAATAGTAGTATAAAAATAATTAGTAGAAATGTTCAAAAACCGAAAAACTAAAAAATACCGGATTTTTTTTGCTAAAATCAGGGGCAAAAACGGGTTTTTGAGAAAGTAATATCTCGGACAATTTTTGAGGTATAGAGTTTAACTTTTTTTTAAATTACGCAGAATTTTGTATTCTTTCTCTTTTTGAAATTACTTTTATGCTAAAACATAATGTGCGGCAATAATTTGCAGAAAACTGATTTTTAGGAAAAGTTTCATGAAAATTTTTTTTATTTCCGTTGTATCAAACTTAGGTATACAGACATTCACATAAAACGGATTTTAAGGGGCAAGAATAAATATCCAAAGTAAGCGGGAATCCGATATATACAATTTTAAATTTTTTTTACATTTGTTATATAAACAAATTAAGTGGACAAAAACTATTTTTGCTAAAATTATACTAACATTAAGCAATTTAATTTAATATATGTAATTTTCAGTCTTTCTAATATAAAAGATTATATCAATAACATTTATTATTATAAATAATTGTTTTGTTATGTTATAAACAATTTATAATTCTCAGTTTCTTCTAAGAAAGTTAATAAAAATTTCATTTTGCAACAAACATTTATTATTGATTACGATTAACGAAACATACTTTTTTATCTTCATTCTTTTTAGTTTGACATTGTTTAAACAAACTCTAATTAACAAATACACAGTCTGTTTGTTTTTAGGTGTTTAAGATTTGTTCTTTTTAAATATTTTCTTAAATGTACAATATTTTAGAAAAATTAGTAAAATTGTTATAAACAATATATATATAGTTATAAACATTATATTAGTACATTATTTTAATAATTTTAGCTACTATCAGTACAATTATTACTTTCAAATAAAAAACGGTATTTAAAGCAAAAAAAAAAAAAAAAAAAAATTGTTGATGTTAAAAATTTAATAAATTGAGAAAAAAAAATTTTTTTAAACATAATTTTATTATTTTAAAAACAATTTTCTAAATCGATTAAAAATTGTGGAATAAAAATTAATTTTTCCACGCAGGTATTTTTTCTCCCCCTCACTGTACTTCTGATTGTATGCCGACCATATCCGAGTTTTAATATTTCGACACTGCTTTGTATTTAATATCAATCATCTTTCCGGCATATATCCGGTCCAATTTTGAATAGTATAGGAAGTACTTTTTTTAGAAATATATATATGTATATATATATATATATATAAATTATTTCTCGTACCTCTGTTTTTTGTTTAAAATTATTGACTTTTATTTAAGAGAGAGTTTTTTGGGCAAAATTCCTGAAGTGATCCAAATAAAAAATTTTTTTTTTTTTCGAAATATTATTTTTTCCTTCTCTTACGAATGATGTAGAAAATTTTTTCAAAAAATTCAAAATTTAACCATCTTTTTTTGGAAAATCAAAAAATATTTTTCTGTATTAACTTTTATTAATTAATTAATATCTCAAAATTTTTTCTTATTCTTTTTTTGTTAACTTTGCTCTATTCTGTCGAATTAAATTTTTCACCTGGAATATAATTTTTTTTTTCTAATCATCAACAAACTACTGATTAAACTAATCTAAAGAATTATGTGATTTTGAAGGTATCAAAATTTATGTGTGGAATCCCCAAATTGAAAGCGTCACAAGATAAGATATTTTCTATTCATTTTAATTTCCTTTTGATAAAAATATCTAAAAGAAAGCAAATAACAGAATCGATACCAGTTTTTTTTCTCATTAAATTTAAAAAAAAGAAGGAATTCAATGAAATTGGAAAAAATATTTCATTTTTTTGAAATATATTTTTTTTGTAATAGAATAAAATTTGTTTTTTTTCAATTCTTTTCTTATGGAGATGAAAAAATTTTTTAAAAAATGTAGCAGAATTAATTTTTTTTGTTTATGTTATAAAAATTTTAATTTTAAATTTCAAATTTTAATTCTTTGCTTAAAAGAAAATTTAAAAAATGTCACACAAATGTTATTCATCAAACGAGTAAATGTTTCTGCATTAGAAATTTTTAATTTTTACATTATTTTAATAATTAATTTATTATTTCATGAATAATTTTTAAAACAATTTTTGAGAATAAAAAAGAATTAGTTTTTTTTCTATTTTTCCAAAATTTGAAAAAAATGCGACTAAATTCAAAACTTTTAATTTAATTTCAATTAATTTGATTCTTATTTAAAAAAAAGCCTTCTATTTTTTAACAAATAAAATTAAATTAAATATTAAAATAGTCAAATAAAAGTAAAACTAATTTAAAAATATTCTATTTTAAAGTTTTTCTATTTATACTTACAAAACTTTTTTTTCGCCACTATAATTAACTTTATATGTTAACTAGATAAGAAAAGTGAAGTGTGTCTGAAAAATGTCGTCGATTTCGCTTTAAATATGCGGATTTTTTTATTGGAAAAAAAGAATAATTTATTATAAATCAAATATTTTTTTAAGTTATTATAATAATTATAAAAGAGTTATATTTTATTAAGTGTTGCAATAAATTTTCATAAATTATTATAATCAATATCAAACAATATCGTGTGCTTATATATATATATGTTATGGAAAATTTATTGCGCGTGGCTGTATGTAAATTTATTTTATATATTCATAAAGAACAAAAAAAAACATTCTGTACATAGAAACTTTATCATTTTTTTTAACTTTTTATTTAAATTAACAATATAATGTAAATATTGTACTATGCGGATCTTAAAGTTATATAAAATGTTATTTTATTCTAAATGACAAATATATATATATATATATATATATATATATATATATATATATAGAAATACACGTGGATTGAATGATTTCTAACAAAGCGTGTCAATAGAACTAAATAACATAAAACTATTGTCAAATAAATAAAGTAAGTAATTGAATATATTTAATTCATATATTTAAACAAATTCAATTATTTACTTTATTTATTTGACAATAGTTTTATGTTATTTAGTTCTATTGACACGTTTTGTTAGAAATCATTCAATCCACGTGTATTTCTATATATATATATACGGAAAAAAAGAAAAAGCAATTTTTACTACTTTCATAGTAAAATTGGACCTGTCCGAAGTTTCTGCGCATCTCTGGCAACTTTTACTCAAAAAATAGTAAAATTTACTATTTTTTTAATAATTTTTACTATTTCTGGAGTAAATTTTACTATTTCTGGAGCAAATTTTACTATTTTTGGAGTAAAAGTTACCAGAGATGCGCAGAAACTTCGGACAGGTCCAATTTTACTTTTAAAGTAGTAAAAGTTACTTTTTCTTTTTTTCCGTGTATATATACTATATATTATAATATTATATAACAATAATAATAATAATTATTATTATTAAAACTGTTATTATAATTATAATTATAATAATTATTGTAATAATAATAAATAATAAAATATAATATAATATAAAATAATAACATTATTATTAATATTATTATTATTACTACTATTATTATTGGGATCTGAAATCAGGGAATTATAGGGAAACTGACCCCGTTGCGTCAGCCATCTTGATTTTTTATCTCTTTCTTCTACATATATTTTAAAAAGGTTGAAACGAAAAATGGCTGACACAACGGGGTCGTCACTAGATGGCGTATCGCAGTATTTCAGATCCCAATACAGAAAAAAATGTTTTTGAAAATAGAGGAAAATTCCTTTTGCGAAAATCCTCTTGAATCAAGAATATAAATTGTGTCAAATTGTTGTGCTATCTGGGTAGATAATTTGAAGTTAGGTGTGACGTCACATTTCGGATTTTTCATCGGGTTTCAAGGTTTTTATTTTTTTAAAATAATTCTAAAAAAAAATTATAATTAATTATATAATTATTATTAAATAGTTGGAAATTGATGGAAAATCCAAAATGTGACGTGTAACACTTAACCCTCTTATTTTATATATATTAATTTTTAAATATTGTTTAACAATTAATACAACAAAATATCACAATTTTTGAAAGTTTTACACCCAAAGAAATGTTTTCTTTGAACCAAATAAAATATATTTGAGTTAAATAAACTCAAAGCCTATTTATTTAGAGTTAATAATAATTTTTTATTTAAATTAAATAAAAATTTATTTGAATCTAATAAATATTTATTAGGCTGTGTGAGAAAAATATATCATTTCTTTGGGCCTAATGTTATATCCAGTAATTCTGTTTATTATGTTCCACATAATAAACGAGTATTTTATTTTATTTTTTTTAATTTTTGAACTAGTTTGTATGTATATATATAACATGCAGTTGCAATGAATGCATATAATTTTAACAGTATTATCTTCTTTCTGAACTCATATATATATATATATATATATATAGATATTTAGTTTATCGTGAACTTTGTCCAAAAACATTATTAGAGATTAGATTTACATTAGGAAATTATATTGGGAAATAATTGATCGATTGAATTGCTATAATTTGTAAAATAATATCAGTTTTCCAATAAATTTGGCTGCTGTATAGTGATAATAAGAAAATAATGTGACTTAGAAGGAAAAAAAAGAATTTCGTATTTTATTTTTTTTATATTCATTATCAAATTTTTTTTTTTTATTAATAATGGATAATTTTTTTTTCAATTAATTATTGTTAATTTTAATTATATATGAATTAGTAAAATATAGTAAAAAAAATTGTCAAATATTACTACCAGAATAATTAAATGATTTATTTAATATAATTTTATTTCTAATTTCTAATTAAAATTTTTTTTTTTCTTTTAAAATTCTAAAGATTTTAAATAAAGAACATGTTGTTAGTTACGTATTTTGTATTAAAGTTATTAATTATTGTTTCTATTATTGATTGTGTATTATGTTTTAAAAATGATTCTAATTTTGAAGTTAAATTAGTTAATGTGGTGAGTTAATTAATTTTAATTTAATTTTAAAAACTCAATTTACCAAATGGTGTCGTGCCATTTATATACCTTTATGTATAACGAATTGTCAGAGAAATTGTTAAAATTTTCGAAAAATTTTATATTAATAATATAATAATACTATTATAATTATTATTATTAATAATTTTATATTAATAATATTTTATTTCAATAGATATTTAGACATGGAGATCGTACACCAGAATGGGTGTACCCTAATTTAAAAGGCATCAATCAAAGTTATTATCCTGTGAAGTTGGCAGCAATGACCAATGTAAGTAAAATTTTTTTTTATTCTACATCCACAGATAGCATGTAAACTTGCAGCAACCTTACGGCATGCTTGCCGCGTAATATTGCAAATTTTGTACGTCAAACTTGCCGCAAGTTTTAAATGTTCCACCAGACCCAAGCTTGCATGGTAAGCTTACCGAAAGACTGCAGTGTAAGGTTACTGCAAGATTGCACAATAAGATTATCGCAAGATTGCTTAGTAAGCTTGCAAGGCAGGCTTGTAGCAAGGTTGGTGAAAGGTTGACAAATAACCTTGCTTTGAACCTAAAATTTTTTTTGTAAATTTAACGTCTAATTTATGTAATAAAATTATGTAATTTGACGAAACATTAAAAAAAAATTTTTAGGTTCAAAGCAAGGTTATTTGGCAACCTTGCACCAACCTTGCTACAAGCTTAACGTACAAGCTTACTGAGCAATCTTGCGATAATCTTATTGTGCAATCTTGCAGTAACTTTACACTGCAATCTTTTGTTGAGCTTACCTTGGGTCAGGTGGGACATTTGAAGCTTGCGGCAAGTTTGCCGTGCAAGGTTGGCAATATTTTGCGGCAAGCTTGCCGCAAGATTGCTGCAAGCTTACGTGCTATCTAGGTAGAATCAAATTATTTGCGCAAAAAGATAAAACAGTATCAAAAATGGTAAAAAGAATAAAAAAGTAAAATAACAGATGAAAAAGAATGAAAAAGAGATAAAAAGAGATTGAAATAGAATTATACATTGTTACATCAAAAGTATAACATTCCAATAAAAATAAATTATTTTACAGAAAGGAAAATTGCGTTCATATAAATTTGGAGAATTACTTCGTTTAATGTACAACGAATTTTTAGGAACTACTTATATTGAAGATGAAATTTATGCACGAAGTACTAATTTTGAACGTACAAAAATGACTCTACAACTCGTCTTAGCTGGTTTATATCCTCCAAATGAATTGCAAAAATGGAAAAATAATTTAAATTGGCAACCTATTCCAATAAATTATGTTCCAGAGGGACAAGATATTCTTCTTAATCGTGTATATATTTGTAATTCGTAAGTTCAAATATAATTGATAATTTCGTTTCTGCAAATTACAATATCATATTCATTTCACTATAACAATAATAATAATTTATTATTTATTTTCCATATATAAAGAAGTAAAGAAGAACATAATAAAGTTTTACAATTACCAGAAGTAAAAAAAAAATTGAAGAGTTATGAAAATTTAACTCAAAATTTAACACAATTAACTGGAATAAATATAACGACAACTAGAGATATTTTTACACTTTACTGTGATCTTATATGTTTAAAATTTATGGATTTTGAATTACCATCATGGGTTAATGAATATTTAGATAATAGCCAATTTTTAGAAGCAGCATTAACAAGATTGGAAATTTTAAATTACAATAAACGTTTACAACGAATCAATTCAGGTTTTTAACGGGAATTATTATTTAATATAATAATATACAGCTTGATTTTTATGTTCCGGATCCCCTAATAATTTTTTTTTAATTTCACTTTCTTTTTTGTTTAAACAACGAAAAAAAAATGAGATTAAAAAAAAGGTTTTAGGGTGTCCGGAACATAAAAACACCCTGTATAAATTCAAATTTTGATTTTATTTAAAATTATTGAAAATAAAAATAAACAACATTGTTAATTAGATTTTAAATCATTTCAGGACCTTTAGTTCAAAAAATTATGAAAGACATGTCAGATGCAGTCAATAACAAAAAGAAGGAAAAAATTTTTTTATACAGTAGTCATGATATTAATATTTATGGTTTATTAGCTGCATTGAATCTTGTTGAACCGCATGCACCAGAATTTTCCAGTGCTGTAATTATAGAACTTCTACAATTGAATAACAATTACTTTGTAAAAGTAAGTTTTTAAAATCGAATTCTTGAATTAGTAAAAATATATTATTTTTATATATACTTTGGGTTTTTTTTTTTTTTTACTTTTTATATATAAACTATTATTTATATTTCGATAAGAGAAAATAAAATAATAAATTATGCCTTGTTTTCTAAACAGATATTACATTACTTGGGAGTACCACATGAAATAAGGGAATTACAAATTCCAAACTGTACTTCACCTTGTCCGTTAGATAATTTTTTATATTCGATATTGGACATTTTTCCATCTGATGATGAAATTAATTGTTTATAGATCTGTATTATAAATAATTTGATTGTGAGAAATTTTTTTTTTATTGTGTTATACGTCTTAAAAATAGAGAAATAACTAAACAAACAAAATTTATATTTATTTTGTCCGCTTCGGTGGTTCAATGATATTTCCTGTTTCATTTAGTAATAAAAGAACTGAAAAAGATTGAAGAAAATTAGTTCGGTTAGTTTCCATTACCCCCCCCCCCACAGTCGCCATTTATCATAATTCTCGTCAACTACCACACCCTGCTCAAGTAAAAATTTAGTAACTTTATGACTCCAGCAGTACTTGACAACATCAAGACATTTCATGATTCGTGTGATTGTGACACGAGTATTTTCGACGAAAATTAAACAAAGCGATCTTTCTAAATAAATATCGGCGAAGTTCAAAAAGTAAAGGAATAACTGAGATTAAAATCAAAAATTGACAAAATTGATAATAATCGTCAATAAGTAGCAATTTTAGAATTCGATTTCATTCATCTTACTGAATTGCATTAGAAAATTTTTGTTGGTTAGAAAATATTTTTTCTTTTCTTTCTTATTTAATTGAATGAATGTAATTTAATTGTGCTGTCAAAATATTACGTAAATAAATTTCAAAAATATATTTGCAAATAAATATTAAGGAAAATATAAGAATCAAAAGTAAAATAGGTTTTTTAATTATAATGTCCAAGGATTTGTGATTTTTTGAGTTACTCAACTAGTATAATGCTCTCTAATTTTTTTTTTATCTCTGTGAATAAGAAAATAAATGTAAACTTTTTTTTAAATGTAATTAGTCTTTATTCTTCATTAAGTCAAATAAGCACATTAATATATTTAATATTCTTATTTTAAAAATTTGCTACACTATTCTAAGGCTCTTCATCCGTTGTACATTATATTTTGTTAAGTACAATTTTTAAAAAATATAATTTCTATATTAAAACGAAGAGTAATTTAATACTAAATAGCATTTAGATAATGTTTTTCTTTTTTTTTCATTTAAAAACAAAATAAAACATTATAAAAACAGCTTTTGGACAATTTGACTATTCAAAGAGAAAAATTACAATGGCATTGATCTAGGATTTAATTGCAATTTTCTTCCTGGATTCATTGCTTTTTCTATCCATTTGAGATAAGATTTAACATTAATATATACACCTGGAACATCAAGTTCTCCACAACCAATTCCCCAAGAAGTTAAGCCAACAACTTCAAATCGATCAAATTCATTTTTACATACAAGTGCACCACCTCCGTCACCCTATAATTGAAAATTATTTTTATAATATTATTATAAACACAAATTTTTAATTATGTTTCACTATATTTTATAGAAATACTTATTGAAATAAAATTTAATATTATGTGCGATTTCAGGTGAGATTTTAACTTTTTCGGAGTAGGTTAACCGATTGCAATGAAACTTTGGAATTTTGTTATATATATTCAATTCAATTCCAAAGTTTCATTGCAATCGGTTAACCTACTCCGAAAAAGTCAAAATCTCACCTGGAATCACACTTTTATATAAATTATTATTATTACCGTGCATGAATCTTTTCCTTGTTCTCCACCAGCGCAAATAAAACTATTTTTATTTAACATAAATTCTTCGCCAAGTCTAGTTTTTTTCAATTTCTTTTCACATTCGTCTTGACTTATTATATTAAGAGATACTTGTTTTAAAACATGTTCATAATTATCATAAATGAAATTAGATTTTCCCCAACCAGCAGTCCAACATCTATAATATTAACAAAAAATATAAGCATTTACAAAAAAAAAGAATAAATTAAAAGAATTTATAATATAAATATACACATACTGAGTATTTGGTAAAACGTCTCTTTCTGGAAGACAAGCTGCATTAATATTAGAATCAATATTATACATTAATTTCTGATTAATTTTAATAATAGCTATATCATTTTCTAGAGATTCTGAATCATAACCATCGTGAATTTTCGTTGACTCTGCCATTGCAACAATAACTTTTTCATTTTTATTTGTTGTATTCCATGAACCAAACACTATTTTGAAATTATTGTTTCTGTAAATATATAATTTTGAAAAAATATTATAAAATGTAGATTTTAATTAATAATAATTGAAATGTTTTTTTAATAAAAAATAAATTTTTTTCCCTCATGCTTCCGCATGTAGGTGGGTAAAAAATACAAAAAATTTTTTTTTTGTAAAATAAATCATTAGAATAAATTTTTTTTTTTTAACTCACAAGCCAACAATTTTGTGAGCAACAGTAAGTATATAATTTGGACTTATGAGAACTCCACTTCCAATAAATGAATTATCTTGACTTAAAATCTCAGCATGCCAAGGATATGAACCATAGTGAGCATATTTTTCTGATTGTTGATTTTTATTATTGAAAATTTTTCTCTGTCCACATGTCTTTTCTGAGCAACAATATATTTCATTTGGATTACAATCTTCCTAAAAGAAAAAGGAAACAAATTTTTTTTTTTTAAGAAATCGTTCATAAATAATTTAAACAAACTTTATGAAATTTTTTTTTTTAATTTTCTATAAAAATTTTATAAAATTGACTGGAAATTATTGTTTGATATAATTTCCATACAACTGATTTTTCATACCACAAAATTTTTACTTAAACGAAAGAATCATTTAACAGAATTTTAAATTGATAGAATTTTTATTTGTCCGAAATTGCAAATGACCGAATAAACAATCGATTTTGGCGCGATTTTTAAAATCAACCAATCAAAAATTATCCATAAAATTGTGATTGGTTGATTTTAAAAATCGCGCCAAAATCGATTGTTTATTCGGTCATTTGCAATTTCGGACAAATGAAAATTCTATCAATTTAAAATTCTGTTAAATGATTTTTCGGTTGAGTAAAAATTCTATAGTATGAAAAATCGATTCTATGGAAATTATATCAAATAATAATTTGAACAAATAAAAATTTATCTGAAAGAATAAAATGAAAATTCGAGTAAATAAAAATTCGAAAAAATAAAATTTCTGTGAAGTGAATTTTCGGTTATATAAAAATTTTGTAATATAGAAAATCGTTTTGATGAAAATTCAGCAAAATACTAATTCGAACAAATAAAAATTTTTACTCAAAAATAATTATGACAAATGAAATTCCATAAAATGAAAATTCTAACTAATGATTTTTAGAACATAGGCATGAGTCCCTCTAAATTACTTACATCATTTACAATTCGTAAATCCCATCTTCTCCATCTAGCACCATTGTCTTTTTTAACACCATCACATTTAGTACTATCTGGTATACATCTACAATTCATATTTTTAGGAGATGAATCTAGAAAACAAAAATTTTAACATTAATAATTAATAATTTATTAGCAACAATAATAATGATAAAATTGAAAATAATCAAATAATTTTAGATAAAATTTTTTAAAAATGATTAAATTTTCAAATTTGTTAATTGTAATATGTACTTTCAGAAATAATAATAATAATAATAATAATAATAACAATTAAAGTATTTTTGTTTTTCATAAAAAATAAAATAAGGAATAAAATTTAATTCTAATTATTACGTTTATAGTTATAAAAAAGTATTTCTTTAAAAATTAAAAATAATACTTAAATAAAAAAACTTCTTTAAATTTTTGAATTTATTATTTTTAATAATTACCGACAAAAAAGAAGTTATTAATTAATTTTTAATATTTCACTAGATAAAATTTATATAAATATATTTTTTTAAATTGAGATCCAATCAAACAGTCTGTAGACCTAATAACTATAATTTTAAAATTTATATAATTTAATATTAATATATCCTAAAATTAATATCTACACGGAAAAAAATAGTTCGCGAAACTTTCGTAAATTAGTTTTTCACTTTTGGACGGTCCCAATAAAGTTTGGTAATCTTTCATTAACTTTTTTCAAGATTTCACAAACGTTCATCACTCCCTTCATGACAATCAATGTCTGCGCACGCGTACAAAAAAAAGTTTGTGGAATATTGAAAAAAGTTAATGAAAGATTTCCAAACTTTGGCCCCATCTAAAAGTGAACAACTATAGTTTACAAAAGTTTCACGAACTAGGTACTTTTTTCCGTGTAATTATAAGAAATTAAAAAAAGAAAATTTTATTAAAATATAAAAAAAACTTATATACATAAAAAAATACCATACCATCATTTCTGTCTACAATGTTTGGTGGTGATATTGGTTCTGATGGTGGTATTGGTTGTGGTGGTAGTATTGGTTTTAGTGGTAGTATTGGTTGTAGTGGCGATTGTGTTTCCATTTCTTCATCTTCATTCTCTTGAGGTGATGTAGCTTCAGTTTCTGTTTTTGAATCATTTAAAACTAATGGAGCTGCTGTACCATCGCGACCATGTCTTTTTACTTTTTTAAATGGCATTATATGTAAGCCATCAAATAAATTTGTAAAGCAAAATGTTTCACTCACAAGATATGCAAAAAATAATAAAAATACAATTTTTTTCATAATTAAAAATTTTTTTCACGTTATTCTTTTTGGATAAAAAATATTTCTAATTTTTATATATATATATATTTTTTTTTACACTTTACGAGTAAATGTTCCCGAATGATGAATATATCTAAACTTCGACTTTTATTTATATAGATAAAATGTCATTCATTTTTCCACCCCCTTCTTTTTCCTTCTTTGTTGATTTTTCATTCTTTATAATAATTAAATTATTAAAAAAAAAAAAAAAAAAAAAAAAATTGAGGAAATAAAAAAGTAGAAATTTATGTTATTCAATAGATATAGAACTGGGTCACTTTAATTTGGTTTAATTTTCCTGGCCAAAAATTGAGGAAATGACGGTAATAATTACTTAACCATGAACTTTAGGGTTCACCTCAAAATATTGTTACTTTTCATTTCTTTTCATAGTATATATGTAGGTTATAGATCATTCAAAAATTACGTAATCATTTTTTTTTGTCACCTTTTTAGGTGCTCTTGCTCATATAATAAGTGAATAGAAAACGTAATACTTTCACTGATCCGCAACTCCACTTTTTATAAATTTTTACGTTATTATTATTATTTTTTTTTTTGAATTTCCTTTTAGTTAAAACAAATTTTCAATCATATTATTTTGGAAAAGAACATTTTATCGGCAGTTAAAGTTAGATCTTATCAGGAGTTGTAGGTATGTTTTTTTTAATTCTAACATTTTTTAACACATTTTATTATTTGATTAAAGAACGTGATAATAAATAATTATATAGTTTATTATTTAAAATAAATATGCAATTTAAATTTTTCAAAATTCAAAGAAAATTATATATATATATATTATTTCTTTTATTAAATAAAAACTATTTTTTAAATATCAATTTTTTTATCTGACGAAAAAAATTATTAATTTATATTTGCAATTTATGTATAAACATTAATAATAATTCATAATTTTTGATAACAACTTGTGTAAATAAAATTTCAATGAAAAAAGAATAAAAAATGAGAGAATAGAATAATTTTTTTAAATATTAATTATTTATTATATTTATTGTTACAATTTGTTATTTTATATTAAATAAAAAATTTAATAATTCAATTTTATTATTTATTGAATCAAAAATTTTGACTGACAAAAATAAAATTTTAATCTTTATCTTCATTTTTTAAAAATAATGACTATATTTACCTAATTATTTATTTTATTTATTTATTTCAAATAAAAACAAATTTGTTTGTTTCAAGTAAAAATTCTTTCTAAAACAGAAAAGAAAATTTTGATTTAGGAAAAAAAAATTCTAATTTCAATAAAATAAAATTTATTTCAAATAAATAATTTTTTTAAATTTATTTTAATAAAACGTTTTCAAAATTGTTTAGAATAAATTTAAATAAATAATTAAGGTTATAATTTTTGAATTTCTAAACTTCATTTATTAAAGAATTAAAAAATTTTTGTAACATTAAATAGGTATATTCTTTACAAATATTATTATTATTAAATTTAAATAATAATAACAATAATAATAATAATAATAATTGCTTAAAATTTTAAGTAAATTATTAAAATACAATTTAATAATTTATAAAAATTTTTTTCTATATTATTTTTTGTTAAATATTGTATTTAAAAAAATTAAAAAACAATTGTGTCTTTTTCGCGTTGAAATTTACGTAACTATATATATATATATATATATTGCTGTAACATCCTCTATTTTAGAAAAAAAAATTAGACCGTATACCAAATTTAAGTGTGACCACATTATTAATAATAGCATGAATTCTTTTTTTCTGTTTTTTTTATTTCAATATATATATATTGTGAGAGAAATAAAAGACGTTAATAAGGAAGGAAAAGGGCAATATTGTTTTTTAATTTGCAATTATAAAACAATATGATTTTTTACTCATATAAATATAAATTCACTGGAAATTTGAGCTTTAAAAGAATATCTACACTCGAACAGTGACTTTAAATATTAAAATTTTATATTTTATAAATATTTAATGCAAAAAAATTAGTTTTTTTTTTTTTTTTTTTGAACAAAAAATATGAAGAAAATAGTATTTTTCATTCTCATGTGCTTTGTGTGTGAAATTTATTGTAATAAGAAATTATTATTAAAGACGAAAAATAATCATGTTTCTTTCGACAATAAGCAAAATAAAGCACTGGATTCATTAGGTATGGATTTTCATTATTATTATTATTAAATAATCGATTTTCACAAAATTGTATATTACTTTCGAAAGCTTTTTTGATATTATTTCGATTGGTTAATATACATTTTTGAAAAAAAAATTTTTTTTTGATCTAAAAAAATGGAACTCAAAAATAAAAACTTTTTCGGTTAAAGGTACGATTTTTTTTTTTTTATCGAAAGCTGAGGTTTTTTTCTATAAAAATATGTATGTAATTATTTAAAAATATTCTTCTAGGTTTACCAAAAACTTTTTTATTTAAACCAAAATTTGCATGTAGTTGTATATTATCAACAGCCAAGTGCAATGGATTTATTTACGGAAACAAAACTCATACAGTTATGTTCGATATAAGAATAACAAATTTGGTAAGCGATTAAAAAGAAAAAAAAATCTTTTTTTATTATAAAGAAATAATGAACGTCAAAAAAATTATTATTTTTATAACGTTGGGAGTAAAAATACACAAAGAGAATTAACATACAACACGAACAAAAATCTTTATCTGGAACAGCGATATGTTTCTCTAGAATAGCGAAAACTTTAGCATATCGCTGTTTCAGGTAAAGATTTTTTTTCTGTGCAATATAAACCATTGATGCTTAAGTCAAAATATTCAAAATATGTTTAAAATATTAAAATTTTTTTAAATATTAAAAATATATTTAAATTTAAATTATTAAAATATATTTACTTGTGTCTTTTTTTAAAAGGGTTTGGAACCAGTTTCTTGTCCAATGGGAGAAGTTAATTGTTGCAAGTATAATAATAATAATAACAATAATAATATGCCTCCTAAACCTAAAAAATGTGGGGAAAGAATTATTGCCTCGAATCAGCTTAAAATTAACGATCAATCTGCATATGGTGCTTATCCATGGCACGCTGAGATCATAGATCTTAATAATCAATATATTGGCGCAGGTGTTATTATTGATGATTCTCATATAATTACTGTAGCACATTTAGTTTATAAATTGTAAGTATTTCATTTATTTGCAAATTTTTGTTATATTTTATTTACTTATGTGATGCTCCAAGAAAACAGGGACCTCAGATGGCAAAAAAATTTTAGGTTATGTTTGTGATTTTTGAATTGAAAATTGACTCAAAATTGATTTTGATTTTATATAATTAAAAATGAATGTTTAACACAAGGAATAACTATCACTGAACATAACCTAAAATTTAATTTTGCCTGTAAGGTCCCTTTTCTCGTGAAGTGTCACGTACAATATTGTGACAATTTGCATAAAGGAGTTTGGTCACTGTAGACAGCTAAAATCCCACATAGCACGACTTCTTGCTGTGAGGTTACTGTAAGGATATCTGTAAGGTTTGTAAGGTTACCGTGTAAGCCTACAGTAAACTTGAGGTCATCTTAAAATTTCCGCTATTAAGCTTACACAGTAAAGCTAAGGTAAGCTTACACAGTAAGGTCGTGGTAAGTTTACATGGTAAGGTTGTGGTAAGCTTACACGGTAAGGTTGTTGTAAGCTTCCCGTAAGGTTACTGTAAGGTTGCTGTAAGGTTACTGTAAACATAGAGTAATATGAAAATATATTAAAAATAATTATATTATAATATGTATTATATTATAAATTTTTTTTTAAAATTATATATTTGGTAAAGTACTTGATGAAACCCAATAGGGTTTGTTAAATAAAATTTACTGCGCAGCCGTATGTGCCATAGAAAACTACTGCGCATAAATATTAATAAAATTTATTTATTAATAACATTCTATGTTTACAGTAACCTTACAGCAACCTTACAGTAACCTTACGGGAAGCTTACAACAACCTTACCGTGTAAGCTTACCACAACCCTACCATGTAACCTTACCACGACCTTACTGTGTAATCTTACCTTAGCTTTACTGTGTATGCTTACTGTAATAGCGGAAGTTTTAAGATGACCTCATGTTTACTGTATACAGTAAGCCTATAGGCTTACACGGTAACCTTACAAACCCTACAGATATCCATACAGTAACCTCACAGCAAGAAGTAGTGCTATGTGGGATTGAACGTTTTTTTTTTAATTGAAGAAAGAATAGAAAAGTAATTGAGGGTCCCGATCAAATAACTCGACCGACGCTCAGAGGCTTGGTCTAATGGCAGTCAAGTCAACTCAAAAGTTGAGACGTGTCAATATTTCTCAATTTTAGCGATAAATGTATGCAGGGAACTTTTGAATTGGAATAACTTTCAGTGAGAGTTTTGTTTATTAGTATATAAAGAAGTTTTCTGTAAAATATTAAACCATTTAACATAAAACTTTGGAAAATATAACTGTTTTAAAAAAATGTAACTTGCGCGTCACTGCAGTCAATTAATTTATAATAGTATAGCTACAAAAATACGTGGCCGATAATGTTTTTTTTTTAATAATTCTACAGTGGCCTAACCTCTAAATGCTGTTCTTACGATTCAACGGCATTTTGAAGTCGTGATACTGCAATAATAATTTTATTAGTTCATGGCACATGGGTAGGTTATCATTATCCCCATTCGCTATTTGTCATAATTTCTCGTCAACTACCGCACCCTGCTCTAGTAAAAATTTAGTAACTTTATTTTAAAAATTAAAAGTTACTATAAAATAACTAAATTTTTACTAGAGCAGGGTGCGGTAGTTGACGAGAATTATGACAAATGGCGAGTGGAGACAATGGAAAGCAACCTAATTATATTATAATGGAAAATATTTTTGATCTTTTTTTAATTATATTTGCAGAGAAAATAAATATAAAATAAGACTTGGTAAATGGAATAGAACAAGTAAAACGGAACAATTTCTTGAAGTAAAACCATTGTCAACAAAAATTCACGAGGCATTTAATATAGAACTTCTTTTTAATGATATAGCTATCATTAAGATTGATCGAAAAATTGTATTTCATAATTATGTCAATATTAATGCTGCTTGCCTTCCAACTGCAATTCCTCCTTCTGGTATCATGTAAATAAATGAAAATAACAACAGTGTTTTTATTCTAAAAATTCGATTATTCTTTTAGTACACATAATTGCAAAAAAATTGTCCTTTGACTGCATTTTGAAAGGTTGTGATACTTCTACAATAATTTTATTAGTTCGTGGCATATGGTGTATGGAAGGTTGCCATTGTTCCCACTCGTAATTTGTCATAATTCTCATATACCGCACCCTGATTTAGTGAAAATTTAGTGACTTTATTGTTAAAATTAAAAGTTACTATAAAGTCGCTAAATTTTCACTAGGGCAGGGTGTGGTAGTTGACGAGAATTATAACAAATGGCGATAATGGCAACTTTCTGTATACGCCATAAACAAATGAAAATGTTATATAAGTGTCACGACTTTTCAAAATGTCTTCAAAACCGGAAGGACATCATTTATGCAATTGGGTACAGATTCTTTAGTAACTTACTGAAAACTCATTGGGTTCATAAGTTTTCAATAAGTTTCCAATGATTTCGTATTAGTAGGGAGAAGGAAAAAGTTACTAATAATTTTTTTTTAAATTAAACCAAATTTAGATGCTGGACTGCAGGATGGGGAAAGAATAATTTTACCAGTGACAAATATGAAAATATTTTAAAAGAAATTGATTTACCAATAGTTGATCACGGAACTTGTGAAAAGCAATTTCAAAAGACAAGACTTGGATCTGATTTCAAGTTAGATTCCAAAACTTTTATTTGTGCTGGTGGTCAACTAGGAAAGGACAGTTGCACGGTAAATACACTTATCTGCATATATATATGCTGTCCGGTTGGTTTCCATTGTCCCCACTCGCCAAAGTTCCCACTCGACATTTGTTATAATTCTCGTCAACTTCCGCACCCTGCTCTAGTGAAAATTTAGTGACTTTATTATTAAAAGTAAAAGTTACTATAAATTTACTAAATTATCACTAGAGCATGGTGCGGTAGTTGACGAGAATTATGACAAATGGCGAGTGGGGACAATGGAAACTAAACAAACCAGAAGGACAGTATATAATAATTTAATTAGTTCATGGCATAATGTATACACCATACGCCATGAACTAATAAAAATATTATAGAAGTGTAATTGTTTTCTTTTTTTTTTCTTTTTAGGGCGATGGAGGAGGTGCATTGATTTGTCAGCCATTAAACGGACGATTTGAAATTGTAGGATTGACTGCCTGGGGAATTGGTTGTGGTCAACAAAATGTTCCAGGAGCTTATGTACATGTTTACAATTATCTTGATTGGTTAAAAAGAAATATGTAACGAAAAAAAATTTTTTATGAATATTTTAATGTAATATTGTTATGTAATTAAAAAAATAATTAAAAATCAATTTATAAATAACTTTTGTACAAGTTTAATTTTTTTAAAAATTATATTTATGTCATTTTATGCTATTTTAGATGTACTATTTTTAATTTTTGAAAACTAATGTCTAATTTGTAATCTGCGACTTTAAAAACTCCCAAGTTTCAAGCAAATTTGATTAATTTTTAATATTTTCTTCCGCGATATTGGATTCGGCATTAAAAATTTTTTTAATTGACTTCAAATTCGTAATCAGTGACCCCAAAAACCCCCGCGTAACGAGTTTCAAGCGAATCGAATAAATTTTTAAAAGTTCGTCTGCCATTTTGGATCCGGCATTTTGAATTTTAAAAAACTGAAATCAGATTCGTAGTCAGCGACCTCAATAACTTCTGAGTAAAAATTTTCACGCGAATTCAATGAATTTTTAAAAATTTGTCCGCCATATTGGATCCGCCATTTTGAATTTTGAAAATCTAACATCAAATTTGTGATCATCGACCACAAAAACCCCCCGATAAACACGTTATCAGAAGAATCCTTTAAAGTTATTATCTAAATGAACAATTTGTTTATACAATTTGTTAATAATAATTTTGTTAACATATTAACAACTTTTTTGTTTTAATTTTTTCAATTTCCAACATAAAATTCTTAAAATAGAGTCATTTTCTCAAAAAAATACTTAAAATTTTTTTTTTTTTAAATTTAATTTGTTTAAACATTCTAAATGGTTAACAAAATTTTTTAAAAATCTGACTCCAAAGATCTTTTCTAAATTTTATACAGATTAGAAAAAAAATTGAATTCAGTTAAAAATTGTAAGCTGTAGGGGGTTTTGAGATAACTAATGTCATTTGGTCTCCCACTATGCAGCGCTATGCGGCAAAATAGTGAACTCTTCTTATGCATCAACAAAGTCGTCATATTTCTCATGATTTTCATGTAGAGTTACTCCAAACCATTACAGCGCTTGCGCAGTAGAAAAAAACTACTGCTACGCCATTGTGGAGTTCCGTAAGGGATACGCTACCGAGCGGACGCGTTATTTTGCTTACGAAACATACATTGAATTTCACGGGTTCTCCTAGTTCGGTGTCATCTTGCCAATAGCGATTAAATCCGGGATCTTCTTTTTTCCTTTTTAAAGACTCAAAGAGTCTTATTGTGGGTCTCATAACATTCTCACCTTTCGTAGTATAGTTGTTTTCTTTTTAGGTTAGCCAGCCTCGTGGCTGTGCGCGCGCGTCGCAGAGGCATGGCCTCTAGCGCGGATTTCTCAACTTCCGCAATGGACTTTACTGATGAAACAGAGGAGGAGATAGCTGCGAAAAATTTATTATTTTATCAAGATAATATAAAAAACATTCGTTCGAGAAACAACTCGACATCGTCCCTCGAATCGGAACAAAAACGTAAATGCGAAAAATCGGACCCATCCATGCCGCCTCCTTCTTCTGCCAAAGTGCATTTAAAATCACTTGATAATACAAATTCGGCAATTAATAAATCTAAAATCAAACTCACGAAATACGAAAATTCAAATAAAGGCAACTGTCCAATTTTCTTACAGCGCGATCCCAATTCGAAAGATGCGTCGAAAGACTTAAACCATGTGTCGGTCGGTAAAATCATCCACAACCTTTACCCGGGTAAGGTTGTCGGTATTTATCCAAGTGGTCGCGGAAAAGTTCGTGTTATCACGAATAGTGGCAGAGCGGCAAACCAGATTTCATCTGACCCCACTCTGAAATCAAAAGGTCTAATTGCAATAATCCCATCAAGTTTCGTCACATGTCAGGGCATCATTAATAACATCGGGATAGATATCTCTACAGATGAAATCTTAGAACACGCAGAAGTTGTAGGTGTTAATAAAGATATTAAAATCATTGGTGCCATGAGGTTTAACCGCAAAAAAATTGACGAGGACAACACGGTTAAGTATGAACCTTCCACTACCGTTCTTCTAACCTTCCAAGGTACTTCCATTCCAGAACGCGTTGCAATTTATAAAGGTTCATCCCCAGTGCGTCCCTACGTACCCGACCCACGTATGTGCCTTAATTGTCTAAGATTTGGCCATATAGCCAAACACTGCAGGTCCAAACCTCGATGTCAACAATGCGGCGGCTCAGCCCCCCATACAGACGATTCTAACCCCTGTACCCACGCGTCAGGTCCTCCAAGATGTGCAAATTGTAACGGTCCACACAAACCTTCTTCAAAACAATGTCCAGAATTCACTTTTCAAAAAGAGGTGCGCTACTATGCGACACAACACAAAATGTCCTTCGATGAAGCCAAAGAAATTCTTAAACCAAAAAAGGTAACTCGTCATATAAATTCATTTAACTTTTCCGACTTTCCTGATCTGGTAGATCAACCAGCCCCTTCTGCATCTCTCACACAAAATCCAAACTCTAACCTCCAAAAACACTTATTTTCTCAAGTGTCATCCACTCACAATAACCACTCTCAACGGTTATCAAACAACACGTCACACTCTCGCATACACGAAACACAAAAAAACAACTCTTCTTCTTCATCCTTTTTCGCTACAAATTGGAACAACGGCAGGTCTAACATCTCCATGCCTAACGGTTTTGCTCTTTCCAAACACACATCTGCCTCTCCTTCCTCTCCTCCACCTGAACCTCACACATCTAACTCCAACCCTCAATTTCAAGAATCACTCACTTCTTTCATTTCACTTTTAAACATGCATGTCACTCAAATTTCTTCCAACTCACCTCCAGAAATCGTGAAACAAAAACTTGAAACTCTCTCTAACATCATCACTAGCCTCCATTCTTTGTTAGCTCTTCCAGCTCACAAGGATGGCTAGTCTTTCCAAATTAAATATCTTACAGTGGAATTGCCGTGGTGTCTCTAACAAGACACACGAAATTCACAAACTTTCCAATCAATTTGATATTCTCCTCCTTTGCGAAACTTTTTTGAAGCCTGAGAAACGCGTTAACTTTAATATTCTTAAACAATTTAATATTATTAGATCAGACAGAACAGTAAATAAAGGCGGCGGCCTTGCTTTTGTAATTCGCAAGAATTTAACATTTTCAAAAATCGGTTCAATTTTCACTCGGGAGGATGAATTTGAGACACTCGCTGTTTCAATTGACTCCTCCATGGGTGAACTTTTAGTAGTATTAGTTTATAGAGTTCCGGGTAAATTAACCCCTCCCACCTACTGGAAAAATTTTTTCAACTCCATAAAAAATTCGGGCTTCAACACGGTTTTTATAGGAGGAGATTTCAACTGTCACAGCACCCTATGGGGTAGCTCTCATGTTTGCCCCAACGCACGTAATCTATGCGATGAATTGGATGTTACAGACCTTATTCTTTTAAACAATGGATCACCCACTCTATTAAGCCGTCCACCAAACCCTGGTTCTGCTTTAGACCTTACCTTCGTAACTTCAAATCTATACACAACCTCTTCCTGGAAGGTCTACAATGACACTTTAGGTAGTGATCATTTTCCCATCTTCACATCTTTAGGTATTACAATACCTATTTCCATATTTGCTTCACATAAATACAATTTGAGAGGTATTGACTGGTCTCTCTTCTCTTCTGAACTCCATTCGTCCATAGAATCAAACTCAAATGTCCTACACACAGATAACCCAATCTCCGATTATGATCAATTTGTACATCTTGTAGATACAACAATTAACTTAATTTGTCCACAACGCACAACCTCATCTAACACACGTCACAATTCCTCCTCATCTAAAAAACCATTTGTTCCTGCACCTTGGTGGGACAGTAAATGCGATGAAGCAATCAAAAATAGGAAAGAAGCCTTAAAAAATTATAAAAAACTATCAAATTACTCGAATTTTCTTATTTATAAAAAAACCGAAGCCATAGCCAAACGTACCCTTAGTGAAGCCAGGCGACAATCCTTTAAAACATTTTGCGACTCTTTAGACAGACATACACCTTTAACGAAGGTATGGTCTGTCATTAAATCATTCAAAAACCGATACACACAACCCTCCTCTGCATCTTGCTCGGCAGACAGGGAAACTATTGAAAAATTACACTCACTCGTCGATGAACTTTACCCACCTACCGTTTTTCATGACGACTTCCCCGTTGATTTTGACAACAATCCGTTCTTAGAAGCTTCTTTTACTATTTCCGAATTGACAACAGCTATTAAATCATGTAAAACTAAATCATCCCCGGGCCTTGATAAAATAGACTACAACATTATTCAACACTTTCCAGACATAGCCTTATCAACTCTTCTGTCAATTATTAATAGAATAATCTCCAATGGCGTTTTCCCTTCTTCCTGGAACAATTACCTCATTTTCTTCCTTCCAAAATCCTCACCTGGTAAATTTCGTCCTATTTCCCTAGCATCTTGTCTTTTTAAAATTTCCGAAAAACTAATTTACAATAGACTTATCTGGCTTATCGAACGTGATAAGATCCTCAGTCCAAGACAATTTGGATTCAGGAAAGGTAAATCCTGCACGGATTGCCTTTCACTGCTCTCCACTGAGATTTGGACAGGCTTAGCACAACGCGAAATCACCGGTGCACTCTTTTTAGATATAAAAGGGGCTTTCCCTAGCGTGGTACCAAATATTTTAATTAAAGATCTTAAAGAAATAGGCATTCCGGAATCAATTTCTCGTTTTATATATAACTCAATTAAATGTAAAAATATGTTTGTCAAAATCAACGGCGAGGTTATAGGCCCTAGAACCAGTACGGTTGGCCTTACACAGGGCAGCATACTTAGCCCAATCAATTACTCCATTTACACTAGAAAACTTAATACCATTATTCCTGCAGATTGCGAATTAAACGAATTTGCCGACGATTTATCTGTTACCTGTCGCTCCCCTGACCTTAACCAAATTATTAATTCTCTTCAAAGTTGCCTTAATATAATTTCCGAATTTTTAACCGACAGAGGTCTGGAAGTTTGCCCAGTTAAAACTAAATTCATTATTTTCAGTAACAAAAAACTTAATTCAGATGACCCTAACCTTTCTTTAACTTTAAATGAAATAATTATTAAACCATCCCCCACAGTTAAATATCTTGGTATTCACTTTCACGAGTCTGCTTCCTCCGATACTCACTTCAACTATCTTTGCGATAAAGGAAGAAAAATTCTAAGTGTACTAAAAGTCCTTAGAGGCACTTGGTGGGGAGCGGACCCTCATCTACTCCTTCGTATTTACGATTCATTACTTAGAAGTCCCATAGATTACGGTTCACAAGCCTCTAACTTTAAATCTCATAAAAATTTCTCCCGTTTAGAAAAAATACGTAACCAAGCTCTGAGACTAGCCGTTGGCTATAGACAAAGCACCCCTATCAATGTAATGTTAGCTGAATGTTGTGAACCCCCCTTAAGAACAAGATTTAATTTCCTTGCTAAAAAATATCTTTATAGAGTTTTCTCAAATTCCACCCATCCACTTCGAACTAAACTTCCAGAGCTCTCTCGCCTTACCATCGATTCCAACGTAAAATTCAACTATCCCCTTTTAATCGCATTTGAAAAATCAAAAAATTATAGCGAACTAATTAGAAGTAAGGACCTCGATCCTTACTTTGAATTCCTCTTTGAGGATCACTCATTTACTCCCCAGATTATTCTTAACTGGGGTCACTCACTTCAAAATTCATGTAATCCCTCTATCGATTTTAAGAACTTAACTAATTTTAACTTCCCTAATCATACCTTTTTCTTCACCGATGGCTCTAAGTCTGAAGTGGATCATTTGGCTGGCTGTGCCTTTGTCTGCCCTTCTTTAAACCTAACTTCAAAATTTAAAATTTCAGATTACTCGTCAATTTTTTCATTAGAAGCATTCGCAATTTTATTTTGCCTAGATTATATAATTAATTCCGATCTTTCTAACACAGTTATTTTTTCAGACTCACTTAGCGTTCTTAGTAACTTGACCTCAAAAAATACCTATAAAACGAAATCTTACATAATTTTTACAATTAGAAACAGATTAAAAATACTTGACAACCTGAATCGTCCAACAACCCTTGTTTGGGTTCCAGGTCATTCAGGAATTGAAGGAAACGAGAAGGCAGACGTCGCAGCCAAGGACGCAACTGCCAACTCAGATTTAGTTAACATACCTCTCCCCTTTTCTGACTTCTTTTGCCTTGCCAAAAAACAATTAGTTGACAGCTGTAACTCCTTTTTTAGAGACATAGGTAAAAACAAGGGAATCCATTACACCCAACTTTATTATAAGTCACGTAGGAAACCATGGTTCGCGAACTTTACAGCTCGACGACAATGGATCGTTTCCTTATGTCGTGCGAGAGCTAATCATTATAACCTAAACGCCAGCCTCGCTAGAAAAAACTATATTAAATCGGGTGATTGCTCTCACTGCCCTAACACAGAACAAGACCTTGACCACATATTATGGGCCTGTCCCAGATTCGATACTCTTCGGGCAGATTTAATAAAATCTCTTTCTAGAGCTTTAAAATGCTCTCCTCCTTTTAGTTGCGTACAATTCCTTACCAATCCCACCCCCAGAGTTGTTTCTCACATTTTTAGATTTTTAAAACGCGCTAAAATAAAAATTTAACTTTAATTCAACTCATTACCAATTATTACTCTTAACTGTTTAAATAATTACCTCTTTTTATATATACTTTAATTTTCGCGCTCTCCTCCTCTGTGTCTCATCATTGGTGCGCGGTGGTTCAACCGGGAATCCATCTTGGATCCCCGGTTGCACCTCTGCGCGCCCGTGCGGCGGCATACGAACCGCCTTTTCTCTGTTCACAGATATCAAGTTTAAGCCTCATTCATTCACCAGGTCATGGCCGGATATATAGGCGCAAAGCCAGTATAGTGCCAAACACAACTTAACTTAACTTAACTTAGCTACGCCATTGTAAACCAATCATAACAGCAGGTCATCATCAAATGGTTATCATCCTCTAAAAAAAACATAACTATATAGTGTTAAAAATTCTTAATTGTCAACATCAGGAAATATTTTACTCATTTTTTTCAAGTCCATTATAAATGATCAATTATATTAGTATAAATATTTCTAAATTAGTGAAAAGTGAAAAAATTCAAGTTTAGAAAAAAGAAACAAATACGACAAATTTTGTAAATGTATATATACCTATATATATGAAAATATATATGTATATATATATATTTAAAATAATATTGAGAAAATTGTGAAAGTGTGTTTTGACGTAAATATGTGTGGGATGTAAATAAATGTTGATAAATGGAAAATGGATGCCACATTGCATCAAATAAATTGTGGATAATCATTTTTCACTACTTATTCGTACAAGATATTTAGAATACTATATTCATTGACTGATGGGCGTTGGTGAGTCATTATTGTTTTTTTTTGTTTTTTTTCGTAATTATAGAGTTATATGTATATACATATATAGAGAGAAAGAGACATAATCAGTAATTTCGTTTTCGTGTCACGTCTAAATATTTAAAGGTCCAGATAATTGAATAAATAACCATTCCATGTGTGACTTTTACTCCCTGGGAGAGCGATCTATAAAAAAAAAGAATTCTTTAGAATTCTTTTCATCTAAACAAAACTTTTTTTTCACTAATATTTTTAAATGTCACATGATTTTTTTTGTGTAATTTTTTTACTTTTTTTGAAATCGCACACAAAAAAAATGTTAATGTTATATTTAAATTCCGTTTTTTTAAGTACTACTAATTATACAAACTAATTTAATTAAATACATTTTTATAATTTATAAGTCAATAAGAAAAATTAATATTTTAATGATAAGTAATTTTTACACTCGTTTTCTGTTATTAGTTTTTATTTTAATTATTACAAAAAAGAAATTAATATTTAATATTAATTAATATTAATATTATAATTTTGTATTAATTATTTATAATTTTAGTAACTAAATAATTTAAAAACAAATTAAAATAAATAACCTATAATAATTAATGACTAATTGTGGTATTTTTTTATATTTAAATAGACATTTATTTTTTAATTGTTATTAAATAACATTGAAATTGTTCCGTTTTTGTGTTAACTTAATTAAAAAAAATTGTATTTAAGAGTTGAATATTTTTTTTCAAATAGAATAACTTGTATAAAAATGTTTTTTTTTTGTTTATTTCTAAATATATCAGGGCTGACAAAAATCGTAATTTTTTTTAAATCAAATTTTTTCGATTTAAATCCGATTTTTTTTTTAAATTCGATTTTTTTCCATTTAAATTTGATTTTTTTAATTCCGAATGTTTTATTTGAATCTTATTTTTTTTATCTACGATTTATTTTATAATAATATTTATTTATTTTTACTTAAACGTAATATTTTTCAAACGTTTATTTTTAATTAGATTTTTTTTTAATAAATACTTCAACGATATTAAATAAATAAATAAATACTCCATAAAGTCATTTTTAACCATTTTTATTTTTAAAATAATTTTGAAACGAACAACTTAAAAATGCATCAAATAAAATTCAATTATTACTCAAAATTTCAATTCATAATCAGAGAAAATTCAATTATTTTAAAATTTTTCAATTCAACATCTTTTAAAATTCAATTATTTTCAAAATTTTCAATTCAAAATCTTTTAAAATTCAATTATTTTCAAAATTTTCAATTTGAAATCAAATAAAATTAAATTATTGCCCAAAATTTTAATTCAAAATCAAAGAAAATTCAATTATTTTCAAAATTTTCAATTTAAAATCAAATAAAATTCAATTATTACCCAAAATTTCAATTCAAAATTAATTATTATCAAAATTTTCCATCAAAAAACAACTAAAATTGAATTATTTTAAAAAATTTGAATTTAAAAGCTTCTAAAATTGAATTATTTCTAAAATTTTTTGAAATTTAACAATTTTAATTATAACTCTAACGAAATTAAATTATTTTTAACTATTTTTATAATATTTATTATAAATCACTTGAAGTTGAATTAATTTTAAAAATCTCAATTGTAAATCTTTAAAAATTCAATTACATTTAAAAAATTTCTGAAATTATTTGATAAATAATTTTTATTTCAGTAAAATTAATTATTGTCTGATAATTAACAAAATCTTTTAAAATTCATTTATTTCTAAAAATTTCAACTTTAACTATGAATTTTAGGTCATTTTTTTTTGTGGATTTCACGAAGAAAATAATTTTAACTTATTTTCGTAATCAGCGCATCAAATTACATAAATAAATATAATTAGTAGCAAGTTTGAGTTATTTTTGAAAAAATTTTATATTTAGAAAATTTTAAAAAATTCTAAATAAATAAATATTTATTTGATAATATTCAAGTAACGAATTATTTGAATTCAAATTTACTTAAAAACACAATTTTAACAAAAGAAAACTAAAATAAATAATAATAATTATTATAATAATATATAATAATAATAATTCTAATTTAAATACTAAATAAATTCATTCGCTGTCTTTTTTTTAGTAAAAACATAATAAGATGCAATAATGACTGCTTCAACGGCACAGAACGTTGAGGAGGATTTAAATGGCGAAACAGAATCAGAGGGGAGTAGCATTTATCAATGTAGTTCGGTCGTTTCAACAGTTCCAGATCGTCATGGTTTTTTGGGAGGATCACAATATAGTCCAGAGAGGTATTAAATTACATTAAAAAAAAAAAATGCAATTTTTTTTCTTTTTAATCTCATCAAAATTTAATATTTATTTTCATTTCTATAAATATTATTTTTACTTATTGATTTTGAAATCAATTTTTATTGAGAAGAATTTTTTCATATTTATTTATTTAAAAAAATTTTGTTACATTAAATTAAATTTAAATACAAAAGTTCATTTTAAATATTACATTATTGAAAAATTTTTTTCGTAATACTTTTTTTTTGCAAAAAATTAGTTACATTTTGGTAAAATTGGTTTTGGAAAAAAAATTGATTGGGAAAAATAAATTTTAAAAAATTATCCCTTATCCTTATATGATTGTATTATTTAAAGAAAAAAAAAGGAAAAAATGTTACAAAACTTTAATGTTTTTTAAATTTTTATAGTGAATTTTAAAGCATTTTTTTATCTCCTTTTTTCTATGCAGAAAATTTAGAAGTAAAAAATTTTCGACTTCTTTTTTTTAATTAAAATTGAAAAAATCATTAATTTTATTTATTTATTTTTATTTCATTTATTTTTAAAAAATTAAAATAAATAAATTTATTTTAGCAAAATTGAATTATAGTAAAAAAAGAATATATTAACAGAAATATTAGTATTCACATAAAAAATTTTAATAATTAAGATAATAATATTTCATTTACAGATTTTTGGGAAATTAAAATGTGATAGTGTGTATAAAATTCCAGTTTTTTCAAACAAAAATCATGCCAACTGGTTATAAGATTAAAATTATTATTACAGAAAGGTATTAATATTTCTTTTCATTTTTTTTTTTTTTTTTTTTGGTTTTAATTAGTTTCTTTATTTTTAATAAATAGAAAAAAAATTATTTTATTTATAATTTTTTTTAATACCTAGAAAATTAAATGTATATTTGAGTTTTTCACATTTATTTAATTTAGATTTAGAAAAACAATTTTTTTTAACAAAATTTAAATGAAAATCCATATTACAATGTTTTGGAAGTGATTTACGAAAAATTAAAGCATTGCTTTAAGTGAGAGGAAACAATTTATAATTCTGAAAATAATTTTTTAAAAAATACCTATTTTTGGAAATTAAATTAAAAAATTTAAAAATAAAAAAAAATTTCTAACCATTAAAATGTACCTAAAAAAACGCTTTAAAATTCACTAATTAAAAATTTTAAATCCCCAAAGTTTTGTACTATTTTTTTTTAATTTATCGATTTATGTCCAAATTATTTTCTGAATTAATTTATTTTTATTGAATTTACCAAAAAAAAAAAAAAGTAATAATAATAAAAACTTCAGTACCATGACTTTAATATCACGAAGTGCTCGTAAATAAATAAATTTATTAACTTTAATGTTTGAAAAATTATTAAATTCCCAAATGTAAAAAAAAAAATTAAATTTTTACAACGATACTTTTTTTGTTTTGTTTTTTCAAAAATACAGAAAACAAGCAATTTCACCTGAGGTGATATTGCGACGCGAACGAAAATGGATACGAATGTTGAACAATTGGAATATATTTATGAGTACAAATTATCGTAAAGTACGTGAAAGATGTCGAAAAGGTATTCCACCATCGGTGAGACTTCGTGCCTGGCTAAATCTTTGCGGTGGTCAATTGCTTTTAAATGATAATCCAAATTTATATGAGGAATTAATAAATAGACAGGGCGATCCAAAATATATTGAGGATATTAAAAAAGATCTTCATAGACAATTTCCACATCACGAAATGTTTGTTGACAATGGTCCTGGTCAAAAGGAATTATTTCAAGTTCTCAAGGCGTATTCAATTTTAAATAGCAAAGTTGGATATTGTCAAGCGCAAGCGCCAATTGCTGCTTTTTTACTGATGCATATGCCTGCGGTACAAGCTTTTTGGTGTTTGGTTGCTGTTTGCGATAAATATCTTGCTGGATATTATAGTCAAGGCATGGAAACATTGCAGAGAGATGGCGATATTCTTTTTGCTTTGCTCAAGAGAGTTTCTCCTGTTGCCTACAAGCATTTGGTATTTAACAAAATTTTAACTTGGTTTTTTTTTTCTTCCTTTTTCAGGCCTCGGATTATACGAATTTTTTTCGACTTATTTTAATAAAAAATGCGACTTTTTCTCGACTTTTTGTTATATTAAAAAAAAAAAAATTTTAACTATGTTTTTTTTAGTATACAATGCAGATTTTCTTCAGATCTTCAAATTTTTAACTAAAATTCTTCACTAAATTAATTATTTTCAATAATTTTAATGAAATTCTTCACAAATTTAATTATCTTAAACTATTTTTCAATTAAAATTTTTATAAAATTTAATAATTGCTTAAAATTTTTAAAAAATTAGCAAATAAAATTACTAAAAATTTTTTTATTAAAAATCACTTGAAATTTAATTATTTGCAAAAATTTCAATTATTTTTATAATATTCTTAGAAAATTCAATTATCTGATAGCATTTTTCAATTAAAAACTTTTGGAATTCAATTTTTTTTTCTGTGATTTCTAATTAATTCTTCATCAACAGAAATCAATAAAAATTACTATTATTATAATTATTGTCTGAAATTTAACAAAATTTTTTTGAAATTTAATTATATTCAAAATTTCAATATAAAAGCTTCTAAAATTTAATTATTTCTAAAATTTTCCATCTAAAATTTTTTGAAATTTTATAAATTTCAAATGAAATTCGATTATTTTTAATGATTTTTATAATAATCTTCGAAAATTCAATTATCTGAAAGCATTTTTCAATTGAAGTTTTCAAATTATTGAAATTTTTGTTTACAATTTCAAATAAATTTTTTAGTAACTAATAATCAAAAATTTTTAATTAAAAATCACTTCAACTTCAATTAATTTCAAAAATCTAAATTGTAAATCTTTGAAAATTCAATTACATTTAAAAAATGTTATCTAATATTAATTGAAAAATTATTTTTAGTTCTGTAAAATTTAATTATTGTTTGAAAATTAACAAAATCTTATGAAATTCAATTATTTCTAAAAATTTCAACTTTAACTCTTTCAAAAATTATTATCTAAAAAAATTTTTTTATTTAAAAATCTGTTAAACTTGATTAAGTATTTCTTGAATTTTTTTTTTTACCATTAAAACTAAAAACTATGACAAAATTTTTAATTCGAATAAATTCCTTAAATCAGACATGAAGAAATTATAAAAATGGAACTTTAAGAATTTTTTTTTCAAAATTTGTCCTACTTAAATAAAATTTTGAAATTTTTCATAAATTCAATTATCTTAAAATATTTTGCAATTTAAAAAATTTTTGAACTTCAATATTGTTTCAATCACTTGAAATTCAATTATTTTAAAAAATTACAATTTAAAACCATCTAAAATTTTCCATTTAAAACTTTCTTAAATTTAATAATTTTCAACTATATCTCTTTTAAAATTTCATTATTTTTAATGATTTTTATAATATTCTTAATAAATTCAATTATCTTGAAAGCATTTTTCAATGAAAAAATTTTTAATTTCAATTTTTGTCTGAAATTTATAATAAATTCTTCAGCAACAGAAATCATTGAAAATTTCAATTAAAAATCACTTGATGTTCAATTATTTTCAAAAATAAGTAAATAAATAAATAAAAATCTGAATTGTAAATCTTCTGAAATTCAATTATTTTGTTAAAAAAAGTTATCTAGAATTATTTGATAAATTATTTTCAATTCTGGAAAATTTAATTATTGTCTTAAATTTAAGAAAATATTTTGAAATTCAATGATTTTTCATAATTTCAATTGTAACTCTTCGAAAATTCAATTATTTTTTATAATTTTAATAATTCTTTAAAAATTTAATTATTTAAAAAAAAATTTAAGATAAGAACTCTAGAATTGAATTATTGTCAGAAATTTAAAAAAAAACTACAGCAGTTTAAATTTGCAGAGAATTTATTTAAAATTTTTAAATAAATTATTAAAAAAAAAAATTCAATTAAAAAATGCGTAAAACTTAATTATTGTCTGAAATTTTTTTTTACCATTAAAACGAAAAACTATGTAAAAATTTAAAATTTGAACAAATTGCTTATATCAGACTTGAAAAAGAATTTAAAAATGAAACTTTAAAAATTTTTTTTTTAGAAATTTGTCTTAATTAAAATTTTGAAAATTTGTGTTACAATTAGTTCGATTCTGAAATATTCGAAATAAATTTTTTCGATAATATTTTTTTTAGTTTTTTTTGCGCCTTAAAGTCGATCCGAGGCCTGAACTATTTCCGTTTTTAGAAATTAGATAAGTATAACAAAATTATCTAGTTATTTCAGAAACTAATTTAATTAATTAAACAAAATTTTTTAAATAATTTAAAATGTTTTTGTACTAATTTTAAAATGTCGATTAAAAAAAGAATTTATCAGGCTTTGTTTTTGATTGCTTTAATAAAGAAATTTTAAATATTTGAAATATTTGAAAAATATTTCAAATACAGAAAAAATAATTATTTAAATTTCATTATTAATATCGAAAGAAAAAAAGAAGATGAGATTTTAATTTGGTAATTTTTTTTTTTCTTTTTCTCTTTACAGAAGAAACAAAAAATGGAGCCAATTTTGTATATGACTGAATGGTTTCTTTGCGTTTATACGCGCACATTGCCATGGGAAAGTATTTTACGAATATGGGACATGTTTTTGTGCGAGGGAGTTAAAATTATTTTCAAAGTTGGTCTAGTTTTATTGAAAGGCTGCCTTGGACGAACGTCTGTAATAAAAAAATGTCCAACAATGTATGAGACCCTACAAATTCTCAGAAATCCACCTCCTGAAATAATGGAAGAGGAAGTATTAGTCTATGAGGTAAGAATTTAATTAAAAATATGAAATAATTAAAAAAAAAATTCTGATTCTAAATATAAAGTTAAAAGGTATTTTTTTAATCTTTTTTTTTAAATTTAAATTAATTTTAGTTTTTTTTTAGTTTATTAGTTCCAATTTTGTAATAAAAATAATTATTCAAAAAATTAGGTTTTTAGTTAAAATTCTAAAGAATTTAATTTAAAGAAAAATATTTTATCGCGAAAAATTAAAGAAAAATATGTCCTTTTTGATCGCTTAGAATTTTTTTTAGAACAATTTAATAAAAAAAATAAATAAAAAATAAAATGATGTATTAAATAAAATTCTATTTTTACACAGATCCAAAAATTAAATATCACTGAAGAAGATTTTGAGTACGAGCATCAGAAGCAAATTCTTAAAAAGAAAAATAAAGAACGTAAAAACGCTTCTTTAAAGAAAAAGGACTGAATTTATAAAGCTAACTAGTTTATAAAGCAAAAAAAAAAAAAAAAAAGAAAAAAATACCGTCACACAAAAAATGTGCCTTTCCTTGAATGTCGTCTTTTTTTTGTTTGACAAATATAAATACATAGAATTTCGATGATTTTTTTTTTCTTGTGAAAACATCGCGATTATTAATTTTAAGAGAAAGATGACACTAAACTTTTCTGGTGACAAAAATGAGAGAAAAAAAAGAACTTGTTTCAATAAATTAAATTTATATGAACAAAAAGTAATTGATTCGTTGCGTTTTTAATAATATATTTCCAAAGAAATAAAATTAAAAAAAAAGATATAATTTCAATAATTATTGTACAAGTTATTCACCGGAAAAGACGACCAAAAAAAATTTATTTAAAGTATTTTTTTTGTTATTAAATGAAAAAAATTTTTTTTTCTATTTTCTTTTCTATGAAAGAAATTATGTTTTTGTATAAATGAAAGTATATATATATAAATTGTTGTTTTATTTAATATAAAAAGCACATATTTGGCATATATTTGCCATTAACTTTCAATTTTTTTTTTTATTTATCAGAACAAAAAATAATTTTTCATTTTTTCTTTATCTAACTCCAGTATTTTGTAACTCGAGAATACGTATTTAAAAAAAAATATATATATATATATCAATAATAATTACGCACTTCTGTCAATATCTTTATGTACAAATTAGCTCGTATGCATAATGTATTTTTAAAAAAATTTCATCATCGAATAAAGGTTTATATAAATATATATCTATATATATATATTTAACAAGAAATTCTTTTTTTGAGAAGAATTCATTGTAGATCGTTTTTTTTATAATAGCTAATTTATTTACATTTTTTCGTTTGATTTTGTATTTTATTTTTTTGTTTACGTATAAATAATTTCGCAATAAAGAAGAAATTCTTGCAAACTTAATTAACAATAATAATAATTACTAACGATATAAATTAAAATTCTTTAATATATATATTTAAAAAAAGGAAGAAAAATTGTAAAGAAATTAATATTGAATAAAATGATGAATATAAAAGTGAATCTTTTATTTTTCCTTTTCCAAATGAAAAAAAATGCAAAAAAAAGATTTATTATAATTATAAATTTTTTTTGTAACTATTTTTATGCTGTAAAATTGTAAATATTCTACAATTAATCATTGATACGAAGAAGTTTGCGAGTTCGAAGTACATCTTTGAACCATTTTGCAGATTTTTTATATCGTCTTGTTCTATTGGGATCATTGAAATCAACATGAACAATTCCAAATCGTTCGCTGTGAAAAAAAAACGAAAATTTTTTTTCGATCTTTTTAATTTTATTAGAATTCACAAACATCTGAATTTGAATAATGACAACATTTCCTCAATATTTTAATAGTACAGGAATATTGCAGAAATCATGAAAATATTTAGGAAATGTTGGCAATATTTTTGCAATTTTAAATGCTGTAAAGATATATAAAAAAAAATTGCTTAGCAAAATTTTTCCTTTTTTGTTAAAAAAAATACTTACGTGTAACCTTCCTCCCATTCAAAATTATCTAAAATACTCCAAATTGTATAACCTTTAACATTACAACCATCTTTAATAGCCAATAATAATTGTTTAATATAGGAATAATAATATTTAATTCGATTATCATCATTTAAGCCATCGCGATCTGAATATCCATTTTCAGTAACATACACCAATGGATTATTATATTCTTTTCTTATTTTATTCAGTATATTTCTAAATCCTACAGGTACTACCTGTAAAATAGGAAAAAAAATATTAGATAAAAAAAATCTTGACAAAAGTTCAGCGTACTAGATCTGCCATTTAAAATTTTTGAAATTTGACTTCAGATTCGTAATCAGCGACCCCAAAAACCCCCGAGTAACAATTTTTATACAAATTCAATGAGTTTTTAATTTCTTTTTTGCCGCCATATTGGAACCGCCATTATGAATTTTGAAAAAGTGACCTCAGTTTCGTAATTAGCGATCCTGAAAACCCCCGAGTAACAAGTTTTAAGCAAATCGAAATAATTTTTAAATCTTTAATCGCCATATTGGATCCGCAATTTTTAATTTTTAAAAACTGACCTTATATTCGCAATCAGCGACCTTGAAAATCCCCGAGTATCAGTTTTCAAAGCATTTCAAATTATTAAAAAATTTTGTTTGGCCGCCATATTGGATCCGCCATTTTGAATATTGAAAAACTGACTTCAGATTCATAATCAGCGACCCCAAAAACCCCCGAGTTACAACTTTTATACAAATTCAATGAGTTTTTAATTTCTTTTTTGCCGCCATATTGGATCCGCCATTATGAATTTTGAAAAAGTGACCTCAGTTTCGTAATCAGCGATCCTGAAAACCCCCGAGTAACAAGTTTTAAGCAAATCGAAATAATTTTTAAATCTTTAATCGCCATATTGGATCCGCAATTTTTAATTTTTAAAAACTGACCTTATATTCGCAATCAGCGACCTTGAAAATCCCCGAGTATCAGTTTTCAAAGCATTTCAAATTATTAAAAAATTTTGTTTGGCCGCCATATTGGATCCGCCATTTTGAATATTAAAAAACTGACTTCAGATTCATAATCAGCGACCCCAAAAACCCCCGAGTTACAACTTTTATACAAATTCAATGAGTTTTTAATTTCTTTTTTGCCGCCATATTGGATCCGCCATTATGAATTTTGAAAAAGTGACCTCAGTTTCGTAATCAGCGATCCTGAAAACCCCCGAGTAACAAGTTTTAAGCAAATCGAAATAATTTTTAAATCTTTAACCACCATATTGGATCCGCCATTTTTAATTTTTAAAAACTGACCTTATATTCGCAATCAGCGACCTTGAAAACCTCCGAGTAACAGTTTTCAAAGCATTTCAAATTATTTAAAAATTTTTTTGGCCGACATATTGGATCCGCCATTTTGAATATTAAAAAACTGATTTCAGATTCGTAATCAGCGACCACAAAAACCCCCGAATAACAACTTATATGCAAATTCAATGAGTTGTTAATTTTTTCATCCGCCATATTGAATCCGCCATTATGAATTTTTTAAATTTGATTTCAGATTCATAATCAGCGACCCCAAAAACCTCCGAGTAACAACTTTTATGCAAATTCAATAAATTTAAAATTTTTTTCATCAACTATTTAGCATCCGCCATTTTGAATTTAAAAATTTTGCAATTTTAATGTCAAATTCGCAATCAGTGATTAAAAAAGGTTCACAATACTCTCTGATATATCAAAATAAATCATTTTTGTTTCATTTTTTAAACCATCTTAATAACAAAATTTCATATATAAATATCATTTTTAAGGATATTTTGAAATAAATCAAATTTATCGCAATTGTGCGTCATAGGAAAAATCTCTCCAAGTATTTAAAAAAAAATTATTAAAGTCGGTTAAGATTTGTGTTGTTGGCAGATTTTTATCCACAGAGGGTAATTTTTTTCACTGTGCGGTTGGTTTCCATTGTTCCCACTCATAATTTTCGTCAACTACCGCACCTTGCTGTAGTAAAAATTTAGTAACTTTATAGTAACTTTTAATTTTAACAATAAAGTTACTAAATTTTTATTAGAGCAGGGTGCGGTAGGAGAAGAGTATTATGACACAAATGACGAGTGGGGACAATGGAAACCAACATTTTTAGGAGAATCCTGGATTATGCTTGGTTTTAGATTATATTAGAAGACAAAAAAATTATTATAACAATTTCTAATTCATCAAACCTTAAACCATGAACTGGCTGTTCCTGGCCATTCTGGATTGAACGTCCTGTAATAACCTGCATCGTTATACCATAATCCACCATCCTTTTTTTCAACTGGTACAGCAATGTACGAAGTATAATGATTGATTCCAAAAAAGTCGGACGTACCTCTGTAAATATTTTTATTATTGGAAATAATTTAAAATCTGTATACTGACTTATTAGCAAATATTGGTAACCTAATCGTCAAAGGAAAGGTAAGAATGAGTAAGAGAAGAAAAAAGATATTTGCTATCCTTCTCTTACTCATTTTTACGTTCCCGTTAGTTGGTTTCCATTGTTTCCACTTACCAAAATACCCACTCGCCATTTGTCTCAATTCTCGTCAACTACTGCACCCTGTTCTAGTAAAAATTTAGTGACTTTATTGTAAAAATTAAAAGTTACTATAGAGTTACTAATTTTTTACTAGAGCAGGATGCGGTAGTTGACGAGAATTATGACAAATGGCTAATAGGGATTTTAGCGAGTGGGGCCAATGGAAACCAACTCGTACAAGAATCTATTCTGCTTAGGCCTTTAAGTAGAAGGTACTCTGTACATACATTAGGAAAAGGATCCAAAAGACATAGATAAAGAGAACAGTTTGGAAAAGAGTGTATTATGGGGAAGTAGATTATTTGAAAAATTTCTTACTTAATGTAGTCAATTTCACTTTGTGAAAATTTAGGCAACCTAGACCAAGGCCAACCTAGAATTTTACTATTATCGTCAATCCGGTCTCTCATAACCTTAGGGTAATCACCATCTTTAGAAAAAATTGGATGCGCAGTCCAACCACAAGAATATTGAAACGCTATATCATCCGTTAAAGTGTCGTTTTCGATTTTTGAAAAGTAATACTGACAAGGAATAACAATTCCCATTTTGCCGTTTTGTTTAGGTCGAAATTCTTCATTATACATATGATAAACCTTAGCATGAGCTTTCAGAACATTGTGCATACAAAGATATTCTGCATATGAATCTGGATCTAAAGCTAGAAGTAAATTCAATTTAAATATTTTTAGGCTAACGCAGAATAGAATTGTAACCGCAAACGCAACTGGAATAATGAGTTAGAGAAGGACAAACAATATGTCTATTCTTCTCTAACTCATTCTTCTGCTGGCGATTTCGATTCTCCTCATGCCTTTAGACTAATTTCTATATTTGTGACAGAACAAAATACCTCGAGCTTTGCATTGCATTCATCTTACCAGGAGTTTTATCCAATCCTCCATAACCATAATGACAAAAGTCCATAGGTTCATTTACTGTTGCAAAGAATTTAACTTTTGAACCAAGTTCTTGAATAACGACTCTGGCATAACTTGCAAACCAATCGACCATTAATTCATTGGTCCATCCTCCGAGTTTTTCCAGTACTTCAGGATGATCCCAATGATAAATTGTAACAAATGGTTCTAATCCTTTTGCGCGCAATTCATCAATTAAATTTTTATAATATCCAATTCCTTCTGAACTGATCTTATTAGGAAAGCCAGTTGGAAATATTCTTGTCCAACTTATTGAGAAACGATAGAAGTCAAACTGTGTAAATGATAAGTAATTGAAACATTTATTGAGCCTTTGTATAAGAACTTATAATAATTTTGTTTTCGATTTTTTTTTGTGGATGTAAAATCTTAAACTGAAGGAAAATTAAAAAAATATTTTTGGTTTCTGTTTAGAATAGGCTTGACTTACTCCAATATCTTTTAGTATTGATACATCCTCTTTGTATTTATGATACGAGTCACAAGCCACATCAGCATTTGTGTGATCTTTGATGAGCCATGGTTTGTTATGGGTGAACCAGTCCCAAACGCTTTCTCCTTTACCTAAACATCAGATCGAGTTATAAAAATTGAGATTGAGTGGAGGTGTTGGGACGGTTATTGGTTTCCATTTTCCCCACTCGACATTGATTATAATTCTCATCAACCATCGCACCCTGCTCTAGTGAAAATTGAGTAACTTTTAACTAGAATTTCATTAAATTTTTACTAGACCAGAGTTGCGATAGTTGACGAGAATTATGAAAAGTTTGTCGGGACTTTGGCGAGTGGGGACAATGAAAACCCAACCGGACTACGTGAATATGAAGTTGCGTGCGCAGCTATTAAGTGGGGATAGAAAGAAGTGGGAGTTGGAAAAGAGTGGGGCTCAAGAGATATAAAAAGCAGATCGCAAAACCAAAATTTACATAAAACTGTTACTGATGTACCACAGAAAATACAGCAGCAAAATTCAATCCTATTGTAGGTATATTTCTTTTGTCTTTTTGCATAACTAGAATATCATATTTTAAATTTCAGGTTATAACCTCAATTGACATGACAGTTTTTTTGTTTGACAAAATAGTTAGAAAATATTTTTTCTTTTATTTCTTTTTAATTTAATGAATGTAATTTAATTATGCTGTCAAAATAATTACGTAAATAAATTTCAAAAATATATTTGCAAATAAATATTAAGGAAAATATAAGAATTAAAGTAAAATAGATTTTTTATCATTGAAGGTGTTGTGGATTTTCTTATGTACGTGTTTATTATATTTTTTCTGTAGTATTTTGACGAATGGAAATTTAATTCGAAGTTTATTTGCAATTATTATTGTAAGTAATATAATGAAATTTAAATTATAAATAAATAATTTTTATGTATAAATTTTTTAATAAAAATAGATAATGAAATTCACTTTTCAGTCATTGAATATAAAAATATTGGAAAATTAAAAATTTGATCGATTGTAAGATTTCACGTATATATATTAGCATTTGCAATTAATTAATGTGTTTATTATACTTTGGACGCTAAAAATGAACAAAGAAGATAAAATTGACAAATACCAATATAATATTTATAAAACAATGTCGGAAAATATAGCAAAATAATTATCAACATTGGAATGCGATAATAAAATTAAATTCACAATGTTACCACTTTCATTCCAAGCTCCTTCAATTTGATAAGATGCTGTAGCAGCTCCTATTATAAAATCTTTCGGAAATTGATAAATTTCTCTAGAATTCTCATTTCTGAAAATAATTATTTAAATAAATTATATATTTATTTCTAAACTCTGTAATTATAAAGTACTTAATATAAATATTTAATATTTTCTAACTATTTTCATCTGTTTTTTAAATATTTATTATTAACAAAACAAATGAAAGTATAGAAAGTATTAGGAATTAAAAATATAAATATTAAAATTATTATCTTACCCATAAACAGGGATTAAGGATGTTATCACTAAAACAAACACTAAATTAATTATCATCTTGAACATTTTACTTTCACTGCTCGACAAATGAGAACAATGAGATGTGTAATATTTTTTTATTATGTACATTTGAACAGGTCCAACTTGAGTTGGCTGTAAAGTGGTGGGAGTGGCACATCAGCTTTAGCATTTTATTATTAAAAATGCATGTCCAAGTGTAAAATGATCGCGGATATAAAAATAAAGTATTTTTTTTTTTAATTAGTAATTAAAATTTATTATTATAATTATAAATATTTAAAAATATTATAATGAAATTTGTTCTTTTAGTAGCAAGTCGATCCATTCTGTATAAAAAATGTTTGTCCTTGAAAATTGTTTAAAATTTTTTTAATAACAATTTGAATGACTAATAATTATTAAATTTGACACAAAAATTTAAAAAAAATTTAAATTTTTACAATACCATGGATCGATAAAGTAGATTTTTATTTTCTTGTCCAGAAAATTAGGTTGCATTCAATAAAATTATAATTAAATAATAAAAAGTATCACTCAAAATTGTATTTTAAGTCAAAAAATAATTTTAGAAATATTTTACTAGGAATTGGAAATAAAATTCTTTATTAGTAAATTTTTAGTTTATAAAAAAAATTATCATTTATTTTTTAAAAATTTTCTTTCAATGTTGTGTTTTTACGTTAAAAAAAAATTAAATTAAAATTACACATTATTACAATAAGTTTCATTAATTGGTAAAAGTTTTCGAATTCGAAGAACATTTTGAAACCATTTGGCAGAATTTTTGTACGATCTCTTTCGTTTTGGATCTTTGAAGTCTACATGAATAATTCCAAATCGTTCACTAAAACAGAATTCCAATAAATTTATATATCCATGCTTTTGTGTTTTTTTTAAAATAAAAATGTTAATTTTTATTGATGACTTACGTGTAACCTTTTTCCCATTCGAAATTATCTAAAAGACTCCAAAAGGCATAACCCTTAACATTACAACCATCTTTTATGGCCAATAACATTTGCTTTATGTACGAATAATAATAATTCATTCGACCATAATCATTAAGACCATCTCTATCTGAATATCCATTTTCAGTAACATATACAATTGGATTTTGATATTCTTTTTTTATTTTGTTTAACATATGCCTAAATCCTTCTGGTACAACCTTTAAAATATTTAAATTAAAATTAAGAGTCTTATTTCACCGCCGAATGGTTTGAAGTAGTAAGTTAAATTTGCGTCTGCGCTGAAATTGGATAATCATTTTGTGTTCTGCGCAGACGCGAATTTATATTATCCACGTCTAATTTATTAATTTCCTACTTTATCCTCTGCGATAAAAATAACCTCTAAGCGTCAAAAAAGTTGTATTAGATTTTAATTTATAATTGATAATATATATTAATTATAATTAACCTTTAGCCATGAACTTGCAGCACCTGGCCATTTAGGATTGAATGTCTTATAATAACCTGCATCATTAAACCATACTGATCCTTCTTTTTTTATTTGTGGTATTGCCACAAATGATGTATAATGATTCAATCCAAAAAAGTCCGATGAACCTCTGTTAAATTTTAATAATTTACATTTTTCAAACTTATATTTAATATTAATATTGATTTATACACCAACATGCAAATTACGGTTTGACGGCATTTTGAAAAATCGTGATACTTCTATAATAATTTTATTAGTTCGTGGCACATGGGATGGTTTCCATTGTACCCACTCGCCATTGGTCATAATTCTCGTCAACTACAGCACCCTGCTCTAGTAAACATTTAACTTTAACTTTAAAAAAGTAACTTTTAATTTTAACTAGAATTTAATTAAATTTCCACTAGAGCAGGGTGCGGTAGTTGACCTAGAATTATGATAAACGGGGAGTGGGGACAATGGCAACCGGTTGGTTTCCATTGTCTCCACTCGCTAAAATCGCCATTTGTCATAATTTCTCGTCAACTACCGCACCCTGCACTAGTAAAAATTTAGTAACTTTATTGTTAAAATTAAAAGTTACTATAAAGTTGGTAAATTTTTACTGGAGCAGGGTGCGGTAGTTGACGAGAATTATGACAAATAGCGAGTGGGGACAATGAAAACCAACCAACCTTCCATATGGTGTATACCAGGGATGGGTACTAGCATGACATAAAAAAAAGATAGATGATATTTTTATTCTTTTCTATCACATGCTTATGTTCTCGTTACTCTTTTATTTTGCGTTGGCCTTTTCACCAAACGCAATAAACTAATAATATTATTATTGGGATCTGAAATCATAGGGAATTATGGGGAAACTGACCCCGTTGCGTCAGACATCTATTTTTTTTATCTCTTTCTGCTACATATATTTTAAAAAAGATGAAACGAAAAATGGCTGACACAACGGGGTCGTCACCAGATGGCGTATCGCAGTATTTTAGATCCCAATTTTTCAAAATGTCGTCAAACTGGAAGAACAACATTTATGCAATTGAGTGAATATTGGTTACCATTGTACCCACTCGCCATTTGTCATAATTCTCGTCAACTACTGCACCCTGCTCTAGAAAAAAAATGTAGTAACTTTATTATTAAAATTTAAAGTTTACTATAAAATCAACAAATTTTCACTAGAGCAGGGTGCGGTAGTTGACGAGAATTATGACAAATGGCGAGACAATTGAAGAAAGAACATGCCTTATGTATTTAATTTCATCCTGAGTAAATCTTGGCAATCTAGATGTAGGCCATCCTTGAATTTTACTATTTTCATCAATTCGTTGCCTCATAATTGGAGGATAATCGCCATCTTTAGAAAATATTGGATGCGATGCCCAACCACATGAATAATCAAAAGCAATATCCCTTGTTTGAGTGTCGGTTTCATTTTTTGAATAGTAATATTGACATGGATTGACAATTCCTATTTTACCATTTTGAATTTGACGAAATTCATCATTATACATGTGATAAACTTTTGCGTGCGCTTTTAATACATTATGCATGCAAATATATTCAGCGTATAAATTTAAATTTAATCCTGAAAATATATTAATTATTTTTTTCTAATTGTATAAGTTAAAAATATAATGTGAAGATTAAAAAAAAATGTAATAGACTGTAAGTGGAATTATATATAAAGCTAACCTGGAGCTTTAGTAAGTCCTCCATAACCTTCAGGACAAAAAACCATTGGTTCATTTAATGTGGCAAAAAATTTAACTTTTGGACCAAGTTCTTGAATAACAACTCTGGCATAACTTGCAAACCAATCGACCATTAATTCATTGGTCCATCCTCCAAGTTTTTCCAATACTGCCGGATGATCCCAATGATAAATTGTAACAAATGGCTCCAATCCTTTTGCGCGCAATTCATCAATTAAATTTTTATAATATTCAATTCCTTCTGAACTGATCTTATTAGGAAAGCCAGTTGGAAATATTCTTGTCCAACTTATTGAGAAACGATAGAAGTCAAACTTTAGAAAAAATGAAAATAAATTATTGAATTTGTTCAAATAAAAAGAAAAAAGTCAATTTTTTTTATTTAAAAAATGTTTAAAAATTATTTAACTTACACCAATGTTCTTAAGTATTGACACATCTTCTTTGTATTTATCAAATGAATCACAAGCAACATCACCATTAGTACCATCTTTAATTAGATTTGGTCTATTATGGGTAAACCAATCCCAGACACTTTCTCCTTTTCCTAAAAAAAAATAAAAAAAAACTTGTAATCAATTTGTTTTGATTATATGAATTTTCGATAATAATTTCCGGGACGCATGATTATGTTCTAAAAATCATTAGTTAGAATTTTCATTTTATGAAATTTCATTTGTCATTATTTTTAAGTCGAATTTCTATTTCTTCGAATTAGTATTTTGTAGAATTTTCATCAAAAACGATTTTCTATATAACCGAAAATTCACTTTACAGAATTTTTATTTGTCAGAATTTTTATTTAACATAATAGGCATTTTAAAGAATTTTTATTGGGTAGAATTTCATTTCACAGAATTTTCATTTTATTCTTTCAGATATAAATTTTCATTTGTTCGAATTATTATTTGATATAATTTCCATTAAACCGATTTTTCATACTGTAGAATTTTTACTTAACAGAAAAATCATTTAACAGAATTTCTAATTAATAGAATTTTCATTTGTCCGAAAAAACAATCGACAGAAAGATTTCGGCGCTATTTTTAAAATCAACCAATCACAATTTTATGGATAATTTTTGATTGGTTGATTTTAAAAATCGCGCCAAAATCGATTGTTTGTTCGGTCATTTGCAATTTTGGACAAATGAAAATTCTATCAATTTGAAATTCTGTTTTAAATGATTTTACGATTAAGTAAAAATTCTGTAGTATGGAAATTATATCAAATAATAATTCGAACAAATGAAAATTCATCTGAAAGAATAAAATGAAAATTCTATGCAATAAAAATTATTTAAAATGTCTATTATGTTAAATGAAAATTCGAGCAAAGTGAAGTGAATTTTCGGTTATATAAAAATTATGTAATATAGAAAATCGTTTTGATGAAAATTCTGTGAAATACTAATTCGAACAAATTAAAATTCGGTTCAAAAATAAATATGACAAATGAAATTCGAGAAAATGAATATTCTTATTAATTATTTTTAGAGCATAATTATGCGTCCCTAATTTCCGTATGAATTTTAAAATATAAATTTATCACAAAAATCTCTAAGGAGTTCAATGAATAAAAAATTTATAAAATATTTTCAAAAACAAAAATTAAGTATTGTTTAAAAAATAAAAAAATTATCATCAGATAATTTGATAATGACATTGTTTACTGAATTACCACTTGAGTTCCAGGCTCCTTCAATTTGATAAGATGCTGTTGCTGCTCCTATTATGAAATCTTTTGGAAATTCCCAGTCTGTTTCCGTATTTTCATTTCTAAATAGTAATAATTTTAATAATGAAAAATAAAATATCAACTCCAACTCCACTGATTTTACCCAAGTAGCACGTAAAACTGATTCAAATTTCACTCATATTTTCTATTTCATTTTGGCTGATTCTAATTTTCACTCTTATTTTTAATTTAATTAATTTTTAATCAGTGGAAGTGGATATGAAAATATAAAAATATAGGATCTGAAAATAAAAGTGAAAGTGAGATTGAAAATATATGAGTAAAAAAATAGAAGAAATAGAAGTAAAAGTGAGATTGAAAACAAGAATTAGTTGCAGTGAAAGTGAAAATAAGAATCAGTGCGAAAGTAAGAATCAATGGAAGTGAAAGTGATTTAAATTTCACCCACCCACACACCCAGAAAAATGTTTTATTTGAATCAAATATAATATATTTGAGTTAAATAAACGTATACTTGTCTCACATCCTACTAGCCTATTTATTTCGCATAAATAAAATTTTTTATTTAAATCAAATAAATATTTATTAGGCTGTGAGACAAATATATCATTTCTCTGGGTGCGCAGAAGGCTGGAATTTAAAATTAAAAAATAAAATAAACAAAAAGTAAATAATTTTAAGATACGCGTTCTTTTTAAATATAGAAAGTTAAATTTTTGCCTAATTACAAAAGTAAATTATAGGCTAAGTGCATCAATTGTCGAGAAAATATAACAATTTTTTTTCTCAAGTAAATGTACTTTGAAATACATGTTTTTTTTGTAAGTATTTGATTAAAAATTTTTCGAAATTATAGAAATTTTTTTTTTAAGAAAATAGAAATATTATTTAACTTTAAAACTTCATAAACCAAAAGTAAATAAATAACAATATATACCTATATATCAGTTTGTTGACAATGACATTGAAAATATACTTACCCGTAAATATTGAGTGAAAATGTTATCACTAACATAAACACTAAATTAATCCTCATCTTAATAGGCTCACTGTCACCGTTCGATTAACGTTAACAAAATATAAATTATACATATATAGAAAATGATTAAGAAAATTATTATACATACATATATATTTGTAATTTTGTTATCAAATTAGATAAGTCTTTTAAAGGAGAACAAGGCCTGATCAGTATAATTTAATTTTTTTAGAGTTGCGTCAGTTCAAGAATTTATGCAATATGAAATTCTTGAGGCACACATAAACATTTGTAATTCTATTCAAAAGTTTAATTATAAGTGAACAAGCGAATTTTAAAGTGAGGTATAAGGGTTCGGTACGACACGACTTTTGGAAATACAATTCTTGTCTTTCTCTCTCCTATTACAGACGCATAAAATTGTCTCACTCTGCATTTTCTTACTTTTCCCAAAAACGGAAAATGCAGAGTGAAACAACCACATATGCCTTTGACATAGGAAAGAGAAAGACAAAAATGGTTTTAAAAGTCGAAAGATTTGACTAAAAATTTTTATTAAACAAAACACGAATGTTAACAATTCAATTTATATAAATTATTTATTTTCAAGAATGAACTTGTAAAACTAGTGTTTTAAAATTCTCGAGAATTTAAGTTGGGGTAATATAACCAGAGAAATTACGGTCATTTATTTTTCCCAAGAGAATTTAAGAGAATTTTGAGAATTTAAGTTTATTTATTTAGAACATGTATATTTATTGTTTTTATTGATGTAAAACATATATTTTAGCAGAATAACGATGATTGCTTTTGTCGAAAAGAATTTTTCATATTATAAATGAAAAAAAAAAACAAAATCTCTATGTATGCCTGTATTTTATCCTTTTCTAACTTATACGTTGTTATGGCAACGTGTGTGTTAGACAAAGATAAAAGTAAAGAAATATAATTCCTTAAGGAGGAATTGGACAGACAGTCTGAACAAAAGTTAGTCCAAATGCATTATTTTGATTTTTGAAACAGAAAACGCATATTTTAGTGTAATTTTTTTCAAACGAACTGTGCAGAATTATATTTTGAACAAAATAAAATCATTAAAAATTGAATTTGAATGAAAATTTAAAAATATTGATATTTTGAAACGATTTTCTGTTTGAACAGAATTTAGAAAATCGTTTCGAAATATTAATTTTTTTAAATTTTCATCCAAATTCAATTTTTAATTACTTATTTTGTTTAAAATATAATTCTGCACAGTTCGTCTGAAAAAAATTACACTAAAATATGTGTTTTCTACTTCAAAAATCAAAATAATGCATTTGGACTAACTTTTGTTCCGATTCACTGTCCAATTACTCCTTAACAGTACTCATACATTTAAAAATAATTTACAATGAAAAACATTTTTAAATTATAAATATATTTTTTAAATAATTTTAAAAAAATATTTATATCTTGAGAATGTATTGGAAAAAATATAATAAAATTTGTGAGACAAAAAAAAGGGCTTTTTTACTTTGAAGCCTGTTTACATATGTAAATAAATACATAAATTATCTTATAAAATTATTAAATTTATTTGAATTAAAGAAAATGAATTTCTATAATATAGAAGTACATACGTTATATTTTATTAACGATTCTAAAACTATTTTAATTCTTTTCTTCTTAAAATTTCAAAATAAGTTGACATTTAATATATAATGGAAAAAGTGAGGTTGTGTTTTATTTATAATGATTTCTATGTTTTCTTTATTTAAATTATATGTATGAATACTTGAAAATATCCTATTAGATTAGAAAATCCGTATTAGTTAAGCAAAATTTACCAAACTTTGTAAATTATTATTATATATTACAAATTAATTTGTCTATATTTAAATAAGTAAAATTCTCCTAAATTCTCAGAGAATTTAATCGACGGTTATATTCTCGGTAATATTCTCGTTCTCGGTAATATTCTCTTGGTAATATAACCGACTTAAAACACTATGTAAAACCATATATGGGGTTTCTTGAATATGCGCAGGCAAAGTTAAATTGGAGGCTCCTCCGCCATATTGGATCCGCCATTATGAATTTTGAAAAACTGACATCGGTTTTGTAATCAGCGACTTCAAAAAACCCCCGAGTAACAAGTTTCAGTCGAATTTATTGAGTAAAATTAAAAAAATGTCCACCATATTGGATCCGCCATTTTAAATTTTGAAAAACTGACATCGGATTCTTAATCAGCGACCCCAAAAACCCCCGAGTAACAAGTTTTAGGCGAATTTGAGTAAATTTAAAAAAAATGTCCGACACATTGGATCCGCCATTTTGAATTTTGAAAAACTGTCATCAGATTCGTAATCAGCGGCCCTAAAAACATTAATGTACATTCGAATTATAAAAATCAACTCATTAGAAAAATTTTGACGTTAAAGGGATAATTTAACGCAAACCAAATTATGATTAAAATTAATTGCAACCAATTTTAAAAGATATTGTTTTGCATTTTGCAGAAAAACGATGTTAAATCAAATTTTTTTTTAAATAATTATTTTTTTAACATATTTTTTTTCAGCTCAGACAAAAATCACAGTTTTTATCTAATTTTAATAAACTAGGGCTTATTTTATTCAGTGAAACCTACTTTACAATCGCTTATATTTTTATATTGTTAAAAGTAAGTTGTTAAAAAATTATTAACAATTGAAATTTTATTTAGTAAATAATTTTTTTACAACTTACTTTCGGGACAATCTTAAAATATAAGCGATTGTAGTGTAGATTTCATTGCACAAAATAAGCCCTTATTATTATTATTAAAATTAGATAGAAACTGTAATTTTTGTCTGAGCTGAAAGTAAAATCATTAAAATGAATGTTTTAGAATTTATGAAAAATCCCAAACAAATTAGCTCGTAACAATCCATATTACATTTATTTAGATAAAATTCCTGACAGTTTTCGGACTAATGTGCAATTTGTCCGAAACAGTCGGGTTTTTGTAATCTGAAATATGCTCGGTTTGTGTTACTAGTGAGTTAGGAATTTTTCAAGAATTTAATTATCATCCTCATCTCCATCATCATATTATAATCTTTATATATTAATCTGCATTTAATCATTTTAATCGCTGTTCAAGTCCAATACATGATAAGAATACAAAACGTCACCAAATGTGACGTTTTCAATAAATAATTTATTTATTTTAATTTATTTTTTAAACATTTTTCTAAAGTAATTTTGCTTTTATATTTTGTTTCTAATTGAAATTTTTCAACTACTATTAGAATTTAAAATAGGGTCTTTTTGATTATAATAAAAATTATTTTAGTATGTAAAAATAAATTGTTTATAATATTGTATTTATGTCTTTATGATATTTATTGAAATCAAAATAAGAACTTTACATATACATTATTTAGTGGATTTTATTAAAATAATTATTTAAACACTTATTTTTCCACAAATTCATAATTGTCATATTTTATAAATCATTATCATTTTTTATAAAATGACTTTTAAAAGTTCTAAAGGATGAATAATGTTTGCTATTTCATATATCTTATTGAACCAATAACTTAATCTCACTTGCCAACCAGTAGTCGTTTGAAGTCGATTTTTAATTTTACTTTCAATTCTTTTATGGATATATTCTCTGTTTTTTTGTTCCTCGTCATTTTTATTGTTTTCAAAATTCATGTTATTATCATTTTCAGCTTTAATTTTATTGTGTCCATACATATTTTGATTTAAACTCGAAATATCTTTTCTAAATTGATTCTGTCTTTCATTGCTATTATATTTATAATTCTCATTGACATTCCCTCTGTTTTCAAAACTCATGCTATTGTCACTTTCAGCATTAATTTTTTTCTGTCTATACATATTTTGATTTAAACTCGAAATATCTTTTCCAATTTGATACTGTCTTTCATTGTTATTATATTTATGATTCCCATTGATATTCCTTTTGTTAATTGGTGAAGTTTGATAGTTTTTTCCAATTGAATTGCGTTTAGTTCCTCTGATAAATCTAAATGATTTAAAACAAAAAAAAATTTGATTTTATTAAGTATCAGAGTATTATTACTGGATTGTATTATTTAAATAACAACAATAATAATAATTAGTATTCCTGCCGATGGTTGTCCGCTACTAAGAGTCTTGTAAATTCTTGGTAGACCTTATTGTGGACATTAACGATGCTTAAGGTTCCATAGGTCTGTTTGGAAAGACTTGAAAGTAGAAGAGAAAGTTTCAAGCGTTTCTATTGTCAGCAGCGGAAGAAGTTTGATTCGATCTGACCTAGACAATTGAAGAAGAACGCGAAAAGTGTTTAAAGCTCAGACAGGAGAAAGCTGAGCGTTTTCCGAGGATCGAAAAGGAGATTGTCAAGATAGTAAAGTCGAGAAGTCATGTCAACATGACTATTAAGAACGGACTTAAGACTCATAAGGATCTTGTCAGTGAGGCGAAGACAAAGCACGCCCTAGTAGATAATGGAGATAGCAACCTTGGTGGCGGTAAAGGCAATGCAGAGGTGAACCGAGAAGAGCGAAATAGGAAAGAGAGCGTATCCATGAGAAGTGGCTTCGGCGCTCAATCATAGACGCGCAGAAACGAAGAAAAAGCTCTGACAGACCGATGAAGACTAACGCCGTGGCAAAGAAGAAAAAGCAAGAGGAGGCACCTCTTGTCAAAAAGATTGCGAAGGCGACAGTAACACTGAATCCTAAGCAAACCAGTAAGAAGAAACCAACGAGTGGATCTACAATGGTAATCCGAGTCGCAACTAGAACAATGCATGCTGACGTACTGAGCAAACTCCAGAAGAAGGTGATTCCGGACGTCAGCCATACGCAGGTTGTGGGCGCTAGGCTTATTGGAAGGGGAGATCTCCTGAATAAAATTGGAGGAGATTCTAATAAGGAGGCATTTACCGCTGAGGTCACCAAAGCGGTTGGAAGCAAGGGGAAGGTGCAGACCGTGGATCCACAGGTCACATTGGAGATACGCGACCTGGATTGCCTTACCTAGGAAGAGGAGGTCCAGCAGGCCTTGTCGGAAGTGCTCCAAAAGCCAGGATGTTCCTAGGACCCAACCGACGAGGAATGAAACTCTCGGTTGTAGTCACCGAATCAGAAAAGGCAGATACGTTAGAGAAAGAGGAATGCATAAGGATAGGCTTCATGTGTTGCTTAATGAAAAGAAGGGTGTTCCTGGAGTACGGTCACATAGGAAGAGTTTGTAAGGCAGCAGACAGATTGACTGCATGCTTCAAGTGCAGTGAAGTCGATCGTAAGTTTGCAAACACTGCAGTAGAAGCTAAGGAGCTTCTTATGAAGAGAAAACTATGATGATAAGGCAAACATTAGCCATATTGCAGGCAGCGAAGGATGCTAAGAATAAATAGGTCAGAAAGATCGTCAAGGGTCGCAATAGCGAGATCCCAGGGATCTTCACCCACGTAGTTTAAACCTTTACAGAAGTTCCTTAGTGTGAGGATTAGTCCAGCCAAAGGGTGTGGTTTTAAGTGGGTCGACTAGAACAAGAACGGTCATCACCACATAACCTAGGAGTACCGAGCTCCAGGTATCTATCTTAGATATCCAGGGTTATGCAGATTTTCCATTTCCCGCCTTAAAAAATAATAAAATAGACATTATAAGTACAGTAATATATTTACCCAAATGAAAGTAGTAGTACTACTAGAATAATTTTTAAATTGATGACCAATCTCATGTTGTTCTTCAAGCCAATGCTAAAAGACTAAAAGAAATTAATTAAAATTAAAAAATGAAATTATAATCCCGAATTAATAATTTTATTAAAAATACATTTCTTTCAAAATTTGTCATCCATTTTGGTTTTTGGAAAACTAACTTTGAATTTCTAATTGGTAATAATTCCATGCCTAAAAAATACTGGATTTTATAAAAAATACAACAGTTATTTCCAATAATTTTTTTTATTTAAGGATTTTGACCAGAATTTCTAGACGAAACCCCATATATGGTGTTCACTAAATGTAAAATAGGGTCCCAACTAGTCTCTTGTCAGTTTTCCTATTTTTGACAAAATCATACAAAGAGAAGTCGTAAAAATTTAATTATTAAAAGTAATAAAATTATGAAAATGAATTTTTAATATTAAATATTTTCTAAGTAATTTATAAATAAGTAGCATTTATAAAATAACATAAAGAATTAAACCTTACCATAAGATTCTTTAGCACTAGAATTTAAAATAATTTAATTAATATTTACGTATTAATCGCTGGAGATTTTCGGTAAACTAAACAAAATTTCTATCAAGCTTTTACAATTTATTGTTAAATAAATAAAAAGAGTTATAGCAAATATTAAATATAACGTTTACTGCGCTGATTCATTACTTTGTCATTTCTGCTAACATAATTCTAAAATGTATAATAAAAATTTTACTACTTGAATGTATTATCTCAGTCTAAAGAATGTTGTATGCATATTTTACAATAAACTGCAAAAAAATATATAATATTATAAAAACAAAATTTAATTTTTTTTTGTTACATCTTAAGTGTAGGAGAAAAGAAACGTACCCATTTTTCGTATCACTTTCGAATTTTCTGTCAATTTTTAGTATTAATATATATTTTTTTCAATATACTGTATTGTCAGCAGCGTTCAGGTCACGTGTTGATAGTATTTTTTTAAACCACATTGCAGATTGTTTTAATGTCCGTTTTCGCTCGGGGTCATTAAAATCAACATGTACAATTCCAAAGCGCTCACTAAAATTTTTTTACTACTTTAAAACTTTTTTATTTACATATAGAGATCAAATATTATTAAGATTTGGAATATTTAAAGAAGGTTTAATATTTTTTATAAATATTTAATATATATTATAGAAGTTTTCATGGAAATTTTTAAGAAATCATTGGGGAAATAAATAAATCTACCTATATCCTCTATCCCATTCAAAATTATCGAGAAGACTCCAAACAGTATATGCTTTTACATTACATTTATCCTTATGAATGGCTGTTAATAATGCTTTTAAATACATTTTTATACCATTTAAACGTTCAATATCGTCAAGAACCGCAGAATTAGAAAAACCATTTTCCATTACATAAACAGGAGGATTTGCGTACTCATCTTTTATTTTATTGAGTATTGATCTAAAACCCTCTGGTACTATCTATAATTATTATTATTTATTAAAATAGTATTCTGCTAAAATAAAATCTAATTTTTAGACTTACAAAAAAAAATTCACTCTCAGTTTTAGGCCAATTTGGATCAACTATTATATTCATATCAAGATCATGGAAAAATGGATCAAAATTTCCTGTTTTGTTTTCCACAATTCTTGAAGTATAATGATTTAAAGCGAAAAAATCAGCTGTACCTCTAAACAAAGTATTATTGTTAATTTGTTATAATTATTTTTACCATAAAAATACTAATGACAAAATGAGTGAAATCAAAATTGTTGAGTTAGAGTTTATTTATTAATTGAAATATTAAACACCTACTTAATATAGGAAATCCATTTTGGTGAGAAACTAGGTAATCTTGATTGTGACCAACCTTGACGTAAACTTTTCTTTTTTACTATATCTTTCATTATTTCTGGATAATCGCCTTTTTTGGAAAAAATTGGATGTGCCATCCATCCACAGGTGAATTGAAATGCAACATTATCTAATAAAGTGTCATTTAAATCGGCAGGATAAAAGCGTGTACAATGTAGGACAATGCTAATTTGACCATTTTGACTTGGACGAAATTCTTTATCATAAATATGATATGCTCGAGCATGTGCTTTTAGAGCATTATGAACACATAAGTAATTTGCATAACCTGGCATATTTTTTCCTTAAAAGTAAAAATTTAGTTTATTCATTTATACTTCAGTTTGAGTTAAAAACAATTTTTAACTTTCTACAAATATTGGAAAAATACCAATTACTATCGACTTTCGGTTCTTTTTAAATTCAATTTTATTACTTTCTCGATTTTTTTTCGGTTTTCGTTCTAAATTACTGCTTATGCATATATGAAACAGTGTGAGCACACCTTTAAGCTTTACTTGTAAAATGCTGATGCAAATTGTGTCCATACCCTTATTTTAACTTCTGAATTTATTAACGCTACCAAACTCTGAAATATATTCCATTTCAACCCAACATGACTGTTGTCAGTTTAATAGAATTGTTTCAAGTGCTGATTTTGTTGATAGATATTTTTAATAGAGAGCATTTTAGGTACCTACTACAGAAACAGAAAATTACAAGAATTTGCAAAGTTGCAAATGCAAGCTACTATTTTCTAAATTTTAATGGTCGCTTTATGACTCCAGTAGTACTTGACAACATCGAGACATTTCGTGTGACACGAGTATTATTTTCGACAAAAAGTAAAAAAAGCTATCTTTCTAAATAAATACCGGCGAAGTTCAAAAAGTAACGAAATAAATGAGATTAAAATCAAAAAGTGACAAATTTGATAATAATCGTCGATAAGTAGCAATTTTATAATTCGAAAATTTTTCTAAATTCATGCATTAGAAAATTTTGTAGATTAAAAAATATTTTTTCCTTTATTTCTTTTTAATTTAATAAATTTCAATTATCCAATTTTATCCTAACATAATTGTTGACAGTTAATAGAATTGCAAGAAGTAGAATTGTTTCAAATAATGATTTTTTTGATCGATATGTTAAAAAGAACTGTTTCATAATTAGGCATTTTACCTTGTGACGTCAGAGGCTGATGACGTCGAAGCCTGGAGGGACAACAAACGAAAAAAACAATAAAGAACTGTCAAACAAGTGATTTTGAGGTTAAGTTTTTGAAGTTTTCAACGTTACCAACTGTAGATGGACTATAGTAAAATTATTTGTTGTCCCTCCAGGCTTCCAGCTGATCGGGCAGCCATATTTAAAAGTGAAATACCTAATAAGATAAGATGTCAAAAAATAAAAAGCATTCTGAGTCCTACTACAGAAAAAGAAAATTATAAGAAACTGCAAAGTTGCAAAAGCAAGCTACTGCTTTCAAACGTTTTATTCAAGTTGGTTCTAACCGCATATCAGTAATTCTTTCAATGTTACAAATCAAAAATCGCTTGAATAATCAGAAGTGAATTTGCATTTCTATCAGAAAAATCCTTAATTACATATTGTTAATTTGATAAGCCTATTTAATTTATAATAATGTAAAAATATATGTAGTTGAGAATTTTTTTTAAATCGTTCTTTTTGACGATTTTCATCAAGTGTTATTTAAAATTAGCTTAAAATAATTTCCTATCAGAGTAGTTGGACCCGTAAGTGTAAAAAAAAAAAAAACCAAAAGTCGAGGTGAAAAACTCCATAAAATCTTACCAGGAGCTCTTTGCGTTGATCCATAACCAAATCCACAAAACACCATTGGCTCATTGATTGTTAGGAAGATCTTAATTTTTGAACCCAATTCCCGAAATACAACCCTGGCATAATCAGCAAACCATTCGACCATTAGTTTATTAGTCCATCCACCAAATTTTTCCAAAACTGATGGATGATCCCAATGATAAAGTGTTACATATGGCGTTATTCCTTTTTCATTTAATTCATCGAGAAGATTCATATAATATTTTATTCCTTCTTTGCTAACATTATTTGCAAAACCATTTGGCAAAATTCGTGACCAACTTATTGAAAATCGATAGTGATCGAACTAAAAAATATTCCCCTACTATCAGTAGTAGAATTTTTTTTTAATTATCCAAAATCGAAAAATTAATTCTACATAAATTCATACTATCAGTTTACATAATTAATTATATGATTTGTAATTAGTTGTAGTTGTACTTACTCCAATATTTTTCAAAATCTTCACATCTTCTTTATATTTATTGAAAGAATCACAAGCAATATCTCCATTACTTTTGTCAAAAATTCGTGATGGTTCAATATGTGTGAACCAATCCCACAAGTTTTCACCTTTGTCTTGAAAAAAAATATGTTTATTAATTTAGATAAATATTGTAAATATGTTTGCAGTAAAAAATAGGGAAGTACATAAAATTTTGCAATTTAAAAATTTTAAATTACCACTTGCATTCCAACCACCTTCCACTTGATAAGAAGCAGTAGCAGCTCCTATTGAGAAGTTTTGCGGAAATCGAAAATCGTCATTGCACTTTACAAATCTAATTAAAGAAGACAAAATAAATTTTTTTTACTTAATTCTTTATGAAATTTATAAAATTTTCCTACGATATTTTTATTTCTACCTATGCATATTTCTTACCTCATCAATAAAAATAAACTCAAAATAAAATTTAAATTAATAAACGAATTCATATTTAAATTTATGTTGTTAGTACGAACAATTCTAACAGAATAGTTAATATAAATTAGAAATAAAATGATACGTTGATTAAACGAAGCTAGCTTTTCATATAAAAATGAGAAATGTAGTTCAAAATATTCTTATCCGTATCGTACAGCTACTCCATAAAATTTATAGTGTACAGTCAGAATTTTGTTCATTAAAATAAATAAAATTAATTTAATATTTTAATATATTAAAAGTAAATTAAAAATTAAAACTATTTTTATTTTTGTATTTACATTTATTCTATAAAACATTATATTAATTATCTACTTATAGAATTTTATTAAATATATTTAAAATAAAATTTTAATTCCTACATACTTTGAATTGGTACAATTATTATAATTTGTTTTAAATATTCAATTAAGAACATTTTTATCTTATCAATAGAAAAGTGAAACGCAGAGGTTAGGGGATAAGTAAATATTTTGTATGTCAATTTATTTTTCCGTTCGTATAGTAGACTTTATCTAACAAATTATATCTTCTACTACTACATTGTTAAGCGAAAAAAGAACCTTATGTATAATTTATAAATATTACTATACAATAAATATAATTATAAAATTAAAGTTAATTATATTTCAAAGAAAGTTGACGAAATTTTATTAAATTTTTGAACCAAGTTGCAGAATATTTCGGTGTTCGTCTCCTTAAAGAATCATTAAAATCCACTTTTATTAGTCCAAAATGTTCACTAAAAAATTTATTACATTTCTTAATTTGCAATTAATTTCACATAAATAAAATCAAAAATAACTATATCTAATTAACAAAAACTATTATCTAATGTTAATTGTAATAAAGTCTAACTGTTGTAAAATTACCTGTATCCACTGGTCCATTCAAAATTATCTATTAATGACCAAGCAGTGTATGCTTGAACATTACATCCATCTTCGAAAATAGCTTTTAACATTTCTTTTAAATATAAAAAATGATATTCTACACGCTTTGTGTCCTTCAGCTCACCTTCATCAGAATATCCATTTTCTGTTATATAAATTGGCATGTTTCCGTATTCAGATTTTAATTTCTTAAGTATGTATCTTAATCCCTCCGGAACTACCTGTTTTGAAAGAATAAAAATTTTTTTATCTTACTTATTTTAAAATTTAAACATTGTGATGTTAAATTTACAATTTTACAAATCACAAAAGTTTATTTTGTTTTCAATATATTAATTAACTTTTCTTTATTATTCCCGAAAAAGATTTTTTTATCAGCAATATTTTTGATATAAAAATTAATTTTGATTATCAATATTTTTATTATTTTATTTATTTTAATTATTATTTTGAAATATTATTTTTAATAATTTTAATTTAATAATATGCAATTATTAATATATTACAGATCCTCCGTTTTTAAAAGTGGCATCATTGTTTGACATTAAAAAAACTGACGTCAAAATAGTTGATGCGGATTATTTAAGAAAAGGAGTCGAAAGAATTAAACAAATAAATATAAACGACCAGAGCAAGTTGAGCCAAGAGAAAAAAAAATTAAATTAAATTAAATTTTGATTCTTTTATTTTGGAATTCTCTGGTAAAATTTTATATTAAATTTATGAATATTATTTCAAATTTGTTCTTTGCTTGATTTTTCTAATAATGAATTTGATTTAATTTTTCTTTTGAATTTAATTAATTATCATTGAGTTTAAAACTTTTCAAAAATGAATTTAATTTTCTAAATTAAATTAACTGAAATATCATTCATTTGATTTATATTTTAATTTTTCATTCCATTGCTACTTGAATTAAAGAATCCTTATTCTTGATACTTACAGCAAGCCAGAAACTTTTTCCTCTAGGCCATTTTGGATCCATAGTAAATGTTGCATTCAAATCGTACCACTCTACATTTCTTTCATCATTGAATCCTCGTTCACCAATTCTAGAGGTATAATGATTCAAAGCATAGAAATCTGCAGTGCCTCTGAAATAAATTCACACACATATACTTATTCAAAGTAAACCACTGAAAAGAATTTTTTTTACCAACCTTATGTAATCTATCCATTTTTTGTTAAACGTTGGTAATCTAGAATTTGTCCATCCTTCAAGAATACTATTTTCCTTTACTAATTTTTTCATTACTTGCGGATAGTCCCCCTCTTTTGAGAATATCGGATGAGAAAACCATCCACAAGATAATTGAAATGCCTCATCTTGTAGTATGTCATTTTCATTCTTAGCAAAAAAAGAATTACATACATTGGCTATTCCTATTATTCCATTTTGTTCATTGTAAAATTCTTCTTTGTACAAATGATAAACTTTAGCATGAGCTTTTAACATATTGTGACCACAAATGTAATTTGCAACACCAGGTAAATTCATTCCTATTAACCATTTTGGATTACATATTTATAAAATCGAAAATTATTTTTTAAAAATTCGCTATGATATATCTCACCTGGTGCAAGATAAGAGGTTCCATAACCATAATTGCATAAACTATGAGGTTCATTGAGAGTAATAAAGACTTTGATTTTTGGTCCCAATTCTCTAAATACCACTCTAGCGTAATCTGTAAACCATTTTACCATTAGTTCATTGGTCCAACCACCTAATTTCTCCAGTACTTGAGGATGATCCCAATGATACAGTGTTACGTAAGGTTTGATTCCTTTTGAATGTAATTCATCAAGTAGATCATTGTAATATTTTATGCCCTCTTTACTGATGTTATTTGCAAAACCATTTGGTAAAATTCGAGTCCAACTTATTGAAAATCGATAGAAATCGAACTGCAAACGTGGGGAAAAATTTAAAAGATCTTTTATAAAAATTACAAAAAATTGAAAAGGTGGAAGAAAATTTTAATATAGGGAGTAAAAATTATAGATCAGTTAGAAAAAATTACCCCAATGTCTTTTAAAAGTTTGAAATCTTCTTTGTAGAGATGATATGAGTCACTAGCTATATCTCCAGTACTTTTGTTGTTTACCAATGATGAAGATGAGTGTGAAAATGAATCCCATATATTTTCACCTTTACCTGTAAATAATTTATAAATTGTTCAAGTTACTTTAATTATTTTTAGAGGTATTAAGGCCAGGCTCCTCCAAAAACCGTGTTTTTTTCAAACAAATTTTATTTATATTACAAAAAATATTTATAAATCAAAGTTTTTATAAATTAAAAGACTTATAAAAGTACTACTTGAAAAAAAATTTTTTTCTTATTTTTTCAAAATGGCGGCTCCTAAAATCGCTGCCGAAACGCGTCCTTCGTGTTGGTGGGTGACAGGATAACTCAAAAACGAATCATCTGAAAGCAAAAATCAAAACGGTTTCTTAATCTGTATCACATTGGCTATGGTGTAAACTACAACCAAAAATATTCATTGTTATTTACAAAAGTTATAAACAATTAAAAGTGAAAAAAAGGGTAAAAAACTTAAAAAGTCTGCCATTTTGTTTTTTTTTGGTGAAAATATTTTATTGTAGTTTACACCATAGCCAATGTGATACAGATTAAGAAACCGTTTTGATTTTTGCTTTCAGATGATTCGTTTTTGAGTTATCCTGTCACCCACCAACACGAAGGACGCGTTTCGGCAGCGATTTTAGGAGCCGCCATTTTGAAAAAATAAGAAAAAAAATTTTTTTCAAGTAGTACTTTTATAAGTCTTTTAATTTATAAAAACTTTGATTTATAAATATTTTTTGTAATATAAATAAAATTTGTTTGAAAAAAACACGGTTTTTGGAGGAGCCTGGCCTTAAAGATATAAATAATTTATTAGAAAAAAAATCAGGCTGGTCCAGTTAATTCACAAAGAAATTTTTACAATCAAAATTCTGGAAATTTTCAAAATAATTCAAGAAAAAACTCTGATAATAATCAAACGAGGCTATCAAAATAAACAAAATAATTTTATCAAGGAAATCACAATGGAAATAGAAATAATCCTCATGGATATCCAAATTGTAGTTATTATTAAGGAAATACCTAATTATCAAATTAAAAATCAAGAAAATAGTAAACATGGACATAGACAAAATGGATACAAATTCGAGGTTAATGACACTATTAAATAGAAAAGAATTTGTCAAATCTTTACCATCTAATTTATGCGAAGAATTTTTAAAAGAATAAAAAGTAAATATTCATGATCATTTAAGAAAATGTCCTATAATTCATTTCATAATAGAAAATATAAATGTTAAAGCATTAATAGATACTGGTTGTCAAGTAACTTTTATTTCAGAAAATTTTTATGAAGAAAATGTTAAAACATTTTAAAAATTTTCCAAGTTTATCAGTAGTAGGTATGATTATAGTAGGTGAAATCGTAGTACGACCTGTAAAACTTAAACTTCAAATTTTAGCCAAATTCAAAATAGCTGATTGGTTAGGACAATTTGTTTCCAAATAATTAAAATTTTAACCAAACTTTACCATTAATATTCCATGCTCCTTCAATTTGATACGCAGATGTTGCAGCTCCTATTTGAAAACCTTTGGGAAATTTTAAATATTCTTCATCGCAGCATTTTATCCTAAAAAAATGTAAATCATCATTATTTATTTATAATTTATTTATTTACAATTCTCTAAAACGTAATCATTCTTTTATATGAATAATTTTAAAAAATTAAAATATTTTTTTAATTTTGATTAGTTTTTTTTATTTATATTACTTTTTAACATATTAAATAGAAATAAAATAGTTTTAGTATATACTTACTCTGAAATAAGAAGAAAAGTAATAATTAAATGAGAAAAAGAAATGTATTTAATATTTTTACGATTCCAAAACACTGTCATCTTTTAAAGTATTCAATAAAACAACAACTAAGTGTGTCAAAGGTTATTTATCCTCTAAGCCATGAGTTGATTGGCAATGAATATTTATATCAGTTTAAATCCACGATAAGTCAACAGTATAAAAACTAAGAGCAGAGTGAATGTTTTTATACTTTAAATGTTTTTCTTTAATTCTAGAAAGAAACATATATCCTTTATATAATAGAAATTCCAGAAAGTTAATTTTAAAAATTTCTTATTTTTTTTTTACTCTAATTTTAGAACTTTGTCAAAAAATATTTCCTTATTTTTATCAATTCTTTAGTTAATCGTAGATTATTAGCTCTTTGCACGTTGTTATTCTCTTTTTTTGTATCACGTGTAAGAATTTTTTTTTTAATGACTAACATGATTCGTAATTGATATTTCAGTACAAATATTAACATCTATTAATACCCGCGTGGAAATGGAATTATGTGTAAAATCATAAAAACTATGGCCGAAATCGAGTGCCAAGGTAAGAACAATTAACATTATTCTGTGTTGTTAATTTTTTATATTTATATTTTCCAACATTTTTACCATCAGTCGGCAAGGTTTTTGTTTTTATTTTTCAAAATTTTTACCATCAGTTGGTAAGGTAGATTTCTGTGTCGATAATTTTTATATTATTGTTCTTCAAAATTTTCACCATCTGTTGGTAAGGTAGATTTCCATGTCGATTATTGTTTTTTCAAAAATTTTACCATCTGTCGGTAAGGTAGATTTCTTTGTCGGTAATTTTTATGTTTTTATTTTTCAATTTTTTACCATCCGTCGGTAAGGTAGATTTCTGTGTCGGTAATTTTTGTTTATATTTTTCTAAATTTTTACCATCATTCTGTAATATAGATTTCTGTATTGGTAATTTTTATTTTTCAAAAAACTGTTTTACCTTGCCAATCGATTGAATAAGGTGGGAAAAAATAAATAATTTTTTCATTTTGATAAAGAATGTTTATTATTATTTATTGTTTACAAAGAGTTTACCGCAGTCTGTAGTCATAGTTATGAAACATAAACTTTGTTATAAAAATACTTTCTTTAATTGTACTTTAAAGATAGTTTTCGACTTTGTAATAAACTTTTAAACCAAGTGGCAGAATATTTCAATGTTCTGTTTCTTAATGGTTCATCGAAATTAACATGAATAATTCCAAATTTTTCGCTAAAATATAAAATTTTTGATTAAAAAATATAGATTACATTTTTTGATGACTTATAGCCAGATTAAAATATAGACAGAAAAAAGATTTTTATTTGTTCGATTTACAGATGGCTTTTTTTTTTAATATTACGAAAATTCGAAGTTTTATTAAAACAAAATTATTTAGCTTTTTTTTAGTTAATTTTTAGCAATTAAATATCTGAAATTACTAAAAACAAGTACCTGTATCCTTTAGCCCATTCAAAATTGTCCATTAAGCTCCAAGCAGTAAAAACCTGAACGTTACAATCATCTTTATAAATTGCTTTTAACATTTCTTTCATATATAAAAAATAAAATTCCACACGCTTTTCATCCATTAATTCACCATCATCTGAATATCCATTTTCGGTAATGTAAATTGGAATATTTCCGTATTCTTTCTTTAATTTATTAAGCATCTTCCTTAATCCATGAGGAACTACCTATTTTTAAAAAATATATTTTATTTAAATTATGACGAGGAACGGGTCTGCAAAACCAAATAAAAATATAAAAAATTACCAACTAAAAATCTACCTTATCGACTGATATTAAAGCAGTTTTGTTTGAAAAATAAAAATATGAAAAATTACCGACACCGAAATCTTCCTTACCGACTGATGGTAAAAATTTTGAGAAATAAAAAATATAAAAACTTACCGACATAGAAATCTACCTTACCGACTGATGATAAAAATTTTGAAATGCCAAAATAAAAATTGAGTCTTTGACTTTTTTATACTTACAGCAAGCCAAAAACTTTTTGCCTTAGGCCATTTTGGATCTAAGGTAAAAGTAGCATTAAATTCATGCCATATGTCCATTCCGTTGTTAATTCCTCGTTCAACCATTTCACTGGAGTAGTGATTTAGACCATAAAAATCAGATGTACCCCTGGAAAATAATTTTGTAAAATCAAAAAGGAACAAATTCAAAAAGAATTTTTTTTGTAAAAAGAAAATTAACAATTTCTAACTTGATGTAGTTGATCCATTTTTTGTCAAATACTGGTAACCTGGACTTGCTCCATCCTTCACGAAGACTTGTTTCTTTTATCAATTTCTTCATTATTGGTGGATAGTCACCTTTTTTTGAAAATATTGCATGAGAAAACCATCCGCAAGTAAATTGAAATGCATCGTCTTCTAATTTTGGATCCTTATTTTTAGCAATATAACTATTACATACGTTGACAATTCCTATGGTTCCTTTTTGTTTTTTGCGAAATTCGTTATTGTACAAATGATAAACACTGGCGTGTGCTTTTAATACGTTATGACCACACATATAGTCCGCAACCCCAGGCAAATTTGTGCCTATTAAAAAATTTAATTTTAGATAATTTTAAGATATAATTATTATTGGTTTTAGATGATCACTGTTTTTAGTGTTCTTCACAGCAATAATTAGTCTAATTTGGCTAAGCCCCAAAATTATGGATAGTTTACGCTTTCCGTATGTAATTATTTGCGAATTATTCGCAGCATAAATGACATCATCAATATTTTCAATAATTCGTCGTGGGATTTCTCGGAAGCAACTGCAAAAATCTAAGAAGACCTACTTTGATCCGACGCCTTCATAAAACGATAGTCAAGTTCGGCTAATTTATCAATTTCTTTAACTTTGCTGAACGCTAGAGTTTATCACCAATTGCTAAGCAATAGATTTAAGAAAACTAATTTTAATTACCTCGTCACCGTATGCACTAAGATTTTTAATTTTTTGAACTTAAATTCAACTAATTATAAGCAGGAGGATTGTTATTATCATCTTATTATGATTAAAAAAATAGCCTATGTCTTACCTGGTGCAAGCAATGCATGTCCATAACCAAAGCTACAAAAAGCAAATGGTTCGTTTACGGTAAAGAATACTTTAATTTTAGGTCCCAATTCTTTAAATACCACTCTGGCGTAATCAGTGAACCATTGTACCATTAATTCATTGGTCCAACCACCTAATTTCTCCAATACTTGAGGATGATCCCAATGATACAGTGTAACGTAAGGTTTAATTCCTTTTGAATGCAATTCATCAAGTAGATCATTGTAATATCTTATGCCCTCTTTACTGACGTTATTTGCAAAACCATTTGGTAAAATTCGAGCCCAACTTATTGAAAATCGGTAGAAATCAAACTGCAAAAAAAATGATAATTTTAGATAATTTATAAAATCTTATAGTCTAAGGACAGAGGTATAAAATGATAAAACTTACTCCAATGTGATTTAACAATTTAACATCATCTTTGTAGAGATAATATGAATTACAAGCCACATCACCAGTGCTTTTATTATCAACTTTTGAATCTGGTTTATGTGTAAAATGATCCCAAACATTTTCACCTTTACCTACAAAATTTTTTAAATATATAACAAAATTTTAATTTAGGGAATATATTTAATTGAAAATATTTCAAGCGGTTTACCACTTATATTCCAAGCTCCTTCAATTTGATAAGCAGCAGTTGCAGCTCCTATGGCAAAATCTTTTGGCAATTTAAAATCTTCATTGTCCTGACATTTGATTCCAATTGTTTGTACTTTAACAGAAACATTTACAAATTCAAATTTTGTCAATTCAATAAAAATTAAATTAAGAATTATTTGCAATTAAAAATATATAACTAATTTTGATATTGAAAATAAAAATGATTTTTTTTTTAATTTACTTACATGATAAAAGAAAAACTACAATAATTACTAGAAAAGAAGTAAAACAGGGAATTATCATCCTACTGCACTAATAATATAACAGCAATTACATATGTTGTATTTGACTTGCAAGGTCAATATTACAATTATGAAAAATAATTTTTTAAACTGTCGACACTCATGTGAAATAATTTTGTAGTATCAGTTGTGACGTCATCATTTAAATAAAAAAAAAATAATTGTTTTTCCACTCAACTATTTGGATGCTTCCAATTGACAAGGTAAGAAAGAAATAATACTTGTGAACTGATAATATATAAAAAGAAACATTACAACTTTAACTATAATGATAAAAACCACTTTGTGAAAAAAAAATTATTTTAAATTTAAAAATATTTTATTTGTATCCAGTTGAGAAATTAAAAAAAAGTAGAATAATTTAAAAAGAAGAATTGAAATATTAAATGATAGATATTCTTTGTGCTACAAAAATTTTTAAATAGAGTAAAAATTTTTTTTTGGTTAAAATTAAAATAATAATAAAGTAGTTATCTTCTATTATATTAAGTTAACAAATTTCCACTAACGACGCTGAAAAATTGTATTTTCACTTATTACATATAATAATTTCAAGTAGCCGTTTGTCCCTCAAATCTACATTACCGACTGATGATTTATATTTTCATTTTTCAAAAAACTGTTTTATCATCAGTCGGTACGGTAGATTTCTGTATCGGTAATTTTATATATGAAATGCTTCATATACATTTTACTTATTTCCACCCAAAGATAAGGGCAATAGAAAATTTCACTCGCAGTTTAGCGCGAGCTATATTTTCCTAATTTTCAAATAAATCAAAATCCTTTGTAATATGCTTTAAGAAAATCTTATCGTTTCAAGAAGTTGTTTTTAATTTTAGTCCTAAAAAAAGGTTATTTTGTAATTTAAAAATTTTTATTTTCCCATTTTTAATTAAAAAATTGTTTTTTAACAATTTTTTAATGATTTTTTACAATTTATTAGTGTTATGCAAATTTTTAATTAGGAACCTATAATTTTTTACCTAATTACAATCGTAAGGTGTCCCAGAACATAATGAGGACGTTTTCATGATATCCATTATCATATACAATAATTAGTTTAGGTTCAGTATATTCATAATTATTTAAATAATAATTTCTCTATTTTAATTATAATTCAAGGATAGTTTACGATGTTGTAATAAACTTTTAAACCAAATTGCAGAAGATTTCATTGTTCGATTCCTTGATGGTTTATCGAAATCAACTTGAATAATTCCAAATTTTTCCCTACAAAAATGCAATATTTAGTTGTGGTGATTTTTTTTTTAGCAAATTTGTGTAATCGACTAACTGAAATAATAAAAGAAAACTATACTTGTATCCTCTATTCCATTCAAAATTGTCCAATAAACTCCAAGCAGTATAAAGTTGTACATTACATCCATCTTTGTAAATTGCTTTTAACATTTCTTTTAGATATAAAAAATAAAATTTCACACGTTTTTCATCCATTAATTCACCATCATCTGAATATCCATTTTCAGTAATATATATTGGAATATTTCCATATTCTTTTTTTATTTTCTTAAGTATCTTTCTGAATCCTTCAGGAACAACCTGTTTTTGAAAAATATTATTTTTATATTCATTCAATACATAAACATTAACTAATTCAATAATATAGAAATTAATATCAAAATTAATACGAATTTGGATTTATTGGTTAATTTCCCGAATATTATCTCCCGAATGTCCGAAAAAACAGAATACGCCATTTTCCATCTTGGATCCATCCGTTAAAAACGATCTTAATCGTTTCTATTTTTTTAATTAAATTAAATATCTCGTTTCCTGTGATATTCGGGAAAAATCAATTCTGACAATGGACCACAAACACAAATTTTCATAATTGATTTTTTTTCTATGTTAATTACCGCTAGCCATAAACTATTCGCCATTTTCCATTTAGGGTCTAATGTAAAGGATGCGTTAAATTCAGCCCATATATAGCTTCCGTTATTAATTTTTCGTTCAACTACTTCACTGGAGTAGTGATTTAGACCATAAAAATCTGATGAACCCCTAAAATATATATTCCAATTGATCACTTTTTTTTTTTGCAGAAGCCACTCTTTAGAAAAGATTATAATTAATTTCTAACTAACTTGATGTAGTTGATCCATTTTTTGTCAAATACTGGTAACGTTGACTTGCTCCATCCTTTACGAAGACTAATTTCTTTTATCAGTTTCTTCATTATTGGTGGATAGTCTCCTTTTTTCGAAAATATTGGATGAGAAAACCATCCGCAAGTAAATTGAAATGCATCATCTTCTAACTTAGGATCCTTATTTTTTGCAAAATAAGAATTACACATGTTGACAATTCCTATGGTTCCCTTTTGTTTTTTGCGAAATTCATTATTATACAAGTGATAAGCACTAGCGTGTGCTTTTAATACGTTATGACCGCATATATACTCAGCAATTCCAGGCAAATTAATACCTATTAAAAATTGTTTATATAATTGAGCTGCCGGATCAAAGAAGGGCACATAACCCATTTGAATTACATTAGTTATGTGCCCTTCTTTGATCCGGCAGCTCAATTTTATTATATCACAGTATTTGAAAAATCATCTTTCAAGTCAATTGCAATGTAACTGTTTTTAATCTCATTTGTAATAAATAATAATTGGAATTAAAATTTAGCCGTTTTAAATTCCTCCCTGGTTAAAATTACGCATTGATTTCAGATTAAATACATACAGATTAGTCCGGATTAGTTCAGAAATTATATACAAAAACAATCCAAAAATTATCCGTATTAGTCAGCAATTAATCTGAATGAAAAGATAAATCCGAAATCAGTTCGGAATAGTTCGAAATTGGCATGAAATAAATTCGCAATTTGCCTCGCAACAATTTGATATTGTTTGATCAAAAAAACAATCCAAAATTAGTGCAGAATTTTGATGTAAACTATTCACAAACAGTAAGCAACAATTTTAGTACTGTGAAAAAACTGAATCCGACACGAGTCTGTAATAATCTAAAATATTTATGTGAAAAATCTGGTATTATATCTGATATTTATTTGTAATTAAAATATTCTTAAGTGAAATTCTGAGCTATATGATTTGGTTTTATTTAACTTACAAGTAATACAATCCAAAGAATGAGACCAGAATAATCCAGTAAATCCTGAATCTGCATTCAGAATTACGTTTAACCGAACAAACAAAATTTTGGATTTAGCCGAACTAATTCCAGGGGAGAAAAACCTGACAGTAAACCGAACTGTTTAGGAATAATTCCAGATTAATCTGGAAACAGTCTGTAATTTTTACCAGATACATTATTGCAAGCTTCCAGTAGATTATTTAGGAAATGTTCACTGAAGATTCCAGTGATGATTCCCTTGATAATTCACTGGAAGTTTTCTTCGAAATTCTGGTGATGCTTCCCTTAAGATTCAGATGAGTTTCTGATGATATTCCCCTGGAATGTTTCAATGAGATTCCGGAGAAGCTTTCTTTAAGGGAGAAGCACGCGGTGTCGACTGGGCGCCATTCTTGGGCCATACTTGTTTAGGTACACAGTATGTATTGTGACGACATGGCAAATGGAATTTTATATTTTATGAAAATAAGAGATTAGAACAAATATTAAATTATTTAAATCAAGATGGAAAAATTAGTAGTATTTGTGTGACTAGTAAATCCAGTATAAACTGAAATTAATCGGATCATACCCAACTAATAAATTGCAAAATTACTTCTAATGATTCCGAAATTAATCCGGCCTGTGTAGTCAGTAAATGTAGAATCTGCATTCACTAGTTTGATCGAACTGACTTCGGATTAGACCTACTTAATTCCGGATTAACTATAGTTACACAAATCGGGCAAATTTCAGATTTAGGGGAACTAATTCCGGATGACAAAATCCTAACAATAAACCAGATTGTTTCGTACTAATTCCAGATTAGTCCGGTTACACTCCGCAATTTTTACCAGGGCTAATTAAAATCCTTATGTTTGCAATTTGTTAACTACTGCTACTTTTTATTATCATCATAATAACTTCTTACCAGGTGCATGAACTCCGTATCCATGACCCAAGCTACAAAGAATAAATGGTTCGTTAATAGTAAAGAATACTTTAATTTTTGGTCCAAATTCTTTGAATACAACTCTGGCGTAATCAGTAAACCATTGTACCATTAATTCATTGGTCCATCCTCCTAATTTCTGGAGTGCTTGTGGATGATCCCAATGATATATTGTCACATATGGCTTGATTCCCTTTGAATGCAATTCATCAAGAAGATCATTGTAGTATTTTATACCATCTTTACTAATGTAATTTGCAAATCCATTTGGCAAAATTCTAGCCCAACTTATTGAAAATCGGTAGAAATCAAACTGCGAAAAAAATGATAATTTTAGATAAATTATGAAAAATCTCACAAAATCTAAGGATTGCACATCCTTAGGTGATAAAACTTACTCCAATGTTTTTTAACAGTTTGACATCATTTTTATACAAGTTATATGAATTACAAGCCACATCTGCAGTACTTTTGTCATCAATTGGCGAATTTGGTTTATGTGAAAAATGATCCCAAACACTTTCACTTTTATCTGTGTGAATTTTTATAGTATATACTGAATTTTCTTTAGTTAGAGTAAGTTATTTAATCATTTGTTAGAAAATTTTCTAATAATTATGATTTGTCAATTAATTTAAGGATTAAATTAATAATTATTTCAAGCGGAAATCTTACCGCTTATATTCCAGGCTCCTTCAATTTGATGAGCAGCTGTTGCAGCTCCTATTTGAAAACCTTTTGGAAATTTTAAATTTTTGTCGTCCTGACATCTGATCCTAATTTTGTGTACTTTATCAAAAAAACAATATTCACAATTTTTTAACATTTAAGTAAGCAGGAAAATTTAAGAGCATATTAAAAATACACCTGCATCATGATTTAATATTTGGATTTTTTTAATTTAATTTATTTACTAACCTGATATAAGAAAAACTATGGTAATTAACCAAGAAGAAGTGAAATGTTTAATTATCATCATTTTAATAAATATTTAGTTTCAGTTCATATGCTAAAACTTTGTAGATTCTTATACGTTGACATATTAAGGAAGTATAATATTTGTGAACTGATAATGTATATGTATAAGTTACTTATTGATAAGAAATACTTGATGACAAAACAAATTAAATGCAGTTTTTTTATATGTTATACTTTATTTGTTGATAATAGTAAATGAATAAATAATATAATAATTTAAATAATATAAGAATTTTAAAAATTCTTTTAAAAATTCTTTTAAAAATTCTTCTTTTATTTAATTTTAATCAGAATTTTACAATTTTTTTCAATTAATATAATAATGGAATCTATTGAAACTTAATAAATTTTTTGATTACTATTTGTTTTCGATTAATTAAATTAGATAAATAAATATTTACACCTGGAATGATAAAATTTTTTAAGTAACTTGTTAAAAATTTGTACAAACTTAAAAATCTTTTTAAATGAATTAGGAAAATAAAATTTGTTACATAGTCATTTTTTACTTTGCTAAAAATTTTACTCGTACTGGTTGCATTGGTCTTAGTACCATATCTTGAAAAAGTACAATTTCATGAGCTAGGTCAATGGGTTCCAGATGGAAATTATAAAGCAATTGTGCTACCACAACCTTCATTTCTAGCATTGCAAATTTTTGACCTAGAAATTAATAAATTATTTATATAAATTATAACGTTAATTATCTAAAAAATTACTTTTATAACAATTTTAAATTCTATTTACGAAAATAAATATACAATAAAAATTACCAATGCAATTCCGTGATCCGCCACTGAACGGAACATAAGAAAATGGATGTCGATTTACCGAGTTTTCAGGTAGAAATCTATCGGGATCAAATTTATTTGGATTTGGCCAGAAATTGGGATCTCTATGAAGATCAAAAATATATAAAAATATATTTGAACCTGCTGGGACTAAACCGTTTTCTGCAAAAGAGAATTTAATTTTTGTTAACAAAAACATTTATAGTTATTAAAATCTTTGAGTTTATTGAATACATACTTAGTTTTAAATCTTCGTGAATTACTCGAGCAATACTAGGAACACTTGGATAAATTCTCAATGATTCTTTAATGCAACGTTCAAGATATTGTAATTTATTAACTTCCGTCATTCCTAATTTTCCGCCACTTTGTTTCATAACTTCACAAACTTCTTTTCTTATACGCTCCTAATTGAAAAAATTATCTTAGCTGGTTTAATTTAATTAGTATTACTGATAGTTCTAATAATGACTGACCTGTATTTCTCTATGCTCTGCCAGAAGTGGTAATAAGAAGGTGAGACCCATTGAAGTTGTGTCATGACCCTGTAAAAACATCAATATTATAAATAATATATTTTTTGGTTTTAATTACTAATTTTGTGAAAGTAAAGAAGCTGGAGGAATTAGAACGCGGAATTTTTTTACCTAGTGAATGAATTAGCTAAAAAAGGAGCTAGGGAAAAATTCATTAGGCCTTACAATTCCTGTTACTGATAAATGTTTGGCCTAGGAATTTAAAAAATTGCTCCCTAGCTCTTGAAAAACAAACTTCGACACGTTTGTGAGGTAACGTTAACAGATTACAGGCTACTTCTTTCTTAGGAAAACAGTTATTGGTACTAAGAACCTTGCCACGATATTCTTAGGACTTAGGCACAGATTTAGCAATTCGGAGACTTTTACCCAAGCGGCTGCTAAAGAAGTCGCAACCTGTCTTAAATAATAAAAATAATAATAACAAGAAATCACCTCAAAAACAAAAGTGTCCACTTCTTCTCTTATGCCCACGTCATCAATAGAACCTTCATTTTTTGCAGCTGTTATAAGAATGTCCAGCATAGCCATTCGTTTCTTTGCACCTTTTGGAAAAAAAATAAAAATTTCATTTAAAGTGATCAGAGTAGTACTACGATATCTCTTTGAAAGCTTTCTAAGAAGATCGGTGATATTCAAATAGAAGCTTTAAGGAAAATCAAAATGTCTCCCTTAAAGAAAGCTACTCCGGAATTTCATTGCAATCTTCGAGGGGAATATCATGAGAAACTTATCTGAATCTTAAGTGAAGCATCAGCAGAATCTCGAAGAAAGCTTCCAGTGAATTATCAAGGTAAATACCGCTGAAATCTTCAGTGAACATTTTCTAAATAATCTACTGGAAGCTTGCAATGATGTACCTGGTAAAAATTGCGGAGCATTACCGGACTAATCATGAATTAGTATGAAACAATCTGGTTTATTGGTAGGATTTTGTCATCCGAAATTAGTTCCCCTAAATCTGAAATTTGCCCGATTTGTGTAACTATAGTTAATCCGGAATTAAGTAGGTCTAATCCGAAGTCAGTTCGATCAAACTAGTGAATGCAGATTCTACATTTACTGATTACACAGGCCGGATTAATTTCGGATTCAATAGAAGTAATTTTGTAATTTATTAGTTGGGTATGATTCGATTAATTTCAAATTAGACCGGATTTACTAGTGACACAAATAATACTAATTTTTCCATCTTGATTTAAATAATTTAATATTTGTTCTAATCTCTTATTTTCATAAAATATAAAATTCCATTTGCCATGTCGTCACAATACATACTGTGTACCTAAACAAGTATGGCCCAAGAATGGCGCCCAGTCGACACCGCGTGCTTCTCCCTTAAAGAAAGCTTCTCCGGAATCTCATTGAAACATTCCAGGGGAATATCATCAGAAACTCATCTGAATCTTAAGGGAAGCATCACCAGAATTTCGAAGAAAACTTCCAGTGAATTATCAAGGGAATCATCACTGGAATCTTCAGTGAACATTTCCTAAATAATCTACTGGAAGCTTGCAATAATGTATCTGGTAAAAATTACAGACTGTTTCCAGATCAATCTGGAATTATTCCTAAACAGTTCGGTTTACTGTCAGGTTTTTCTCCCCTGGAATTAGTTCGGCTAAATCCGAAATTTTGTTTGTGTAAATAATGAATTCGGAATTAATTATGTCTAATCCGAAGTCAGTTCGGTTAAACATAATTACTGAATGCAGATTCAGGATTTACTGGATTATTCTTGTCTCATTCTTTGGATTGTATTACTTGTAAGTTAAATAAAACCAAATCAAATAGCTCAGAATTTCACCAAAGAATATTTTAATTACAAATAAATATCAGATAAAATTTCAGATTTTTCACATAAAGATTTTAGATTATTACAGACTTGTGTCGGATTCAGTTTTTTCATACAGTACTAAAACTGTGGCTTACTGTTTGCGAATTAATTACATAAAAATTTTGAATTGGTTTTTAATTTAACCATATTAAATTGTTGCAGGCAAATTGCGGATTTATTTCAGGTCTCGGATTTATCTTTTCATCAAGATTAATTATTGACTAATACGGATCATTTTCGAATTGTTTTCGTATAAAATTTCTGTACAAATCCGGACTAATTTGAAATCAGTGCGTAATTTTAATCAGAGGACATTTAAAAGTTCCTAAAAGCTTCCATTTCGAAATACATAGAATATGATAATAATCAAACGGATATTTATTTTTTTAAGACATTAAAATATTTGAATGCAAATTTACCAGTTTCATTTACAGATGAATTGGAATGTTTTATTTGTCCGACTTTTTGTTCATGATAATGCACTCGATCAGCTATGATCTGAAACAAATTTTGTATTATATTAATTGAAATAGAATTATTTTTTCAAGAATGTTTATCCTACTTTGTTTGTTAAATGATGCAGTGTTTGGAGAACTTTTTTCTGACGAATTCCAGTCTTTGACATATTAAATATCCAACTGTTATGTAACCAAGGTCTTACTAATCTAAAACATAATAATTTTGTTAATCTCCAAAAAAAAAATTTTGCACACCTCTAACTAGAAGAGTGAGTGACATTAAACATATGCAAAAAAAATATTTTATCACTTATACCTGTAAACAAAATGATCTCCCAATTTTTGTACAGCATCTCGATATTCTTTTTCGTTTTTCTTTGCATCCAATTCTGTACCCATTGCAGTCTCTATAAATAAATTCTTTTTTAGTCTTAGATCAGAAATTAGAATCTTGAATCATAAAAGTAAATTATTTGTATACAATGTAACAATAATAATTGTTTTAGTGTTCCAAACATTGCGTGTTAAATAATATACGTAATCAATTTCATAAAAAAAAATGCTTCATCACTAAAGAGTTAAAAAGTCAAGGATCATTAATCATTTTTGCAACTGTTTCTATTTATCATTTCCTTGAAAATCATTATAAATATTTGCGTATATGACAGTTGTGATATTAAAAAAAAAATTTGATTATCATGTCACAATTATGAATTTTAAATCTTTTATAACAGCGCAATAATTCAAATAATGACACTTTGAGAGAAGCAACTTAAATTTTATGCGTCAATAAAAATAATATTTATTTTTTAATATTAAACACTAATTAAATAATTGAATTTATTTTATTAAAATTATTTACCACATATGGAATCTAATGTTAATCTTGTCATTATTGGTACTATATCTTTAATAATTTCATTTCCTTCGCCTTTTAATTTTTTAACAAGCAATTCTGATTGTTCTACAAAAACATTCACAAATTCCTGTAGAATATTGAAATGAAAGGCTGGTGTCATCATTCTTCTTCTTATCAGCCATTTTTCTCCTGCGGAATTTAATTATAGTTTTATTGCATTTTATTTTTAGTTAGTTTTTATTTATTTTTTTATTTTCTCAGTTCAGTTAGTTACTTAATTTTGTATTAAATTGAAAAATATATTGATAAATGAAAACAAGAAACAATTTTTTATTTATTTCTCTAAATTTTTCTATTTTTATTAATGTTTTCATGGTTTAAATTTATATTTTGAAGTATATATATCTAATTAGAGAAAAAATATTACAGTAATTATTTACCTGTACTTGTTAATAATCCAGTGCCCAGCCAAGGATGAAGAAAATCATAAATTCTACCTTTTTCAGTATGTTTCGTGCTACTCAGTACAATCTGTAAATAATAATTTGCCTTCCTTTAAATAAATTCCTAAATAGTAAATTTTGTGAAAATATTTTTGTTTTATTTGCATAAAAAATAAAGTATTTTAAATTTAACAATAATTGAGAGTTCAAAAATAATTAATTTTTATAAATAAAAATTAGTGGAAATTTTTTTAGTTGAAAGTGAAAAATTTAATAATAGAAATAATAATGAAATAAAAAAATTTCATAGAGTAAAAAATCTTCAAGTGACTTTACAAAAATTAAAAAAGAACGTTAATAATTATTATTACATAAAATTTTATTAATTTAAATTAATTAATAGAAAAAAAATAATTTTAATAAATAATTGTTTTTTTTTTTGAAATAGGTATTTATTTACCTGCACATCATCTGGATGATAAACACTAATTGTTGGCAACCCTCCGAGCCATAGTCTATTAATTGGATAATATTCCTTATTTATTCTTCTCAATGATTTCCAAAGTTCATCTAATTAATTTTCCTTACATTAAACTTTTATTCAAATATTATTGTTAAAATATTAAACATTATAATTTTTTTTCACATTTCTTTTAATGTGATATTTAAATTAACAATTATTGGAAAATTTATTTAATAACATCTTTAAAGAAATTTTTAATATCTAAGTTATTTTAAAAATAAAGATTTTATTATTATTATTATAAATTATACATATACCATACCCAAAGGTCCCAAAAATTCGCGTGCATTTCCAAGTAAAGGAAGAACGGTAGGACCAGGAAATTTATTTACTAACCTACCTCGTTTATTATAATGATTTTTAAAATGATAAAATACTAATGTTATTGTAATAATTCCTAATATTAGGCCAATCATTATAGAAATAACAAAATTTTTTTCTAGACGTAAAAGCGAAAATATCTATTTATTTATTTTATTATTATTATTATTATTTGTTACAGAAGGAATTAATTTTAAGTAAAAATTTCAATTTGAAAATTTTATTTTATGTTTTCTACATATTAGGACAGACTCATCATATACACTTTGAAAATGCACAATTTATACTAAGTATAAGATAAAATATCAAGAATTGAACTAAGTCTGCAATAATCAAAATTGCGTGTCACTAAGAAAATTATAGCTTGTTTTTTTTCTATCCTATACAATCGTGATTTTACTACTTTGAAAAATGACTTCATTTTCCTCAAGAGAAAAAAAAATTGCCTTACTTAGATTCGGAGTTAATATATAAACATAATACAATAATCAATATAAAAGGAAAAGAAAAAAATAATTTTTGAAAACCTCAAAAGACAATTTTATTTTTTTATTATTTAATTTTATTTATTCTTATTAATTAATAGAAATTCTATTTAAACGAATTTCTATACATTACACAACTTTAAATTCAATAAATTTTTTTATTTAATAAAATTTTACTTCATCGAATTTGAATTTGTCGAAATTATTATTTGCCTGAATTGTTAAATTAGCCTTGAATATATTATTTAAAATAATTTTTATTTTATAGAAAGAATATTGGAAATAAATTATTTTTTGGTTAACTTTTCATTTTCTTGAATTTATATTTTATAGAATTCTTAAATCGTCGAATTTTTAATTTCAAAAAATTTTCATTTTTCGGAATAAGTACCTCTGGCAGAATTAGTGGCGAATTTAACGATTAACTACATTAGAAATTATTAACGAAATTATGATATGAATTATTATAAGATTTGCATCTAATTTTTTCTGCTATATTTTTATTCGGAAAAATCAAAATTCTTTAAAATTTCTAATATTTAATATCTTTCTGTCTAATAATGCAAATTCCATGAAATATTAACTATTTTTTTAAACTAAACTAAAATATAATAAATATTAATTTCTATCAATTTTGAAAGACGTAGTTTTAAAATTTTAAAAAAATTATCTTGAGTGAAAATCTTGCTTCAAATAATAATTTCTTTATCATTTTGATTTTTCGAGGAAAATATATTTAGTAGATTTTTAATTACAAAAATATTTCTAAATTATGAATTCCATTGAAGAAGTATAATTTTTATTATTTTTTTAATCTCAAATAATTTCTTCAGAAATAGGCGACGTTGAAAAGATTGTATTCTAAACATGAAATTGATTTAATATCTTTTTAATTTCTTTCAATGTCATAAGGTAAAAAAAACTCTGTTTTCTTGCTTTGTCGACATAAATAAAATAAAACAAATAACTTTAATAAATTATAGAGTTTGAATCTATTCATTTTATTCGATGAAAAATAAACTTGAAAGTATTACAAAGAAAATCCAAAAAAAAAATTTTTGATACAGACAAAAAAAACCATTCCATTCGTGGAATAATAGTTTTTATACTTTTAAAATTTAGTCTTTGCATCTTATAATTTTTAATTTCATAAGAATGTTTTATATCATTTTTACTATTGAAGGTAATATCTGCTGCTGTTCTATATTTGTTAAAATCATCATAAATAATTATGCTTAAATATTTTCTTTTAAAACTATTAATTTCCGTTATATTTGGTACTACATTTATTAAATGAGGCTCAAATTTCATCACTTGTTCCAAAATTTGAGCAAATATAATGTCCTTTTTGTATTATTGTACGGATGTAACATTAGCAAAATAAATAAATATTTTCAATTTTTTTTTTTTTTTTTTTTTATTTGAATCAAAATATCGAGCCCACAGTCAAAAGACCATTGAAGGGCAATACATTTCTGTGAAACGAAAATAACAGAAATAATTGAAGAATATAAGATCTACATAATAACAAAAATAAAAATTGCATCAATCATAAGAAACAAAAGAATACATTGTAAAACATTAGATCTTAATAACAGCATTATACTAATATATTATAAAAAGAAAAATATATTATTAAGTAAAACAAAAACCTAACGCCGAGCAATAATATAATATTTGATAACGCTTTTAAAAGAATTTAAGGACATTCCAAAAAATTCTATATTTACATCATGGTGTAAGCATATTACATTTTGCACATATTATATATGAGTGCAGCCAAACCCACCGCAGAGTGAGGCATAGGCAGCGAAAATGTCTGATAATAACGTGATTGTTGTCTCGGTATTTTTAGTCTTATCAATTCAAGAAGGTTTGGACAATTAATTTTATAATTAAGCAGTTTAAATAGAAAAATTGATTGATTTATAAATCGACGTTCCGCTAAGGTTAAGAAATTAAAGCTTTTTCATAATTCATAGTAAACAGATCCTCGTGGGGGGTAAACATGATTCTTTCGGAAATATAGAAACTTTAAAAATCTTTTTTGAATTTTTTCGAGGTTTTGAATATATTTATCAAAGACAGGATTCCATGGGATCGTTGCATAGTTAAATTTGGAAAGAACAAGGGCATTAAATAATAAAATAAAAGTATCTATATTTTTAAAGTTTCGCGCATTCCTAATTAAGCTTCCCAGAGACTTAGTAGCACTTAATTCAACAGCTTCTATACATGAGGTATAAAAGTTAATTTCGAATCAAACAGAACGCTTAAATCGCGAATCGAATCTTTTCTAGTTAATTCAATATTATCTATAAAGTACTTGTGGCTTATCAGTGTCTCACGCCGCGTATAGCTAACAATATAGCATTTCTCTAAGTTTAATTTGAGCTTATTATTCAGGCACCACCGATCAAAATCGTTAAGGTTGGATTGAAGGAATTCAGCATCCTCTAATGATTTAATCGGATGAAATATTTTGAGGTCATCTACATACAATAGTTTACCAACAGTTAAACAATTAGAAACATTATTTATAAATATATTAAAAAGGGATGACCCCATAACTGATTCTTGAGAAACACCTGATGAACGGATAAATGACTGTGAAGAGAATCCATTATATTGAACTATGTATGTTGGAGCGATTGACAAGGTAGGACTGTAGAAGTAAAAAAAGGCTAGCAGGGAGATTTAAGTCAGAAAGTTTAGAGAAGAGGAGCTCATGATCTACACTATCAAAGGCTTTGGAAAAATCAGTATATACCACATCAAGCTGGTTTCCATCCGAAATAGTTTGATTAATATACTGAGTAATGCTTACTAAGTTGGTAGTAGTTGATTTATTATTTATACAGCCATGTTGCTCATCAACAATGACGGGTGCCAAACTATAGGTAATATAACTCACTTTGTATCTATTAAGATTTAACAATTATTTGGAAACCATTGATTTTTGGCTGATACAACCTGAGAAGAGTAGTTATTGGTAAAAGGATTTCAGTGACTAATAATAGGTAATTTTTTAAAAATTGGTTTAACCGTTACTTTCCTCTTTTCATCGTATGTCAATAAATTAATGTCCAAAAAACTTTTATTCCAAAATGAATGCAGAGTTCTGTTGATGTAATCATGAGTTAAAAAATTAGAGTTAACAACTAAACATTTTGGTTGTGATGAACCTCTTATTAACATTCCGTACCTTGAGTGTAGAAATTTTTTCGAAGTGAATTGGAGTATCTTTATTAATCCACTGTAAAATAAACAGTGTAGTATGTCTAGGTCGATTTAGTATATTAACATATAGCTCTTTAACTCCGTTAAATAATTTACTGTGACTGATGCTCAAAAATGGAAAATGTGAATTAACTGTTGTCATAAGAGAATTCATTATTGGATCTATATTTTCTTGTTCATCGTCAAAAATAAACACTGCCTGATGTAACTTTGATTCTTCTTTTAAATACTTTATCAATCCATCAAAATAATCACTTGTTGATGATATTCCTAGGATTTCTTTCTAAAAAATGTAACTCACAATAAATAGAATTCTAAACTTCATTTTTTTGTATAACCACTTTATTGTTCTAATATCAATAGTAGACTGTTACTTAAGCTTTAAATAAACTACCCTTAAAGTAATTGAATTCTTTTTATATAAATGAAATAAGGCTATAAATAATATAAAACATACAAAGAAATTTTTTTAATTTAATTTTGTATTAGGAAAGAAAAAATGTATTAAAATTTTTCGCTTGGCCTCTTCAGATATTTAATATTACTGTAAAAAATGATTCTTTACAAAATTGAAAAAAAAAAATTTTTTTAATCTTTTATAAATTTTTTAAAATACTAATATTTTTTAAAAATATGAAAATTGAAATCCACCAATTTTTGTATATTAATGGTGCTATTTGAGGCATATTGCAAAATAATTGCTAAAATTTTAGAATTTCTATTTATCAATATTGTTAGCGATATAATATTTGATAGTAGTATCTAAGGAACTGCACGTAATGGAAAACTGGCTTTTCATATATATATATATATATATATATATATATATATATATATATATATTAGTTTTATAAGTAACTTTTTTATTATTACATCTGAACTAGTTTATATATATATACAAGACTGTAATTTTTTTTAAATACATATAAAAAATTTAAGATTTGTTAAACTTTTTATTTTATTCTATTCAAGATCCTTTCACGTAAAACGAATCTTATACTTTTTTTAGTGAATAACGTTAATTATTATTGAAAACACTTTTGCAGCGTAAGTCACATTATTTATATTTATTTATTTATTTAATTTAAATATCTATTTATTTAATTTATTTATTATATGCATATTTCATTTTTAAATGATGTGGGGTAAAAATTTTTTTAAAACCGTTTAAATTTGTTACACGTGGATTTATGTCAGATTTATTTCAATATTCATAAATTATATTTAAATATTAAACTTATATATATATATATATATATATTTTTTTTTTGTTTAACATAAACGAAATAATATTTGATAGCGGTATCTAAAAAAATAGAGAAAAACAGTGGTAGCTTATCGAAAATAATATTTAAAAAATAAAATTTATTATTTATCACTAGTTAAAATAGTATATAAAGTTGAAATTTTTATATTTAATACATTCGAAATTTATAACCTTTTATTCCTTTAAAGATGCTGTCACTTAAAATAAATTTCATACTTTTGTTGTCAATATTAACTATTATTGGAAACACTCTTGGACGTAAGCTCAACTATTTATATTTTGTTTTTAAATTTGTACGTTTTTATTGTTAAAATTTTTTTTATTGTAGGTCAGATATATAAATTTTTAAAATTGTTTTCGGTTTATAAAAATTTTTATAACTGAAAACAATTTTATATAGTTAGCAAATATAAGTATTAATTTTATTTTTTATTGGTTTTAGTGTTAATGCCTCTACCAACAAAAAGAAGTTGTCACAATGGTGATGGAAAATGTAAAATAGGCACATGCAGAGGAAGCATTAAATATCCAACAACTTTTGAAGAATGTGGTGAAAATGTGTTTGGAATGGCAGCCAAATGTTGTGGCCTGAAGAGTTAAATTAAAATTTTTTTTTGCCTACATAATAAAAATCAGATTATGAAGATTAATAGATGATGACTGTGTATTAAAAGTTTTCTTTTTCCACTTTAAGTTGGTCAATAATTGTAAATCTAGAAATCGTGAAAATGTAACCGTTATTTTTTTGTAAACATTTTTTTATTATATGCACATAAATAAATTTGGATATATAAGGAGATACATATATAACACATTTTTCTTTCTTATTATTTTATTTGTATTCTTTAAAATTGCTACGTAAGCGAAGTGTTTTCATATCTCCATTTATTTCTTATTGTTTTATTTTATATCCTTGTATTTAAATTTGGTCTTATTTTCTTGTAAGTTTTTTTAGGGCAGGAAAATTATCATAAAAAGGCAAAATAATTAACTAAATTATCTTTGCTTACAAAACATCATTTAATTGCATTTTTTTAAGTACAGCTTTTATTTTTAAGAAACAATCAAATTTAATAATTGTGATCATTTGGTTTTATTTTATTTGTCTGAATCAAATATATATCATTTTTTTATCAATAAATACAACAAATATTTTTTTTTTAAACTTTCTTACATATGAAAACTAATTTATCCTTTTCATAAAAATCTTCCTGAAACAAAAAAAAGAGGAAACGACTATTTTTACTATTAAAAAAAAAATTATATATATAAAAAAAAGGAAAAATCAGTTTTCGTTCAAACATTTATTTCAGCTACTAAACATACTACACCACTTTCATGAACAAGGAAAAATTGTAAACATTTTAAAATTTTAAAATTATATTCGATGACATCACACCTACACAGGCTGCCAAGGGACGTCAGCCAGAAAGAAGGGGGGTATTTGTTAGGGACGGAATTTCCGTTACTTTATAATTTTTTTAATCATTATTTATTCATAATCATCTTTCGAATTATTATATTATAAAACACAACACACATTATTATTCTCATTGTGAATATTATTTCGAAATCATTTAATAATTATGCCAAAGGTCTTTTCATGTACTTTATTTATAATGAATTGTTAAATTGAAATAAGTTACAAAATAATAACATGATCTAAATTCTTATTGTATCATTTAAATGTGGGTCTTCAATATATGACAGTTACTTAATCCCTTTGGAAGATTAAGTATCACTGCCCCAGTTAAAAATGCAACGTTGTTGAAATTGCATGAAAATAAGGAGAAGTCAGTTGCAAAATAGTCTTTCGGCCAGTAGGGATCGAATGATCAGTACTCGTTCAAGTGTTGAGTATCATTTCCCGCAAAGGCGGATGTAGTGTTGATTCCTGCCAAAGGCGGATGATTATATTATTGAAGTCCCACAAAAGGTGGTTGAAGTTATTAATTAATCCCCAAGTAAGGGTTGATTTGTGTTAAATAATAATAAATACAAGTGTCTTGAAAATATATAAAAATTAATTAAGAAATTCATTATAACTAAATAAAGAAGAGAAGACTTTCGCATACCTAAGTATCAAGTGACAAACAACGAGTAATACGATACTTTTCTGTAACGATTATAATTCTGGTGAGTCTCTTTAAATAATTGTCTTTAACAAAACAGTTTCTTATGTTTTGCTTCCTCGTGGAGGAAGCTTTGTAGTCCATTCATTTATAAAACTTTTCAAAGTGGCGGAAACAAATTTTTTTCTTTATAGAAACATGTTATATGAGATCCTGATCAATTGTCCGGATGTATGTATGTGTGTGTGTATGTGTGTGTGTGTGTGTGTGTGTGGATCCCTTTTTTGTTTAGAAGATAACTTTAACAGGTTTTAATGGATTTAGATAAAATTTGGTAGGCTCATTTATCATATTAATATCTCAAATCTGACCAAAGGATTTTGGAAAATATCCAAAAAAAAAAATTTTGTCGTCTTTTTTTAAAAAATTTTTTTTTAATCGAAAAAATTTTTAAATAGAAAAATTTAAGGTTACATATAATAAAATTGTATTCCTTACGTCAAGACGAATCGATCGATATATATAAAGTATACATTTAAGGTAAATTTAAAGAATTAATGAAAGTAAAAAAATCAAAATTTCACATTTAGGCTATAAAATTTTGTGATTTTTTAAATTGAAGATTATATATGAAATAATTGTATTCCTTACGTCAAGACGAATCGATCGATATATATAAAGTATACATTTGAAGTAAATTTAAAGAATTAATGAAAGTTAAAAAATCAAAAATTGACATTTTGGCAATAAAATTTTGCTTTCTCTACGAGGAAGCAAATTTTTTTGCTGATCGTAAAGAGGAAGCAAAATGTTCATGTAATGAACATCTGAATTTACAACTTGTTTGAATCTATCTTGCTGATATTTGTAAGACTTGACGTAAGTCAAGTAGTTTAATTATTGAATTTTGTAATAAACCTTTCTTTGCATGTATAAAACAAATACATTGAGAATAATTTGTAATAAATTGAGTGTTAATTTAATTTGACTCTATTTATTTATTTCACATTGAATTACTTTGTCTCATGTTTCTTTTTAACATTTTCTCTTAAACACCGTCTATCCGGGTTTATTGAATCAATAATTTACTGAGAGGCAGTCCACTACCTTATTCTAAAATTGTTTAGCGAAGAGCATTTACGCTTTCCAAATAAGCGGAATTGTTAAGTAATAAAAATCAGTATTCTTTCTATATATTTATTATTTCTCGTCAAGTTATCTATTTTATTTTCATTTATTAATTAACTTCAGTCTTTAACACTAAATATTATCGCGCGTCGATAAACATGTTACCGACCGCGGAGCACAAAGACGTAGTACCCGATTTCGCCGCGCGGGCCGCATCGCCAAAAATCACTCGTGTGTGCCCAGCCCACCGATCGGCTATATAAGCTGCGCTTTCGCTGAGGACCGACACTCTCGTGCTACACGGAGTCCGGGAGGGTCTTACCCACCTGACTAGGAGTTTTACACCGAAAATCTTTGTAGAGAGTTTTACCCGTCGAACATTATATCGGTTTTATGTGTAAATAGTGTATAGTAACGAATTGTAAAGTAATGTATCGCGATGTAAAGTAACGTAATGTATAGTAAAGAAATATTGTAAAGTACCGTATCAAGAGGTAAAGTAACGTAACAAATGTATAGTAAAGAAATATTGTATTCCCGCAGTTTAAAGTAAATTTTCCGTTTTATTACCGTTTGTATATATTCTTAGAGTTTTACTCTTCGTATAATTAGAACACGAGTTTTACTGTATATGTTTTATCTGTAAATACCGTTGTAAATAAATAATTTGTTTCAGTTTGTAATTAACCCGTAATTATCCTGTAATTATTTTTGTTGGAATCAAAACGAATCCTGGCTCGGCGAGCTAAAATATTGATTCTCACAATTACAAACGTTACACAGTTACATAAGCAAACTCTCTGTCGATTACTGATGGAACAATCTGGATTTGTTCAGTTGACAGGTTTATTGTTCCATATCACGTGGTCATCTTGAATTTTCGCAAACTGGCGTGCAGATCGTCGCGTCGTTTGCTACTGGCACATGTGCCACTTTTGCTTTTATTATTAGTTTAAAAAAAAATGACAATGTGCTGTTAAATAATGAATCCGGTTAAAGTGAGAAATCTATTGCAAGTGTAGTGAATGGATGAAGAGACAATTTCATCGTTTATCGGTAAAGTTATACTCGGTTACTATTGAACATAACCTCACCTTAAAAAATACAAAAAGTATATTAAATATTATTTAACAACAAATTTCAACTCAAAATAATTCTTTGGTTTCAGGTCAAAGAATTTGATTCAGAAGCTGCATGTTCCATAGATATTAATGCAAATGAAACTAGTGATATGACCTACGGAAATCTGCTATCGATTATTTTAGAAAGCGAAGGAACTGAACAAATTGTATTAGACGGATCAAAGCCTTGTTAATACAACAAATTGTTTTGTCGATTTAACAATTTAGTTTTGTTATTTCAACTATTCCATAACAATTTTCTTTGTTCATCAAACAATTCTGTTTGTTCACTGAACATTCCCAAAAGTTTTAATAACTTTTATTTTTGTCTTAAAAACAAATAAAACTGCTGGTTCTATATTAACAATCCGGAATAGTTGTGTGGACTTAATTTTTAGTAAGAAAAACAATTCTTTTTTCTCCGTCTACCATACCTTGCCCAGCAATTATAAACTCAGACGTCGCAGCTCCAGGTTCAATGGCTGCTAACTTGGAATGTTTTTAATAAAATGCTTTAAAAAATTGTGAGAAACAGATAAATATATTTGCAACATAATTTCATTCTTGCATTTTATTTAAAATAATTTTATCCCTCTTTCAAAAAAAATCCAAAAAACAGCGTTCTAATGTGGTTTCCCTTTTAATAATACTTTTAGAATATAATAAAATTTTTGTCAATACTTTCAGAACAGAGAATGAGATCCAATCATTTCTTGTTCAATTGTATTGCTGAAAGATTGAGTCGAAGCCGTATCGAAGCATAATTTTCATACTTTTTTAAAAACATTTCTAAATTTAAATTCATTAAAAATTTACAAAAACACACAATTTTTATATATATTTTTTTTATTTTATTGGTTACAGTTTAGAAAACACATTTTGTACTTAGTTTTTGTATAACATAAAAGATTTATTATAGTAGATAATGGTATTTATGGAACAGACAAAGAAACAAAATAAGCTTAAAGAAAAATAAAATGAACGATTTTAAAAAATTCTAATTACTTTTATCACTTACTGAAGTAGTATAAATAAGGTTGAAAATTTTTCTAGTTGATATAACTTAATATTTAAAGCTTGTTACATTGTATTTTCTTCATTATGGTTTCATTTAAAGTTAGTTTTATACTTTTATTGTCAATGATACTTATTATTGGAAACACTCTTGCATGTAAGTTATACAATTTATTTTTAAACTAGCAAGTGTATTTTTGATACTGTCTTTTTTTTAATTTAAATTTTTATTTTATTACAATCGTAATATCATAATTAGCATTGTAATTTTCAAAATAATCAAAAAAATATTTTTGAAATATAATTACAGAATTATAGATCATTTTTGCTTCCTCGTGGAGGAAACTTTGTAGTCCTTTCGTTTAAAAAACTTTTCAAAGTGGCGGAAATAAATTTTTTTTCTTTATAGAAACATGTTATATGAGATCCTGATCAATTGTCCGGATGTATGTATGTGTGTGTGTGTGTGTGTGTGGATCCCTTTTTTGTTTAGAAGATAACTTTAACAGGTTTTAATGGATTTAGATAAAATTTGGTAGGCCCATTTATCATATTAATATCTCAAATCTGACCAAAGAATTTTGAAAAATACTCCCAAAAAAAATTTTATGGTCTTTTTTCCAAACTTTTTTTTTTAATCGAAAAAATTTATATATAGAAAAATGTAAGGTTATATATAATAAAATCGTATTCTTTACGTCAAGACGAATCGATCGATATATATAAAGTATTCATTTGAGGTAAATTTAAAGAATTAATGAAAGTTAAAAAATCAAAAATTCACATTTTGTCAATAAAATTTTGCTTTCTCCACGAGAAAGCAAATTTTTTTGCTGATTGTAAAGATGAAGCAAAATGTTCATGAAATGAACATCTGAATTTACAAATTTTTGGTAAGTTTTTTATGCTTTTGGGTGGGTTTTTGGTCATAAAAAGGGTCTTCCTCTACTCGGATCAGGGTGTCAATTTTTTTCTACACTTTTCGGTGTCTTTTGTGCGAGAATATGCAATAAAATCGTCTGCCTAAAAAAAATTGAATTTTTTTGGTAAGTTTTTTATGCTTCTGGATGCGTTTTTGGTCATGAAAAGGGTCTTCCTCTACTCGGATCGGGGTGTCAATTTTTTTCTACACTTTTCAGTGTATTCTGTGAAAGCATATGCAATAAAATCGTCTGCCTAAGAAAAATTGATTTTTTTTGGAACTTTTTTATGCTTTTGGATGCGTTTTTGGTCATAAAAAGGGTCTTCCTCCACTCGGATCAGGGTGTCAATTTTTTTCTACACTTTTCAGTGTATTCTGTGAAAGCATATGCAATAAAATCGTCTGCCTAAGAAAAATTGATTTTTTTTGGAACGTTTTTATGCTTCTTGATGCGTTTTTGGTCATGAAAAGTGTCTTCCTCTACTCGGATCTGGGTGTAAATTTTTTCTACAGTTTTCGGTGTATTCTTTGCAAGTATATAAAATAAAATCGACTGCCTAAGAGAAATTGAATTTTTTTGGAACGTTTTTATGCTTCTTGATGCGTTTTTGGTCATAAAAAGGGTCTTCCTCCACTCGGATCAGGGTGTCAATTTTTTTCTACATTTTTCGGTGCATTCTGTGCAAGAATATGCAATAAAATGGTCTGCCTATGAGAAATTGAATTTTTTGCTTCCTCGTGGAGGAAGCTTTGTAGTCCTTTCGTTAATAAAACTGTTCAAAGTGGCGGAAACAAATTTTTTTCTTTATAGAAACATGTTATATGTGACGCCGCACGAGAAAAGGTACCTTTCCCCGAAATAACATTAGGCTTAGTTTTCCGTGTATAGAGCACGGAAAACTGAGCCTAATGTTATTTCAGGGATAGGTACCTTTTCTCGTGCGGCGTCACATATGAGATCCTGATTAATTGTCCGGATGTATGTATGTGTGTGTGTGGATCCCTTTTTTGTTTAGAATTCACATTTTGGTTATAAAATTTTGTGATTTTTTAAATTGAAGTTTATATATGAAATAATTGTATTCCTTACGTCAAGACGAATCGATTGATATATAAAGTATACATTTGAGATAAATTTAAAGAATTAATGAAAGTTAAAAAATAAAAAATTCACATTTTGTCAATTAAATTTTGCTTTCTCCACGAGGAAGCAAATTTTTTTGCTGATCGTAAAGAGGAAGCAAAATGTTCATGTAATGATCATTTGAATTTACAACTTGTTTGTAGACTGCTTTAATTATTATTGTAATTATGACTCTAAATTCATTTACAGTCCTAATTAGTGTCCTTATTATGATCGTAATTGAAGTTTTATTTTTTCAATAGTTATACCTCCTCCGCCACCACCTACAAAATGTCACAATGGTGATGGAGAATGCATGTTAGGAAGATGCAGAAGAAGAACAAAATACCCTACTACTCTTGCAGAATGTGGTCAAAATATATTGGGAATGGAATTTAAATGTTGTGGCCCCAGACAATAATGTAATTTAAATAAACGCTTTTTCACTTATAGATGATTTTTTCAGTAGGTCACAATTTTGTTTACTGTTATCATTAAAAGTTTTTTTTTTTTTTAAATTAAAATATAATCTTTAAAGCTTAATAGATAAGAACAAAAAAAATTGGTAGAGGGCAGGTAAAAAAGTGTTTATAATTCTTGATTTTTTCAAACAGATTAATTGTAAAAACTTTTGTAAACTATATGAAACCTACTGGTCAACAATGGTATGCTGAAAAAATAAACTGTTTTATTTTAAAGGCAATAAAACTAAAATCGCTGATATTTTTTTTCTGTTTTAACCTTTCTGTGTTTTCTGTGTTGTTGCTGTTTTTAATTCTTTTTTCTATTTTGGAGCAATAAACAATAACTTCTTTGACATTATAAATTAGACTACTAGACTACTATTTTTCATAATATAATTAAACATAATTTTCATAATTTTAGAAAATATAAATTGATGAAAAAAATGAACAAAAACACAATTTATTGTATATATTATCTTAATTTATTTTTCTAGTTATATTTAAAAAAAAATTAAACGTTTACGTTTTATACTTGTTTTTTTATATAACATAAACGATATAATATTTGATAATGATATATCTATTGAACAATTAAAAACAAAATTAGCTTACAAAAAAACAAAATAAATATTTTAAAAAAATTTTAATTACCTTTATCGCACTTGCTGAAATAGTATATATAAGGTTGAAATTTTTCTAGTTAATATAAATAAAATAGAAAGTTTGTTACATTTTATTTTCTTCAAAATGCTTTCACTTAAAGTTAATTTCATACTTTTATTGTCAATAATATTTATTATTGGAAACACTCTTGCATGTAAGTTAAATATATTTTTTATTTTTAAATAATTGTAAATTTTTTGATACTTTTTTTACATTTATTTTTATGGAATATTATAGCTGCGAAGCATTTTTTTTTATTAATTAATAAGATTATCAAGCAATGTAAGATATTAAATTAAATAATAACTGAATTTTTAAATAGAATGGATTTTTAAAATAATAACGGGAGTTTTATAAAATAATAATTTAGAAATCTCAAAAAACAATATCTCGAAACCAGAACACAGAAAAAACCGTAAACTGAAATTAAGAATATATTCGTGGCGCATATTTAAGAATATTTTATATTTAAACTTAGTATATATTATTCTTAAAATAAGAATAGTTAATTTAAGTATAAAATATTCTTAAATATGCCCCACAAATATATATTTAATTTCAATTTACGGTTTTTTCTGTGAATGGCTATTTACTAAACACTAAAGCTTCGCGCAAAAAAAAGTTTTTAAATTATAAAATAACTAAAGTCTCAAAATCCAATGTTCAAAAGCTAATTTAAAGAAAAATTAATTTAAAAAATCACACGTAATATTAATTATTAACTAATGAAAAATTTTCAATGGTCAAGTATTTCAAAATCTTATCATGGAGAAAAAAGAATTGTTGTAGTTACTAAAAATTAAGTCCACACAACAATTCCGGATTGTTAATATAGAACCAGCAGTTCTATTCGTTTTTAGGACAAAAAAAATTGTTAAAATCGGACTGTTATTAAAACTATTCGGATTGTTCGGTAAACAAACAGAATTCTTTGATGAACAAAATAAAATTCTTATGGAACAGTTGAAATAACAAAACTAAATTGTTAAATCGGCAATACAGTTTGTTGTATTAACAAAGCTTTGATCCGTCTAATACAATTTGTTCAGTTTCTTCGCCTTCTAAAGTAATCGATAGCAGATTTCCGTAGGTCATATCACCAGTTTCATTTGCATTAAAATCTATGGAACATGCAGCTTTTGAATCAAATTCTTTGACCTGAAACCAAAAGAATTATTTTGAGTTGAAATTTGTTGTTAAATAATATTTAATATACTTTTTGTATTTTTTAAGGTGAGGTTATGTTCAATAGTAACCGAGTATAACTTTACCGATAAACGATGAAATTGTCTCTTCATCCATTCACTACACTTGTAATAGATTTCTCACTTTAACAGGATTCATTATTTAACAGCACTTTGTCATTTTTTTTAAAACTAATAATAAAAGCAAAAGTGGCACATGTGCCAGTAGCAAACGACGCGACGATCTGCACGCCAGTTTGCCGAAAATTCAAGATGACCACGTGACATGGAACAATAAACCTGTCAGCTGAACAAATCCAGATTGTTCCATCAGTAATCGACAGAGAGTTTGCTTCTGTAACTGTACTGAATTGCAAACTGAACAAAACTGATGACAAAAAATTCGTATTGTTGTTAAAACAACATACATTTGTATTGACAACAATCCGAATTGTAATCCCATTTTTCTCCGTGTAAGACTACAAACGTATAACTAGGCTTATATTTCAATTGTGTGACGTCAATTAAAAAATAAAGTCACAAATTGTATTTATTTTACTTTTTATTTTTTTTAGTAATGCCTCTGCCTCCAGCACCTAAAAAATGTCACAATGGTGATGGAGAATGCATGATAGGAAGATGCAGAAGAAGAACTAAATATCCAACAACTCTTGAAGAATGTGGTCAAAATATTCTTGGAATGGCAGCTAAATGTTGTGGCCCAAGAAGTTAATACATTTTAAATCAATTTCTCATTTATGTGGGTAACACATGTTTATGTGACTGTTTTTTATTGTAATTTTGATTTTTTAAAATAATGAAAAATAGAAGTGGAATGTCAATAGTAAAAATGTTGATAATTTTTGTATTTTCAAAAAAAAATTTAATACCTATTTGTATTTATAGAAAAAAAGCAACTCACACCAATCATGATGTAACAAAATTAATTTTTGTATTTCCTATGCGAATATAACAAAAATATTACCCACTATTTTTTTTTTGTTTTAATTTGCCATTGTTTAAAGAAAATATTAACCACTTGAGCGTCATGGCGTTCAAACTTGCGTCGCGACTGGTGGTGACAGAAGCGTCAAAAATGCGTAAATGGCGTTCCCATTTGAATTTAATTTGTAAAGTCTGTAGACGTATTTAAATAATTAAAACGTATTTTTCATACTTTTTGAGATCAAGAAAAACGACGGTGTCAGGAAAAAATCATTTTTTTAAACATTCAAATGGTTTTTTCGAATTTTAAAGTCAACAAGTTTCAGTACTTTTTGCGAAAAGCGTTCTAATATTTTTTCGACTTTAATATTCTAAAAACCATTTGAATGTGGCATTTTCGTGGCACAGTCGTTTTTCTTGCCTTCAAAAAATATGAAAGATACATTTTGGTTATTTAACTATGTCTACAGACTTTACAAATTGGGTGCAACTAGGAACGCCATTTATGCATTTTTAACGCTTCTATCACCGCCACTTATAGAAATCTGCATTATCGACTACTGACAAAATGCCATTGCATAAATCTATGTTATCGGCTAGTGACAAAGTGCAGTTACAGAAATCTTCATTATCGAATGTTGGTAAATTGTCATTTCGAATGTCTATATTATCGACTGATGGTAAAATGCTATTACAGAAATCTGTATTACCGACTGTTGGTACCGTGTCATTGCATACAAATTAATTACTACATGTTTATAGTTTTATTTTTTAAACTGTTATTTATTCAAATGCATTCCATATCTAGAAAGGAGTGTTTTTGTTAAATGATGTAAATTTTACACGAACTGGATTTTTTGGCCTTAGGACTAAATCTTGCATTATAACAACTTCATGAGCATAATCAATAGCCTCCAATTCAAAATTATACAGTAAATGAGCAAGACATGTTTTTAATTCCAGCATTGCAAATTTTTGACCTGAAAAATTTTTTTTATTTTACTATTTTTTTTATATAATTATATTTATTATATTTTTATACATTCGTTTAAATAAAAATAAGAGAACATTTTTCGTTGAAATAATGTAACTAATTTAAAAAAAAAAGAAATTGCCCTACCAATGCAATTTCGAGGTCCACCACTGAATGGAACATAAGAAAAAGGATGTCTATTTCTAATGTTCTCGAGTAAAAATCTGTCGGGATCGAATTTTTCTGGATTTGGCCAATAATTTGGATCTCGATGAAGATCATAAATGTATAAATGAAGATTGGAACCAGCTGGTGCTATAAAGTCTTCTAAAATAACAAAATATTAATTAGATATATATGACAAATAAAAAATTGAAAATTATCTATTTTCTTATGTAGTTATTAAATTTTTAAGTTTTAACAATTTCGTTTTTATTTTTTTTACTCTATTACTGTCAAATAAAATTTGCTTTTTTCAAAATTAATAAATTTTTAATAATTTTTTATTTTCTAAAATTCTTACTTAGTTGAAGATCTTCATGAACAACACGAGTGATAACTGGCACACTGGGATATAGTCTTAATGATTCTTTAATGCATCTTTCCAAATAAACTAATCGATTTATTTCTCCAAATCCAATTTTTCCATTACTTTCATTTAATACTTCGCAAATTTCTTCTCTTGCAATTTTCTAAAGATAAATTATTGTGAGACAGATATTTACAGAAAAGTTTTTTTATATTAATTTTTTTAAAAATCTATTTTATTTTGAGCAATTAAATTAAAAAAAAGAATTAAACTATTTTTCTAAACATTTCAAAACTTTGTACAACATACCTGAACATTAGAATGTTCTGCCAATAGTGCCAAAGTGAATATTAAGGACATTGCCGTTGTATCGTGTCCCTTATTAACAGAATACATAGAAATAAATATTATTCTTAAAGTCGACATTATCGACTGCGGGCAAAATGACATTTCAGAAATTTATTTCACCGACCAGTGGCATTACCGACTGTTAATAAAGTATCATTACAAATGTCTATATTATCGACTCTTGGCAAACGATCATTACAAATGTCTATATTGATGACTAAATGGTAAATTGTCATTACAGATTTCTGTTTTATCGACTGTGGTTAAAATGTCATTTCAGAAATATATTTTACCGGATGGTTGTAAAGTGACATCACAGTAATCTACATTACCGACTGTCAATAATGTGTAATTGCAGATGACTACATTACCGACAGGTGGTAAAGTTCCATTACAGATGACTACTTTACCGGCTGGTAGTAGAGTGTCATTACAGAAATATGCATTACCGACTGGTGGTAAAGTACAAATACAGTTCTCTACATTATCTACTGTTGGTAAAGTGACATCATAGTAATCTGCATTATCAACTGCAGGTAAAATGTAATTACAGATTACTACATTACCTACTGGTGGCAAAGTACTATTACAGAAATCTACATTACCGACAAGTGGTTAAGTGCAATTGTAGTTTTATGTATTATCGACTGTTGGTAAAGTGCCATTTCAGAAATCTGCCTTACCGATTAATGGTAAAAATGTTATTATCAGATTTGTAGTACCATTTGATGGCAAAACGTCAAACACAGATATATACTACTTGTACTCTAAATGGATTAATAAAAAAATTAATCTAATACCTCAAAAACAAAGGTATCAACCTCTTCTCGTATTCCTTCGTCATCTATAGCAAAATTATTTCTCGAAGCAGAAATAAGAACATCTAACATTGCCATTCTTTTTTTGTGCACTGTAATTAAAATATTAATTGAATTTAAAAAATTAGAAAATAAATCTAAAAATATTTATGAAAATTATTCACTTCCTAATTCCTCTTTATCGGCAAAATTTTCATCTGTCTCAAATGATTGTTGATGATGTTTTTTTCTATCATAAATAATCTGTAAAATTGTTTTTAATTTATTATAACTTTTTTTTAAAATATATTTTTTTTAAATAATAAAATTAATATTTTTGAAAACTCACTTTTGTTGAAAAATCGTGTAATGTTTTTAAAACTTTCCTATGATAAATTCCAGATGTACTCAAATTGAACAACCAATCCAAATGAAACCAGGGTCTTAAAAGTCTTTTGAATGAATGGACTTTTTAGAAGAATTATTTTTTTTAATCAATAATAATAATTTATCATATTTTTTAGTTTAAATAAATTTTAAAAAAAACAGTAACTTTTACATATATATTACCGATATACTACAAATTTAGCCATTTCTTGAACAGATGATCGATAGTCACTTTTTTCATTCATACTGTCTGGTGATGTTCCCATAGCTGTTTCTAAAAGAAAAAAATTTTTTTTTGCATAAAATGAAAAAAAAATTGTTGAAATTGAAAAATTATATCTTAGATATTATATTTACACATACCACATATTGCATTTAATGTGAATTTGGTAAAAAGTGGTTCAATATCTTTTATCACTTCTGATCCTTCTGTTTTTAATGAAGAAACTAGTTTTTGAGATTCTTCAATGAAAATATCAACAAATCCTTGAAGAATATTGAAATGAAAAGCTGGTGTTAACAATTTGCGTCTCTTTTGCCATTTTTCGCCTAATATTTTTTTAAAACAATAATAATAATAATAATATTAGTAATAATGGAGTTATATTCTATAATCGGACGCAGGGACTCGGGACATCACAGTAATCTGCATTACCAACTGTCGATAAAGTGCAATTACAAATTTCTACATTACCGACTGGTGGTAAAGTGCCATTACAGAAATCTGCATTACCGACTGGTGGTAAAGTAACATCACAGTAATCTGCATTATGCATCTTTAATAATAATAATAATTGTAAAATTACAATTTTTTAAAAGAATGTTTTAAAAATTTATATATTTTTAAATTTTAAATATATTATCGAAAAATAACACTTACCAGTGCTGGTCAATAATCCAGTACCAAGCCAAGGATGTAAAAATTTATAAATAATACTTTTTTCAATGTGTTTTGTACTTGAAAGTACTATCTGAAAATTGAAAATATAATTTCTGTTGTCAATTTATTGAGTTTAGTAAAGAAATTAAAAAAAAATTTTTTTAATTTTACACAATGAAATAAAAAATACCATTTTTTTGAAAGACAATAAATAAAATAATTTTAAAAAAAAATGTTTAAAATAAAAATGTACCAAAAATGAAAAGTATTTAAAAAAACATATTGTACTTTTTGAAAATTTTTCTTCTCATCTGCATTGAAAGCTTTTAATTTCAATTTTGAGTAATTAATAAAAAAAAAGTAATTTACACATAAACCGTTATTTTTATTTAAAAAAAAAAAAAAAAAAAATTTCACCTGAATGTAATCTGGATGACAAATTCCTATACCACACATATTGCCTATCCACATTCTACTTATTGGATAATAATCTCTACAAAGTTCTCTTTGAGCAGTCCATAATTTATCTGAAATTATTAATTAACAAATCAAATTCTTTAATATTTAAATTTTTTACTTAAATTTGTAATTTACATGAAAAAAAATTTTGAATTCTTGAAATTCAATAAAAATTTTATTTAACATATATATTTAAAAAAACGAATTTATATGTAATTTATTAATAAATAACATGAATTAATGACATTAATTTATTAAAAATAATTTACATAAATAATTATCAATCATTATTTTCATAATTTAAAAAAATTTATTAGTAATTAATAATTTTAGAAAAAAAAAGAATAAAGTTTCAAATTATATTTGCTTATATTTAATATTATCACCTGTAGGTAATGCAAATTGATGCAAATTTCCCAAAACTGGAATTGTTTTTGGACCAGGAATTTTGTTAACTAATTTTCCTTTTCTTCCATGATGAATTGAAAAATGAACAATTGCCAATAAAATAATAAAGAATAGAAAAATAAAAAATAACATTTTTAAAAAACTTTTTTAATTATTAAAAAAAAATTAAACCAAACGAATTTTTTTTTTTTAAATATTAACGTGACACTTTGAATGACCGTTTACAGACGACTGATGTAATTTTATCTGAAAGTGTTTTTTATCGCAATTCGAGAAAGTATTTGCAAAGATTGCAACTTACTTATTAATCAAAATGAAATTTCTTTTTTATAAATTTTTTTTTAGAAACAAAAGAAAAAGAAAATAATTAGCGTTTTCTTCTAATTCTATTATTGAAGAAAATTCTAGTACTAAACAATTTTCAAGGTTTTAAAAATAATATATAGCAGTGGAACAAATTTTTTTTTCTTATTTACTTTCTCTTTGTTTGGACGATGCGCAGAATCTTTTAATATAATGTTACATTATGATTCACAGTTTCGAGGATTAAAATGCAATATATTTTTTACAAATGAATTATTTCTTTTTATCGAAGAAAAATACAATGAAATTTATGATTTAAAATTAGAATTCAAAATTCAGTAATAAGGTTGCATTTAAATTTTTCCAAAAAAAGTTTTTGAATTTAAAATCAAAAAAGTTGTGAGAAAAAAAGATTTTGCATTTTTTTAAAAATATTTCTTCTTTACAATTTAAGGATTGTTTTTTACTTCTAAAAAAAACGACTTTAAAGAATCGATTCTTTTTTTACTCTATACAGAGAAATGATATATTTGTCTCACAGCCTAATAAATATATTTATTTGATTCAAGAAAATTTTAATTTGATTCAAACAAATTTTTATTTGATTTAAATAAAAAATTTCATTTACGCCAAAAAAAGGCTATTAGGCTTTGAGATAAATATACGGTTATTTAACTCAAATATGTTATATTTGGTTCAAATAAAACATTTTTCTGGGTCTACTTTTCAAAAATGTTTGATTCTTTAATGTAATTAAATTCTTTGATTTTAATATAATAATTTTTTTTGGATGCTGACACAATAATTAGTTTAGATAATATGAATATTGAAAATATGAAATTATTTAATTAAGATAAAGTATAGCTGTCGATATCTAGAAATTTGCTGCCATTTATAGTTTCGACAGCAGTCAAGGTCAGTGAAACTGGGTTAAAATTCTGATAAACATATAGAAGATAGAAAACAAGTATGAGATTACCAAAAAAAATTTATGAATGAAAATATTAAGAAAAAATACGTATCAAAATATTTTTCGATTATCTACAAAATGTGTATAGTTAAAATAAAATTCAATTCCGGCGTGTGGTACATGGTCAGTGTTATATACTTTGTTAGAAAAATAATATTGGTTCTAGTTTTCGACTTTTATTTTTTTTTTACAATTTCTATAAAAATTCTTTTGCCTCACTTATTTCTAGATAAAATTTTATATAGAAATTAAAAAATTGGCACATCCCTTTTTATAAACTTTACACGTATTGGTTGTCCTGGCCTAATGATAATATCCTGATGAAGTTTAACATTCTGAAATGAATCAAGTGTTTCCATATCAAAATTATAAAGTAAATTGGCAACAAGAATTTTTATTTCCATCATTGCAAATTTTTGTCCTGCAATTTAAAAAAAAAATCAAATTAATTACTAGGAAAATTAATTTTTCTAAAAATTATTAAAAAAAAAACTCTTGAATAGATATTCGTTATTGTGTATCAAGAGATGAAGTACCTATACAATTTCGAGGACCAGCACTAAATGGAATATACGAAAATGAATGTCTACTTTGTATATTTTCAGGTAGAAATCTATTTGGCTCATAAACAAGTGGATTGGGCCAAAAGTTTTCATCTCGATGAAGATCAAATATATGTAAATGAATATTTGTTCCAGCTGGTGCTAAATAATTTTCTAAACATACATTTAATATAAATATTAATTAACAAAATATCATTGGTAGGAAAAATTGAACAGTAAAATGATTCATAATTTGTCTATAGCACCGTCCGACAATATTTTTCACACATGAACAATCCAAACATTTTTGAAAACTAGGGCCCAAAAAAAGAGACCAATGTTTAAAAATCAATTAATAATTACCAATTAATAATTTTTATGAAACTTGGTAACCAGGGGTTTTCGGGGTCGCTGATTACAAATAGGATGTCAGATATTCAAAATTCAAAATGTCGGATCCAATATGGCGGTCGAAGTTTCTAAAACTTAATTATTTTTTATGAAACTTAGTATCCGAGGATTTTTGGAGTCGCTAATTACGAATCTGATATCACATTTGCAAAAATCTAAACTGTGTTTAGAATTATTATTATTATTATTAATATATTATATTAATTAATAATATATTAATATATTAATAATATATTATTAATGAGGCATTCTTTGTCAACGTAGACACCCCCCTCTCGCCCAAATTCTTTTCATTTTAAATTCATGTTTAATAGCTTATAAATTTTAGTTAAAGGAATATACTTTTGAAATCTGAGTGGCATATTTCCAAATACAAAGGGCTAAGAAGGCCTCAAACATTACTATTTGGATTGTTCAAAATGAATTAGAGTAACTTTTTATTGGTAAATTTAAAGATTAACCTTTATATTGGATCCTATATTTTGTTTTTGGATATATGCCACTCAGATTTCAAAAGTATATTCCTTTAACTAAAATTTAAGCAATTAAACATGAATTTAAAATGAAAAGAATTTGGGCGACATTTTTAAATTTATAAATTCTAACAAACAGTTAATAAATGGAGAAGTTTTTAATTTAAAAATAACTTAAAATAAAAATTCTAAAATGTTTGTTCGCAAATTTAAACAAGATATTAATCACATTAATTTAAAATCTCCAATTTATATTTTTCAGATTTGTGATCTTCAACTTTATCGCATTTGATATTTTGAATTTTGCAAATGTGATATCAGATTCGTAATCAGCGACCACCAAAACCCCCAGATGTCAAATTTCATAAAAAATAATTACGTTTTAAAAACTTCTACCGCCCTATTGGATCCGCCATTTTGAATTTTAAATATCTGACATCATATTCGTAATCAGCAACCCCAAAAACCCCCAAGTAACAAGTTTCAAGTGAATTCCATTAAATTTAAAAAATTTTGTCCGACATATTGGATCCGCCATTTCGAATTTTGCAAATTTGATATCAGATTCGTAATCAGCGACCACCAAAACCCTCCGATACCAAGTTTTATAAAAAATAATTAACTTTAAGAAATGTCAACCGCCATATTAGATCCGCCATTTTGAATTTTGAAAATCTGTCAACATATTCGTAATCAGCGACCCCGAAAACCCCCGCGTATCAAGTTTCATAAAAATTATTAATTTTAAAAAGATGTTCTCGTCATTTTTCATTTAAGGGTTGTTTTCACCCTGGCGGATTCGATTTGCGTAATGTCTATTTAACTAAGTGCACTTTAGGTAGATATTAGGTAAACATGTAAAAAAACGTATAGAAAAGCTATTAATCGACTTATTATGATAAAAAAAAGTTGATAAAAGGGAAAATGAATGTTTATAGAGTAAATTCGTACAAAATTTGTAATTAATAAAGCATTAAATAATTAATAATGAATGGAAATGTGCGCGAGGTACCTGATCAGTTCAGCTGTACAATTATTTTCGTGCTATTTTCATGAAAAGAATATAAATTAACGGCAAAAACAATTGATATTTATAAAAAAGTGTAAAATTGATTTAATTTGAGTGTTTGCAATACTAATTATTAAATAATAATTAAGTTTTTATCAAATGTGAATAGTGTTATTAAAACCTACTGTGAAAATTAATGATTTACTACATTACCGATCGCATATGATAATAAAAAGTTCACGATGAGTGTAACAAAAAAGCTCCAATTTAACCAAGTACATAATTTCCGAGATTGCCAGAGATGGCGCCACCAGTTTTTACAATACAGTGCGAGCATGTTTTCTTCCAAGCTTTTGCTTTGAAAGAAAATAGAAAGTGAATTTTAAAATGCAGGATAAATTTATACAAATAATTATTGATTTCATAATTGTTTCTCGTCCAAAATTACGGACATGATTGCAGCTTTTTTGTCACACTCATCGAGAACTTTTTATTATCATATGCGATCGGTAATGTAGTAACTCATTAGTTTTCACAGGTTTTCACAACACTATTCACATTTGATAAAAACTTAATTATTATTTAATAATTCGTATTGCAAACACTCAAATTAAATCAATTTTACACTTTTTTATAAATATCAATTGTTTTTGCCGTTAATTTATATTCTTTTCATGAAAATAGCACGAAAATAATTGTACAGCTGAACTGATCAGGTACCTCGCGCACATTTCCATTCATTATTAATTATTTAATGCTTTATTAATTACAAATTTTGTACGAATTTACTCCATAAACATTCATTTCCCTTTTATCAACTTTTTTTATCATAATAAGTCGATTAATAGCTTTTCTATACGTTTTTTTACATGTTTACCTAATATCTACCTAAAGTCCACTTAGTTAAGTAGACATTACGCAAATCGAATCCGCCAGGGCACCCCTAAAATCGTTAAATATGACCTGATCTTGCAAAACGGCAAAACATGGGTCTCTTCTTTTGGGCCCTATTTTCCGAAAATGTTTGGATTGTTCGTGTGTTGAAAAAAAAGTTGAATTTTGTTGGACCGTGTAGTGTAGAATTAAAATATTTTTTGTAAATATTACTTAGTTGCAGATCTTCATGAAGAACTCGTGCTATACCAGGAACACCAGGAAATAAACGTAGAGCCTCCTTAATACATCGATCAAGATATGAAAATCGATTAATTTCCTTCATTTCAATTTTACCGCAACTTTCCTTAAAAATTTGACAAACTTCCTCTCGTGCTATTTCCTAAAAGAATTTATTTGAACTAAATATAATAATTATACAGTATTAAGGCCAGGTCCAAGTCGAGTCAGCTGTTCCTTTGAAGTTTCAATGGAACAGCTGACACCACTTGGACCTGGTCTTAAACAAGAAATCTACTATTTATTCTAAATTTTAATGGTCGCTTTATGACTCCAGCAGTACTTGACAGCATCGGGACATTTCGTGTCATGATACGAATATTTTCGACAAAAAGTAAACAAAGCGATCTTTCTAAATAAATACTGTCAAAAATCAAAAAGTAACTGAATAAATGAGATTAAAATCAAAAAATGACAAAATTGATAATAATCGTCAATAAGTAGCAATTTTATAATTCGAAAATTTTTCTATATGCATCTTAATGTATATATATATACATTAGAAAATTTTGTAGGTTAGAAAATATTTTTTCTTTTATTTCTTTTTAATTTAATGAATGTAATTTAATTTTCCTGTCAAAATATAACGTAAATAAATTTCAAAAATATATTTGTAAATAAATATTAAGGAAAATATAGGAATCAAAGTAAAATAGATTTTTTTTATCATTGAATAATTAATTTAATAATTAATTTTCCCTTGTGTTTTATCTTTTTTCTCTGGTATTTTAGCGAATGGAAATTTAATTCGAAGCTTATTCACCGCTATTATTGTTAATAATATAATAAAATTTATATTATAAATAAATAATTTTTATTTATAATTTTTAATAAAAAATAGATAACGAAATATTAAATTAAGATAGATAATAAATTTACTTTTCAGTCATTTTTTCCTTCTATTATATTCTAAATCTAAAATAATTATGAAATATTAAAAATTATAAATATTAAAAATTCGATTTATCAAATAATAAAACTTGATAGAATTATTAATTATTAGCCTTTAATCATGTTATCGAATAAAAAATATTAATTTTATATTTTTATGAATTTTTTAAATGTACATTTTTCTAAAAACTAATTTTTTTTTAAATATTGAAAATATATTACTTATATAGTATTTTTATATAGTATTATTTTAACTCTATTTTATTTGTAAAATACTTTTATGTTTGTAGAGATATTTAATAAATTATTGAGCTATATAATGTTTAATGTTATTATTTCTCCTCAAAAGTCATTAATAAGTTACATGATATTTAAAAATATATAAATAATTCATTTAGGGGAATAAATTAATAATTTAATTAATTTAACACTAATTTTTTACTTAGTTATTTATAATTTATTTATTTCAACTTGAAAATATCATAGTATTATTATATTAATTAAATTTTCATTAATTCAGATTTTTTTATTTAAAAAATAATTTATTGTAGTTAGGTATAATGTTTATTATTATTATTATTATTATTATTATTATTATTATTATTATTATTATTATTATTATTCTTTATTATATTATATAATTTTTAATAAGTGAAAATTAATTTAATTTTCATAATTTTAATAAGTTTTTTGTTTCCCATCCTGATATAATAAAATTAATGACAGTAAATAAATAATATATTTAAAATGTTCATAAATACCTGAATTTCTTTATGTTCAGCTAAAAGTAATATTGTAAAGCAAGCTCCCATTGCAGTTGTATCATGGCCCTTTTGGAGTAAAAAAACAAATTAATTTTTTAACAGATATGAATTTAAAAAATTATTTATTTACTTCAAAAACAAATGTATCAACTTCCTCTCTAATTGCAGTATCGTCAACGTCAGGATTTTTTTTTGCAGCATTTATAAGGATATCAAGTAATGCCTTTTTACATTCTGCAAGAGAATTAAATTCAAAATTCGAAATTTTAATTATAATTTCAATTTATTTTAAAATTGTAATTTTAATTTAAATTCTAAAAAGATTAATTATAATTAACTATGGAATATAATATACCAGATTTAATACGTTGTTGTTCTTTTGCATCAACTAAAAAAGATTCGTCTTTCATTTTCGACTTTCGTTCATTTTCTTCTTTTCGATTTTGAATTACCTCAAAAGAAAAAATTGTTTTTAATGTTTTTAACTGTATTCTAAAATAATATTAATAAAAAAACATACTTGATTCGAAAATCCATGAAGTACGTTAATTAATTTCTGCTGTTTTATCCCAGTAGGAGTTAGATTAAAAATTTTATCAAAATGAAGCCAAGGTCTTAAGGCCCTTATAAAAAGTGAAATTAAAATTATTATCATTTTTAATACATGCAATTGAATAAAGTAAATATAAAAGAGGAGTTTTTGATACAGATTCCTGCACCGACATTTTACCGACACTGGAAAAATGTGGTTCTGATTTGATGAAAATAATCTTCTATATTGTTTTTTTTTTCATTGGAACCAATTTATTTTTCCCCAGTGTCGGTAATATGTCGGTACAGGAATCTGTACCTCTTTTGATATCTACTAAATTAATTATTCTATCTAAGTATATTATTACCAAAAAAATTTACTATTAAAAACTATCTTTACCTAAAAAATAAATTATTTGATATTTCCCGAATAGCTGATCCATATAAATTTCGAGTTTTTATTTCATCTAAAGATGTACCCATAGCTGTCTCTGTTAAATAAAATTAATTTACAGTTATTCAAAGATTAAAATAAATTTCTGTACTTTCACGAAAATTTTACTCCTATAATTAATTAAAAAATACATTAGTTTTAATTTTAATTTAATTTCTCGTACCCAATATTGAGTTTAGAGTACATTCTGTTAAAATTGGTACAATATTTTGAATAACTGCCTCATCTTGATGTTTTAGACGATTTATTAAAATTTCTCCTTGCTTATTAAATATATGAATGAATCCACGTAAAATTTCAAAATGAAAAGCTGGTGTCAATAATTTTCTTCTCCTTTGCCATTTAATACCAGAGCTAGTAAGCAATCCTGTTCCTAACCATGGATGTAAAAATTTATACAGCATACTTTTTTCCGTATGTTTTAAACTACTGAGTAATATCTGAAAAAAAATTGTTGCTATTAAATAAAAATTTTCCTTATTCGTGTTCAGAGGGTGAAAAATTACCTGAACATCATCTGGATGATAGATACTTATAACAGGAGTACTTCCAAGCCAAACTTTATTAATTGGATAATACATAGCATTAATTTTTCTATGAGCAATCCATAATTCATCTAGAAACAAATTTTTAAATAAAAAAAAAATCTAATTCTAAAAATTAATTTCTAAACGTAAATATTTTTTGAAAATTATTTTTAAATTCTAATTCCATTGTATATATAATTTATAATTCATACCTGTTGGCACCATATAACCTAAGACACTGCCAAAAATTGGTAAATTCTTTGGACCTGGAATTTTATTAATAATTCTTCCACTCTTACCATAATGAACGCTAAGATGATAAATTGTTATTCCAAAAATTAGCAGAAGAAAAAATATTAGCATATTACAAACACTTATATAAATCTACAGTAGTGCTACAATGTGAAAAATTACTGTATGAAATAAAAAAAAAAAATTGCTCTTTTATATATACTTCCCACTTATCTTCTTTGATGAACTATTATATTATTTTTGATAAAACAATATTTTGCTGAAGTAATTACAATTTTTTCTAATTTTTAGATATTTTCGAAATTATTATTCTTAAGATACGTTCATCGTTATAAATTCACCTTGTCCTATTTCAAAAGATTCGGTGAAAGCTAATTATATTTCTAAGTTATAATTATCTTATAATTGTAGTCAGTTATCTACCTCAATGTAACTTTTGCATTTACATTGTTACGATGATTAGTGATAAAAAAACATTTGTTATACTTCCTTATTTTTTTATTAATTATTTTTATACTATTAAAAATTTACCTAAATTTTAAATAAGGTATAAAATTACAAATTGTCTAAATTTTTTTTTTATTTCTAAAACGATTATAATTAACATTAAAATGAAACAATTAAATTAAAAATTAAAAAAAAAATTATTTTATTGCTGTAAATTTTACGCGCATTGATTGATTTGGCGTAATAACAAGATCCTGAAGAAGTGTAACTTTATGTGCAAAATCAGTCGTTGACAATTTAAAATTATATAATAAATGAGCAATTAAAACTTTTAGCTCCAATGTTGCGAATTTTTGACCTAAAATATAATTTAATAATATAAATATTTAATTTTCAATGATAATTTTTTTCGGTATTAAAAAATAAAAAAAAATATTATTATAGACATTTTAAAGAATCATCAAATACCTATACAATTACGAGAGCCTGCGCTAAATGGCACGTATGCAAATGGATGTCTATTTTGTACAGCATTTGGTAAAAATCTATCTGGATCAAAAACATTTGGATTTGGCCAATAATTAGGATCTCTATGTAGATCAAAAATATGAACATTAATTATTGATCCGGCAGGTATTAGATAATTTTCTAAAAGAAGAATTTAAATAATTTTAAAAAAATTTCCTAATTATTTCATTAAAATATTTTTAATTCCAAGCATAGGCTTAAAATTTAGGTAAAAAGGAATAGTTTTTAAATGCCAAATGGCAATTTTTGAAAATTCAAAATGGCGGCTCCAATATGGCGGCAGAATTTCTAGAAAGTGATTAAATTTGCTTGAAACTTGTTACTCGGGGGTTTTTGGGGTCGTTGATAACGAATCCGAAGTCAGATTTTTAAAATTCAATATGGCGAATTCAATACGATGGACAATTTTATAAAAAGTTATTGGATTTGCTTGAATATTTTTATTCGGAGTTTCAAGCAAATTCAATCACTTTCTAGAAATTTTGCCACCATATTAAAGCCGCCATTTTGAATTTTCAAAAAGTACCATTCGGCATTTAAAACTATTCCTTTTTACCTAAATTTTAAGCCTATGGCAGGTAATTTAAAAGTGGGGGTAAACGAGTGGTACCGATGACGAAGAATGCCTCATTTGTAAAAAAAAAAAAAAAACTCACTGAGTTGAAGATCTTCAGTAACTGCTCGACCTATGTTTGGAACACTTGGATATAAGCGAAGGCTTTCTTTAATACATCGATCGAGATAATCCAATGAATTAATTTCTTTTATTCCTATTTTTCCATCACATTTATTTAGAATTTCACTTACTTCCTGTCGGGCTAAATTCTGAAAAATAATTTTATTGCGAAATTATTAGGAAAGTTATTAGCAACGCAGAAGCTACTTGGTATCTTTATGCAGATTTTTTAAAAGTCCTTATGGAAAAACTATAATTCTATACGTTATAAAAAGTACATTTTTAGTAAGCAAAAAATTTTACCTGAATTTCCGTATGTTCAGCCAAAAGAGAAACTGTGAATATAAAAGCCATAGCCGTGGTATCATGACCCTAAAAATCAAGGCATAACAATTTTTTTTTTTTAAATTTTATTTTTAGTTAATTCAAATTAAAATGTTATATTAACAATATAAAACAAAATATTGAAATTTGTATAGGGACGCATGATTATGTTTTAAAAGTCATTAGTGACATTAAATTCGTCACTGTATTTACATAAAAGTAAACTCATAACCTAATTGTAATTCTTGTCCAATAAAATAACTAATATTCGCTAGTAACAAATTAAGTAATTATTTTCCAACAAATTCAATCGTATTTTCAAAGTTTTTTTTCCTACATGTTGCGTCCGCCATTTTGAATTTTGAAAAACTAACATCGGATTCGTAATCAGCGACCATAAACTCTCGAGTTGCAATTTTTACTTAAATTGGATCAATTTTTAAAAAAAATTCCGCCATATTGGATCCGCCATTTTGAATTTTGAAAAACTGACATTGTATTCGTCATCAACGACCTCGAAAACCCCCGAGTAGCAAATTTTAAAGCAATTCTAACAAATTTTAAAAAAAGCCGACATTCCATAATTGATTACGAATATGAGGTCTGTTTTCTAAAATTCAAAATGGCGGATGCAATATGGCGGTTGGAAATTTAAAAATCGATTGGATTTACTTGAAACCTAACTCTCGGGGGTTTTCGGGGTCGCTGATTACGAATCCGAGGTCAGTTTTTCAAAATTCAAAATGGCGGATCCAATATGGCGGTTATTTTTTTAAAAATTGATCCTTAAAACTCGTTACTTAAGGGTTTTTGGGGTCACTGATTATAAATATGATAATAAATTTGTAAATAGTGACCTTAAAAACCCCTGAGTAATACATTTCTAAGTGTTTGAAGCAAATTTAAAAAAATCACCGCCATATTGTATCCGCCATTTTGAATTTTGAAAAACTAACATCGGAATCGTAATTAGTGACCCCGAAATCCCCGGAGTAACAAGTTTTAAACCTATTCAAACGATTTTTAAAAATATCCGCTATATTGAATCCGCCATTTTGAATGTTGAAAATATTATGCTATATTCGTAATCAATGACCCAAAAAACTCCCGAGTAACGAGTTTTAGGTGAATTGAAGCGATTTTCAGAAAAATCGTCCGCCATTTTGAATTTTAAAAATCTGACTTCATATTTGTAATCAGCGACCACGAAAACATTGAACAAAGTTAGGACTTTTTTTATAAGTAATATAGTTTTATTATCAATAATAACAATTTTGATAAAAGCAACAAAAAATTTAAAATTCCAATTATATCTCAAAAATATGAAAAAATAAAAAATCGGTGAAATGAATTTTCGGTTATATAAAAATTCTGTAATATGGAAAATCGTTTTGATAGAAATTTTGCAAAATGCTAATTCGAATAAATAAAAATTCGGCTCAAAAATAATTATATGAGAAAAATGAAATTCCCTAAAATGGAAAATTCTAACTAATGATTTTGAGAACATAATCATGCGATTTCCAATTTGTATAATCACTTCAAAAACAAATGTATCGACTTCCTCACGAATTCCATCATCGTCGATGTCACCATTTTCTTTTGCAGAATTTAAAAGAATATCTAACATTGCCTTTCTTCTCTTGCGAACTGAAATAAAAATGTAATTTTTTTAAGTGACAACTAATTTGTGAAGTCAAAATGAGCAAAAAAAAAAAATTATTGCAAATAAATATTAATAGATTTTTTTACCCACTTGGAAAGATTCCTCGGAAAGTGACCCCTGGAGGTTCTATCAGAATTCCGCCGGAACTTCCAACGTAATTCCGTCGGTATTCCATCGGAGTTCCAAAGACTTTCCGATGGGATTCCGACGGAATTAGGACTCTAAAATTATTGAAAAAATTAATCGGAATTCCGTCGGAATCCCATCGGAAATTCTTTTGAACTCCGATGGAATTCCGACGGAATTACGTTGGAAGTTCCGGCGGAATTCTGATAGAACCTCCAGGTGTCACTTTCCGGGGAATCTTTCCAAGTGGGTAATTAAATAAAATGTATACATACTACCAATATCATCTTCCACATGACCGTTTTTCTTTAAATTATTTTGTTCTTCGTTTGAATTACTTTCATGATATTTCTTTCGCTCTTTAATAATCTAAAAGAATTAGTTTCCCAAAAAAAAGTAATTTTCTCAAAAATAGTAGTCGGAAAAAAACCTTTCGACTTTAATTTCGTGTATTTAAATAATAAATTTATTTAATGAACAATATACATACTTTTGTTGTAAAATCGTGTAATGCTTTTAAACATTTTTTTTGAATTTGTCCTCTTTGTGATAAATTAAATAACCAGTTGATGTGAAACCACGGTCTTGGTGCTCTTTTAATAAAAATATTAAAATTAATTATAAATTAATAAATAATAAATTATTAAATTAACATTAAAATTGAATTCAATATAGTTACCTGTAAAATAAATTAAATCCTAATTCACGAATGGCATGTGCATATTCCTTTTCATTACCAACTTTGTCTAATTGTATACCCATTGCAGTTTCTATTAAAAATTTTTTTTTTCAATTCAATAAAATATATTAATTTAATTAATGAGATATAGAAAAATAAATATACAAATTAATTTTTAGAAAAGTATAAATTTTTTATTATTACCACATATGATTTTAAGAGTATGCATTTTAAAAAGCGGAATAATATCCTTTGTAATTTCTTTACTCTCCTTTGATTTTAAACTTTCTACCAGTTTATGTGCATTTTCAACGAAAATATCAGTAAACTCTTGTAAAATATTAAAATGAAAAGCAGGCGTTAACATTTTCCGTCGATGCTGCCATTTTGTACCTAAAAAATAAGAAAGAAAAATAAAAAACAATTTTGGAAATTATTTATAACTATGTTTTAAAATTTTACAGCGTTCTTAGCAAATTATGGTTATTATTTATTTAACTTAATTATTATAAAAACTTACCAGCACTTGTTAGAAGACCAGTTCCCAGCCAAGGATGCAAAAAATTGTATAATAAATTTTTTTCTATTATTGTTGTATTAGTAAGTAGCAACTAAAAAATTATTAACATCAATACTATTAAGGTACTTGTATCAGGAATAATTTAAGAAGAAATTGTAATTATTTTTATAAATTATTGTCAAAAACCTACTCGAATATCATCTGGATGAAATATATTTATAACTGGAATGCTGGCAAGCCAAAGTCGTACAATTGGATAATATTCAGCGTTTACTTTCCTCTGAGAAGTCCACAATTTATCTGAAAAAACAAATTCCTCTTTTAATTACCTGGTGCATTTTTAATCCTAATTTATTTTTTTAAAATAATATCAGATTTGTAATCAGCGACTCCCAAAATCTACGAGTAACGAGTTTCAAGCGATTTTAATCGTTTTTTAAAAAAAATTTCCGCCATATTGGATCCGCCATCTTGAATTTTGAAAAACTGACATCGGATTCGTAATCAGCGACCCCGAAAACCCCCGAGAGTTAGGTTTCAAGTAAATCCAATCGATTTTTAAATTTTCAACCGCCATATTGCATCCGCCATTTTGAATTTTGCAAAACTGACATCAGATTCGTAATCAGCGACCCCGAAAACCCCCGAATAATAACTTTTAATCAAATTCGATCAATTTAAAAAAAATTCTTTCCACATATAGAATCCGCCATTTTGAATTTTGAAAAATTGACCTCAAATTCGTAATCAACCATCCAATATGTCTGATCTTTTTAAAAATCGTTTGAAAAAGTTTAAAACTTGTTACTAGGGGGTTTTCGGGGTCACTGATTACGATTCCGATATTAGTTTTTCAAAATTCAAAATGGCGGATCCAATATGGCGGTGATTTTTTTCAATTGTTTCAAACACTTAGAAATGTATTACTCAGGGGTTTTCAAGGTCACTATTTATAAATTTATTATCATATATATAATCAGTGACCCCAAAAACCCTTAAGTAACGAGTTTTAAGGAACAATTAAAAAAAAATAACCTCATATTGGATCTGCAACTCTCAATTTTGAAAAACTGACCTCAGATTCACAATCAGCGACACCGAAAACCCCCGAGTAACAAGTTTCAAAGAATTTCGACCAATTTTTAGAAATGGCCGCCATATTGGATCCGCCATTTTGAATTTTACAAACCTCATATTTGTAATCAATAATGGAATGTCGGCTTTTTTTAAAGTTTGTTAGAAATGCTTTAAAATTTGCTACTCGGGGGTTTTCGAGGTCGCTGATGACGAGTACAATGTCAGTTTTCCAAAATTCAAAATGGCGGAATTTTTTTTTAAAATTGATCCAATTTAAGTAAAAATTGCATCTCGAGAGTTTTTAGGGTCGCTGATTACGAATCCGATGTTAGTTTTTCAAAATTCAAAATGGCGGACGCAATATGTAGGAAAAAAACTTGAAAATACGATTGAATTTGTTTGAAAATAAATTGCATAATTTTTTTTTCTAGTGAATATTAGTTATTTTATAGGACAAGAATTACAATTAGGTTATGTATTGACTTATATGTAAATACAGTGACGAATTTAATGTATTTAGGGTCCTGAACTCTGCTTTTTGCAACAATAATTAAGTATAAATTTAAGAATATGTTGAAAGACTTGTTATGATTAATTAATTATTATTATCGATCATTAGTCAATGAAGTACCTGATGCTGCGTCATTGAAGGAATAATACACTATAATATTTTAATGATTAATGACAATTTTATTTACAAAGCCGATGGTTTCGAATTATTATAACTAACAAATAATAATAATAATAATAATTTGTAAATGTTTTGTTTAATTAATAATTTAAAAACATTTATTTATTGAAAATCAAATAAAAAAATAGAGGGTAACATATTCTTTTAATTCTATTTTCAAGAAATACATTTTTCCATTGATATTTTACACAATTTGCATAATATCGAGATTTGTGTTAATTTTCAATTTACAAGTTTTTTAATTGATAAAAAAAATCTTAATTTACAATTTTATTTTAAAATTACTAAATTATAGTTATAATCATATTAATGTATTATATTATATTATATTATATTATAATTATAATAATATATAAATAGAATGAATTAAAATTGAAATTAGTGAAATAATGAAAAATTATCAAAAATTACCAATGAAAAGTATTAACAACATTTACTATCTATATACATATATATTATTCTGAATTTTTTTTCATTGCTATAATTAATTGAAGAAATTATAGACTACATTTGTTATGTGGAATAATTTTTTGAAAAAAAACAATTTCTGCCATTGCATGTCAGTAATAAGCAGAAAAGCCTCATAATAACTTAATTTGTAAAAAAGCATTAATAGACTATTGAATTAGTATTCTAAATTTTTTTTTTTCCCATTGCTGAATCATTGTAACAAATAAGTCGTAAATTATTAATAATTTTTTTAGAAAAAACAGTTTCCAAATTATATTTAAATTATAATTTTAATTAATTTAAAATATTTCGGCAAAAATTATTATTTTATATTTCTTTAACAAGAAAGAAACTTTTCATTGATTAATTCTAATTTTTTTAGTGAACAAATTAAAAAATAAAATAAAATTAGTTAATGCAGTATTATAAAAAAATTAATTTAATATAATTTTTGTTTATTTAAATATTCTAAATTCGATTATAATATAATAGTTATTATTAGTGTTTAATTTAATAATTTACCTATTGACGCAGTTTGCTTTTCAAATTTTGTAGCAAAAAGCATGTACATTTAAATTTTGAAGAAAAATTTTAATTTAAGTAATATTTTTATTTTTAATTTAATTTTTAATATGTTATTCATTTTATTTTTTTAATTAAATTTTTGTAAAAATTTGTAAAAATTTTTTTGTCAAAAATTAAAAAATAAATTAGATCTTCACTGAAATAATAAATATTATAATAAACATACCATTTGGAAGATTATATTGTAAGACATTGCCAAAAATGGGAGTAATTTTTGGTCCTGGAATTTTATTAATAAGCTTTCCACATTTTCCATAATGTGTTTTATAATGATAGACAATTAAAGCTACTGTAATAAATATCAAAACTGTCAACATTTTCGTAACACAATTAATTAATCGTTTTGATTTGAAATTTTTTTTTTATATTTATTTATTGAAGATATATTTTTTAAACTATTTTAAAATTAAATAATTAAATAATTCCATTGATAGATCACTATGATAAAAATTGAATTATATCAATACATTTTGCATGTCTGTTTATATATACTTGATATCCCTCCACAATGATATTGCTCATCCTATTTTTTTTTTATTTTCTTATTCTAGTACATAACTTGTCGTTAGTTAGATAAGATGTCATTTTAATTCAATATTGTGATTAAATTAAAGTGCGATAAACTTTGTGAAATATAATTAATTAGATATTTATTTCGAATTAGAGCATTATTGATAAATAAAACATAATTATATATACATATATGACCTTTAAATTTGAGGTTATGTTTCTTTTAAACTATATGTTATTTACATCTAACCTTTAACTTTAAGGTTATGTTTGTTTTTAACTTAAGTTTTCGATGTATATGTAACGCTGCACGAGAAAAGGGACCTATCACCGAAATAACTTTAGGTTTAGTTTTCTCTGTACAGTGCAAGGAAAACTGAGCCTAATGTTATTTCGGGGATAGGTCCCTTTTTTCGTGTGGCGTTACATATGATCTTGATTTTTTGAGGTTATGTTCGTTTTAATCTATGTTTATGACCTGTGATCTATGATTTTTGAGGTTATGTTGAACTTTAAGGTTATGTTCATATATAACCTGTTTTTTTTTTAGAAATTTGATCATGTGTTCATTTGAAATTTTAGAAGTTTTTGTACTTTTAAAAATTCCAACTTTTGATAATTGGAACTGAATTATATTTTTTTAGTAATTTAAAATTTTTAAAAAGTCACGTTTTTCAAAATTTTTAAAGTGTTACATACCCTGTAAAAAAATAATTCAGAAGGATCGTTTAAATTAATTTCATTTTTAATGTAAAACATAATTGAAATAAAAAAATACAACATTAAAAATTCTAATTACTTAATTTTTATTTACATAAACATAATTTTCTTCTTTTTTTTATAAGAAATAAGCCAGCGATTTTTTTTTCGATACAATCAAAAATAAGGTCAAAAAATTACAAAAACCAAAAAAAACACAAAATTTGCAAGAAATTACATTTTTTTTATAAATAATTTTCTTTTAAAAATTTCGGTGGATTTGTGAAGCTGAATAGATGTATTTAAAGGTACAAGAAGCGTTTTTTGAAATTAAAAAAAAAACATAATTACTGGAACAGAGCAAGGGGCATAGTTTAAATTTTCTCTGGGGTATTTATGTACCCCAGTTGTACTGTCTAGGGTTAATTTTGACAAATAAAAATTTGAACAATAACAAATTTTGTGACAGAAAATTTAAAAACGTTCTCACATTTTTGCTTTGTAAAATAAACATTAATAATTATATACATTTTACTTAAATTCGACAACAATTTAAAACAATTTTGTAAATCATGTAAATTATGTTTATGTAAATAAAAATTAAGTATTTAGAATTTTTAATGTTGTATTTTTTTATTTCAATTGTGTTTTACATTAAACATGAAATTAATTTAAACGATCATTCTGAATTATTTTTTTTACAGGGTATGTAACACTTTAAAAATTTTGAAAAACGTGACTTTTTAAAAATTTTAAATTACTAAAAAAATATAATTCAGTTCCAATTATCAAAAGATCGAATTTCTAAAAGTACAAATTTCATAAAACAATCGAATTTCTAAATAAATATATAAAAATTGAGTGATTTTAACTTATTTACGGTAGATAATGATTTTATCGACTTTACATCGCAGCTTTTCACAGTAGGTAAATGGTTGGTAATATTATTGAAAGTACTTACCAACTAACCACTTACCTACTGTGGTAAGTTACGATCTACATATAACGATGTAAATACATAACAAAATTGTTTGGCTACCGAATTTTTGTTTGTCAAAATTTTTAATTTACAGTCATTTTCTTTCCATTAATTTTTAAAAATTTTTATTCAATCAATTTTTAATTTAATTGAATTATCAATTCAATCGAATTTTATAAGTGATTCAAATTTTTAAATGATATAGAAATTCCAATTCACCGAATTTCAAATTTATCCGAATTTTTAATTATACAATTTTTTAATTGATATAATTTTTAAGACGCACAAATTTTCATTTTTGTCCGAAATTACAAGTGGCCGAATAAATAATCGACAGAAAAATTTTGGTGTAAGTTTCAAAAATTGACTAATTACAAAAAATTATCAAGAAAAATGTGTTAGGTCAATATTCAAAAATTGCGCCCAAAATCTTTCTGTCGCTATTGTTTCTTCGGACATTTGTAAATTTGGACAAATGAAAATTCAAACAAACAAAAATTCGGGCAAATAGAAATTCGGGCAAATGAAAATTTAGAAACCAAAAATTCGGACAAATTAAAGTTTGGACAAATGAAAATTCGGACTTCTTAAAGTTCGGACAAAACAAAAATTCGGACAAATTAAAGTTTGGACAAACAAAAATTCGAGCAAATGAAAATTCGCATTTATTAAGGTTCGGACAAATTAAAGTTCGAAAAACCAAAAATTCGTAGGAAAATGAAAATTCCGACAAATTAAAGTTCGGGCAAATGAAAATTCGGAAAACCAAAAATTTGGACAAATTAAAGTTGAGACAAACAAAATTTTGGACAAATGAAAATTCGAAAACCAAAAATTCGGACAAATTAAAGTTTGGATAAATAGAAATTCAGATTAACAAAAATTGGTCTAAATGAAGATTCTGACTTATTAATGTTCGGACAAACAAAAATTCGGACAAATTAAAGTTCGGAAAAACAAAAATTTGATATAGCTTAAAATTTTATGTTAAGTAAAAAGTTGTAGAAAAAAAATTCTGCGTAAAATGATAATTCGAAAAATGCAAATTGGTTAAAAAAATAATAATTATTTCTAATAAAATTCTTTATAATGAATATTCTAATTAATGATTTTTGTGGGAAAATCATGCGTTCTAAAAGTTAATATTTTCATTAAAATTTAATTCTAACAATTACAATAGTAAAAAAATTTCCACTTATTTCTAAAAGAAATTTTGTATATTTTTATTTAAAAAAAAATTTATTTATCAAAATATATATAAACAATTTTTTTTTTACATCATAAATGTTTGCTTATGATGACGATTCCCGGTGTATATATATGAATGGGTTATACCCATCACTACTCGAGTGTGAGCAAGTTGCGATGATGACGTCAGATACCGATAACTACATTAAAGTAACGCGGGTGGGGTCTGGAGATACATGTTTTCTCCATGGATTCTTTATGGTTAGTCAGAGAGTGGTCGTCGAACGTAGATCCACTTCGGATCGGGAATTTTTTTTTTATTATTATTATTTATTTATTTACTTTTTTCCACCTTAAAAAAAAGAAATTTTTCTTCATTTACATGTGTGGTTCAAATTTAATTTAAAAATGTGCGGAAATTATTTCAAATCATTGTGGATTTATTATCATTGGGAATATGTGTGATTTTAATGAAAAATTTATTATTGAAAAGTGTATACAAGTGGTAGAGTGGACTTATGAGAAAAAGTGAAATTTTAAAAAATTTAAAATGGGACAAACCAGTCCCATTGAATTGGTTTTCTTCATCTTTATTCTTCTCTCAGGTGTGTAACACTTTTGGAGAACGCGAAAAACTGTCATAAAAGCCACGCCGAGGTCACGTGGTCTCTCTCTCTCTCTCTCTCTTACTATTTTATTCTTGTGAATGAAAAAGCGGCATCAGGAGCGTATAATTTTTTAATTACAAAAAGAAAATATTTGCGTTGTTTTCATTATTTATTTATTTTTTTAAATTTATTTATTTATTTAAATTAATTAATTTTTTTAATTAATTTTTTTTAATTATTTGTAATTTACGAGCAATTATAAAAAGAAAAAATTATTTTTAAAAACTTGAAAATTTTTATTTAAAGTCAAAAGAAATTTTTTTAGTGTTCCCGTAGAGTTTAACAATTTTGAAAATTTTTAAACATTTAAAATTTATTTATTTTCTTTTTATTTAATTTTGATATTTAATTTCAACGTTATAAACATTTAAAATTATTTTAATTTTAAAGAAATTTTAACAATATTATAATATATTTTTAATTTTTCGAATATTTAAATTTTAAAAATTCATATTAAAAAAAAACATTACCTACCTATTTAAATTTTATTAAATCTTAAAATTTTTTTTGCAATTTTTTTATGAATATTTCATTAGAATTTTTTAAAATTGTAAAAAATTTAATAAATTTTAAATATTTGAAAAATTAAAAATATGTTTCAAGAGTTAAAATATCTTTAAAATTGAAATAATTTAAAATGTTTATAACGTTAAAATATGTTAGAAATAAAAAAAAATTAAAATAATATTAAATTTATTTATTTAGAGAAAAAAAGGGGTAATAATTATCAATAATAATAAATAATTAATCATTATTATTATTACTATTATTATTAATATTATTATTATTAATATTATTATTATTTATTTTTATTAATTATTAACAAATTAAAAATGTTTAGAGGATTGCGGGGAAAATTATAAATAAATAAATTGAGTTAAAAATATCTTTAAAATTTAAATAATGTAAGTAAATAAAAAATTTTAAATGTTTAATATTTTGAAAATTATTTAAATCGTTATTTCAAATTTTTAAAAAATTTTTAGTAATTTAAAATTTTGAAAATTTAGAAATTACTGGAAAATATTTTTAGAATTTTGCATTTTTTTTTTTTTTTGCATTATAGAAAACAAAATAAAAATCAATAAATGAACAATACAATATTAGAAATTACAAAATTGTCAAGACCTTGTGATTAAAAAAAAAAAAAAAAAAAAAAAAAAAAAAAAAAAAAAAAAAAAAAAAAAAAAATTTCAATAGTTATTTTCACAAGTATATAATTAAGAATATAATCTTTCTGTAATTAACTGTAGGAGAAAACTTCTTATGAAAGCACATACTTATCCTCTCTCTCTCTCTCTCTCTCTATATATATATATATATATATAGTGTTAATGTGTGACTGACAACAATAATAGTTTTTTAACGGAAGAATATTTTAAATTTATATTATGAAACCAGTAGTATATATAAAGTGAACTAATTCTAATGTTACGTAATATTATATTTTAAAGAATGCGATAAAGTAAAAATTTGGATTTTTAAAAATTAATTTTTCAAATTTATTATTTTAAATATATTTTTATTTATTTATTTAAAAATATAAAATTAAAATATAAAAAAACATAACCTACTAATACGTATATACATATATAACGTAGTATGGAAAATATGGTTTTTAAAATTTTTAAAAATTGCCAACATATAAAAATTTTATTTCTTTTTTATTTTTATTTATTTTTTAATATTTATCATATTCTGTTACAAAAATAAATAATATTTTTGAAATAATAATAATAATTTTTATTAATACAGTAAAAATTATTACAATATTATATTATATTATTTTATTATTATAATATTATTAATTATAGGTAATATTATAATAGAAATTATCAATATTATTATTATTGGGATAATAAAAATTATTATTATAATGTTGTTGCGGTTAATTATGAAGTAATTTAAAAATAACATAATTCTCGAGTATATTGTCACGTTCCTGTTTGTTACACCTGTTACTATAATTGACGGCTCTTATTGGTCCGATATACATCGACCTTATTACAAAATCAACGCATCGTAGTAAACGCATATTTCTTATCTGTCTCAGATTTCTTTTTTCATAATCTCTACTACTTGTGTTTGCATATAATTGAAATTTACACATATAGTTTAGAAAATATTTTTATATATATATATATCTATGATTAAATAAAAATGAAAAAAATTGATATAAGAGAAAAAAAATAAAATTCAGAAAAATATATACCTATATTATATTTGTGAATGTTTGTATATGTTAAAACAAGTGTTTTAACGATACGCCTCCAATGAGTCACCTGTATCATATGCCAAATCACACTTACAGTATATGAAAAAGGAAATTTTATATATATATATTTATAAAAAAATTAATTTTTTAATATTTATTTGAAAAATTAATTTTTTAACCCTTAACTGTCACCGTGGGTCCATTAGACCCGAGCATTTTTTAGAGCTCTTAATTAAATGTTTTGAATATTTTTTATATTTTAATATATTAGTTTGACATATTAGTAATTTTCTATGTTTTTTGATACAACTAAATTGGATACAAAAGAATAAATTAGCTTCAAACATTAATAATTATGAATTTTTAATTTTAACCTAAAAAGACACATTTTATTATTCTGCGCAAAATAAATATCTTTTTTGCAAGTCCTGATGTTGTGGTAATTTTTTCCTTAAAAAAAAATACATCATAACCTTAAATTTTTAAATCATAATATTAAAATTTAAATAACTCATGAATTTTTAAATAAAATCACGCAATTTTTTGGTTTTTATTTTTCACAATTTTTTTTTAACTAATTTAAAATAAATTAATCCCTGTTAAAACTAATAAAATTTTAAAAAACACATCATAAGCTACCTTAGATTAAATGTTTGTGCAAAAATATTCAATACCGGCAGTACAATACACGTTTGAATACTTCGGGTCCAGCAGACCCTTTGTCCCATTTTAATTGTTATTAATTAATAAAGATTAATAATAATTATAAGATTTTTATTAATATTTATTAATTGTTTATAATTATCCCATGTAATATTTGGAATGTTTTCTATCTTATTTTCTAATTCTTAAAGAATATCATTTTTCATCAAATATTCCAATTCATAAAATAGCATAATGGTTAGTGCGTTAGACTATAAGTGCGTGTTTCGTAGGTTCGAATCCAGTCATGGGTAAAAAAGTCTACATTATTTTACAGATTCTTCTTTTATTTAACACTTATTATTAAATTATTTGGGAAAAAATATAATAATAATAATAATAATAATGCAGCTACAAGTCCCCGTCTCTCCCTTTCCTTCACCCCCGTTGAGAGGGTAGATTTCCCTCCAAAAATGACCTTAATTTTGAGGTTATGTTCGTTTCATGACTCTGAATATAACCGCAAGTCCTCCCCTCCTCTCCTGATTTCCCGCCAAAAATGACCTGAATTTAGAGGTTATGTTCGTTTCAAGATTCTGAATATAGCCGCCATAAGAAGCAAACATAACCTCAAAATTTAGGTCAAACTTTGGAGGGAAATAAACAAGAAACAATCATAACCTCAAAATTTAGGCCATAATTTGGAGGGAAACGACTAATAAACAAACATAGCCTCAAAATTTAATCACTAGTCAAACTAATTTTGATTGAGTTAAAATTTTTCTTTCTATTTTTTAGGAAAATATATATGAATTTGAAATTTACCTGTTATGTTTCAAGTTATATAAAATGAAATTTAGAGAATCAAAAATATTTGAATTTATTCTATATTTCCTGGAAATTTGATTCGAAATTCAAGGGAAGCAAAACATTCTAAATTGGTCTACATTTTAAATTTAATACACACGAGAATGATTTTTCGTATTTTCAAAATATTTCAAAAGAACTTTTCTATTTTTAGTAAAGAAAAGAAAATTAATTTTCTGTAAGAATGGTAAATTTTTTGGTTTTTTTGTTTTATAATAAAAGAAATCTAATAAAAAATTTTTTAATTAATTAATTATTTATTTTTAAAAAATTAACTTTTATATTTATTTAACTGATAAATTTTTATATAATTTTAATTAAGAAAATAAAAGTTTTTTTTAATATTTATTTATTTATTTATATAACAAAAATAAATTTATTCATTTAATTTTTTTTTTTCATAAGCATAAAAGTCTTTTTGGTAATAACATAAATTTTTTTTTTATCACTATTCAGAGCAAAGTTTAGAGTAATTATTTTTTTCATCTTATATACACACATCACACACATATTTTATCTTCATTCGCATGAATTTGATATTATAGTGAGCTAATGTCCTTGGAAAAATTACAGACAATGATTGTTAAAGAGGATAGTTTAATGAATCGATATCAAAGAAATGATTCTCGTCTCTTTATAGGGATCTATAATATATTTAAAAAAAATGAATTTAACATTTTTTCTCAAAATATATATATATATATATATATATAATCCATAAACTAAGTTACCTATTTTAAGGGTGGGAGGGGGTCTAAAAAGAATGGAAAATTGGTAACGTAGTTTATGGACGGCCCCTAATAATAATAATAATAATAATTGTTTAAACAATTAGAAAATTTTTTTTATTTGAATTATCTTAGATTTCGCAATTGATATAAATGTTTATAATAATTTTTTTGCAACAAATGAATAGGTAAACGTGTTTTTTGAAAAATTTAAAATTTTTTAAATATTTTCATTTTTAAAAATTTTTTAAATAAAAGAAATTTTTAATTTTTAAAGATTTAAAATAAAAGAAATTTTTAATTTTTATATAATTAAAATTCTTTACAATTAAAATTTTTTAAATTAATCAAAATAAATTTTTTTGTCTGTTTAATTATTATATTTAAAATTTAATTTAAAAATTTTTTCACTACATTTAAAAAAATAAAAAACTTAGAGTTAATTTAATTTTACAAATATCTGTCATATATGTATTTTTAAGATACTCTGTTGATTATTTTAACGAAGCAAAACAAGTGTATAATTATTATCATATACTTTCAAAAAAAAAAAAAAAAAAAAATAGTAAGTATATATATGTATAGTTAGGAGGAATGAAAATATGGTCCGGAAGTTTAAATAAATAACGAAAAGAGGCGGATTTTTGTATACATGTTGTGCGGGATTTCCTCTTTTCAGTAATATTGTATGATTTCTTGGCATAGCTCTTAAACCGATAAGAATAATATTAATCTTATTTTGAGGAAATAAACATTTATCTCGCTGTTGCAGCATCCGGGTAAGATTTCTCTGAGAAAAAAAGAGATTTTTTTTTATCAATGTTTTTTTTTTACAAAAATTTTATTCTATTTTTAGATTTTTGTTACCTATTTATATTATTACAATTTTTTGTTATTTTTTTTTGTATAACATAACAAATTATACATTTTAAAGTTAATAATAATAATAATAATAATAATAATAATAATAATAATAATAATAATAATAATAATAATAATAATAATAATAATAATAATAATAATAATAATAATAATAATAATAATAATAATAATAATAATAATAATAATAATAATAATAATAATAATAATAATAATAATAATAATAATAATAATAATAATAATAATAATAATAATAATAATAATAATAATAATAATAATAATAATAATAATAATAATAATAATAATAATAATAATAATAATAATAATAATAATAATAGTAATAATAATAATAATAATAATAATAATAATAATAATAGTAATAATAATAATAATAATAATAATAATAATTATTATTATTATTATTATTATTATTATTATTATTATTTGAAATTTAAATATTCTATTTACTTTCTGAAATTTTTTTTTAAAAAAATATAAAATTTTAGGAATTTTTTACCCACAAATAGAACAAGAATTTAGCAAAATTTTAACCTAATTCAAAATTTCAAAAACTATTTTTCAAAAATCTAAATGGAAAACCGTGCAGTTTTTTTTATTGAAAAAATTAAAAAAATAATATTTCATTTAAATAATAAAAACATTTTTTTTTTTGTTTAGGTTCATTGGCATTTAAACCAATACTAGAACCTTCGTCAAAGGAAATAATTATAAACGAAGGAGATTTATTGGAACTCAATTGTACAAGCGGTACACCATTAATTTTTGTTTATCCTCACGAACTCTTAAGTGTAAGTTAATAAAATATATTTTTTAAAATTTATAAAAAGAAAAAAAAATTTTTGATTACAAAAATTTGTCCATCTTTTTTTTTTAATGTAAATAATTGAGAAAAAAAATGAAAATACGAAAAAATATTATACAAACTTTCTAAAAAAAATACACAAGTTTAAAAAAAAATTTCAAATTAATTTGAGAAAATTTTATTTTTTCAAAATTTTTTAAATTTATAATTGTAATTTTACAGATTGATACTTCAGATGCAATTTTATCGACAATCATTGATGATGATGGAAATTTTATTATCAATTTTCGGCGCTTGTCAGCAATTTCCGGTGACACTGGATGGTATGGCTGTGCAGAAGAGGATGTCGGTTTCCCTAGCAAGCAAGATATGGGTTTTCATGCTAATTTCTCCTGGATTTATGTTTACGTAAAATGTATTTCAAAATCTTATTTTATTAAAATAAATCTTACACTTAATATTTTTCAATAATTTTTTTTCCAATATTTTTTTTCACTAATAATTCAAAAATTTATTTTCCTCCAAATATGATTTAAATTAAAAAAAAAAAAACATCAAAATTTTTTTACGATGGTAGAAATGTTATTTTTATTTTAAATAAATTTAAAATTTTATTTTTGTTTATTTATTAACAATTTTTTTTAAAATTTATTTAATGTTTAATTCTCATAAATTCTAAATTATTATTACAAAATTTTTATTTCTAATATAATAGAATAATTAAAAATTTGTAAATAATAAAAATTTTTTTTTTTTTAATTTTTAGCGGATGAACAATTATTGGTTGCTGATTTAGATTTGGAAGTTTTACATGCAACTTCAGGATACGATGAAATAATTCCTTGTCGTCCTACATCGCCTTATTTTAATGTCACAATTTCAATTCTCGGCGATTCTGTAAGTATAATGAAAATTTTATTGACCCTCTAAAAAAAAATTTAATATCACCCTGATAAATTTTGGAAAAATAATTTTTGTAATTTTAATTTTTTTTTAATATCGCTTTCCCGAATTTTTATTTATATAAAATATATATTTTAAAATTATATTTTTTTCTAACGATGAATTAAAAATGTTGTAAGAGAAAAGTTTTAAAAAAGCAAAATTTATTATAATTATTATGGAATAATTTTTTTTTTTTCAAGATATATGAAAAAATACAATCGACATTCAATCCAAAAATTGGATTTGTCCTCAAAAATCCTCAAGTGATTGACAGCAATCAATACGAATGTACTGCAACACGTGAAGATGGATTCACTCAATCGATTGATGTATATTTAATGGTCACAAGTGAGTTATTATTAATTTTTTATCATAAAAGAAAGTTTTTTTGAAATGTTTACAAAATTTTAATACATTTTTAAAAATTTAATGCAATTTAAGTTTGGGTAAATTAATTTTTTTCAAACTTAACAAGAAACGAATCGAGGTACATTTTCTATCTGGGCAAAATATATTTTTTATATATAAAATTATGTAAAAAAATTTAGGGTACTGAAAAAAATTATTATTTGCGCAATGTTACAATGGAACTTTGCAATATTTTGGAAAATAATACACTACCGTTCGAAATTGTGCGAACGCTTACACCGCGAGTCATTGAAAAACATACTCGCGTGAAAATAAAGATAACTCTGAGAGAAATTAACGTAGAGACTTTTCCCTTATAGCGTTGGAAAGCTTAAGTAGGTTTAAATATATCATGTTACAAAGTTAAAAAAATAATTGTAATCATTGGTCAGTGAAACATCTTCTCTGTCCTTTTTGCTATTACAGGCAGTCAAAGAGAAGATATTAAAGCAGTAGCTTGCTTTTGCAACACTGCACTTTTTTGTAATTTTCTTTTTTCTGTAGTAGGACACAGAATGCTTTTTATTTTCTGGCATCTTATCATTATTACGAAACAGTTCTTTTAAAAATATCAATCAACAAAATTAATACTACAAACAATTCTATTAACTGTTATAACAGTTGTGTTAGGTTGGAATTGTATTTCAGGGTTGGGTAGCGTTAATTAGAAGAAGTTAAAGTAAGGGTACGGACACAATTTACATCTGTATCTCACAAGTAAAACTTTAAGTTTAAAGGTATGCTCACACTATTTGCAGTGGTAGCAGTGGTAATTTTGTTCTTTTTAACCAGTAGGAAAAAGAAATTATTATTTCATATATAGAATAGTTTGACTTTAATTCGAGTATTTATAATTTGTAATAAATTATTTCTTCTACAGCTCCACCTTTAATAGAGGATTTAAAAATTACTCCTGTGAGACCGCGATACGTGATTGAGGGTCAAAATTTAAGTATTAATTGTACAGCAACTATAACAAAAGGAGGGCCATTTACTGTTCGATGGTTTGGTCCACCTAATAGGACTTTAATACAAAATGTAAGCTCTAAACTATATATTATATATGTAGTTTTTTTTAAGCTAGTATCGATATCAGAAACATCTGTTGTTAAAATTCATTTCTTTAGGATCCAAGAAGACCAGTTAAAAATTATACATCTCACTTGGAACAATTCTGGAAATACACAGTAGAATTAAATATTCTAAATTCTACACATGCCGATAATGGTATATATTACTGTGAAACTAAAACAAACGGCCCAAAAGAGGAGGCACAAACATTTATAGAGATACACGGTGATAATCTTTTCTCATTTACCCTAACATAACCTCAAAACCGAAAATTGTTTTTAAGGCAATGATAAAAATTAGATTTCAAACAATTTAAGATTTTAATTTAACATAATTTTTTTTAACTTCGATCTTCTAAAATTGTTTGAAAATAATTTTATTAAATTTTTGTATGCTTTAAAAATTATTTTTCAGTTTTAAGGTTATGTTACTGTCTCAGCAGTTCTTAAGTATATTTATTAAAAAATACTTAAACTTATCTGCTTAGATTGTTTTGAAAAGAATAATTTTTTTTAAACAAATTTTTGTTTCTTTTTTCCTAGATCCTCGAATAACTTTTATTGACGTTGACAGTGATGATCACTATCGATATCACGTACTAAACGAGACAGAACACGTGAGATGGATAGTGCATATTTATGCTCATCCACCACCAACAATTCGTTGGTAAGATTCATTACATTAAAAAAAAAATTCCGTTTTAATTAATTAGTAATTTTAATTTAAAAATTAATTTTTATAGAAAAAAACCAATTTAATAGTTAGCAAAATTATTCCTACTGAAAATTAATCTAAAAATTTTTAACAATTAACGTTGATTATAAAACATAATTATTAAACATAAAAATAATTTTAACACTTGAAAGTTTTTTTTTATATGTTCTTCTATTAAAGTATTTTAAATAAGAGCGCGTCTTCTTCTACCAATTAGAGAGCTTTAGTGTGGCGCAAGCGCAGTTGACGTTCGCCTCTTTGCTCGCTGTGATTTCCCTTATAAAATTTGAGAAAAAAAATGATTTAAAAAAATCTTTAAAAAATATCAAGGTTCCAATTTTAATAATGACATTAAATAAAATACATATTTTGAAAAAAATAGAGACGCAACTAATAGATTCAAAATAAAGAAAGTTTTTCTGAATTTTAAAAATAAATTAGAATATTTAAATCAGCATTATTTTTTGTTTCTTTATTGTGTAGGATGTCCAGTTTAGGAAAAAGTGAATTGCAGCCAGTAGACGATAGATTACATCCTGAATATAACATAACCGTAGATCCAGAATTGACAATGACTACTTTCTCTATTAGAAATTTAAGGCTAGCTCATTCTGGCAATTATACACTGGAAGTTTCAAATGAACATGGAAATAGGTCCATCACATTTTCTCTTTATGTTAGAAGTAAGACTTATTATTATTATTATTATTATTATTATTATTATTATTATTATTATTATTATTTTTATTATTATTATTATTCCAATTAGTTATATATTTAGATATTAATGTATGTTAAATATTTCGTTAATAATTCTTATGAGTATGATGATTATAAGTAAAAATATTTCAGTGAAACCGAGAAATAATATTAAGGTACATGCGTATTACGCTCCAAATCAATTAGTGGAGATAAGAAATGAAATTGACGCATATCCAGCGACAAATGTGACCTGGAGTTATCTTAATTGTCCTCATTATCCATCTCAACATAGTTGTTTTGTCGAAAACATGTTGGTAGGAGAAAAAAAAATATATTTGTTACAATTTTTATTTTTTCATTAGATGAAAATAATTTTTTTCACTTATAGGTGATTATCCAAAAAGAGCCCATTTTCTTATTATATTTTTCTTCATCACGTCAAAATTTTTTCCTAACCTCAAAAACCAATGGATTTTGTGTCATATATATAAAGGCCTAAGCAGAATAGATTCTTGAACGGGAATGCAATCGTAAACGGAAACGTAAGAATGTGTAAGAGAAGGATAGCAAATATCTTTATTCTTCTCACACTCATTCTTACGTTTCCGTTCACAATTGCGTTCCCGTTTAAGAATCTATTCTGCTTAGGCCTTAGTTTGAGGTTATGTTAAGGGGTTGAACCTCCTTAAAGATAAGCACACGACAAAACGGGACGCATGAATATGTTCCAAAAGTCATTAATTACAATTTTCATTTTATGGAATTTCATTTGTCATAATTATTTTTGAGCCGAATTTTTATTTCTTCAAATTAGTATGTTGCAGAATTTTCATAAAAACGATTTTCTATATTACAGAATTTTTATATAACCGAAAATTCACTTCATAGAATTTTTATTTATTCAAATTTTTATTTGTCAGAATTTTTTATTTCCTCGAATTTTCATTTCATACTATAGAAATTTTACTTAGCCGTAAAAAATCATTTAACGAAATTTCTAATTGATAGAATTTTTATTTGACCGAAATTGAAAATGGCCGAAAAAATAATCGATTTTGCGCGCGATTTTTAAAATCAACCAATCACAATTTTATGGATAATTTTTGATTGGTTGATTTTTAAAAATCGCGCCAAAATCGATTGTTTGTTCGGCCATTTCCAATATAGAAAATCGTTTTGATGAAAATTCTGAAAAATATACTAATTTGAAAAAATAAAAATTCGGCTCAAAAATAATTATGACAAATGAAATTCCATAAAATGAAAATTCTAACTATTAATTTTTAGAATATATTCATGCGTTCTCAGAAAAAAAATTGTTAACTGTATAAAAATCGATTATTTAAACAAATATGGGAAATTAAAACTAATATCGTAATTTTCTATTACGGCGCGTTTGTATAAGTTTCGGTGTATCAATTTCAGTGTCGAAAATTACGTGTATTTTGAAGATAATTTTCCCGCCGTAATTGAAGGCAATAAAAATCCTTAAAAAATATTTCAATTACGGCGAGGGAAAAAATTTGATCTCAAATAATTAAATTAATAATTATTTAAATGTGCATCTTTATAAGTAATTGTATCAAAAAAAAGATAATGAAAATAATTTTTTTAAATCATTTTGCAATAGTTATATTAAATATAGTAGTAATAATAGTTATTTTTTATAAACGCGCCGTAATTGGTACACTTACTCTATATTTGATGCCAAAAAATAGAAATTGATAAAAAAAAAATCAAAATTTTCAGTTACTTAAAAAAAAATTTCTCCCTCGAAAATGACCAGTTTCTGGAGAATCACCCATATGTGACAATAAAAATTTGAATTGAGCTTGATTTTAAATTGCATTATATTTATGTACTTCCTTTCAGGAATGGTCTTTAACAGAAGAATCACCCATTAGGTTTGAGACAATAGTAAAATTTCAGGTAAAAATGTCTGGTGTTATTACGTGTCTTGCATGCAATGAAGTTGGTTGCGAAATGGCACACGAAGTAGTTTTAGTTTCCGGTGAGTATTGTAAAAAGAAGCAATTAAAAGAAAAATAATATTATAATTTAGAAAAAATTTTTCTAATATTAAAAATTTTGAAATAATTAAAAAAAAATTAAAAAATTCGTTTTTACACTTTTTTTTAACAGATGGAAACAATGGTGTTGGAATAATAATTCCCGAGGGTCAAATGACAGTTGGAGATGACTTGGAACTAATTTGTTTCGCATCCATTTATAACTACACTAATAATTTAAGATGGCAAATTGACGAGCAAGATGTCGTCGAAAACGGTATTTTTTTTGCCATTATTCTACTCTTATGGAACAAAAAAAAAAAAAAATGAAATTTTTCTATTAAAAACATTTTTACATTTTATAGAAAAATTTTTGAAATTAATAATAATATTTTGTAAATGAATGTAAAAAAAAAAAATAGCAAATAAGTTTTTGTCTACTTTGGAAGCAACAAATTTCTTTTCATTCCCCAAAAATATTATTTCGAGCATATTTTTTAAAATAATTTATTTTATAATTGCAGACAGAATAAAATTAATTAAGGAGAAAACACAATTTACACATCGTTCAATATTGTCAATAAAAAATTTACAAAAATCCGATGCAATGGAATATGCGTGCGTCGCAACTGCTAATGATTTCAACGAATTGAAAGAATATTACATTTTGAATTTAGCTGGTATTTACATAAACTTTTAATTGATTTTTTGTTATTTTTCTTAGTATTTGTTTTTTTTGTTATTTTAATATTTTTAAATTATGTTTAATTTATTTTAATATTTTTAAATTATGTTTAATTTATTTTAATATTTTTAAATTATCACAGATAGCACGGAAACTTGCAGCAAGCTTACCGTGCAAGCTTGTCTGAGCTAGCGAAATGTCCCACCCAGGGCAAGCTTGCCGTGAAAGCTTGCTGTAAGCTTTCCAGGAAAGGTTGCTGCAATCTTGCCATGAAAAATTGCTACAAGATTGCTGCAAGCATACTAAGAATGATTGCGGCAAGCTTGCCGTGAAAGATTGCTGTAAGCTTGCTACGTAAGGTTGCAGGAGAATTTCAACAAGCTTCTGGAAAGGTTGCTGCAAGGTTGCTGCAAGCTTGCGCGGTAAGCTTGCCGCAAGTTTCCGTGCTATCTGGGATGTTTAATTTATTTTGCATTATTTTAATATGTATAATAATTTTTCAAGATCCAATACCGGCTAAAATTATAGAAACAAATATGAACGGTACAGAAGTGACTTTTGATTTAAATACTTTGGGCCACAACATGATTAGTTTAACTTGTGGTGCTATTGGAACGCCTAAACCCAATATCACATGGTATAAGGTAAAATTTTCGTTTTTTTTTTTTGTAAATTTAAATAAAAATTTTTTCTTTAATTTGATAAAAAGTATACAATAATTTATGTACGAAATTTTTAGTTTTGTTAAAAAAAATTGATAATTCGAAACCAAAAAATTGAAATATTACAAACGACATTTTTTTTGTTACTTTTAGGATGGTAATCTCCTTGAAAGAAATAATCAATATTTTTTCACACGAAGTAAACAGGAACTTAATATAAAATATCTCGATGAAGGAGATAGTGGAAAATATTTGTGTCGTGCCGAAAATCGTTTTGCTAAAGAGGAAAGATTTTTGACGTTCATTGTTGTTGGTAAGAAAATTAAAGAAAAAGAAAAAAAATTTTTTTTTTTTTAACACACAGGAACTATTTTTTCATAAATTAAGAATGAAAAATTATTTTTAATTTTAGGAAAAGAATTGCCAAAAACTTGGATTATTGCTGGTTGTACTGTATTAATTATTTGTTGCCTATTGACTGTAATTTATTGCATCAAATTTAGACGAGAGAGGGTAAGTTTAAATTATTAATTTTTTTTTTTTTGAACTTAAATTCCAATAATAATTATTTTAATATTATTTTAATTATAATTAAAATTTTGTTAATAATATTTTTTTAAAAAATTATTATTTTATATTAAAAAAATCGTATATTAACATCATTTTTGTTATATTTAAATGTTAATATTTTTTTCAAAAAAAAAAAAAAAAAAAAAAAAAAAAAAAAAAAAAAAAAAAAAAAAAAAACCCAAAACGTCCATTAGTTCTAATGAAGAGAAAAATTTTAGTTTGTTTGAAAATCTCTTTGATAATATATTAAGTGAGGTCGTTAAGTGAAACGTAATATATGTAATTCAGAAGTGTATTTTTTTATGACATCATCACTTAAATTAACTAGAATCGTTTTGATTATACATTATATATATACAACGTTCTGTTTGATTTAGGTAATGAGAAAACAGTTAATGGAGGCTGGACTGACTCATTTCGAAGAAGGAGCTCTGGAATGTTTGAATCCTGATTTAACATTGGATGACCAAGCAGAGCATCTCCCCTATGATAGAAAATGGGAATTTCCTCGTGAGAAATTGGAACTTGGTAAAAGATTTTTCAATTAAAAAGAAAGTTAATTAATTGTTTTTTTTAATTTATTTTATATACATATATATATATATATATAAAATAATTTCTTCAGTTCAAAGATAGTTTCTTTGCATTAAATAAATATTTTAAAGTAATTAGTAAGTAAATAGTGAGTAATAAGTAAGTAAATAGCACGAAAAAAGAAAGTAAGAAAATAGTAGTAATCAAATAGTAAAAAAACTTGAAAGTAAATAGTCAGCCAGTAGTAACTAGATAGTAAATTAATAGCTAGAAAATAATAAGTAAATAGTAAATAAATATTAAGTAACTAGAAAAAAAAGTAAATAGAAAACAAAAAGTAAATAGTAAGCCAGTAGTAAGTAAAAATAGCAATAAAATAGTAGGTAAATAGCAAGTTAATAGTAATTAAATTGTAAACAAAAATAGTAAGTAAATATAAAAAAAGTAAGTGAATAGTAAGTAAATACTACGAAAATAGTAAGAAAAAATAAACAGAAATAGTAAGCAAGCAAAAAGTAAATAGTAAATAAAAATTAAGCAATTAGTAAAAAATAGAAAGTAAACAGCAAGTGGAAATAGTAAGAAGATAGTAAGTAAATAGTAAATAAGAAATAAATAAAAATAGTAAATAGTAAAAAAAAATTAACAGAAATAGCAAGCAAGCAAAAAGTAAATAGTATGTAAAAATTAAGCAATTAGTAAAAGGAAATAGAAATTACTTGTGGGTAAATAGTAAGTAAATAGCAAAAAAATGTAAGTAAAAATAGTAAGGAAATAATAAGCAAAAATTGAAAGTAAATCGTAAGAAAAAATAGTAAGTAAATAGCAAATAAAAATAGTACAAAAATAGTAAGAAAAAATTAACGGAAATAGTAAGCAGGCAAAAAGTAAATAGTAAGTAAAAAATAAGTAAAAGAAAAAAGAAATAGAAATTACTTGTGAGTAAATAGTAAGCAAATAGTAAGTAAAGAGCAAAAAAATGTAAGTAAAAATAGTAAGGAAAAAATAATCAAAAATTGAAAGTAAATAATAAGAAAAAAAGAAAGTAAATAGTAAGTAAATAGCAAGTAAAATAGTAAGAAAATAGTAAAAAATAGAAAGTAAATAGTAAGTAAAAATATAATGTAAATAGTAAGTATATAGTAAGTAAAATCAAGAAAATTTTTAGCAAATGGTAAGAAAAAATAAAAAATAGTAAGTAAATAGCGAGTCAGTAGTATGTAAATAGTAAGTAAATAGTAAGAAAAAATAGATAGTAAATAGTAAGCAAATTAAAAGTAAATAGTAAGTCAATTGTAAATAGGCAGCAAGTCAATAGCAAGTCAATAGTAAACAATAATAGTAAGTAAATAGTAATTAAATAGCAATCAAATATTAAACAAGCAAAAAGTAAATAGTAAGTAAGTAAATAGCACGATAGTAGTAAGTTTATTGTAAGCAAATAGTGATTATATATTAAGTTTTTATGTTAAAATAAATTAAAGCAAAATTAAAATTAACTTACAAATATTACTTTTTTTGCTTTTATTGGTAAAACTAAAAATCATTTTTTAAAAAATTTCATTGTAGGTAAACAATTGGGTAGTGGTGCTTTTGGCGTTGTTAGAAAAGCTCGAGCTAAAGGAATATTGGAAAACGAAGAAGTTACAACCGTTGCTGTAAAAATGGTTAAACGAACAATTGATCCAACTTACATTAAAGCTCTAGCTAGTGAGCTTAAAATTATGGTCCATCTTGGAAAGCATCTCAATGTTGTTAATCTCCTCGGAGCTTGTACAAAAAATATTTCTAAAAGTGAGTATCACTTTCCTACTGTTAAAATTTGTGTTTGTGGAATAAATTTGTATTATACCAATCTATTAATTTTTATTTTGCTATTAATTCTCTTTTAAAAAAAATGCAATGAGAATTATATTTAAAAAAAATATATATAAAATATAAGCAGCAAAAAATGAATTAAAACAAAAAAAAATTTCTCTAATTTTAGGTGAACTATTAGTCATTGTGGAATATTGCCATTTTGGCAATTTACACAATTATCTTCTTCGACATAGAGGAGATTTTATTGACCAAATTGATCCAACTACGGGAAAATTGGACATTAACATTGGTCAGGATATTTTATCGGAAACTAATAATTACGACGATGTAAACAGGTATGTTCTTTTTTTTAATAAATATAAATTTTCTAATATTTTAAATTGTGAACTAACATATATTCGATTAATTTGGCTTTTACTTTTTTTGATTGAGAATAATATATGCGAAAAGAAAGTATATAAAAATCACTAAACATTTGCCGTTAATTCTCGCATATAAAATTACTTAAATTATTTAATTTAATTTAATTTTTTTTTTAATTTTTATGATGACTAAAAATTATCGAATTTTCATATCGAAAAATTTCTATATCTAAATTCTGATTTAGTAGAACTTTTATTTAACTAAATTTTTTAAAAAGCAGATTTTCTAATACATCGAACAAATATAAATTCTGACCAATGAAAATTCGAACAAATATAAATTCTGGCAAATAAAAATTTGAAAAAATTCACATTCTGAATTTTCGGCTACATAAAAATTTTGCAATTTAAAAAATTAGTTTAATAAAAATTCTGTTAAAAAATAATAATTCGAATAAATGTAAATTCGACTAAAAGAAAATTTTATCTGCTTAAATTTTACCTTCATGAAGTTGGCGTCGACACTCTCAGCGCCGAAAATTATTTTTACAGAACCAAAAATGTCAAATTATTTTTTCTTTGACAATATTTTCGGTCAAATTAATACCTTCAGAAATATTTTAAGGTATTATGTAGACCTAAAACATTTTTAAAAATTTGATATTTTTGGTCCCATGAAAAATAATTTTTCAACGCTGAGAGTCGAGGCCAACTTCAGTGAGGTTAAATTTTGTCAAATAAAAATTCTAACTTTATGCGTTCATTAATTTTTATTTGTAGCATGCTGCACGTATTTAATGCATGGATTATTGTTATTAACTTTTAACGTTATAATTATAAAATGAAGTAAATTACAATTAAAGATAATAAAATTATGAAAAGTATTACGAAATATTCTATATAACAATGTTGATGTGAATTATAAAAAAAAGGGTTACTAAATGATTTTGTATAATAACAACTTTCTTTCAAATGTACTAACTGACCACGTGTGGAAGAGTCAATTGGGGTCAAGTTGAGTCTTATCGTATAATTTTAGTAGCAACTAACAATAAACCTCATAAAGAGCAATTAATTCAGTTTTCATTTTGATCTGAGATGAAGAACTAGATTGTCAGTGTAACAATTCTCTTTCTTCTATTTTATTTCTCTTTAAAACTTAGATGAAAGAAAAAAAAATTGTAGAAAGTTGAACGTAAAATAGAAATTATTTACTGGGTTTGTTTTAACTTTTTTTCTTATATTTTTAATGATTGGAAAAATTAGGATAAAGAAAAAATAAGGACAAAAAAATAAATTACTGACACGGAGAAAAAAGAATTGTTATGGTTACTAAAAAATTAAGTCAACACAACAATTCCGGATTGTCAATATAGAACCAGTAGTTCTATTTGTTTTTGGGACAAAAAAAAATCGGATTGTTATTAAAACTATTCGGATTGTTCGGTGAACAAACAGAATTGTTTGATGACCAAAAAAAATTGTTATGGAACAGTTGAAATAACAAAACTAAATTGTTAAATCGGCAATACAATTTGTTGTATTAACAAAGCTTTGATCCGTTTAATACAATTTGTTCAGTTTCTTTGCGTTCTAAAATAATTGATAGCAGCTTTCCGTAGGTCATATCACCAGTTTCATTTGCATTAAAATCTATGGAACATGCAGCTTTTGAATCAAATTCTTTGACCTGAAACCAAAAGAATTATTTTGAGTTAAAATTTGTTGTTAAATAATATTTAATATACATTTTGTATTTTTTAAAGTGAGGTTATGTTCAATAGTAACCGAGTATAACTTTACCGATAAACGATGAAATTATCTCTTCATCCATTCACTTAAACTTGCAATAGATTTCTCACTTTAACCGGATTCATTATTTAACAGCACTTTGTCATTTTTAAAAAAAACTAATAATAAAAGCAAAAGTGGCACATGTGCACAGTGGGACAAAGTCTCAAAAACCTGTCCAAAAGTAAAAAAAAAGTTTTTTAAAATGCGATTATTTCTATATATATTGGTAGAGGACCCCATATTGGATCCGCTATTTTGAATTTTTGAAAAGTAACACTGGATTCGAAATCAGCGACCCCGAAAACCCCCGAGTAACGAGTTTCAAGCGAATCTGATTAGTTTTTAACTTTGACTTCCGCCATATTGGATCCTCCATTTTGAATTTTTGAAAAGTAACACCGGATTCGAAATCAGCGACCCCAAAAACCCCCGAGTAACGAGTTTCAAGTGAATCTGATTAGTTTTTAACTTTGACCTCCGTCATATTGGATCCGCCATTTTGAATTTTTGAAAAGTAACACCGGATTCGAAATCAGCGACCCCGAAAACCTCCGAGAAACGAGTTTCAAGCGAATCTGATTAGTTTGTAACTTTGACCTCCGCCATATTGGATCCGCCATTTTGAATTTTTGAAAAGTAAGACCGGATTCGAAATCAGCGACTCCGAAAACCCCCGAGTATTGAGATTCAAGCGAATCTGATTAGTTTTTAACTTTGACCTCCGCCATATTGGATCCGCCATTCTGAATTTTTGAAAAGTAACACCGGATTCGAAATCAGCGACCCCGAAAACCTCCGAGAAACGAGTTTCAAGCGAATCTGATTAGTTTTTAACTTTGACCTCCGCCATATTGGATCCGCCATTTTGAATTTTTGAAAAGTAAGACCGGATTCGAAATCAGCGACCCCGAAAACCCCCGAGTAACGAGGTTCAAGCGAATCTGATTAGTTTTTAACTTTGACCTGCGCCATATTGGATCCGCCATTTTTAATTTTTGAAAAGTAAGACCGGATTCGAAATCAGCGACTCCGAAAACCCCCGAGTATTGAGATTCAAGCGAATCTGATTAGTTTTTAACTTTGACCTCCGCCATATTGGATCCGCCATTCTGAATTTTTGAAAAGTAACACCGGATTCGAAATCAGCGACCCCGAAAACCCCCGAGTAACAACAAAGGACGCGACGATTTGCACGCCACTTTGCGAGAATTTAAGATAACCACGTGACATGGAACAATAAACCTGTCAGCTGAACAAATCCAGATTGTTCCATCAGCAATCGACAGAGAGTTTGCTTCTGCAACTGTACGGAATAGCAAACTGAACAAAATTGAGAATAAAAAATACATATTGTTGTTAAAACAACATACATTTGTATTGACAACAATCCGAATTGTAATATTAACATTTCGAATTGTTATATCAAAAAATCTATTGACAACAATCCAAAAATTGTTTTGCACAACAATCTCATTTTTTTTCCGTGTGGACTCAAAAATTATATTTCCACACACTATGAAAAATTTTAACAAAAATCTTAACATTGCGGTGTTGGTGCACGTGGGATTTGTGTTAACACTTTCTCTTTTTTTCTCCACTATTCAGGGTAAAATATGCTGCATTGTCTTTTTCTCCTAGTCATAGCTATAATTCGGACAATACTCGACCTGGTGTTGAATCCGTAACATACACTCAAGACTCAGTAACATTAGGAACAGGAGAATTTAGTATGAGCAATACATCATCGCAACCCGATTGGCGAACCAATTATCGTGGTGATTACAAAGATAAAAATTTAAGACCAATCTGCACACAGGATTTAACATCCTGGGCTTTTCAGGTTGCTCGCGGAATGGAATATCTCTCTGAACGTAAAGTACGTAATTGAATTGTGCTAAATGTTTGAATGTTCCACACTTTTTTTTTGTCGTTACAATCTTTCTAATTGAGTGCACGATTGTATTTGTAATTTATATTAAATGTTTTTTGATTTTTATAATTTGATTTAAAATAAAGTTTAGAATTTTTTCTTTATAGGTTTTGCATGGTGATCTTGCTGCGCGTAATATTTTATTGGCAGAAAATAATATTGTAAAAATATGTGATTTTGGATTGGCAAAAACAATGTATAAGGATAATAATTATAAAAAGAAAGGCGATGCATTGTTGCCAATTAAATGGATGGCGATAGAATCAATTCGCGATAGGGTATTTTCCACACAATCGGATGTATGGTCATTTGGCATTGTTTTGTGGGAATTTTTTACATTGGCACAAACGCCTTATTATAGTATTGATGCAGAAACGCAATATCATAAATTAATTGAAGGATATAGGCTAGAGCAACCTGAATATGCTACAAGAGAAATGTGAGTTTCAATAATTTTGAATATTAGATAATATTTTAATTGATCTAATAAATCTTTCTCTAGGTATGATATAATACTGCAGTGCTGGACAGTTAGACCAATTTTACGACCATCATTTTCGGAATTAGTGAATTTAATTGGTGATTTGTTAGGCGAAAGTGTGAAACAGGTGAGGTTTATTTTTTGCTATAATTTTTCATTATTCTAATTTTTTTTACACCTTTAGCACTATATGGATCTGAACACACCTTACATGGACATGAATACAATGGCGTTGGAGGGAAAAAATGACTATCTAAAAATGATGTCAGCTCCCGATCATACATTACTCTCATCACCAAGTCATGATTACGTGAATGCTCCAAGTATTGAATCAACAGGTCGAGGTGATTCTGCCTATTTAAGTCTGAGTCCTTCGGGAAAGGACGATACAATGATTAATAGTCCAGGTCCTGATTTTAATCATACACATTTTCGATTTCCAACTCCAGTTAATAATAAATCAGCTAATGATTCAGATCCAGATGAAATTGTTGAATCCTCCCCAATGCTACAAGAAGATGATGATCCCTACCTCAAACCAATTAATATTCATGAACAGCGTGCAAGATTTGTTAAGGAACAACAATCAAAACGAAGGAAACCAGTTGAAATACCTGATCCAAATTTAGGTTACTGTAATACTTCAAATATTAATTCATTGGATAATAAAAAAGACACAGTGGATTATACAGAGAAAAAGAATGGCAGTAGTGTTCCATCGATTATTCGAACGCAAGACAATTATGTCAATATGCCGAAGCAAAAAAGTGATTTACGTAAAGATCTTCCTCCAGGAACTTCGGTTCAATCATTTTCAAATCCTAGTTATATTTTTATGGATCAAAAAGATAATGATGAGGTTGATGTTTAAGACGTGATATATTTTTTTAAATTGTGACTTTTTATTAAAAATATCGCTATATAAGTTAATTTTAATTCTCCCGAAATGAATTGACGAAAATATATTCAGAATTTAGAAAATTGTTTTTAAAAAAACAATAAAAATACGAAATTTTTTTTTATTTTTTTGCAGTCTTGTTTAAATAATAGAGATTGTGCCATGATTAAAAAAAAATTAATATTTAAGATAAAATAATATAATTTTGTTAAGTAACAATTGTTTCATTAACATGAAGAGTGGCTGTGAATGATTTTGAATTAAAGTGAAACACCCAATTACATTCTTCAATATTTGAAAAAGATTTCAATTAATTTACTATGAGGCCGTTTTCACTGTGTGGAGAAATTTAATTTTCCGAGAGGTTAAAGATAGTCTGCGTCTGCGCAGACAAATATTCTGCGCAGACGCAGAATATATAACCTTTCGAAAGATTAAATTTATCCACACGGTGAAAATAGACTCTATATATACGGTTATTTTCAATTAATTTACAAACGGTTATTTAATTAGTTAAATGAATTTCAAGACTGTTGATATATTATCTTGCAATAATGCTCTAAAAAAAACTTCTTGATAACAATTTTTTTAAATAAAATATTTCATAGAAAAATTTTTTTAATAAAAAAAGAATTCTACATACTGAAGGACAAAATTGAATATTTTTTTTGACAAATTAGGCACACACCCAAAAAAATGTTTCTTTGAATCAAAGAAAATTTTTTTAAATTAAAGAAAACATTTCTTTGACTCTATATCATTTTTCTTTGATTCAAAGAAACATTTTTTTTGGCAATTTTCACTCTTACGTGGTATATGTATTCAATTTTAAAGCCAAAGAATTTGTTAATAAATTAGAAGCAAAAAATTTTCTCACCTCATTTATATTTGTTACATAAAATTAATTTAATTTAAAAAAAAATTTAATTTTTCTGTAAAATTATTTTTATTGTAGTTGAGAAAATTAATGTACTTAATCAAACTTTTCAATAATTGAGAATATCATTGAAAAGTCAAAATTAGAAACGTATTTAGTTAAATAATTGACAATATTTTTATAAATAAGTAGTTTATATAAATATTTTTTAAAAAAATTATACAAATTATGAATATTGCCTGTAATTTAATTAACGTGATAATGTCTGTAATTAATTGGCGCAAATTAAATTAATTCCAATTTTTAAAATAGGTAAAATATAAAATATTAAAAATAACAAAATACGTTATAAATTATATTATGTTATTAAATATCGACTTTATCTTATAAAAATTAAGTAAAAATAAATTTTCTATTTCGTTATTGAGATTAATAAAATGTATAGTTTATGAAATTAGAATTTTTAAAAATTGTTAACAAATCAATTTTATAATTCATTATAATAAATACATCTAACTTCTCAGAGCTTCCTTTATATGTGAACTTATAAATTAAATTACTCAAGTTTTATACTAAAATTGCTTTTTGATTAGAATTCCCATATAGATATATATTTACGCTTATTTAAAAAAAAAATTAATATATTTAGAATAAATAAGTAGGTGCGAAAAAAATTTATCAAAGTACTTAATAACTCTTTGCCTCGCGTTTCACGTATAATTAATATGTGTGTTTGTGTAAATATAGATATTTTGTAATTCAAAATAAATATTTCTATGTTTTCTATGTTATGTACTTTCTTGAACAAAATTTACTGATACGAAAATTGTATAACGCATTTTTTTTAATGACAAACTCAATATAATTGTTTAGAAATAAGTTTTTGTATTTTTTAGTAAAAATGACAAAAAATTGTAAATTGTACATAAAATAAATGAAGGTAATAAAAGAATTTTTTTTTCTTTTCAACAATAAATAATTAAGTTTTTCGATAAAGAAGAAACTGTGTTATCTTTTGTGAAGATGGTTTTTTTTGTACAAGTGTGTTCGGAAATTAAATTATAACAATGCAAATTATAGATAAACTCGAAAATCTCGAAAATCGAAAAGAACGGAAAACATAACCTATAATACCAAATTTTCTTTCTTTTTACGACTGAAGTGGAAGATCTGCATAACCCTTGTTATTAAAGGCAGATACCTGGAGCCCGGTGCTTCCCCTGTTGAAAATTCCTATGTGAGAACACATATGGGATCCCATCCAGGATCTCTTGTGAGTTCTTACGTGGGTTCCCATACAGGTTCACACATAAGATCCTGTATGAAAAGGTTCCTGGGATGAACTTGCGTGAGATCAAGCGCACGATCTTATGTCTCTGTAAAAGCAATAACACAGGATCCCATGAGGTTTCCTGTGTAGGTTCCTATATGAACAACACGATAAATAGGAACACACATGGGATCTTATCCGAGATCTTGTATGAGTTCTTACATAGGTTCTCACATATAAGAAGATTAATAGCAGCTTAATAAGATTTTATATAATGCTTTTATATATATGCTATTAATCTTCTTATATGTGAGAACCTATGTAAGAACTCATACAAGATCTCGGATAAGATCCCATGTGTGTTCCTATTTATCGTGTTGTTCATATAGGAACCTACACAGGAAACCTCATGGGATCCTGTGTTATTGCTTTTACAGAGACATAAGATCGTGCGCTTGATCTCACGCAAGTTCATCCCAGGAACCTTTTCATACAGGCTCTTATGTGTGAACCTGTATGGGAACCCACATAAGAACTCACAAGAGATCCTGGATGGGATCCCATATGTGTTCTCACATAGGAATTTTCAACAGGGTAGAGGTTATGTGGGGATGACAGTTTTTGTTCTGGTCGACCTACTAAAAACCACACCCTTTGGCTAGACTAATTGCTCACACTACGGAGCTGCCGTCATGCTTTAAACTTCGTAGGTGAAGTTCCCTTGGATCTTGCTATTGCGACTCTTGACGATCTTTCTGGTCTATTTATTCTTCGTTCGTGGGAGAATCTTTTTAGACTCCTCAAGAGCCGTGCTGAAGATTTAGCAACCTTCGCTGCTTGCGATATGACTAATGTTCGCCTTATTGCCATACTTTCATCTACATCAGATGCAGTTTGGCTTCTACTGCATTTTGCAAACTTATGATCGACATCAACGCACTTGAAACACGCAGTCGATCTGTCCGTTGCCTTAAAAACTCTTCCAATGTAGCCGTACGCCAGGCACCGGTGGCATCGCACGACCATCACCCTTCTATTATTAAGCAACACATAAAGTCAATCCTTATGCATCTTTCTTTCTCCAACCTGTCCGCCTTCTTTGGGTCGGTGACTACAACCGCGAGCTTCATTCCTCATTGGCTGGGTCCTAGGACCGTCACTTTTCCGGTTTCTGGAGAACTTCCGCCAACACCTGTTGGACCTCTAATTCCTGGGTACGGCAATCCATGTCGCTGATCTCCATTGTGACCTGTCTATCCATGGTGTGTACCTTCCCCATGCTTCCAACCGATTTGGTGACCTCAGCGGTGAATACCAATGTTTTGGTGTCTTCTCCGATTTTGATTAGGAGATCTCCCCTTCTATTAGACCTTGCGCCACAACCTGCTTGTGGCTGACGTTCGGATTCACTTACCGCCGAAGTTTGCTATATACATTGGCATACGTTGTTCCTGTTGCGACTCGGATCATCATTGTAGATCCACTCATCGCTTTCTTCTTACTGGTTTGCTTAAAATCCAGTGTCAGTGACACCTTTGCAATTTTTTAAACAAGAGTTGCCTCTTCTTGCTTTTTCTTCTTCGCCTCGGCGTCAGTCCTCTCCGGACTGCCAGTGCTTTTTCATTGTTTCTGCGCCTCTATGACTAAACGCCAAAGCCGCTTTTCATGGATACGCTCTCTTTTTCTGTTTCGCTCTTCTCGCTTCACCTCCGCATTGCCTTTAACGCTACCAAGATTGCTATCTCCATTATCTGCTGACGCGTGTTTTGTCTTCGCCTCACTGACAAGATCCTGAAGAGTCTTAAGTCCGTCCTTAATAGTCTTGTTGACATTCTTCTGGACTTCGCAAGACCTTACCATCTTGGCGAACTTCTCTTTGATCCTCTAAAGACACTCATCTTTCTCCTGCCTAAATTTTAAACACTTTTCGCGTTCTTCTTCAATTGACTCGTTGTCTAGATCAGAGGGAATCAAACTTCTTTCGCTGCTGGCACTAGAAACGCTTAAAAAGCTTCCTCTTCTACTTCCAAGTCTTTCCAAACGAACTTGGGGAACCTTAAGATTTATGCCCTCATAATCCATCCTTCTTGTGGCATTGAATGCTGCAGTACAAAATATAATAAATACCTTAAAGGAGAATTGAAACAAAGTAAGATAAAAACAATAAACTTTTTAGGTGAACTATTAATCATTCTGGAATATTGTCATCTACACACTTTGCAGAAACACAATAGAAAATAGAAGAAGAATCTGATCTGAATTTGGAGAACTGAAAAATTTTAAACATCAGGTCATTAGAATGAATTACAAAATGATTTACAATCCTTTTAATAATCTACTAATCCAGTAATAGTTTTAAAACCAGAAGGATAATGTTGAAGTTGAAATAGCATATATTTAAAAAGCACTTTTATGTAAATAATGTTTATTTTTTAATTTCTGTTTAAAATTTTATAAAGAAATATTGAAAATATATTTATTTGTTCCATTTCATAATTAATTAATTAGAAAAAAAACTAATTAGAAAGTATCTAATTTTTATCAAAATTAATTTTATATCACAAATGCGTTTGTCGTCGTGCAATTTACAATGTTGTCAGATACTGTTATCTATATGTTAAAACGTAAATCCTCGGACAGTTTTTATTTGATATGGAAGAAATTATATGTCCTTTATATATTGTCCAATTTCGAGCATATTTCACTTGAGTCGCTCCTTATACATTCTAGTAAAAAAAGTCTCATCTTTTGCAAAAGTGGTTTAGTACAAATTACAGAAATTTATTATATTTCAAAGTCAAAAGATTTAAAATGAGACAAACCAGACAAATTGGATTGTTTTTCTTCATCTGTACTTTTCTTTCAGGTGTGTAACACTTAAAAATTAATTTCTTATAATTTGTAATGCGAACATTTGCAAAAACAAGATTATACTTTTCGTAATCATATTTCAAAATTTATCATTCAAAGCTTTGGGAATTAGAAAATCTAAAACATTTTTTACATTTCTGTAACAGGTTTCATAAGTTAGGGAAATAAAACACAGATAGAAATATTTTGTTACAAATTAATACAAGTTAAATCAGTGAATAAATATGATCAAAAGTACTGTATATTAAAAAATAATAAAATCACTTTACAATCTCGTCTTTTATTTTGGGATATCCTGTAAATTATTTTGACGAAGGAAGATAAATGTATAAAAAAAATTCCTAAATATACTGTCCGGAAATTAATAGAAAAAGATAATTATTTTTTATCATTTAAAAAAAATCCTGCTTATCTTAATTAATGAATTAAATTCAATTTAAATAAATAAAGTAAAATTTTTTAAATAATATTTTTTTTCAGGTTCATTGCAAATGTTCCATAGATACTATTCTTATACAAAAGACATTATTGTAAACGAAGGTGAATTATTGGAACTTAATTGTACAGGTAGATTAGGATCAAGTTTCACCAGTTTTCCTCATAATCTTCCAAATGTTAGTAACTGAAATATTATAATAAACAAAAAAGTGCAAATTCTTTCGATTTAGATTAAAAACAATATATTATAATGTATTTTTATAGATATTTACTTCAAATGTAAATATTAAGACATTCTGTGATGATGATGAAAAATGTGTTCAAACGTTAACTCGATTGTCAACAATTACTGGTGACACTGGAAGTTATCATTGTAAAAATGATATAAATTCTTACATTGAGACTTATGTTTACGTAAAATGTATTACTTTTACTGTTTATATGTAATTTATAACTAAAATATTGCTTACAATATTTTTTTTTATTTCAAAAAATACAAACATGACAATTTCAGATTATTAACTTCCCGAAGAATAATTTTCGAATAAACAATTGGTTTTAATGACTACATCTTAATAATTCTCTAAAACAGTTTACTAGTAAACTAAAAGCTCCATGTTTGTATTTATATGGAATAAAAATTGCGTATATTTTAATTAAATTTTTTAAATTAAAATTTTCATTTTTAGCCAATGTTCAATTACTAGTGCCTTATACACAATCAAATATAATATATAGTGATAGAATTTACAAAAGATTAATACCATGTCGTCCTACTTCGCCTGATTATAAAGTCACGATTTCAACTGTTGATAATTCAGTTAGTAATTTAATATAAATAATATAATACAACCTTAGTCATTAAGCCATTCTTGGATGATTTAGTTGCGAGATAATTTTGGTTTAATATTTTTCTATCAATTTTTAAGACAAATGACAAGCTACAATCGACATTCGACCCAAAAGAGGGTTTTGAGATTGTAAATCCTAAAGCGACTGATAGCAAACAATACAAATGTTCAGCAACACGTGAAGATGGATTCACTCAAACAATTGATTTTTATGTAAATGTCACATGTAAGATTTTAACAGTATTATAAATTTAATATAATTTGTTTTTTTTTCCTGTAATTTCATCTTATATATTTTTTATTGGTGTAATGAATAAATTAACATTTTAAGGAGAATTTGTTTCTTATATAGATCCAGATTCAATTAGGTCTTTCAGAATGTCTTCTGTGACACCAAGATACGTGGTTGAGGGTGAAACTGTAAAGATTAATTGTACAGTAAAATGTCTAAATAATAAGCAAATTAGATTACAATGGTATGGGCCACCTAACAAAACTTTAATTCAAAATGTAAGATGAAATATGAATTACAATTTCTTTAAATCATTTTAACATCTTTAAATATTCTGCAAAATTACACAATTTGACGTATCTCTGTGATAGTTTCAAATATCTATTTTGAATATTTCATATATTTTGATAAACAAAAACTGTAAAATTTTTTTTAGGACACAAGAAGACAAGTGAAAATTTATGAACACCCCGAAAAATTGGGTGACATGACGTGTGAAGCACAATTAAAAATTCTAAATTTTACCAATGATGATAGCGGTTGGTATGGTTGTCAAGCAAAATCTATTGGTTCACAAGACTATCAAGCGACAAAAATAGAATTACACAGTAATTATACACAGTACTACAAGAAATATTTTGTTTCGAGCATTTATTCTCCATTGAAATTTTATGACAAATCTGATTTAAAATTCATGTTTAAAATAAACGAAAAATATCCTTCGTATTTAATTTTTCTGCTTGTTTGTAGATCCTCGAAAAACTTTTATTGAATTACATTGTGCCGAACAGAACAGATTTCAAATACTAAACGAGGGTCAATACATATCTTGGATAGTGGACATTAATGCATATCCACAGCCAACATGTCGTTGGTAAGACATTATTCATTATGCGAATAAAATTTTTAAAAAATTTCAACAAAAATTTTGTAATTTAATGCATAAAAGACAGAAATTTTAAAGTTAAATTAAAATTTAATTTATTGTGTAGGATGTACAATTCAGCAAACAGTAAAATGCAGACTTTAAACGAAAAATCTATTAGTTACTTAAGTCTAAAGCAGGATTCACCATTGACATACTCAGAGTTAACAATTCGTTATTTGATGGGATATCATTCTGGCAATTATACATTGGAAGTTTCAAATCAACATGGAAATAAATCAATTACTTTTTCTATTTATGTTATCAGTAAGATTTTTTATTTTTTATTATTTTAATTGCAGAAAAAATTTATTCTTCATTTTTGTTGCACTTTAAAATGAGCAGTTTACGTTACTCATTTTGAGCTCAAATTTTTTCTGCCTTCACTAGTATTTCTGTTGTTGCTTATGTTAAATTTATTATTTATGTAATGAAAATTTTTTTAGAATTAACATAAGAAACATATTTCAGGTAAGCCTATATTTAATATTAAGGCATATGCGCATTATGCTCCAAATCAGTTAGTTGTGATAAGAAATGAAATATCTTCATATCCTGCGTGTAATGTGACCTGGAAATATCTTACTTGTTCTGATAATAATGATTGTTCTGACAATAACACTGTGGTAAGAGAAAATATTAATTCAAATCCATCTTCCCAAAGAAGATTTCTTTAGAAACGAATTTATGACAATTTTCATTGAATTTAAGTCAAAAACAGAGTTGATCCTACCCAAATATTCTGCTTTCAGAAATGGACATTAAGGGAAAAATCACCCATTATGTTTGAGACAATAGTAAAATTTCATGTGGAAATGTCCGGTAATATCACATGCATTGCATGCAATGCAGTCGGTTGTAGAACAATAAGTAAAGAAATATTTGTTTCCGGTGAGTATGAAATAGATAACAGCAATTTTAAAAGAGTAAAATTTAAATCCACAAAATTAAAACATGTTATTTGGAAATAAAAAATTGTATTATTCCAAAAGCTAACCCATTATAGCCTGTAGCCTATAAGTTTGTAGATCCGTATTTAAAATTTTTAAATAAAATTATTTACAGATTACAATAGTGGCATGGGAATAATTTTTCCTGAACATCAATTAACTAATGAAGATGATTTGGAACTAATTTGCTTCGCATCTATTTACAATTACACTAATAATTTAACATGGCTAATTGATGGGCAAAATATCACTGAAAATGGTACGTTTTGTCATATCCTACACTTATAAACAATAAAAGTATTCTTTGATGCAAATATAATTTTTCGTATTATTAAAAACATAGTTTGACAAAATAAAATAATTTTGTAACTATTTTAAAAATTATTTTTATCATTATTACAGACAGTGTGAAATTAACTACTGAAACAACTCAATTTTCACATCGTATAACATTGTCAATAAAAAAATTACTAATATCGCATGCGGCGGAATATACATGTGTCGCAATTGCTAACGATTTCAAAGAATATAAAGAATACTACGTTTTGAATTTAGCTGGTATTTATATGAACTTTTAATTTACTTTTTCGTATTTTTATTAATGCAAATGAGATTTCTAGTTAGTGGATTTTTGTTTAATAATCTTTAAGATCCTGAACCTGCTACAATCGTAGAAACAAACATGAACGGAACAGAAGTAGCTTTTGATTTAAATACTTTGAGGCAAAATATTGAATTAATATGTACTGCTACTGGAATACCTGAACCAACTGTCACTTGGTACAAGGTAATATTTTTTGTCATACATATTATTTCTGCAATACAATAAATAAATTCAATATTACTAGGATCAACATCTGCTGGAAAGCAACAATCAGTATTTTTTTACTGGAAACAAACAGAAACTTAAAATAAAATATCTCGATGAAAAAAGTAGTGGTAAATATGTGTGTCGGGCTAAAAACCGCCTTGCTATAGAAGAAAGGTTTCTTACCTTCATTTCTATAGGTAAGAAAATAAAAACTGCTTGAATTTTTGTTTTTACTGAAAAATTCTCAATGGCTTTAGTTTTGAAGACAAAATATTTGAATTCTTTGAAATTAATTAGGTGGTATAATATTTTATAAAATTAATTCACAAAAGGGCATTTTCAGAAGTCTTAAATGTTTTACTTTATTAAATTAAAAATGTATTTGTTAATTTAAGGGAATAAAGTGTCCGAAACTTGGATTCTTATTAGTAGATTTGTGTTAATCGTTTGCTGTATATTTATAACAACTTATTGTATTATAATTCGACAAAGGAGAGTAAGTTTTCATTATTTTGTTCTATTTCAATATTAATTGAGTTTATAACACTGGAATCGTTTTAGATTAATATGATAAAAACGTACTATTTGATTTAGATAAAGAGACAGAAATTAATAGATGCTGGATTGACTTTTTTTGAAGAGGGAGCTCTGGAATGTTTAAATCCTGAATTAACACTCGAGAATCAAGCAGAGCATCTTCCGTATGATAAAAAATGGGAGTTTCCACATGAAAAACTAGCACTTGGTAAAAATGTAACATTTAGGCTGCAGTCCCATGGCAGCGTTTTGCGTTGCGTTTTGTCACTAGACCCTGAGTGTAAACATAGCAAACATATATCTGCATCTCTTTTACACTCATGGTCTAGTGACAAAACGCAACACAAAACGCTGCCATGGGACTGCTGCCTTAATTAAAAATAAATTCAGTTATGCTTTCACAGAAAATTAAAAGGTATTAAAATAAGCTGCAACGCTTCTTATTTTAATCCATTTTTACTTATTTTAATACCAAAATGGATTAAAATAAGAAAAATTTGATTAAAATAAGAAGCGTTGCAGCTTATTTTAATACATTTTAGTTTTCTGTGTTGAAATTAACAAATACAACTTTACACATTCCACTTCTCACTAATCCACTTTAAATAAATCAGATTGTTACAATAAAGATAAACTATTACAAACAAAGTGTTTTTAACGATTTTCTAAATTTTCTATCATCTAATTATTTTAGGAACACAATTGGGTAGCGGAGCATTTGGTGTTGTTAGAAAAGCCAAAGCGGTGGGAATTATGAAAAATGAAAAGATTACGACTGTTGCTGTAAAAATGATTAAGCGCACATTGGATCCAATGTACATTAAAGCACTAGCTAGCGAACTGAAAATTATGGTTCATCTTGGAAAGCATATCAATATTGTTAACCTCCTCGGTGCTTGTACAAAAAATATTTCTAAACGTCAGTAATTTTCTACATTTCAATTAATTCTATTATTAAAGACAAGATATTAATGGGTAATTCTTGTCAAAAAGACACACCCTCTGCCCAGAATAGATTTACTTTTAAAAAAGCTCTATATGGGTTTAAATTACAGCAAATTAGATCTATTTTTTGATGCTGTATGGCACTTTTTAAATATTAAACATGAGGGACCACAAATGTTAAAGAAAACCTTCAATATTATCGAAAAAAGTAAAATTTCTTTTATCACAAGGTTAAAAGTTTTTTTATATAAAAAATTACCGACATAGAAATCTACATTACCGTCCCCCATATTTAATATTTAAAAATTGTCATACGTCATCAAAAAATAGACAAAATTTGCTGTAATTTAAGTCCATGTAGAGCTTTTTTCAACTAAATCTATTCTGGGCAGAAAGGATGTTTTTCTTTGGACAAAAAATATCCCTAATAATAAGGATTAAAACAAGATAAGATATAAATTTTTTAGATGAACTTTTGATTATTTTGGAATATTGTCATTTTGGGAATCTACACAATTATCTTCTTCGACATAGAGAAGATTTTATTGATCAAATTGATCCAGCTACCGGTAAATTCAATGTTAACATTAAACAGAAATTTCCGTTCGAAACCGATAATTACGTCGAGGCAAACAGGTATACTACTAGATCTGCTGTTGAATTTGTAATTCAAGATTCACATGAAATAATGTTAGCAACAGGAGAATTCAATAAGAAAAATATTTATTCTCAATGCAGAACTAATCATGAGGATGATTACAAAGACGAGATATTCCAATCCATCTGCACGCAGGATTTAACATCTTGGGCTTTTCAAGTTGCACGTGGGATGGAGTATCTTTCTGGACGAAAAGTACATTTTTCTAGAATATGAACGTTAATTTTTTTAAGCAAATTTACACAACTATGTACTGAATTCTTAATGTTATTAGGTGTTACATGGAGATCTTGCGGCACGAAATATTTTATTGACAGAGAATAATATTGTAAAAATTAGTGATTTTGGATTATCCAAGTCAATGTACAAAGACAATAATTATAAAAAGAAAGACGATTTACTTTTGCCAATTAAATGGATGGCGATAGAATCAATTCGCGATAGAGTATTTTCCACTCAGTCGGATGTTTGGTCATTTGGCGTTGTTTTGTGGGAGTTTTTTACGTTGGCACAAACACCTTATTTTAGTATTGATGCAGAAACACAATATCAGAAACTGATTGAAGGATATAGGCTGGAAAAACCTGAATATGCTACAAAAGAAATGTAGGTTTGTTTTACCATATAGTTTTCAAACTCAATTGAAATTTAATAAATTCTTTTCTAGGTATGATATAATACAACAGTGCTGGACAACAAATCCAATTTTACGTCCGTCATTTTCGGAATTAGCTAATTCCATTGGTGACTTTTTAGAAAAAAGTGTGCAACAGGTAAAGATCTTCTGTATCCGCTACTAATCATTTTTATTTTTTCTCCTCTTTCTCGTTCCGCTTCATGTTTTATTTTAATAATTAAATTGTTTTTGGTTTGTGGTATCATTAGTACTACATAGATCTGAACAGACCATACGTAGACTTAAACACAAAGGTTCTAGAGGGAAAAAATGACTATTTAAAGATGATGTCAGCTCCCGATCATACATTACTTTCATCCTCGAATCAAATATACGTCAAAGCTCCCATAATCGGATCAGCAGATAAAGGAGATTTTGCACACAGCAGTTTGACCTCCTCTGATCAGGACGGTTCCAGTAATAGTTGCAATGACAGTCGCACTCAGTTCCGATCTCTTAGTCCAGTTAATGCTAAATCATCTGCTGAATCAGTTACAGAAGAAATGGTTGAGTTCTCAATACTGCAAGAGGATGACGATGATCAACACCTCAAATTAATGAATTTTCATGAACATCATCAAGATTCGTTAAGGACCAATAATTTAGAGGAAGGAAACTAGTAGAAGAATCTAATCTACGAATATTAAAACTTACAAACGCATGTAAAAAGAAATATATACGATTCGAATGAAAATAAATATGAGCGTTTATATTAAGAATAATTGTTATTCTTAAATAAGTTTAAAAAATTGAACCAATTAGTACGTGATGTGTTAAAAAATAACTAAATTGAATAATATCTTATAGAAGAAGATATAAATTTAGAGAACTGAAAAATATTAAACATCAGGTTATTAGGATGAATTACAATATGATTTTAATCCTTTTAATAATTTACTAATCCAGTAATAATTTTAAAACCAGAAGGATAATGTTGAAGTTGAAATAGCATATATTTAAAAAGCACTTTTATGTAAATAATGTTTATTTTTTAATTTCTGTTTAAAATTTTATAAAGAAATATTGAAAATATATTTATTTGTTCCATTTCATAATTAATTAATTAGAAAAAAAACTAATTAGAAAGTATCTAATTTTTATCAAAATTAATTTTATATCACAAATGCGTTTGTCGTCGTGCAATTTACAATGTTGTCAGATACTGTTATCTATATGTTAAAACGTAAATCCTCGGACAGTTTTTATTTGATATGGAAGAAATTATATGTCCTTTATATATTGTCCAATTTCGAGCATATTTCACTTGAGTCGCTCCTTATACATTCTAGTAAAAAAAGTCTCATCTTTTGCAAAAGTGGTTTAGTACAAATTACAGAAATTTATTATATTTCAAAGTCAAAAGATTTAAAATGAGACAAACCAGACAAATTGGATTGTTTTTCTTCATCTGTACTTTTCTTTCAGGTGTGTAACACTTAAAAATTAATTTCTTATAATTTGTAATGCGAACATTTGCAAAAACAAGATTATACTTTTCGTAATCATATTTCAAAATTTATCATTCAAAGCTTTGGGAATTAGAAAATCTAAAACATTTTTTACATTTCTGTAACAGGTTTCATAAGTTAGGGAAATAAAACACAGATAGAAATATTTTGTTACAAATTAATACAAGTTAAATCAGTGAATAAATATGATCAAAAGTACTGTATATTAAAAAATAATAAAATCACTTTACAATCTCGTCTTTTATTTTGGGATATCCTGTAAATTATTTTGACGAAGGAAGATAAATGTATAAAAAAAATTCCTAAATATACTGTCCGGAAATTAATAGAAAAAGATAATTATTTTTTATCATTTAAAAAAAATCCTGCTTATCTTAATTAATGAATTAAATTGAATTTAAATAAATAAAGTAAAATTTTTTAAATTATATTTTTTTTCAGGTTCATTGCTATTGCGCACAGGCTCCTATTCTTATGCAAAAGACATTATTGTAAACGAAGGTGAATTATTGGAACTTAATTGTACAGGTAGAATTGGATCAAGTTTTACCTTTTTTCCTCATAATCTTTCAGATGTTAGTAACTGAAATATATAATAAACAAAAAAGTGCAAATTCTTTAGATTTAGATTAAAAACAATATATTATAATGTATTTTTATAGATATTTACTTCAAATGTAAATATTAAGACATTCCGTGATGATAATGGAAAATATGTTCAAACGTTAAGTCGATTGTCAGCAATTACTGGTGACACTGGAAGTTATCATTGTAAAAATGATACAAATTCTTACATTGAGACTTATGTTTACGTAAAATGTATTACTTTTACTTTTTATATGTAATTTATGGCTAAAACATTGCTTAAAATATTTTTTTTTTATTTCAAAAAATACAAACATGACAATTTCAGATTATTAACTTCCCGAAGAATAGTTTTCGAATAAACAATTGGTTTTAATGACTACATCTTAATAATTCTCTAAAACAGTTTACTAGTAAACTAAAAGCTCCATGTTTGTATTTATATGAAATAAAAATTGCGTATATTTTAATTAAATTTTTTAAATTAAAATTTTCATTTTTAGCCGATGTTCAATTATTAGTGCCTTATACAAAATCTTATATAATATATAATGATTTTGATTACAAAAATATCATCCCATGTCGTCCTACTTCGCCTAATTATAATGTCACGATTTCAACTGTTGATAATTCAGTTAGTAATTTTATATAAATAATATAATACAACCCTAGTCACTAAGCCATTCTTGGATGATTTAGTTGCGAAATAATTTTAGTTTAATATTTTTCTATTTCTTTTTAAGACAAATAACAGGATACAATCGTCATTCAATCCAAAAAATGGTTTTATGATTTTCAATCCTATAGCGATAGATAGCAATCAATACAAATGTTCAGCAACACGTGAAGATGGATTCACTCAAACAATTGATTTTTATGTAAATGTAACATGTAAGATTTTAACAGTATTATAAATTTAATATAATTTGTTTTTTTTTCCTGTAATTTCATCTTATATATTTTTTATTGGTGTAATGAATAAATTAACATTTTAAGGAGAATTTGTTTCTTATATAGATCCAGATTCAATTAGGTCTTTCAGAATGTCTTCTGTGATACCAAGATACGTGGTTGAGGGTGAAAGTGTAAACATTAATTGTACAGTAAGATGTCTAAATAATAAGCAAATTAGATTACAATGGTATGGGCCACCTAACAAAACTTTAATTCAAAATGTAAGATGAAATATGAATTACAATTTCTTTAAATCATTTTAACATCTTTAGATATTCTGCAAAATTACACAATTTGGCATATCTCTGTGACAGTTTCATAGATCTATTTTGAATGTTTCATATATTTTGATTGACAAAAACTGTAAAATTTTCTTTAGAACGAAAGAAGACAAGTGAAAATTTATGAACATTATGGAAAATTCGGTGACATGACGTGTGAAGCACAATTAAAAATTCTAAATTTTACCATTGATGATTGCGGTTGGTATGGTTGTCAAGCAAAATCTATTGGTTCACAAGACTATCAAGCAACAAAAATAGAATTACACGGTAATTATACACACAGTTCTAGAAAAAATATTTTGTTTCGAGCATTTATTCTCCATTGAAATTTTATGACAAATCTGATTTAAAATTCATGTTTAAAATAAAGGAAAAATATTCTTCGTAATAATTTTGCTGCTTCTTTATAGATCCTCGAAAAACTTTTATTAAATTATATTGTGCCGTTAAGAACAGATTTCAAATACAAAGCGAAGGTGGTTACATAATGTGGACAGTGAACATTAATGCGTATCCACAGCCAACATGTCGTTGGTAAGACATTATTCATTATGCGAATAAAATTTTTAAAAAATTTCTAAAAAATCTTTCTTAAGTCTACAAAAATTGTGTAATTTAATTTAAAAGACAGAAATTTTTAAGTTAAATTGGAGTTGAATTTATTATGTAGGATATACAATCCAGGAAACAGTAAAATGCAGACTTTATACGATGAATCTATTCGTCACTTAAGTCTAGAGCAGGATTCAGCATTGACATACACAAAGTTAACAATTAGTTATTTGATGGGATATCATTCTGGCAATTATACATTGGAAGTTTCAAATATACATGAAAATAAATCAATTACGTTTTCTATTTATGTTACCAGTAAGATTTTCTATTTTTTAATTATTTTAATTGCAGAAAAAATTTATTCTTCATTTTTGTTGTACTTTAAAATGATCAGTTTACGTTACTCATTTTGAGCTCAAATTTTTTCTGCCTTCACTAGTATTTCTGTTGTTGCTTATGTTAAATTTATTATTTATGTAATAAAAATTTTTTTAAAATTAACATAAGTAACATATTTCAGGTAAGCCTATATTTAATATTAAGGCATATGCGCATTATGCTTCAAATCAGTTAGTTGTGATAAGAAATGAAATATCTTCATATCCTGCGTGTAATGTGACCTGGAAATATCTTACTTGTTCTGATACTAATGATTGTTCTGACAATAACATTGTGGTAAGAGAAAATATTAATTCAAATCCATCTTCCCAAAAAAGATTTCTTTAGAAACGAATTTATGACAATTTTCATTGAATTTAAGTCAAAAACAGAGTTGATCCTACCCAAATATTCTGCTTTCAGAAATGGACATTAAGGGAAAAATCACCCATTATGTTTGAGACAATAGTAAAATTTCATGTGGAAATGTCCGGTAATATCACATGCATTGCATGCAATGCAGTCGGTTGTAGAACAATAAGTAAAGAAATATTTGTTTCCGGTGAGTATGAAATAGATAACAGCAATTTTAAAAGAGTAAAATTTAAATCCACAAAATTAAAACATGTTATTTGGAAATAAAAAATTGTATTGTTCCAAAAGCTAACCCATTATAGCCTGTAGCCTATAAGTTTGTAGATCCGTATTTAAAATTTTTAAATAAAATTATTTACAGATTACAATAGTGGCATGGGAATAATTTTTCCTGAACATCAATTAACTAATGAAAATGATTTGGAACTAATTTGCTTCGCATCTATTTACAATTACACTAATAATTTAACATGGCTAATTGATGGGCAAAATATCACTGAAAATGGTACGTTTTGTAATATCCTACACTAATAAACAATAAAAGTATTCTTTGATCCAAATAAAATTTTGCGTATTAAAAACATAGTTTGACAAAATAAAATAATTTTGTAACTATTTTAAAAATTATTTTTATCATTATTACAGACAGTGTGAAATTAACTACTGAAACAACTCAAATTTCACATCGTATAACATTGTCAATAAAAAAATTACTAATATCGCATGCGGCGGAATATACATGCGTCGCAATTGCTAACGATTTCAAAGAATATAAAGAATACTACGTTTTGAATTTAGCTGGTATTTATATGAACTTTTAATTTACTTTTTCGTATTTTTATTAATGCAAATGAGATTCCTAGTTAGTGGATTTTTGTTTAATAATCTTTAAGATCCTGAACCTGCTACAATCGTAGAAACAAACATGAACGGAACAGAAGTAGCTTTTGATTTAAATACTTTGAGGCAAAATATTGAATTAATATGTACTGCTACTGGAATACCTGAACCAACTGTCACTTGGTACAAGGTAATATTTTTTGTCATACATATTATTTCTGCAATACAATAAATAAATTCAATATTACTAGGATCAACATCTGCTGGAAAGCAACAATCAGTATTTTTTTACTGGAAACAAACAGAAACTTAAAATAAAATATCTCGATGAAAAAAGTAGTGGTAAATATGTGTGTCGGGCTAAAAACCGCCTTGCTATAGAAGAAAGGTTTCTTACCTTCATTTCTATAGGTAAGAAAATAAAAACTGCTTGAATTTTTGTTTTTACTGAAAAATTCTCAATGGCTTTAGTTTTGAAGACAAAATATTTGAATTCTTTGAAATTAATTAGGTGGTATAATATTTTATAAAATTAATTCACAAAAGGGCATTTTCAGAAGTCTTAAATGTTTTACTTTATTAAATTAAAAATGTATTTGTTAATTTAAGGGAATAAAGTGTCCGAAACTTGGATTCTTATTAGTAGATTTGTGTTAATCGTTTGCTGTATATTTATAACAACTTATTGTATTATAATTCGACAAAGGAGAGTAAGTTTTCATTGTTTTGTTTTATTTTAATATTAATTAAGTTTATGACACTGGAATCGTTTTAGATTAATATGATAAAAACGTACTATTTGATTTAGATAAAGAGACAGAAATTAATAGATGCTGGATTGACTTTTTTTAAAGAAGGAGCTCTGGAAAGCATAAATCCTGAATTAACACTCGAGGATCAAGCAGAGCATCTTCCCTATGATAAAAAATGGGAATTTCCACAAGAAAAACTAGCACTTGGTAAAAATGTAACATTTAAAAATAAATTTAGTTATGCTTTGAAATTACCACATACAACTTTACACATTCCACTTCTCACTAATCCACTTTAAATAAATCAGATTGTTACAATAAAGATAAACTATTACAACCAAAGTGTTTTTAACGATTTTCTAAATTTTCTATCATCTAATTATTTTAGGAACACAATTGGGTAGCGGAGCATTTGGTGTTGTTAGAAAAGCCAAAGCGGTGGGAATTATGAAAAATGAAAAGATTACGACTGTTGCTGTAAAAATGATTAAGCGCACATTGGATCCAATGTACATTAAAGCACTAGCTAGCGAACTGAAAATTATGGTTCATCTTGGAAAGCATATCAATATTGTTAACCTCCTCGGTGCTTGTACAAAAAATATTTCTAAACGTCAGTAATTTTCTATATTTCAATTAATTCTATAATTAAAGACAAGATATTAATGGGGAATTCTTGTCAAAAAGACACACCCTCTGCCCAGAATAGATTTAATTTAAAAAATGCTCTATATGGGCTTAAATTATAACAAATTAGATCTATTTTTTGATGCTGTATGGCACTTTTTAAATATTAAACATGAGGGACCACAAATGTTAAAGAAAACCTTCAATATTAGCGAAAAAAGTAAAATTTCTTTTATCACAAGGTTAAAAGTTTTTGTATATAAAAAATTACCGACATAGAAATCTACATTACCGACTGATGATAAAACAGGAAAAATGATAATATAAAAATTACTGACATAGAAATCTTCATTACCGACTGATGATATAAATGGGTAGTGAAAATATAAAGTCCATAAGGTAGAATTCTATGTCTGTAATTTTTATATAATTCTTTTTTTTGTTTTACTAGGGAGTGAAAATATAAAGTCGGTAATGTCGATTTCTATGTCGGTAATTTTTAATATTTAAAAAAAAGTTTTGACATTGTTTTAAAAAAATATTACTTTTTTCGATAATATTGAAGATTTTTTTTTAACATTTGTGGTCCCCCATATTTAATATTTAAAAATTGTCATACGGCATTAAAAAATAGACAAAATTTGCTGTAATTTAAGCCCATGTAGAGCTTTTTTCAACTAAATCTATTCTGGGCAGAAAGGATGTTTTTCTTTTGACAAAAAATATCCCTAATAATAAGGATTAAAACAAGATAAGATATAAATTTTTTAGATGAACTACTGATTATTTTGGAATATTGTCATTTTGGGAATCTACACAATTATCTTCTTCGTCAGAGAGAAGATTTTATTGATCAAATTGATCCCGCTACCGGAAAATTCAATGTTAACATTAAACAGAAATTTGCGTTCAAAACCGATAATTACGTCGAGGCAAACAGGTATACTACTAGATCTGCTGTTGAATTTGTAATTCAAGATTCACATGAAATAATGTTAGGAACAGGAGAATTCAATAAGAAAAATATTTATTCTCAATGCAGAACTAATCATGAGGATGATTACAAAGACGAGATATTCCAATCCATCTGCACGCAGGATTTAACATCTTGGGCTTTTCAAGTTGCACGTGGGATGGAGTATCTTTCTGGACGAAAAGTACATTTTTCTAGAATATGAACGTTAATTTTTTTAAGCAAATTTACACAACTATGTACTGAATTCTTAATGTTATTAGGTGTTACATGGAGATCTTGCGGCACGAAATATTTTATTGACAGAGAATAATATTGTAAAAATTAGTGATTTTGGATTATCCAAGTCAATGTACAAAGACAATAATTATAAAAAGAAAGACGATTTACTTTTGCCAATTAAATGGATGGCGATAGAATCAATTCGCGATAGAGTATTTTCCACTCAGTCGGATGTTTGGTCATTTGGCGTTGTTTTGTGGGAGTTTTTTACGTTGGCACAAACACCTTATTTTAGTATTGATGCAGAAACACAATATCAGAAACTGATTGAAGGATATAGGCTGGAAAAACCTGAATATGCTACAAAAGAAATGTAGGTTTGTTTTACCATATAGTTTTCAAACTCAATTGAAATTTAATAAATTCTTTTCTAGGTATGATATAATACAACAGTGCTGGACAACAAATCCAATTTTACGTCCGTCATTTTCGGAATTAGCTAATTCCATTGGTGACTTTTTAGAAAAAAGTGTGCAACAGGTAAAGATCTTCTGTATCCGCTACTAATCATTTTTATTTTTTCTCCTCTTTCTCGTTCCGCTTCATGTTTTATTTTAATAATTAAATTGTTTTTGGTTTGTGGTATCATTAGTACTACATAGATCTGAACAGACCATACGTAGACTTAAACACAAAGGTTCTACAGGGAAAAAATGACTATTTAAAGATGATGTCAGCTCCCGATCATACATTACTCTCATCAAGTCAAAATTACGTCAAAAATTCTACCATTGAATTAGTAGAAAAAGGAGATTTTGCACACCTCAGTTTGACCTCCTCTGATCAGGACGGTTCCAGTAATAGTTGTAACGATAGTCGCACTCAGTTCCGATCGCTTAGTCCAGTTAATGATAAATCATCTGCTGAATCAGTTACAGAAGAAATGGTTGAGTTCTCAATACTCCAACAGGATGACGATGATCAACACCTCAAACCAATGAATTTTCATGAACATCATCAAGATTCGTTAAGGACCAATAATCCAGACGAATGAGAGTAGTAGAAGAATCTGATCTACGAATATTAAAATTTACAAACGCATGTAAAAAGAAATATATACGATTCGAATGAAAATAAATATGAGCGTTTATATTAAGAATAATTGTTATTCTTAAATAAGTTTAAAAAATTGAACCAATTAGTACGTGATGTGTTAAAAAATAACTAAATTGAATAATATCTTATAGAAGAAGATATAAATTTAGAGAACTGAAAAATATTAAACATCAGGTTATTAGGATGAATTACAATATGATTTTAATCCTTTTAATAATTTACTAATCAAGTAATACTTTTATGACGAAGGATAATGTTGAGGTTGAAATAGAATATATTTGAAAAACACTTTTATATAAATAATGTTTATTTTTTAATTTCTGTTTAAAATTTTCTAAAGAAATATTGAACGTATAAATTTATTAGTTCCATTTCATAATTAATTAATTAGAAAAAACTAATTAGAAAGTATCTAATTTTTATCAAAATTAATTTTATATCACAAATGCGTTTGTCGTCGTGCAAGTTACAATGTTGTCAGATACTGTTATCGATACGTTAAAACGTAAATCCTCGGGCAGTTTTTATTCGATATGGAAGAAATTATATGTCCTTTATATATTGTCCAATTTCGAGCATATTCCACTTGAGTCGCTCCTTATACATTCTCGTCGAATAAGTCTCATCTTTTGCAAAGGTGGTTTAGTACAAATTACAGAAAGTTATTATATTTCAAAGTCAAAAGATTTAAAATGAGACAAACCAGACAAATTGGATTGTTTTTCTTCATCTGTACTTTTCTTTCAGGTGTGTAACACTTAAAAATTAATTTCTTCTAATTTGTAATGCGATTATTTGCAAAAATAAGATTTTACTTTTAAATATTTTAATTATTACTGTATTATTTAAACCTTTGGGAATTATAATATCCAAAACATTTTTTACACTTCTGTACAGGTTTCAAAATGTTAGGGAAATAAAATACTGATACAAATATTGTAATACAGTTTAGAATTAATTTACAATCCAATTCAAATTAATACAAGTAAAATCAGTTTAATTTATTAAAGAATATATTTGATCAAAGTACTGTAGATTGAAAAAAATTAAATCACTTTACAATATTTCGTATTTTATTTTTGGACATCCTGTAGATTATTTTAACGAAGGAAGATAAAAAAGTATAAAAAATTTCTAAATATACTGGCCGGAAGTTGAGAAAAAAGAGGCGGATTTTGTAAATATTTCTTATATATCAGTGAAAGATTATTTTCTAAAATAATTTTATTTTTTTATTTACAAAAAGATACTGCTTATCTTATAATTAATGAAGTAAATTGGATTTAAATAAATAAAGAAAAAAAATTTATTAAATTTCTTTTTTTTCAGGTTCTTTGACACAGAAACCAATAAAACATCCTTTTGCAAAGGAAATTATTGTAAACGAAGGTGAATTATTGGAACTTAATTGTACCGATGATATAGAGTCAAGTTTTTCCACTTTTCCTTATAATCTTACGAATGTTAGTAACTGAAGTAGAAATAAACAAAAAATACAAATTCTTCAGGTTAGATAAATAATAATTATGTACTTTTATAGATATATACTTCAAATGTAACTATAACGACATTCTATGATAAGAATGGAAAATATGTTCAAAGGTTGAGTCGTTTGTCAACTGTTACTGGTGACACTGGATGGTATGAATGTACAACAGGAATAAGTTATTACACTGAGTTTTTCTGGACTTATGTTTACGTAAAATGTATTAAAATTTTTTATTTTTTATATGTAATTTATGCTCCATGTTGGCTTACAATATTTTCTTTTTATTTCAATGATACAAACGTGACAATTTTAGATTATTATCATCCCTGAGGAAAGTTTTTGAATAAATTACAATTGGTTTGAATAAGTTCAAATAAATAAGGTCAATTACGTAACTTTTTTCGGATTCCACATTTCACATACCGGAACCAACATTCTGGATTCCACTTTTTACATTCTGAATTCCACATTCCGGATCCCACATTGCGGATTCCACTTTTAGAATGTAGAATCCGGCATTTTGAAAGTGGAATCCGAAATGTAAAAAGTGGAATCCGGAATATGGGATTCAGAATGTAGAATCTGGAATTTTAAAAGTGGAATCCGGAATGTGAAATCCGGAAAAAAATTACGTAATTGACCCCCAGTAACGCATACCTATAGAGTTGGTTTCCATGAAAATCCGCTGTACGATTGAAAAATCTGAATAATTCTAAACACTTTTCACAAGTATCTAAAGGCGCCATGTTTCTATCCATGAAATAAAAATTGTATTTTAAATTCAATTTTTTTAAATTAAAATTTTAATTTTTAGCCAATGTTGAATTACTAGTACCTGATACGAAATTAGATGGAATATATGCAAATTTTGGATACGATAAAGTCATTCCCTGTCGTCCTACTTCGCCTAATTATAAAGTTACAATTTCAACTCTTGATAATTCCGTTAGTAATTTTATATAAATTTGATGAAAATTACCATAAAAAATAGTCGGTGTTATATTTCTCAAACTATACATATATTTAAATAACGCATATTTTTAATAAACAATTTTTTTATTTTTTAAATTACAAAGCATTAGTTTTTATCATGATTTAGTTTGCGAGATAATTCTATTTAATATTTTTTATTACTTTTCAAGATAAATGACAAGATACAATCGTCATTCGACCCAAAAGAGGGTTTTTTGCTTAAAAAAGCTAAAGCGATAGATAGCAATCAATACAAATGTACAGCAACACGTGAAGATGGATTCACTCAAACGATTGATTTTTTTGTAAACGTCACATGTAAGATTTTAACGGTATCATGAGTTTGATATCATTTTTTTTCGTAATTCTACATTATATAGTTTGCACGGATGTACTGAATAAATTATTATTTTTATAATTAACATTATATATGTAGAATTTGTTTCTTATATAGATCCAGATTCAATTAGGTCTTTCAGAATGTCTTCTGTGACACCAAGATACGTGGTTGAGGGTGAAAGTGTAAACATTAATTGTACAGTAAGATGTCTAAATAGCGAGCAAGTTACATTACAGTGGTTTGGGCCACCTAACAAAACTTTAATTCAAAATGTAAGATGGAATATGAATTACAATTTTATTAAAATCATTTTAACATCTTCAGATATTCTGCAAAATTACACAATTTGGCGTATCGCTGTGATAGTTACAAATATCTATTTTGATTTTTTCAATATTTCATATATAAACATTTCGATTGACAAACTGTAAAATTTTCTTTAGAACACAAGAAGACAAGTAGAAATTTATGAACATTCCGAAAAATTTGGTGACATGACGTGTGAAGCGCAATTAAAAATTTTAAATTCTACCAATGAGGATAGCGGTTGGTATGGTTGTCAAGCAAAATCTATTGGTTCACAAGACTATCAGGAGACAGAAATAGAGATTCACGGTAATTACACAGTTCTATATTTTGTTTAGAGCGCATTCATTCTAGAATAAAATTTTATCTAATCACAAATTTGATTAAAAATTTTTGTTCAAAATAAACGAAAAGTATTGTTTGTAATAATTTTTCTGCTTCTTTGTAGATCCTCGAAAAACTTTTATTGAATTATATTGTACCGATAAGAACAGATTTCAAACACTAAACGAAGGTAATTACATATCTTGGACAGTGGACATTAATGCGTATCCACAGCCAAAAATTCGTTGGTAAGATTTATTGTATTCATTATGCGAATAAAAACTTAAAATTTTTTTACGAAAATCTTTCTTAAGTCTACAAAAATTTTGTAATTTAATATAAAAGATTGCAAAATTTTTAAGTTAAATTAGAATTTAAAGAATTTTACTGTTTAGGATGTACAATTCAGGAAACAGTAAAAAGCAGCCTTTAAACGAAATGTTTAATTTGTCTGATGGTTCTATATTTCTAAAGCAGGATTCAGAATTAACATACACACAGTTGAACATTTTTAGTTTGATGGTATATCATTCTGGCAATTATACATTGGAAGTTTCAAATCAACATGGAAATAAATCCATTAGGTTTATTATTTACGTTAAAGGTAAGATTTTTTTCTATTATTTTAATCGCAGAAAAAATTTGAACTAATTTTTTTTCGCAGTTCAAAATTAGTTAAATGAACGTGGCGCCATACTCATGGTTGCACTTTAAAATGAGTGGTTTACGCTACTTATTATTAAGCTCAAATTTTTTTTGTCTTCATTAGTATTTCTATTGTTAAATTTATTATTATTTATGTAATAAAAATTAACTAAAAAACATATTTCAGGTAAGCCGAGATATAATATTAAGGCACATGTGCATTATGCTCCAAATCAATTAGCTTTGATAAGAAATGAAGTCTATTCATATCCTGCGTGTAATGTGACCTGGAAATATATTACTTGTTCTGATGATTATGGTTGTTTTGCCGGAGACACTGTGGTAAGAGAAAATATTAATTTAATTCTTATTATTCCATTTAGAAACGAATTTTTGACAATTTTGATGAAATTGAAAGCAGAGTTGCCAATGACCCTACCTAAACCTAAATATGATAATATTATTATTCCCTGCCAATGATTGTCAGCTACCAAAAGTCTTGTAAATTCTTGATAGACCTTGTCGTGGTAATGGGGCTTTTCACTAAAGGAATCCTTAAACCAAAATGTCGAAATCCAGTGACAACAGTATCGCAGTATTGGACACATTGGGAACTGCAGCAATCAATGCCACAAGGAGAATGGACCATGGAGGCACCCAGCTTCTTAAGATTCCCCAGGTCTGTTTGGAAAGACTTGGAACCAGAAGAGGAAACGCTTCAAACGTTTCTAGTGCCAGCAGTGGAAGAAATTTGATTCTCTCTGACCTAGACAACGAGACAATTGAAGAAGAACGCGAAAACTGTTTAAAATTTAGCCAGAAGAAAGATGATTGTCTTTAGACGATCGAAGATGAGATCGCCAAGATAGTAAAGTCTTGGGAAGTCCAGAAGAATGTCAATATGACTATTAAGAACAGACTTAAGACTCTTTAGGATCTGTTCAGTGAGGTGAAGACAAAACACGCGTTAACAGTTAATTGAGATAGCAATCTTGGTGGCGCTAAAGGCAATGCAACAGGAACAACGTATGCCAATGTATATAGCAAACTTCGGAGGTAAGTGAATCCAAACGTCAGCCACAAGCAGATTGTGGCGCAAGGTCTACTAAAAAGGGAAATCTCCTAATCAAAATCGGAGAAGACTCCAAAACATTGGCATTCACCGCTGAGGTCACCAAATCGGTTGGAAGCATGGGGAAGGTACACATGGATAGACAGGTCACAATGGAGATCAGCGACATAGATTGCCTCACACAGGAATTAGAGGTCCAACAGGTGTTGGAGGAAGTGCTCCAGAAGCCGGAAAAGTGACGGTCCTAGGACCCAGCCAATGAGGAATGAAGCTCGCGGTTGTAGTCACCGACCCAAAGAAGGCGGACAGGTTGGAGAAAGAAAGATGCATAAGGATTGACTTTATGTGTTGCTTAATAATAGAAGGGTGATGGTCGTGCGATGCCACCGGTGCCTGGCGTACGGCTACATTGGAAGAGTTTTTAAGGCAACCGACAGATGTACTGCGTGCTTCAAGTGCGTTGAAGTCGATCATAAGTTTGCAAAATGCAATTGAATCCCAAACTGCATCTGATGTAGAGAAAAGTGTGGCAATAAGGCGAACATTAGTCATATCGCAGGCAGCGAAGGATGCTAAATCTTCAGGACGGCCCTTGAGGAGTCCAAAAAGACTCTCGTACGAGCAAAGAATAAATAGGCCAGAAAGATCGCCAAGGGTCGCAATAACGAGAATTAAGTGGACCTTCACCTATGAAGTTTAAAGCTTGACGGCACTTCCGTAGTGTAATATTAAGCATTATTATTATTATTTTTAAGCATTTTATGTAAGAGCGCAATTTTCGACTTTCAAGAGAGTTGTTATTTTCTTGTTTATGATTGATGACTTCTCATCTATCGTTTCTTAATAATTATGTCCTGCTTTCAGAAATGGACGTTAACAGAAAAATCACCTATTATGTTTGAGACAATAGTAGAATTTCAAGTGAAAATGTCCGGTAATATCACGTGCATTGCATGCAATACAGTCGGTTGCAGAACAATAAGTAAAAAAATATTTGTTTCCGGTAAGTATTAAATAGATAAGAGCAATTTTAGAAGAGTAAAATTTAAATCCATAAAATTAAAAATGATATTTTGTTTAGAATAAAAATTGGTGTTTTTCTAAAGCTAACCTGCTATTCTGTACCCTAAAAGATCCGTATATAAAATATTAGATAAACTTGTTTACAGATTACAATAGTGGCATGGGAATAATTTTTCCTGAACATCAATTAACTAATAAAGATGATTTGGAACTAATTTGCTTTGCATCCTCTTACAACTACACTAATAATTTAAAATGGCTAATTGATGGGAAAAATATCACTGAAAATGGTACGTTTTGTCATATCCTACACTTATAAACAATAAAAGTATTCTTTGATGCAAATATAATTTTTCGTATTATTAAAAACATAGTTTTACAAAATAAAATAATTTTGAAATTATTTTAAAAGTTATTTTTATCATTATTACAGACAGTGTGAAATTAACTACTGAAACAACTCAATTTTCACATCGTATAACATTGTCAATAAAAAAATTACTAATATCGCATGCGGCGGAATATACATGCGTCGCAATTGCTAACGATTTCAAAGAATATAAAGAATACTACGTTTTGAATTTAGCTGGTATTTATATGAACTTTTAATTTACTTTTTCGTATTTTTATTAATGCAAATGAGATTTCTAGTTAGTGGATTTTTGTTTAATAATCTTTAAGATTCTGAACCTGCTACAATCGTAGAAACAAACATGAACGGAACAGAAGTAGCTTTTGATTTAAATACTTTGAGGCAAAATATTGAATTAATATGTACTGCTACTGGAATACCTGAACCAACTGTCACTTGGTACAAGGTAATATTTTTTGTCATACATATTATTTCTGCAATACAATAAATAAATTCAATATTACTAGGATCAACATCTGCTGGAAAGCAACAATCAGTATTTTTTTACTGGAAACAAACAGAAACTTAAAATAAAATATCTCGATGAAAAAAGTAGTGGTAGATATGTGTGTCGGGCTAAAAACCGCCTTGCTATAGAAGAAAGATTTCTTACCTTCATTTCTATAGGTAAGAAAATAAAAACTGCTTGAATTTTTGTTTTGACTCAAAAATTCTGAATGGCTTTAGTTTTGAAGACAAAATATTTGAATTCTTTGAAATTAATTAGGTGGTATAATATTTTATAAAATTAATTCGCACATACAAAAGGGTATTTTCAGAAGACTAAAATTTTTTATTTTATTAAATTAAAAATGTATTTGTTAATTTAAGGGAATAAAGTGTCCGAAACTTGGATTCTTATTATCAGATTTGTGTTAATTGTTTGCTGTATATTTACAACAACTTATTGCATTATAATTCGACGAAGGAGAGTAAGTTTTTATTATTTTGTTTTATTTCAATATTAATGGAGTTTGTAACACTGGAATCGTTTTAGATTGATATGATAAAAACGTATTATTGGATTTAGGTAAAGAGACAGAAATTAATAGATGCTGGATTGACTTTTTTTGAAGAAGGAGCTCTGGAAAGCATAAATCCTGAATTAACACTCGAAGATCAAGCAGAGCATCTTCCCTATGATAAAAAATGGGAATTTCCACAAGAAAAACTAGCACTTGGTAAAAATAAATAATTTAAAAATGAATTCAGTTATGTTTTAAAATTACTTCATACATACTTTACACTTCCTAGAAATCCAATTTTGACTTTCTATAAATCAATTTCAATATGTAACATTCCAAATTTAAATCTATTACAAACAAGATGTTTGTTTGACGATTTTCTATCATCTATTATTTTAGGAACACAATTGGGTAGCGGAGCATTCGGTGTTGTTAGAAAAGCCAGAGCGGTGGGAATTATGAAAAATGAAAAGATTACGACTGTTGCTGTAAAAATGATTAAGCGCACATTGGATCCAATGTACATTAAAGCACTAGCTAGCGAACTGAAAATTATGGTTCATCTTGGAAAGCATATTAATATTGTTAACCTCCTCGGAGCTTGTACAAAAAATATTTCCAAAAGTCAGTAATTTTGAATTATGTATTCAATTAATTCTATTATTAAAGACAAAATATTAGTAGGATATTACCGACATAGAAATCTACATTACCGACTGATGGTAAAACAAAAATGATGATATAAAAAATTACCGATATAGAAATTTACACTACCGACTGATGGTAAACAATGAAATGATGTTATAAAAATTACCGACGTAGAAATCTACATTACCGACTGATGGTATAACAAGAAAAATGCAAATATAAAATCTGTAAGGTAGAGTTTTATGTCGGTAATTGATATCTAATCGGTTTTCCTGTTTCACTATCATCATTTTCTTGTTTCACCATTAGCCGGTAATGTAGATTTCTACGTCGGTAATTTTTTATATCATCAAAAAAAGTTTTAACCATGTTTTTTAAAAAATATTACTTTTTTCGATAAAATTGAAAGTGTCTTTTAACATTTGTGGTTCCATGTTTAATATTTAAAATATGCCATACGGCATCAAAAAATAGATAACAGTCGCTGTAATTTAAGCCTATATAGAGCTTTTTTAAATTAAATCTTTTCTGGCCAGAGTGGGTGTTTTTTGACAAAGAATGCCCCTAATATATATCTTAAAGAAGAATTTAAACAGGGTAAGATATAAACTTTTTAGGTGAACTATTAATTATTCTGGAATATTGTCACTTTGGGAATCTACAAAACTATCTTCTTCGACATAGAGAAGATTTTATTGATCAAATTGATCCTGCTACCGGAAAATTAAACATTGGACGGAACTTTGCTTCTGAAACCAATAATTACGTCGAGGCAAACAGGTATTATTATTTCCTAATATAAATACTTTGAAACGTACTGTACAAATATTAGATAGTCGTAACTTGGATACTATCAGATCTGCTGTTGAATCCGTAACTCAAAATTCACATGAAATAACGTTAGGTACAGGAGAATTCAATAAAAGAAAATTTTTTTGTCAATGCAGAACCAATTATCAGAGTGATTACAAAGATGAAATAGTACAATCCATCTGCACACAGGATTTAACATCTTGGGCTTTTCAAGTTGCACGTGGGATGGAGTATCTTTCTGGACGAAAAGTACATTTTTCTAGAATATGAACGTTAATTTTTTTAAGCAAATTTACACAACTATGTACTGAATTCTTAATGTTATTAGGTGTTACATGGAGATCTTGCGGCACGAAATATTTTATTGACAGAGAATAATATTGTAAAAATTAGTGATTTTGGATTATCCAAGTCAATGTACAAAGACAATAATTATAAAAAGAAAGACGATTTACTTTTGCCAATTAAATGGATGGCGATAGAATCAATTCGCGATAGAGTATTTTCCACTCAGTCGGATGTTTGGTCATTTGGCGTTGTTTTGTGGGAGTTTTTTACGTTGGCACAAACACCTTATTTTAGTATTGATGCAGAAACACAATGTCAGAAACTGATTGAAGGATATAGGTTGGAAAAACCTGAATATTCTACAAAAGAAATGTAGGTTTGTTTTACCATATAGTTTTCAAACTCAATTGAAATTTAATAAATTCTTTTCTAGGTATGATATAATACAACAGTGCTGGACAACAAATCCAATTTTACGTCCGTCATTTTCGGAATTAGCTAATTCCATTGGTGACTTTTTAGAAAAAAGTGTGCAACAGGTAAAGATCTTCTGTATCCGCTACTAATCATTTTTATTTTTTCTCCTCTTTCTCGTTCCGCTTCATGTTTTTTTTAATAATTAAATTGTTTTTGGTTTTTGATATCATTAGTACTACATAGATCTAAACAGACCATACGTAGAGATGAACACAAAGGTGCTAGAGGGAAAAAATGACTATTTACAGATGATGTCAGCTCCCGATCATTCATTACTCTCATCCAGTCAAAATTACGTCAAAAATTCCACCATCGAATTAGCAGGTAAAGGAGATTTTGCCCACCTCAGTTTGATCTCTACTGGTCTGAACGATTTCAGTAATAGTTGCAACGACAGTCGCATACAATTCCGATCACTTAGTTTAATTAATAATAAATCACATGCTAAATCAGTTACAGAAGAAGTTATCCAGTCCTTATCCATACTGGAGGATGATGACGATGATCAACACCTTAAACTAATTAATATTCATGAACATCATTAAGATTCGTTAAGGACCAACAATCCAGACGAAGGAAAATAGCAGAAGAAACTTATTTGCACATATATATGCTTATCTGAAATTACGCTGAAATAACCAAAGGGAGATTCCAACCAAGCTGCAGACCATCGGTGCATAGACGATCCCTAAACAAAATTAACCAATAAACAACTCACCAACGTTGAAATGACGACACTAAGGCGACGTTGAATGACGCTGATAAATCCAAATAACAATCACAATAACTCACATTTATTTAACAAAGAATAAAGATTTATTTAACCAAACTAAATAATAATTACTTAGAAGAATAATTAAGCGTGTAACGCGAAAGGGTCTTCCTTTCGATACGATTCAAAATCGACTGTCTATTGACGCTGACTTTCCCTAGATCTCCTAATTTTTTAAGAGAGACGTTTTTTCTTGTCACCCATATCGCTCCATCCTTCTCTCTGGACGATTTTGGCGGCAGCACCCAGGAAAACATAGATAACGACGCTGACAATCGTGCCTTTAGACGGTAAAAACATGCGCAATTCATCACACAGAAAAATTGCCAAAACACACGTTCATGGGTGTTTTCGACGTCGACACTCTGAGTGTTCTGAAAGTGTTAAGTGGTTCTCAACCAATATTAAAAATTATGATTAGCCATAACTTATTATGATTGGCTAAAGCATGCTAAAAGTGACATGTTTGTGATACGAGCTGCAGTTTTAGGTGATGTGCACAAAAAAGGGTGTGTTATTTGCATGCTTTATTTGAAATTGGATGTGTTCGGGCTGTGCTCGTGCTCTGGTTTCTCAATCTTGTTTAATAAACCGAGCGTGTTTTCTGAGTGCGAAAGTAAATAACGTAAAATTTTCAAAAATGGCAAATTTAAACCCTGAAGTCAATTACGTTAACGCCATAGGAATTGTACAAAATCTTGTTAAAATATAAATAAAATAAAATAAATAAAATAAATAAAATAAATAAAATAAATAAAATAAATAAAATAAATAAAATAAATAAAATAAATAAAATAAATAAAATAAGTAAAATAAATAAAATAAATAAAATAAATAAAATAAATAAAATAAATAAAATAAATAAAATAAATAAAATAAATAAAATAAATAAAATAAATAAAATAAATAAAATAAATAAATAAAATAAATAAATAAAAAATATAAATATTACATTAAAATTAATACTTACTCGTATCAACGTTCGTTACGTCGCATGAAATGCGACCATTATTTTTGAATAATGTTTTATTGTTCTTTAAAACTAAATCATTTAAAATTATTCTTTCCTCCATGATGCAACAGCGTGGTCTTCACCGGTCTTGAAAGCGTAATGAGAAGATTGCATTGGATTAGGTTAGGTTAAATTAGGTTAAATACACTAAAATAATAAAATGTGGTTGAGAACCTTTTCGAGCTCTCAGAGCGCTCAGAGTGTCAACGTCGAAAACACCCCGTGTCACGCTGACACGAAAAACTAAACAGCTGACTTATCGAGAAGGACAAAAACGCTGACCGACACCAACCAATATAAGTAACAATTTACATCGTTACAATTTTAATAATTAATTTTATTAAGTTAGACAATAAGGTTAATTTATCGTGGAGTCAAGGATTAGTCAAAGAAAACGTTATCTACACTTTGAGGTTATTTTTGATTTATTATGATTTCTTTTAATTGAAGAGAATAATTTATTTTTAGCGACAGGATATTTTACGGGAAAATAGCCAAAAATTAATTTAATTACTTTCCAATAATTAACAGATTAGTTCAGAAAAATGTTTGGAAAAACTTTCTAACAAACCGTGGAGAGGGGGGATAAGGAGAAACACCATTAATTAGGCAGAATTGAACAATAACACTATTTATTATTATTCACCTGAATTTTGAAAAAGTTAAATTTATGAAAGTGTTAGAAGGCCCATTAACAAGATTTATATTTTATTTTAATCTATGATTTTTAAATAATAATGAGATCGACTAGGAAGGAAAACGACTCATATAATTAATTTAGGGACTCACAGTCCAATTGACGACGACGAAGACGCCTCGTCGCACTATTAGTTACAATTACGTTACATTTTAATTTTGGTTTTACAAAAAAAGAATAGAGAAAAACACGAACTATTCTGTACTGACACCAGGATGAGAATGAGGGTAAAATGGCTGACGAGTCAAACTCGAAAGCATTGTTAAACAGCGCCCTCTCTTCTCGCTGACATTCAGGTTAATTAATAGCGAATTTTATCCACGATCAATAACCGATAAGCGACCGTCGGTAACGTAGATTCTACACTCAATGCCTCATGAGAGTTTTCATAACAGAACGAAAGGACAAATCATAATCGAATTTAATTATTATTAGTCGACTATTAATCTGACGACTTTGGCAAGTTGGTTTCTTAATAGGAGAATTTAATATTTAAACAAAATGAAGTGAGTATCAAAAGAAAACAATTTTTATAATTTATAATATTTTACAGCCATTATGGCTGGATTCCCACCCTGGTGTTGTTTATTTACAAAAAAATTTATTTAACTTTATTATTTTTAGGTTTATTTTATTTTATTTTTTTTAGGTTATAGCGTTTATATGAAAAATAATTTTTATTATTACATATGTGTTTCAGAGGCAAAAGTTAAACCTATTAGTATACGTGATGTGTTAAAAATTTCACTTGATCCACGTGCTGAAGGATTTTAGTGAAATATTTATTTTATGAAATTTCGTTAATTCTTATTGAATATGGAACGTCACATTTATTGGTGTCGTTATATGCCTGACGACCATTTCTTCCAATGGCTTCTTCCACTAAACCTTGTCTATATTTTGTCCACCTGGGAAAATAAAAATTTACGTTTTTTATAATTAATTATTCAGAAGATTTATGATTAATTTTTTAAATGCTTGCAAGTATTAAAATTTTATCTTAATTTTAAGGTTATGTTCATTTCTTTGTTAGGGGAATTTAAAGTTAAGTTTGTTAGACATAACCTCAAAGCCAACTTTCCCTTGACCTATGCGGCCTTGAATTTTGAGGTTATGATTGGTCTATGACATTAAATCCTGGATACCAATTTTCACTCACTTTCTATGTACAACAAATGTTTGAAGTAATTCATCACTATTAGGATATTTTGAATTCAAAAATAATTTTACTCTCTCCCAAATATTTGCTCGATTTTGCTTCAAGAGCCAATAACGTGGAATTAATAAACATCTTACATCTGTTAATGACACTATTCGTCTATTCCGCATTTCTTCACCTAAATAAGATTTTTAAAAAAAATTAATTCCAAATAGAATTACATTAAAAATTTTTATGACAAAAATATGATAAAGAATTATTAACAAATAAGACATAATTTCAAAATTTATTACCTAAAGCAAAACAAGATCCTCGATAAAATATACAAATTTGCATAAATCTTGTCCGTACATTTTTTGGATATTGTTGTTGCGATATTGTCGAAGGTTTCATCATTAGCGTATTTGCAGTTTCCGTAATATCGTGCCACTGATTTATCTAAAAAAAGGATTAAAAAAATCCAATGAAACTTCTAGTTACCATCAAGTGGTAATTTAGATTACGACTTTATCGACTGATGGTAAAATGCCGTTAATGAAATCTACTTTACCGACTGATGATAACTTACCGACATTTGTCTTATTTCTACAATTCTGTTGGTATTATTCACTAATAATGTTTTTTTTATACTTACAACGTCTAAAATTCTTACAGTAGCCATACTTAATCGATCTTTACTTGGAAATCGTTTTCTTTTCAAATATTCTGTTAAATCAGTGATTGACGTAGGTTTTTCTGATTGCAAACTTTTCTCTAACTACAATAAATAAAAATATATTAAAAAAAAAATTTTTTTTTTAATTTTTTAAAATAAAATGAAAACTATATTCTTATATTCATAAAAAAATTTACATACACTCCATTTATCTTGATCAAATTTTTCACTATATTTTGTTAATTTTTGATTTTTCCGCATCTCCATATCTTTTTTCTTAAGTCTTGATTCTTTCGTTTCTAAATTATTATATAAATTATATTGAATTTCTCGATTAAATTTTTTCTCTTCCACTATCATATGTTCAATTAATTTACATTCACCGACAAGAACAAAATAAACATAATTTACCATTCCTTTTCCATCGCCAATAATAATCTATATATTATAAATAAAAGTTAATTATTTCTAGTCGTTTTTTTTCTTTTTTTCTTATAATTTTCTTAAAATACCTCATTGGGTTTATAATTTTTCACTTTACTAAGTATACAACATTCGCGCATTGTATTTTCATCCCAACCTTTGAAATAATTAAAATTAATCAAAGCGTCTTGTAGTATGTCCCATTCTTCCATAAGTGAATGTTTTAAAATTTGATTAAAATATTCTCGTGAAATGTACAATAAGTCGACGGGAGCTTTATAAAAAAAAGAAAGAATTAATTAAAATAAAAATTTAATTAAAAAACAATTTTTCTAAAAAAAAAAATTTTTTTTGGTCTAGTCACAAAATTTTATTTTTAAAATGTTTTTAAAATTAATGCATTTTTTATTATTGTTAAAAAATTTTAATAATTGATAATTGCCCTTACTTTTACTAGTAATTGTCAATGTTCTTGGAACTCTGTGTAAAAGAGAAATTTCGCCAAATGTTTCTCCTGCTTTTAATGTACCAACATTAGTTTCTATTTTGTCACCTGTTAACAAAATTAAAAAAAATATATAACAAAAATCAATCAATAAATTTTTTTAAAAATTTTGTTACAATTTTCTACTGTTTTTTTTACATCTAGAAAAAAGATTTCTTTAATTCAAGAAAAAATAAATTTGTTGGACAAATTTTTTTGTGATACAAAGAAAATTTATTTGTTTCAAACAAATTATTTTTGATTTAAGAAATTTTTTTGGGTTTTCCATTGAAAAATTAGATTTTTAATTTTTAGAAAAATAAATTTTTATAACATACCGCTCACATTGTTAATTTCTATTTTTGACAAAATAATTTGTCCACTAACAATAAAATAAAGTGCCTCGGCTGTGTGCCCCTGACGTACGATAACCCGCTGTGCTGGTACGTATTGATATCGACAGTCAGGTGCCAAACTCTCTCTGAGACTGTCGTCATATTTTTTGAATGCTTGTAAATTTCTTATCAATTGCCAAATATAAGCTCGATTATCTCTCGTTCTTTGATGTGGATCAATTAAAAGAATCGAGCGATCCTTTATAGAAATAAAAAATAATATATTAATGATAAAACAGTACCTACCAACTGTTGGTAAAGAAAAATTTTAAAATCAATATCATCTTAAAATTACTTAATTATATTAACAATTATTAATTAAATTATTATTTTTTTTGTAAAAAAATAATAAATTAAAAAAAATTTAAATAAAAATAAAATAATACCAATTGGTGATAAAAAGGGAAATTTAAGTTTGAAATAATCCACTGTCGGTATAGAAGATATCTGTACTTTTAAAATTTAAATCACACGATACTTTTGGCAAAAAATGAAATTAAAAGCAGTAAAATTAATAAACAAAGAAAATAAAATAATAAACAGTTAATTAATAAATGTAAAAAAAATCATAAGCTACAAAAATTTTTTACTTTTAATAAAAATAAATAAACAAATTAAAATTACAAATAAGGGTTAAAAATTTATCAACTATTGGTAAAGTAGATAATTATGTTATCAAAATTAGTAAAGCATTTACGCATTCAATATTTAAAAATAAAATTTAAAAATTAATAGTAAAAATAAAATAGAGGAAAATAAAATTAGGCCCTAAATAAAAAATGGAAGCATTTTTAGAAAATTCTTTGCAATAATTAAAAACAAAAATTTTCATACAAAAATTAAATGCAAATTTTTTTTTAACCTTTAACGTAAGTTCCTTTTTTTCTTCATTTCTCTTTTTTCTTTTCGTTCCCGTTTCTGGTTCTTCTGATATTAATTTTTCACCTATCCAATTTTTATATTCCATCACAAGTCGCACGACAGCTCGAAATAAATATTTTCCCCTTAATTTTTCAAACTTTAAATAAAAAATTTTAATAAAAACATTTTCACAAAATTGTTAAATTTAATTATATAAAAAAAATAATTAAATATAAAATTAATAACATTTGTTAAATTAATTTAAAAAAATTAATTAAATTATTTAAATTTTTGAAATTTTTCGAAAATTTCTAACCAATGTCTTTGTTTTTTTATCTGGTTCTCCCAATGCCAGCCATAATGATCCTCTTCGTTCGTCGTGATCCATTTATAATTTTTTTTTAAACTTAACAATTTTAAAGAAAAGAAAATATTTTAAATAACAATTTTTTTTAAAACAAATTTTGATTAATTTTATCCCAGAAAAATCTTTGCCACTGCGATTAATTTTTCACATGTTGACTTTGCAATTGTTTTGTCAATAATTGTGTTTCACGATGCGCACAATTCGATGAGCAAAGAGGAGCCATTTTTTTAAATATCCAAAAAATATATTTTACTAGAGAATTATTTTCTTTTTATTCTAAGTTAATTTTTTTAATCTTTTGCAAATTGTCTGAAAAATTAAAAATTTTTTTATAAAAATTGAAATTTTGAAAAAAAAATTTTTAAACAAAAATAATTATTATTAAATTAATTAATCAGTAATCAATATTAATATAATGAGGAGACTGAAGAGAAGAATATTGTTTATCCCCTTTTCTTCATGGGATTATCTCACATTCAGTATCAAACTCAGAGTTGTTCCATCAGCAACTTTGAATAATAATTAAAAACTGACACTTTAAATCAAGAAAAAAAAAAAAAAATTTTTTTTCTCATAACCAAGAAAAATGAGAAATACAAAAATTATTTTCATCATTTCTTTTTTTATTTTGGGTACGTAAAAATTTTCTACTTTTTAATAGACATAAATTTTTTTTTATAGAAAAACATTTTCTACATCTTAATAACAAAATAAAAAAGAAATTATTTAAAATTTTTTTTTACTTTTCATACAAAATATATTTAAATTTCCCTAATTGAGAATAGTTACAAAAATTTACATATATATATAGTATATGCATGTAATTTTTTTTTCGAGAAATTAATTTAACTCTAATTTCTTACAAATAGAGCGCCTGTCATTCATCTTGACCCTGTTAACCTTAATCGTTGGTCTCTGCTTTAGTTCACTAACTTTATCTTTTATTACATTCGTTGAATGTGATAATTAATTCTCGGTATTTAAATGTGTATATATTTATCGTAAAAAGTAAGCAGTAAAAATCTAAACAATTTATGAATGAATTAGAAATTTCCAGCAAGAGACAAAGCAGATAATATTATATATATATATATATACAATAATTAATATTAGCTTTAATATGGAATATAAATTTAACATTAAATTCATAAACAGCGTCTTAAAAAACGTCCAAGTAACAAGATTCAATTTAATTTTGATAAAATTTTTAAAAATTCTTCCGACATATTGGATCCGCCATTTTGAATTTTCAAAAATTGACATCAGATTTGTAATCAGCGACCCCGAAAACTCCTAGTAACAAATTTTTAAAGCAAATTCGTTAAAATTTCAAAAATTCTTCCTTCATATTAAATCCGCCATTTTGAATTTTCAAAAATTGACATCAGATTCGTAATCAGCGACCCCGAAAACCTCCGAGTAACAAGTTTCAAGCAATTTTAAACAATTTTTACAAAACTCGTCCGCCATATTGGATCCGCCATTTTAAATATTACAAAACTGACATCGGATTTGTAATTAGAGATTTTGAAAACTCCCGAATAACAAGTTTTGAAGCAAATTTGATCAATTTATAAAAATTCTTCAGACATTTTGGATCCGCCATTTTGAATTTTTTAAAATTCACATCGGATTCGTAATCAGCGACTCCGAAAACCCCTGAGTAACAAATTTCAAGCAATTTTAAATAATTTTTTTTACAAAACTCGTCCGCCATATTGGATCCGCCATTTTGAATTTTAAAAAACTGACATCATTTTCGTAATCAGCGACCTCAAAAACCCCTGAGTAAGTATTTTCGAGTGAATTCGAATATTTAAAAAAAAATTTTTCGTTATATTGGATAAGCCATTTTGAATTTCTAAAAATCGACATCATATTTGTAATCAGCAATCTCAAAAACTTAATTGTAATTAATGTCAAGTGAATCAGAGAAATTTTAGAAAAAAAAAATCTGCCATATTGGATTCGCCATTTTGAATTTTAAAAAGAATCGTAAAAGAATATGAAAAACTGAAAGTTTTTAGGTTATGTAAATTGAAAAATTATTGTATTGAGATATAAAAAATAATATTCTTATAACAATATAAAATTCGTACACTAAAAAAATAATAAATTTTTTAATAAAGACAGCAAATTAATCAAAAAAGTACACATCATAATAATTATAATATAAAATTGATTAAAAAAAAAATAAATTCATTTTAGCCAATTTAGGAAATTGAAATTTAATAAAATTAATGAAAATTCTTTTAGATACTAAAGTTAAATCAACATTTTTTCCAAATATAAATTCCATATTTCAAAGAATATATAATTTGGTTAGAAAATTTGTTACAAGCGGCAAAATTAGGTTAAGTGAAAATTTTGATAATCAAATTTGGTTAAATTCAAATTTATTTTCATTAAATAAAAATGTTGTAAGAAAAAAAAATTTCATTTCAAATAATAATTTATTGAAAATTAGTAAAAAGAGTCAAAATAAAAAATCGTTAAAATGAAGAATTTTCGTCAAAATTGAATTTGATTATGAAAATTCATATCAAATCCAAATTTTATTATAAATAAAAAAATCTTTAAAAAAGAAATTTAGTGAAATTTTATTGAATTTTCAATTATATTAAAATTTTATTAAATTAAAAAATTTTGTTAAATCTTTTTTTTGGTAAATGTAAATTTGTTTAAATACAATTTTTTTCAATATTAAAATTGGTAAAATAAAAAAATTTGCATCTATAAAAATGCTGGCTTTGGTGAAATTTGTTGAAATAAAATTTGATTTGTTCAAAAAAAAAATTTTTTCAATTATTAATTCTTTAACGTCCGAGTAATTTTTTTTTACTTTCAAATTTTAATTTAACTATTAAATTTTTACAGGTGCATTATGTAGAGATATATCAACGAAACAGGATTATTATAAAATATTAACAATCAATGAGAATGATGCCCTCGAAATTTCATGCAACACCAAGGATCCAATTAAATTTTTATATCCAAGTGGCAGTGAAACAAGTCATCCAGAGGTATTTATAATTAAATTTTTTTAAAAATTTTCAATTTTGAAAATTTAAATTTATTTATTTTAAAAATTCAAATCTCAAATTTAAAAAATTATTTTTTTTAAAATCATAATTTACTGACTGTTAATTGTTATTTCAAATTATTTAAAACGCCAAAAAAAATATTATTTATAATATTTACCATGTTTGGCTTTTAAATTCTTAAAAATTTTACACACGAATTACAGTTGAATTTTTTTTTAAATAGTATACAATATATATTATATATTATAATAGTATTTAACTCTTAACATTTGCCGAAACAGAGACGTAACAACGTTTTTTGGTGCTTGAGACAAATAAATTTTTTTTTAATATACCGTCAAATTTTGGCACCTCCTTAGAGATGGCGCCTGGAGCAAGCGCCTCAGCACCGTCACCAAAATGTCAATTTTTTTTAAATTCATTTTTAGCTATTGTCCTGGTGCTATACAATTCTTAGAAAAATTGAAATAAAATTGTCTTTTGAGGTTTTCAAAAATAATTTTTCACTTTTCTTCGTCTTTCATTTTCTTTTATATTGATTATAATATATATATATATATATAGGTAATATATTATTCAAGTGTTTTAAAGCACTGTAAGAATAATAGGACTCCCTTCTTATAATTTTTTCATAACCTATATTGATGTTTTTAAATAAACAAAAATTCAAAAAAATAAAAATTACTTTAGTTTTTGCTTGATTAAAATATATAATATACTTAACCCCTTCGCAGTCGAGGCCAAAATCTCATAAGTGGGCCCAAAATGTCAGTATACTTTTGAATGACCAAAATTTGTGCAAATGTGTATACTATGGTATTTAAGGTCGCTGATTACGATTCCAAAGTCAGATTTCAAAAATTCAAAATGGCTGAGCCAATATGACAGACAATTTTTTTTTAAAAATGTCAAAAATGATTTAAAAATACTTAAAAATCGTTACTCAGGGGTTTTTGAGGTCGCTGATTACGAATCTATAGTCAGATTTCAAAAATTCAAAATGGCGTTACCAATGTGGCTGATAATTTTCTAAAAATTTAAAAATTCATTAAAATTACTTAAAATCTGTTACTCAGGGGTTTTGAACGTCGCTGTTTACGATATTCAAGTCAGATTTTAAAAATTCAAAATAGCTAGTATGAGTGTGATTATTATTGTATCCATTCTGAATTTTGAAATTTTGTAATTATTACATCAAATTCGGAATCAGCGATCCCAAAAACCCCCGAGTAACGAGTTTCAAGCGAATATAGTCAATTTTCAAAATTTTTGGTCGCCATATTAGATCCGCCATTTTGAATTTTTTAAATCTGACATCAAATTCGGAAGCAGCGACTCCAAAAACCCCCGAGTAACAAATTTTAGGCCAATTCCGTCTTATTATTGGGCTGAAAATTTATGTGCGTGTATACACGTCATCGACACTTTGAGCCCACCTATTCCATGACGTGTATACACGTCATCGACACCCAAGGGGTTAAGGCTTAAGTAATTGAATCATATTTATATTTTTTCTGTCATTATTCAATGAAGCATTAAATTACATTCAAAATATTTTTTTTACATGTTTTATATTCTTTATTAAATTATTTAATATAAAGAAATAAAATTCAATTACTCTAAGGGTAGTTTATTTGAAGCTTTAGTAACAATCTGTTTCTGTTATTCGAATAAAGTGGTAGTACAAAAAATGAAGTTGAGAAATTTATATCTTGTGAGTTTTATTTTTTGGAAAGAAATCGTGGGAATATCATCAACAAATGATTATTTTGATGGATTGATAAAGTATTTAAATGAAGAATCAAAATTGCATCAGGCAGTGTTTATTTTAGACGATGAACAAGAAAATATAGATCCAATAATGAATTCTCTTATTACAACAGTCAATTCGCATTTTCCATCTTTGAGCATCAACTCCAGTCAATTATTGAACAAAATTAAAGAGCCATATTTAAAGTTTCTTAATCGACCCAGACATACTACACTGTTTATTTTACAATTTATTAACATTTTTCACTTGGATGATTTTTTACTTAATAACAACGATTTATTACATGGATCATCAAAACCAAGATGTTTAATTTTAAACTTCAAATTTTTAAATCATACTTACAACAAGGAATTTCTTTTTTTTAGTTGGAAAATAAAATTTTTGGACATTACTTTATTGACGTACGATGGTGAGCTCAAAGTAAGGGTCAACTCAACATTCGAAAAATTACCTATTATTAGTCATATAAATCCTTTTGACAATAAATATTCTGTTCAGGTGGTATCAGCCAATAGTCAATGGTTTCCAAATAAATTGTTGGATTTTAATAGATACCCATTAAAAATACTTAGTCACTCTGCTGATGATATATCCATACAAGAATACGAAAAGAACATGAAATTTGCTAGAATTTTGGAAGAAGTGATGAAATTTGAGTATAGGTCCATAATTATGCAAGAACCAAATATAACAGAAACTGATAGTATTAAAAGAAAATATATAATCATGACAAATTATGATCGCATGAATTCTCATAACGAAAATCCTCCTGATATTACCTTTAATAGCAAAGATGATGTACAGTATTTTATTCAAAATACAAATTTGAATATTCGAACACTAAATTTTGAACGTATATATGCTGTTATACCAGGAAACGCAAAATTTGACAATGAAATCGAACTTTCATCAGAATTTTGGAACATGATCCTGGCAACAATTAGTTTAGTTGCAATAATACGACTAACGGCATATTTATTAAAATTCAACTGGCAAACTTTGAATATCAGTCAAATTATAATTGGAATGGGTACTGAGAATGAACCCCAAAATTGGAGTGAAAGAATAATTTTCGGCTCACTCTTAATTGCATGCCTTGCCTATACAAGTTATTTTTACACTATAATTCTTGATATCAGTTTTCGAACTGCTACTGAAATTTTAACAATCGATGAACTTCTTAAATCATCTTTGCATCCAATTATGGATGTCTATGTTTGGTTGGCACTTTTGAAATCAGAAAATTCAAGTATTAAACAATTAAAAAACAAGGTATCGTCTCAAATACAATATAGAAATTTAACCACACCAGAAGCATGTCTAAATTATTTGGCTGACCATCAGAATATAACTTGTATAATTCATGAAGCTGCTAAATACATTAACGAATATGAATCTAAGTACGGCAAAGAAAATAAATTTAAAATATTGAAAGAAAATATTGAATATCTTCCGCATAGTTTTACTGTTAAAAAAAATTCACCTTTCATCGATCGTTTTAATGAAATAATTCTGAAAGTTTCAGAATTTGGATTGCTTAAAGATATTTATGAACCTTATGTACGTCCACTAATTAATAATTTGGAACCTGAACTAATAACAAAAGAAAAACTCCTACCGGTATTACTTTGTATACTAATCACTGGATATTCTCTATCGATAATTGTTTTTCTTCTCGAAATAATTATAGCAAAAAGAAGAAGAAAATTTTTCGAGAAACCAAAATTTCGATTTGTACTTTAGATAACATCAAAGTTATTGTTTCTGATAATAATATGAGAAAAAAATCTTCTCTTAGTATAGGTAAGACTATTTTAATTTTTATCATATTAGAATAAAATCGACATCAATGTTTTTTTTGTGCCTGCATCAAAAATATTTTTTATCGATTTCCTTTTTAACTCTTTCACGTCTCTTTCGTCTACAGAAAGGAATCATAAAAATTTTTCCTCTTTAATGGAATTCATTAGAAATATTTTTGTAATCAAAAATTTAGAAATTTATTTGCCTAATGGAGTAAATTAAATTTTTTTTCTAGATAAACACTGCAAATTTTACAGTTTCCCGAACGAAGCAATTCACTGTGATTTGGGATTTTATACACGGAGAAAATTTGTTCCGGATATTTTACTGAATTTTAACTGAAAGTTGGGATATAGTTGCACAAAAGGAATTTTTCAAAATATTTTTTTTATTTTTTGTAGTGATGATAGTTAAAACTTGATATGATATTTTAATTTATTACAAGCTAGTACTGTAAATATATGAAAAATTTGAATCATTAAACATTGGTTTATATTACGATAACTATAGCCAGCTCTCCTGAGTATTTCCTTTCTGTGCACTACATAATTCAAGTCCAGTTCGGTAAAATTTATGTACAATAATTGTACTTTTTTATCAACTTATACCTTTTATTTATATATATATATATATATATATATATATTATTATTACACAGTCTTTTTTCAATTTTTCAGAAAACATAATAAAAATTATTTTAATTCATTAACTATTATTAGAGGTGAAATAAACAAAAAATTGAATTTTGCTTAGATGTATTTTCAAACTAAATCATATTTTTAAATTAAATTTTAGGGAAAATAATTTATTTTTAATATATAAACAAAATAATTTTTTTTCATTAATTTGTTTCTATTTTAATCACAAATAAATTTTAAATAAAAATTTCAGAAAAAATGAATTAATTACTTCAAAAAAATAAGTTTGCTTCCTAATTTTGTCATATGTAGTCTTAAAATTAGTTGTCATATTCAGAAATAATTGAATCTAAATTATTTTATTTTTTTTTTCAATACATTGTTTGAACGTTTCTCACAAGCGGTAAACTAAAATCCTGGTTAATATATAAGGACAGGTCAAACCTTCTGAAGCAATGTAAAGCGAGCGATTATATGTATTGCGTTATTTTATATGTATGCGTTTAGTATGTATTACGTAAAATAAAAATGTGTTGCGTGTATTAGGTGTAAGGTTAACATAATGTACTGTTTCAATTCGTATATGTGAGTATCAAATTGTAAACCATCAGAGAATCATTAAAGTAGGTGAATTGAGATTTCCAGTAATGGTAATATTTATTTTTTATATTTCTGCCTGAAGTTTTACCGAACTCTTCATTAATAATTTAAATAATTTATGAAATTTCAATTCTGATTTATCAAAAACAGACCTCAATATTCTTAGCTACTGTTCTAGTTTATGTACTGCCAGTACCTTACGGTTTCCCGAACTGAACTTGAGACACTAATATATGTGTTATAATATTTTATGCCTTTTGCATTACAGTTTTATGAAATTCATTTTACTGTACTAATAATTGAAAATTACCATTTTGCTGTTTTATCCCAATTTTACCGAACTAAGTTCACTAAAACTCTCGGAATAAATTTTCTCCGTGTAGATGTTTAAATATCAAAGATCCATATAATCAAAAGTTTGTCAAATGTAGACCCTTCAATTTGATTTATTCTATCTAAAATGTGTGTTTAATAATGTGTTATATAATCTTAATTGAAAAATCATTTAAAATTTTATGGAAAACAAAAATTATTATTTTTCCAATTTACATATTTTTGTATTAATGCGCAAAGAAACGAGAATATGTTTAAAAAAATTTTAAATCAAAATTTTTGATCTTAAAATGTTCTATTTTAGTATTGTTCAAATCGATTCAAATCAAATCGATTTATTTTAATTTAATTCAAATCGATTTAAAACTTTCGAACTTACAATTTTTCATCTCTTTTAATTTTCCTCAAATCGTTTCAAAACTTTGTAATTTAAAATTTTTTATCTCTTTTAATTTTCCTCAAATCGTTTCAAAACTTTGTAATTTAAAATTTTTTATCTCTTTTAATTTTCTTCATATCTAAACAAACTTTGTAACTCAAAAGATTCTGTTTTAATTTTCTTAAAATCGATTAGGATCTTTTTTTTATGGTTTGTACCATGATAATCAAATTTGCGAGAATTTTCACTACCATTTTCATAATCAGAGCACCAAAATATGTTAGTATGCCAAGTTTTATTAAAATTTGAGGTACCCGTACTTCGGAAGTACACCCAAAATTATTTTTACCAAATAATTTTTTCTCTATTGTTAATTTATTTTATATTCATATTACAATTATGTTAATTTTTTAAATAAGGTTTCAGTTATTAGTAGTACAAATATGCCACTATTAGCCCTCAGTTCCCCTGACTGCTGCTAGATGGCGCCACTGTCACTTACCGCCGGTCGGTATTCACCCACAGTTGGTAATGCAGATATTAGTTTCAACGGCTGCCATTGTCGCTTACCAACGGTTGGTATTATCATAAGTCGGTAATCTAGATTTCTTACCGATACACACTCACATATGTGATTTGCGCGCCAGTAAGACGTAGCGATTATACATAGTCACTTGTCTACTTGGTCGGTAAAACAGTTCCCTACATTACCGACTCAATCAAAATTCATGTCGGGAATCTACCTTGTTAACTGCTGATAATGTAGAAATCTACATTACCGATCGTCGGTAAGCGATAGTGACGCCATATAGTGGTAGCCGGCGGAACTGATATCTGCATTACCGACTGTGGGTGAATACCGACCGGCGGTAAGTGACAGTGGCGCCATCTAGCAGCAGTCAGGGGAACTGAGGGCTAATAGTGGCATAGTTATACGACTGTTATTGTTCTATAATATACTGAAAGTTTGAAATAAAATTGTCTTTTGAGGTTTTCAAAAATAATTTTTGTTTTTTCTTCGTCTCTCTTTCCTTTTTATGTTGATTATATACAAGTTCTCTAAAGTACAATAACAAAATTGGTAAATTTCTTGGCACAATTTTTAAGGGCGCGTCTATAAATTAATTTAATAAATTTTTAACAACTACGTATTTAGATTCCCTCCTTCACCTTCGTCCCGAGAACATTACATTTATTTTTATAGATTTTAATATTAGGCGTATTTTTAAGCAGGAACCCCTCCACCCCCCTAAATTAGAAACTTAATTTAAAAACGACCCTTTTTCATTACCTATATTGTCGTTTTTAATATCATAAAAATTGTCTTTTGAGGTGTTCAAAAATAATTTTTCACTTTTCTTCGTCTTTCGTTTCCTTTTATATTGATTATAATATATATATATATATATATATATATATATATATATATTCAAGCGTTTTAAAGCACTATAACAATAATAGTAATCCCTCCTTATAATTTTTTCATTACCAATATTGATGTTTTTAAATAAACAAAAATTCAACAGAATAAAAGTGACTTAAGTTTTCTGTTTGATTAAAATATACATATAATATACTTTAAGGCTTATGTAATTGAATCATATTTATATTTTTTCTGTCATTATTCAATGTAGCAATAAATTACATTTAAAGCCTTTCAATTTTTTTTACATGTTTTAAATTATTTTTTGCCTTATTTCATTTATATAAAAAGAATTCTTAAGGGGTAGAATATTTGAAGCTTTAGTAACAATCTGTTTCTGTTATTCGAATAAGGTGGTAGTACAAAAAATGAAGTTGAGAAATTTATATCTTGTGAGTTTTATTTTTTGGAAAGAAATCCTGGGAATATCATCAACAAATGATTATTTTGATGGATTGATAAAGTATTTAAAAGAAGAATCAAAATTGCATCAGGCAGTGTTTATTTTTCACAATGAACAAGAAAATATAGATCCAATAATGAATTCTCTTATGACAATAGTCAATTCCCATTTTCCATCTTTAAGCATTAGCTCCAATCAACTATTAAACGAAACTAAAAAGGAACAATTAAAGTTTCTTAATCGACCCAGACATACTACACTGTTTATTTTACATTGGATTGAAGAAGGAGATCTATTTGACTTAGATGAATTGTTTTTTAAATATCCTGATTTATTAGATAGATCATCAAAACCAAGATGTTTGATTGTAAACTCTAAGTTTTTAACTCATTCTTCTATCAACAGAACTCTGCATTCATTTTGGAATAGAAGTTTTTTAGACATTACTTTATTGACGTACGATGGTGAGCGCAAAGTAACGGTTAAATCAACTTTTGAAAAATTACCTGTTATTAGTCACATAAATCCTTTTACCAATAACTATTCTGCTCAGATTGTATCAGCCAAAAGTCAATGGTTTCCAAATAAATTGTTGGATCTTAATAGATACAAATTGAATATACTTACTCATCCTGCTCATGTTACATCTGTACAAGAGTACGAAAAGGACATTAAATTTGCTAATATTTTGGAACATGTGATGAATTTTGAACCATATGCAACATCATTATCATCAAGTGTAAAACATAGTGATTTATTGAGTCACAATATAACAGGTTATCTTGCTGTATGGGATAATTTAATGAAAATAAATCAAATAAATCCCGAGATCTGGGTCAAAGCCAAAGTTGATATTCATCTTTTTAGAACAGATGAAACAACTGATATGCGAATTTTAGAGATTATTAGTATAAAAGCTATTATTCCACGAAATGCAAAACTTGACAATGAAATCGAACTTTCATCAGAATTTTGGAATATGATATTGGCAACAATTGTAATAGTTGCAATAATACGAATAACGGTATATTTACTAAAATTCAAATGGCAAACTTTGAATATCAGTCAAATTATAATTGGAATGGGTACTGAGAATGAACCCCAAAATTGGAGTGAAAGAATAATTTTCGGCTCACTTTTAATTGCATGCATTGCCTATACTAGTTATTTTTACACTATAATTCTTGATATTAGTTTTCGATCTGCTCCTGAAATTACAACACTCGCTGAACTTCTTAAATCATCTTTGGTGCCATACATAAGTGATGATGCTTACTATAAACTTCTTACTTTTAATAATTCTGATACTAATCAACTGTACAAGATAACCTCTATTATGGATCGTTCTGAACTTACGTTAGAGGAAAAATGTTTAAAATATTTGGCAGATCATCAGAATATAACATGTATCTTTTATGATGCTGAGCATCATATTAACAAATATGAATTTAAGTACGGTAAAACAAATAATTTTTAAATACTGCCAGAAACAATTGAACATTTTGTCAAAAGATTCAATGTTAAAGATTTTTCACCATTTATCGATCGTTTTAATGAAATAATTCTAAGAGCTTCAGAATTTGGATTAATTAAAGATTTTTATGAATCTAGTGTACGTCCATTAATTGATAATTTCGAACCTGAACTAATAACAAAAGAAAAACTCCTACCGATATTATTTTTTGTACTAATCACTGGATACTCTTTTTCGATAATTGTTTTTCTTCTCGAAATAATTATAGCGAAGATAAGAAAATTTTTCGAAAAACCAAAATTTC